GTGACAATAAATTTATAATAATTCACGATTTAAGACCCTATCTCGCAGTGTATATCCTCACTCACATTTTCATGACCATAACTTTGCAGGTGCGAAGAGCAATCTGCTTCCGCTCCTAATTCATTCACTGAAGACGTCGATAATTGAATTTCTGAATCCTCATCAATCGTAAGAGAACTTATATCTGGCACAGAAGGCGCTCGTTCGTTCATTATGTCGAAATCTGATGAAGATGGTACACTTGGAACGCATCCGTTCATTATGTCGAAATCTGATGAAGACGGTACACTTGGAACGCATTCGTTCATTGTGTTTATATGGTCAAGATCAGGGTCTCGAAAAATACGAGGCCAGGCGGCAGCCACAACCCACTCATACTCTTTTGGTTTCCACCTCTTAGAGACCCACCTCCGCTGGCCGCCAGGGTTCAGCGGCCACTTGGTGATTCATCTTGCGTTAACGCGACCCAGTCCGAATTTTACATTATCCGAGGCTGAAATTCGGTCTCCAGTGGAATCCAGCGGCCAGCGGCTGGCTTTGCCGCCAGAGCGTGGATTCGAAAAATGAATGGAGGCCGTAAGCGAAGGGCGCGCGGAGTATGAATAAATCCTCGCCGCCGCATGGCTGCCAATTTTTCGAAACCCTGGTCAAGATTCATCACACTTGGAACTCGACCATAAAAACCTCCGTTAAATCAGTCAGTTCAGAGTTATTCGCCTGAACCTCATCGTGGGAATAAACAGAAATGGTGTCAATATTAAGAATTGACGGAGCTGTGCCAAGCGGTTCATTTAGATTATCAAGTCTCTCGAGATCAAGAACACTGAAATGCAAAATTAACTTTAATTCAATCAATCTTGAACGAATAAAAACCTTGGTACTTGAAGAAGATTAACAGGAGCTTCATTGGGGTCAAAGTCATAGTTAGACACAGCATCAATAGAATCGATATTCATGACGCTTGGCGCTGGACCAAGTGCGCATAAATCATCTGGTGGTGGTTCAACAGGCATCATAGAGACGCCAAACTCGGACATCGTCTAAATACTTTAACAATTAATCCTTATCCAAGATTTTATCGAACAAATTGCTTAAGGGTAACAATCACGTAAGAAATAAGGAAAGAGTGAAAGAAAAGGATAAACATCGTAGAACATTGACATCATAACAGAACTTCTCATCCACGACGACGACTTAAAAAAAGAAAAATGAACTCCACATCATATAATTCGATTTTACCACAAGTTTTTTGGAAACAACGATGTGAGAGAGACAAATTTTCCACACAGTAATTCGTAATAACCCTGATGTCGTCCACCTTGATTGTAAGATCGTCTTATTCTTTGTTGGAGACGTAGCTCATCATATGCACGATGAAGTTGATATATTCTGTAGTCTAAACACCTCGTCATTTCCAAAACATCTATTGTTTCTTTAGATATTTGATTCCAATTTGAAGGCTTGTCAAGTTTTTGGAAGAAAAAACTTTTAACCAATCGTTCAGCTTTTAATCTGAGCCATTCTTTCGAAGAGATCGTCTTAAATATAACAGCAAGCTCAAGAGGCCTCTTAACTATAAATTTTGCAATTTCTCGATCGTCTAGATCAGAGCTGGTTATTTGATAACTGTCGTCACTCGAAAAGAAAAAGAATTAATTTTTAGAGAAATTTTGGAGACTTTTAAAGCGCTTACTTCTATTATCTTTTTTCTAAAGCTTTCTGAAGATGATTGAACGAGACGAACGCGAAAGATAGAAAAACGACGCGTAAATATTAATTCGCACACTAAAATTTTTTTGACAGATCATAGGACGCGAATTCGACAGCCATGATCCCGATTATAATCGAAAATTCATATGATAAGCGGTACCGCACATTCAAAAGAGCAATTTATGACAGGCCCGCCCTGAAAATGGAAAACGAAAAACGACTCGACAGTCATAGTGGCTTCGGTTCTTTCCAATATATCTTCTAATGCCCTGTACATTTGCTTTGGAGCAAACTCAGGGAGTTGGCTTTGCACGACACGAGACATCATAAAGGTAAGATTCGCCATGGTCCCCGAGCCATCATTTGACACTTCGAAGGAATTAAGGAATCGTGGGATTTTTCCAAGGTATTGTTTTCGAGCATCCATGGTTTTAACTAAGCAGATCAATTTTTATACTTTTGAAGCAATAATCAACGATCAGAAAGCAGAAAAAGCGGGTGTGCGCTCCGCGCCTGTCTTAAAGGAAACCCGCAACTTTCTAGAATTGATGGCCTTGAGGGCGTTGTTGAATTCAGGTTATAGGGACTTTTGCTGATTTCTAGAATGGTCTTTATAGCCTCGATGGCCATGATGTCCTTGATGGCCTTGTCGACAATCTCTTTTCTCTTATCGCCAGAGAGAAATGAAAAAATCGGTCAAAACGAAAAACACAAAGAAACCGACTTAAGCCGACCACCCACCGACCAAACCCCACCACCGATCAAATCAAAAAAATCCATGGTAGGATCGTTCGGTGCCAATATAAACCCCACCATTTCCGACTAGGTCGAGTTTTTGGTCGGGTCGATGGCCTTGATGGCCATGCTGGCCGTGATGGCCTTGATTGCCTTGTTGACAATTTCAGGTTCATCCCTATTAAAGGTGTAACGAACGTAAGTGATCTTAATTCTCGGTCCGAGCCAGAGTTGCAGATTTTTGAAAATTTTTTGTGAGCTGAGCTAGCTGAGCTGTGGTCGAAATTGAGCTGAGCTGGCCCCTTGAAAAGCAACTGAGCTGAGCTGGATTTTTCGAAAAAATGAGCTGAGCTGAGCTGAGCTTGGGCTAATTTGAAAATTTTTGAGCTAAGCTGAGCTGACAATTTTTTTAAGCTGAACTGAGCTGAGCTGGCCCCTTGAAAAGCAACTGAGCTGAGCTGAATTTTTTCGAAAAAAATGAGCTGAGCTGAGCTGAGCTTGGGCTAATTTGAAAATTTTTGAGCTGAGCTGAGCTGACAATTTTTTTAAGCTGAGCTGAGCTGAGCTGGCCCCTTGAAAAGCAACTGAGCTGAGCTGGATTTTTTCGAAAAAAATGAGCTGAGCTGAGCTGAGCTTGGGCTAATTTGAAAATTTTTGAGCTGAGCTGAGCTGACAATTTTTTAAGCTGAACTGAGCTGAGCTGACCCCTTTGAAAACAACTGAGCTGAGCTGAGCTGAGCTGGATTATTTCGAAAAATTTGAGCTGAGCTGAGCTGGGGTTTATCTGTTAGTTTTTGAGCTGAGCTGATGATTTTTCAAACTGAGCTAGCTGAGCTGAGCTAGCTGAGTTGAGGTTAAAATTGAGCTAGCTGAGCTGATCTGACTTTTCTCGAAGAACCATTGAGCTGAGCTGAGCTGAGCTGGCCCCCTTGTAAAGCAACTGAGCTGAGCTGAGCTTGGGCTTATCTGAAAATTTTTGAGCTGAGCTGAGCTGACAATTTTTTAAGCTGAACTGAGCTGAGCTGACCCCTTTGAAAACAACTGAGCTGAGCTGAGCTGAGCTGGATTTTGTCGAAAAATTGAGCTGAGCTAAGCTGGGGTTTATCTGTTAGTTTTTGAGCTGAGCTGAGCTGATGATTTTTCAATCTGAGCTTGCTGAGCTGAGCTGACAATTTTTTCAAGCTGAGCTGAGCTGGGCTAGCTAAGTCGAGGTTAAAATTGAGCTAGCTGAGCTGAGCTGACTTTTCTCGAAGAACCATTGAGCTGAGTTGAGCTTGCTTTCTTCAGAAAAATTAAGCTGAGCTGAGCTGAGCTGACCCTCACCTCGAAATCGCTGAGCTGAGCTGAGCTGTAGCTCATCTAGCTCATATAGCTCACCTCAGCTAGCTCACAAAATTTGTAACTCTGGTCCGCGCTATTCCGATTTACGGAAAAATGTAAAATGAGGGAATTATAATGGCCTAAATTCCCTTTTATAATTTTAGACTTGTAATAGATATATCTGTATAAAAAATAAGTCAAACGATAATTATAATAAATAAGTATAAGAAGGACCACCGAACATACTGTTTTTTCAGAATTTTTTTCTGCGCGAGGCCCATCTAGGCCAAAACCGTGGGGGAAGTCTTTAAAGCATACCTTCTGTCTTCGTTTGGATTCTACTTTCTTTGGAGTCAGTCGTTGGCAGGATTTCTTCTGTTTTTGATTTTTTCTGCAATTAACAAGCGTCTTATATAATTTTAAGAATAAATATATATATTTAGTATACCTGTCACTGGTATCGAAAATTATTAACAATCTTTCTCTTAGCTTTCTCTTCTTCTCTTTCAATTTTGTGTGTTTCACAGAATTAACTTTCTCGAAGTGAACTGCCAGCCAGAAATTAGTTTGGAAATTTTTTTTTCATACTGTGATTTTGATTGATGCATCCATTAAATAATCATTAATGAGCGAGGTAGTTCCGGAATCGCGAGCGCATGTGTACACTTCACCGTCGATCGATATTGAAACAAAAAATTTTCAAAATCAAATGAGCAATATTTTTGCTCAAAATTATTATTTTCAAATTTAAAATAAATAAAAAATTGTAATTTAACGGCAAAAAAAATTGTTCTCAAATGACCTCAGATGACCTCAGATGACCTCAAATGACCTCAAGTGACCTCAGAGCACTATTTGATTACTTTTTTGTAGTTTGTAATTTAATAAAAGTGTATGCTTTGTATTTGCGAAATTAGTGCAAAACTAATCCTCAAAAAAAAATTTTTACAGCCCAAATGTTGCCCGATTTGCTTCAATTTTCGCGAGCACATAGATTCGACTATAGAGATTCCAAAAAAAAATAAAAAAAAATTTTGTTATGGAAAAATTTTGCTCTATGAGCAGTTAAAATTTCGGAATTTCAACCTTTATCAAGTCCAAATGTCGAAAATTTCGAAGATTTGAGCAGACTCTAAAAACGTTTTTTATACAGTTTGAGAAGCTCTTTCAGATGAGCCAATCAGAAAAAAAAAAATTTTTTTCGACCTGCCACAATTGGAGACTTCTACCTAAAGGTCAAAATCCTACCTGGCGAGTTGGCCCGATTCTAAATGATCCCCGCTGCTGGCTGTCGTCAAGCGCGGAAGGGGATTACGAGAGCTTCATGAAGGGAGAAAAGCAATGCCGAAGCTTTCACTACTGGATGGAGTTTGGCCGCGGCGGTTGGGTTCGATCTGGAATCTTCAGCATTCGAGAATATGGTTTTGGCGCGCAAAATCTAGGACATTGCAATGGCACTTTTAATGCGGCTTGGAAGTCAAAGGTCATTCCGGGCATTTACGATCGCAAAGTTGATGAAAACGGCGATCATTATTTTGAGCGGACGGCGTTTGCGAAGGGCACTCCAAGTATGGCTGGAATCGTCGATGGGGAAAGCAGCGATCTGCCTCCTTTGATGATGCGGGAGAAAGTGACAGTCAGAAGCTCTGCGGATTTCTTAGTCGAGAAATCAGGACGAGTAGACTTCAAGCCTAAAGAGCATGCACCAATTGTTCCGGCCGAAGATGCTGTTGATGGACCAGGTTTGAGAAAAACTCGAATGAAAAATCGTTAATAAATTGAAGGGCTTCAAAGAGGCGAGTCATTCAAACGCGAGGAAATGCGACTGAATTCAGACTCGCATGACATCGAAAAGGTAATATCTTTCCGAAGTAATCACTGAAACTGAAATTCTAGAGAGTTCCCTATTACCTCTACAAGCATTCGAACTGCTGGAAGATTGGCCTAACTGCCGGAGCCGCTAGAGCGGTTCTGATGACGTTAGAAACTGACTTCAGAAAACTTGACAGAGCAAAATGGATCGAGGTCGAAAGAAACACAAGAAACTCGAAAAAGTATTCACCAATATTTTTCTATTTTATTTTAATTTTGCTTTCAGAATGAAGGATTCTCAAGTGTTGATCAAAAAACATCCCTTTGCTCACAATCTAGGTAACCAAACTTACAAAATATCGTTCTGATAAAATTATTCTAGTGCAAATCGAAGCATCGTTGAGGTCCCAAGAGCCCATATCCGGAATTTACTACGAGCTTGAAGATCAGGAAAATGTTTGGAAGCTGACAACATCGATTTATGTCACTGGGAAATTCGCAACAGAGTGGAAAAACGCCACGCTTCCTGGTTGGTATGACCGAATAGGTCCGGAGATTTTCATGAGTCGCCATTTGGTGAGAGCTTTTTTTATATTTTTTTCTTTTGAAAAGCAAACTAAGAACGAAACTGATAAGCAAGAAATCTTCATTTATAAAAAATCTGGAAGATGGCATGTTGGCCCAGATCCTCGAGAAAAGATTTGCTGGCTTTTCTCAGGTAAACCTGAAATTTCGAGTAAAAAATAATTCTGTTTTAGGTAAAAATGAGCGCCACCTTCACGTGCAAACGAGGTGGTTCGAAGCCGACCAGGGCCAAAAATGGATTCGCAATAGAAGCATTACTGCCGCGCTTCGTCACTAGATCGTTTTTTATACTGTTCCTATTTGTACGAGATCATGTAATAAAGAAGAAAGATCATCAAACTTTTTTTTGTGGGGTCTTTACTTTTTCGACCATGTTCAAAGAAGTCTTGAGGCAGAAAGAGTTCATGTTAAGTTACGGAGTTCTGAGCAAAACATGTGTTGCAACTCATGAGCCGTAAATATATCCTTTTGGGAATATACCCTTTTTCATTTGAATGTGAATAAATGGTCCGTTCAATTTTCTTGATAATTTTCACTGTTGCGGAATTACAGTTAGTAGAGATAGAAAAGACGCCTTTTCGGACTGTTGAGACTTCGTATCGTCATGTTGAACTGTATCTTCCTGTTGATTTCTTGAGCGAGATTCATGATCGTCGAACAGCACGGGAATCCTGCATTGCAAAAGGAATGGTTTTGCCAGATCCACTGGATTTGAATGAATCGATCGCTTTTTTCAAAGATCAAAATGAAGAAAGTTATACGTTTCACTTTTACACAGGTTGATTCTTATCCTCAGTTGATATTTACAAATTTTCAGACATTGTTAGAACGGTATCTAGTTTGTGGATCAGTGAGTCCACTAACCGTCTTGCGAATACATCTTGGGACCCCGAAAATATCTTTGAAGGGTTTGAAAATGACGTTCAAGAGCATACACGACCATTGTAAGATATCGTAATAATAAAAATCATGAGCAGTTGTTTTTCAAGGCAAGACTTTGGACTATGCTTGCTCCGCGAATACACCTCGACAGCAGATGCTCTTCACTACCAGATTTGCGACAATCGAACAGTGGCTTCATTTCTTTGTGAAAACGATGATTTGGACTTTGCAATCAAGACCTTTTTGAACAAGACTTTTCTTGACGAAAATTTGAATTCGATGACCGAAGAGGTTGAAGTAAAGCAATTTTGGAAGGAAGTTATTTCGAGGCCAGACAGCTTGCCTGCTGGTTGGGGCAAAATATGGAATCGAAGTCCTCGAAAAATACTGTAAGAGAAAAATTTTTTTTTCAGTTTCTAGAGCAAAAAATTAAGGGATGCGGCATCGCAATGCGAGAAAGAGGGATCAAGACTCTTTCACCCAGCACGAATGAATGATAAGAATTTTAAACAGAATTATTTGCCGCATTTTACAATCGATATTCTCTGGCTTGATGGATATCAAATAGATGATCAGTTAATGCACTTTCAGACTAATGTTTGAAGTTATTTTTTTAAGTAAGATTAAATTATCACTAGGAATTTGTACGAGAAAAAGATCTTCAAGCTGTAAGATTTGCACCTAATTGGGTATATCACACAGTTTCTTCTGATGGCCCCGAAGATGATCGTATTTATACGAATCCATACAAGGCAAGGATCCTTAAGTTAGTTACTCAGATATCAGATCAAGTAGATCCATCTACAGTTCACTTTTTTCCAGAAGGGAGGCTATCTCAAATCGGCACCTGGGTTTTCTAAAGCGCAATTTATGTGCATGAAGGTGCCATCGAATGCCAAAAATAATTCAACTGATCTCTTTTTCAGGTGATCGAAGAATATCCTGCTATTGAAAAATTTCGAATGATTGAAACAAAAATAGAAAGAAATGGAAATGATGCTCTAAGTGAATCTGATCGAAATTTTGTGATTGCTATTTCTCTTGTTATCTGTGCATTTTTCTCGATTTCATCATTTATTGGCTTCTACGTAAATAGCGAATAAAAAACAATTGAGGAAGAAAATTTATTTGAATAGGATAATATGAAAAGTGTCAAGTCTGAACAGTCATTCAGTTATTTATAAGCTAACATCGTCTCGTTCCTTCGCAGGTGCAGATTCGTACGGCCAGTGCGCAGCAATAGCGAATTGGTATGTCAACGCTCCAATAAATCCTCCGATCAAGGGACCAAACAATGGCACCGTAAAGAATCCGTCCCAAAGGGTCGCGTCGCCGGAATAGAAGATGGTTGCGAAGAGTCTGGGGCCGAAATCACGTGCTGGATTGATCGCGCCACTGAAAATTAAAAGATTTGTTGAACAATAAGCGAAGAAACAAGTTTCGTATTTTCTTAGATAAAATCACTTACCCGCCATTAGCACCGTAAGCAAGGCCAGAAACAGCAGCAGCCATGCCGATCAAAAATGGAGCAAGCCCTCCTGGGTTCACATTTTGACCGTCGATCACCATGAAAATGACTGTGATCAGGATCCAAGTTCCGATGATTTGATCGATGAAGAGGGTTCCCTAAAATTGGAATGAAAGAAGAGAATAATCATTTTTTCTTACCATGCCAGGGTTGAAGTCGCCAGAAGGTCCAGTTACGTACAGTCGAGCCAAATCAGTAGCTTATGAAATAAACTTACATGTTTCTCCCTTTTAATAGGTACCTGTATAATTCATTTTGTCAACCAGATGAGCTTCAAGATCAGCATAGGCGGCAGAAACGAGGAAACAACTGGTAAACGCGCCGAGTATTTGGGAAAGAGAGTAAACAAAGAACATCTTTAAATTTTCCCCGAATGTGTTTCCTGAAGAAGTTGCTTAAATATGATTTGTTAACAAAAATACCGAGTTTTCCAAGGGTGAACATCGCCATCGTAACAGCTGGATTAATGTGCCCCCCTGAAACTCCGGCCGACGCATAGACTCCAAACGCTACTGCGAATCCAAATGCTAAGCAAACTCCAAGCGTTCCTATAAAAATCATCAGTCAACTTATCTACCTTAAATTCTCAGTGTCGAATCAAGTTGGAATGCTAGAAAATTAACCTGTCGCTGCGATTTGAGCTTCATGAACGGCTCCTAATCCGATGAGGCATAAAATGAAAGTACCGAAGAATTCAGCAAGCGCAACTCGCAAGTAGATATTCTCCGTCCCGAAGAATCTCTTCAACCTGTTCTCTGAATATTTTTCTAGTTCGAGCACTTTTTCAATATTCTTACCCATTCTGAGCCGGTAAAGATAAAGCGCTAATACTCTCTGAGCTTCAAACTGTCAGGACACAAATCGGTGCCACTTTCGGCGCTCAATATATACTATTTTTACGACGGTTTGAAATTTGCGAAATGCGTGGAGAGAATCCTCTCACATTCTTTCTTTCAAATTCTTCGCTTTCAAGAACTGACCACACACATCATTGTAGCGGGGATATATTTGATCTGCATCAAGGCGTGTGTACTTTTTTCAAGCGATTTAATTTGAATTAAAAACTTTGAACAAGCTCGTTTCTTTCAAACTCGTGCGCGTTTCATTATTTGCTTGATCGCCAGACATCAGTAAAACCGCGCTAGAATCACCGAAGATCAACGACCATATAAAAAAACCTCAGCGATTTCGCGGTCGATGGAGAAAACTCGGTCATTTACCCTGAAGTCAAAACTGTTGGCAAGATATTTTCTGCACAGCAAATTTCGTTAAACAAATCAAAAAAATGAGTGAAAAAGACATTTCTGAAGATAATGAACACTATGCTAGAAGACTTGCAAAAGAAGTTTCTAGAGAGGAAAGGGCCAATTTTTAAACATTCACCTTTTTGTTGACAAAGCTCATAAGCCCCCGAAAGATCGCGGAAACGACCGAACGAGTACTCGAGAAAGACAAAAGAATAACACAACGAGAGCCTAATTTTTTAGGAACTCTTCCTAGAAGTCAAAGCGCTCTGAATCTCGGAAAGGATCGAGACCGCTGCTTTCTAAGAAATCCGTTCTACGGCGCGGCATTCGTTCTAGCGCTCCTTGTTCTCGGAGCAATCACGATTTCTATTTTGAATAACGAAACTAAATTTGAACGAGAAAATAAAGTTCAATCAAATGAGTCCGGAGAAAATGGGCTGTTCTGGTATCTGGACAGAAAATGCAGGACAAGAGTTGATCCGAGTTTTTTCGTCGAGCTTTCTACCGACCGCTTTGGAATGTCTCTTGGATGTTCTGATGAGGAGTTGATTGTCGTTGAACCAGAGGTCTTCTCTCGACGACATCGATGGCTCGTCAAGTTGAAAGCGTGGTTTCCAAGTTTCGATGAGGATTCCTTGTTCACCGTGATAATGGTCGACCCAGGTTCGTGGAAGAACTTGGCCATTAAAAACTAATGTACTAGATGTCCCCTCTGTTGAAGACCAAAACTTGCGATATTTCCTTCATTGGGCTGTGGTCAATATTCCGATGCCGCTGATCAATTATTCAGGAACCGGGTTCAAGATCAATTCAATTAAAAACGTCTAAAGCCGGAAAAGATCAAACCCCAAGAAAGACCATCAAACTCCATCATTTCCTCCTCAACTTGATCTGTCAACCTGCGACGCTGGTAACAGCTTCAACTGCACCAACGCCATCGAATACTTCCCCCCGAATCCTCCTCTTGGGACTGGGCAACATCGTTATCAATTCCTGCTTTTCTGGCAAAGTGCAAGACTTACTGAGGATGATATTAAAAGAACCTTTTCAAAGGGAGATTCCGAAAGAATAAAATTTGATCCTGAAGTATTGAAATTTGAGTTGAAAATGAGTTTTACTGCTTCTACATCTTTCAAATGCGGTCACTGAGATCTTCCTCCTGCCATTTATCAAAATAAATAAAACCCAAAGATGTAAATTATCCTAATTTATTCTAGCGCCAGTTCAATGAACTTTCAGGACAAACAGACTTGAACTTATTCCGCAGAAGTTATTCTTTGTGCTTGCTGATTCCTCCCTTATTGAAGTCGGCCATGAGGGCGCTTCGGTAAGCTTCGAGTCCACCTTCGATTCGTTTGACAGTGCCGTCCTGGCAGTTCCAGACTTCGTTACAGGCAACTACAACAAATGTTAAACAAGCAGGGTGCAAAAACAGACCTGATATGAGCCGCTCGTCGTGAGAAACCAAAATGACGCCTCCCTTAAATTGCTTGAGCGCTTCAGCCAAAGCAGCGACAGTTTCAACATCCAAGTGGTTTGTCGGTTCGTCAAGAACCAGCAAATGCGGCTGGGCGAATCCGAGCTTGGCAAAGGCAACTCGCGACTTCTGACCTCCAGAAAGGACGTTCATTTTTCTCGTAGCCACATCTCCGGTGCATCCGAAACCGCCGAGAATTCTTCGGTATTCTTCAGCAGTCTTCCCAGGTTTGAAATCACGAAGCGTCTCGATAGGGGTAAGCGAGAGGTCGAAGTCTTCAATGTGGTGCTGTGCGAAATAGGCGATTCGGCAGTTTCGGTTGTGCGTTACGTAGCCTTTCGTCGGCTCCAGCTTGCCAAGAAGCAGCTTCAATAGGGTCGATTTACCGGCTCCGTTCTCGCCGACAATGGCGATTCGGCTCTTGGAATCGCAGCTCAAGTCGATACCCTAAATTCATCATTTCAAAAAAAAATAAAATAAGCGCTATTACCTTGAAAATCTGACGAGAGCTGCTGTAAGCAAACTCGACATTGTCCATTTGAAGAAGAGTTCCATTGATTCTCTCTTCGGCCGGCGCGTTGAAGCCGAACTTGACGACCTCTGGTGGCTCTGGTGGGTAAAGGACAGGTAGTTTTTCCAAAATCTTGATCTTTGACTGGACTTGAGCGGCGCGATTGGCATTGTATCGGAATCGGTCAATGAAGACTTGGATGTGATCTCTTAAAATGAAAGTTTTACAATCTGAATCACTGTATTTGATAGTACCTGTAGCTCTTTTGAGCCTCGTAGTCTCTGAGTTGTTGCTTGTGTCTCTCTCCTCTCGTCTTCTCGAAGGTGTCATAGTCGCCTTTGTAGTAATACAGAGTCCTTGAGCTCAGATGAATGATGTCCGTGCAAACAGAGTTCAAATAACTCCTGTCGTGAGAAACCGTCAACAAGGTATTCGGCCAGTTCTGAAGACGGCTTTCGAGCCACAAAACGGCTCGCATGTCCAACATGTTTGTCGGTTCGTCAAGCAACAACAGATCAGGCTCCATCAACAGCGCCTGCGCGAGAGCAAGTCGCATTCTCCAACCGCCAGAAAACTCCTTCGTCGTCATTTGCTGCATCTTCGTAGTGAAACCGAGACCGTTGAGAATTTCGGCAGCTTCGGACGGCTTTGAATCCGCGTCGATTTCCTCTAATCGCTCGTGGACGACTAACAATCTGTCATTATCCGCTCCCGATGCGCCAAGATCATCTGCTTCTTTGAGGAGATTGGTTCGCTCGGTCAGGACGCCAAGGACGGAGTCGAGGGCGGTCGTATCATCTCCAACGACTTCTTGTTCTACGTGGAGAACGGTGATATTGGACGGAAGCGACAGCCCCCGGGAATCGAGAGCTCGTAGAAGAGTAGATTTACCGGCACCGTTTCGGCCGACAAGCCCATATCTTTTTCCTTGGGCGAGATTGAGCTCCGCATTTTGGATCAACTGCTGGGCGCCGAAGGTCAAGTCGAAGTTTTCGATCAAAATATCGCCGGACATAGAAATTCCCGGCTTCGATTTGGCCTGGGAAGCGACGGCTTGTTCCTTGACCAGCGCTTCTTTTTCCTTGTTCTTTTCAGCTTCTTCCTCAGCTTGCCGTTTAGCAAGCTTCGCTCGGGCTTTCTTATCAGCTTTCGCGGATTCCTTGGCGTTGTAGTTTCCACGGAGCTCGATGTCGGTGACGAGGAGTGAGTCGAACTCAGATGTGTCGACTGCGCTGTCGCCGAAGACCACAGCATTGACGAGCTTGATCGGCTCGTCGCTCTTCTTGTCCATCAAGCCCCAGAGCTTCTCTGCGAGAGTATCGACATCGTCTTGGATTGCTTGAGCGCAGTCGATCAGAAATGGTCCGATTCCATCAGCGACATCATCGGCCGAGTCAAAGCAGTCGACATCTTCGAGGACGCCGCCGAGGTAGTCCGCGATGTCATGGTCCAGTTTTGGGTAGAGCTCTAGAACGTGCTCTAGGAGGTTCGACATGATTGCCTGAATAAAATTTTTCTAGCGCTAAAAAAGAAAAAATACGGCCTCAGAATACAGAAAAACAAAATCAGAAGTAACATTTCTCCTCGAATTAAAAAATATTAGTTCTTCTCTTAAGGATATAGCCGAGGTATCGGAAGGTGAGTCGGCCACCCAGACCTGATTTTTAAAAATGATAACAGCTGCATGAGCAGCTCGGAGCTTCAAAGACCAACAATGCCAAATGCTACCTGCTGAGTGATATAGATCTGCATCGGCCAAAGAGAACACTGACTCGAATTTGGAAATTTGATGATATATTTCAACATTTGAAATATGATATATACATTTATACATTCAAAGATCGCAATATTTCGAAGGAAATTCGATGAGATCTGTTTCCAAGTCAGCAAATTGAGAGCAGATTTTGAGAATATTGCTAAATTATTTAAAATATTTAAATCATTTCTCAAAACAAAAACCTTTCTAGCCAATCGTCTTCCTGTTCCAAAATCAAATCTAACAATCTTCGACAATAGTGTCTTTTTGCAACTTTCTTCTTTCGCCGACGTAACTGATTGTTGCAGACTCGATTCAAGTTTTTGACTTTGAACTGCCAAATTGTTCGAAGGGAATTACGGCCTCTCACATTTTTGTCGTGCAACGATGAGTGATAGGCCTTAGATTTTATAAAATAATAATTGCTTCAAAACTCACTTCACACATATTGTTGGTTAGGCAATAATCACCAACCATAATGCGCTCAAAATGATTCCACTTCGATTGATTCTCCCAGTATAGTAAGACCGGAGGAGAAGAAGAACATCGACTGTAAGTGGCAGCAACTGCAGTTTTAATCTCTTGGTACGGCGGATTAGAGAAAGGAGGCTCCATTGAAAACAGATTTTTATTTGCGAATGCGGCCCTTTTGCCCTGCACAGTACCGATTTCCTATGCTGATTACAGTCACTTGCTCCCCTGGGCGATGATTGATAAGCCGCGTTGTGCTGAGAGAACGCTCCAGCTGTTATCATTTTTAAAAATCTGGTCTGGGTGGCCGACTCACCTTCCATTCCCCCATATAGCCGTTCTCAAGGCACTTTCGTAGCGCCGAAATGTGGCGATAAAATTTTTTCATTTCAAGACAGGTCCTACCTAAAATTATGTCTAGAATTCGATTCTGATGTTTTTGAAAATTTTTTTCACAGAAAATTTCTCTGTGGAGCGATTTGAAATCTTACGATCACTTTTTCTCGAAATTTTTCTATTAAATCGCTAAAATAAAACCGTGTCTTATTATGAATAACTGCTAATCTATCTTCCTAGGGCCTCAAAATTTCAAAACCCGAGCAAATTTTCATTCTAGCGTCTTCTTCTTTTTGGCTTTTCTTTTTCATAAATGCTGCGTTCAGGGCGCTCGACCAATCAGCACGCTCTTTCACATGCGCGCCTCACCGCGCGATGGAGGAGGGCGCCCAGCGCAGCAAACCAGCGCGCTGTTTGACGCTTCGGCTTACTCAAGTAAGCCTCATAAAAATGGCTCTAGAATCATAAATAATTGGAATCTATTAAATTTAAGACCCTAGGAATGTAGAGAAAGGTCCAAATTTTTAATTTATCAAAAAAACTCGACCGATTTAATGGAAAATTCCCGAGAAAAAGTGATCGTAAGATTTAAAATTGCTCTAGAGAGAAATTTTTCCATGAAAAAATTAAAAAAAACATTAGAATCGGGTTTCTTAGGCAATTTTAGGTAGGGTTCCTTTTGAAATGAAAAAAATTTATCGTCCCCTTTTGGCGCTACGAAAGTGCCTTGAGAACGGCTATATCCTTAAATCTTTATCTTCGAACTTCTCTTCCTTTTTGCCCGCGCCAATCAGGGGCGCCCTGATGGAAATATTCCCACGCCACCAAAAATGAAAAACCCGCACTAAATTATGAATATGCGACAAAACCATCAATTCAAGAGGTAACTTAAGAGAAAGAAGAATGGTGCTGCTAATTTCTTTATTCATCGTTATTTCAATATGTAGTGGTTATTCAATTTCTTCAGCAAAGGTTAGTTCTCTTCGATTTTTTCTCCCTCCAAATTGCTCTTTAGACTTCAAACTTGACTTTCACTGCCCAGAAAAAGCTCCATTCATGCACAAGCCTGACGCCAATCTCCATCTATTCCTGCTATTTATCCAAATTTCCCGAAGAGAACATCAACTACAGAACTAACGACGCGAAGCTCCAATGGATCGGAAATACAAGAGCAACTTATGAAGCAGAAATCGACGCTTCTTCGACCTCTAAATTTGCTTTTCTTGAGCTCAGAAGCATCGATACAGTCGGAGAAATCTTCTGGAACGGCGAGAAAATAGGACATGTCGCGAATTCTTTCAGAAGATATCTTCTCGACGTTTCTTCTCGAATCCTTCCAAAAAATCATTTGCAAATCGACCTCTCTCCTCCAATTTCTTCAGCGAAAAAACTTGCCGAAAAGGATCAAATTCCCCAATTTCCCGAATGCCCCGTCCCGGCCCAAACGAACGGTCAATGTCATATCAACATGCTTCGTAAAGCACAGTACTCATTTTCATGGGACTGGGGACCGTCTTTGCCCGATTCTGGCATTAACGAGGAGCCAAAGCTAATTTCTTTCGATTTCTCAATGATTTACGATGCTAAATTGAACCTGCTGACGAAATATTCCGATGTTCAGCAAACTGTTCAACTTCAACTGCTCATTCTCCATCCAAACTCTAAAGAGGCGCCAAATGGAGAGATTCAAGTCAGTTTCGAGCCTTCTCTTCCTTTTGATTTAGGAGAAATTATCTACGAAAAATTCGAGGGTGATAAAAACTTGTGGAAAGCAACGGCAGATCTGTCCATTTCAATCATGGACATTAACTGGTGGTGGCCACATGAGATGGGAAAACAAGACCTGTATTCTGTACAATTTTCCTGGATCCCTGAAAAAGGAGAAAAATCAACGATTGAGAAAGAATTCGGCTTCAGATCCGTCGAACTCGTTCAGGAACAACTTCCAGATGGCCGTTCTTTCTACTTCAAAATCAACGAAAAACCGATTTTTATGAGTGGCAGCAATTGGATTCCCAGCGCCTCTTCCATCGCCAGTTTCGACAACTTGTACGAAGACAATCTTCAATCCGCCGTCGAAGCTGGAATCAAAATTCTACGCGTCTGGGGAGGTGGAATCTACGAGCAAGACGCTTTCTATTCATTGGCTAATCGTCTCGGGATCATGATTTGGCAAGATTTCATGTTCACTTGTTCGACGTACGAAAACGACTCCGAATTCTTGAATTCTGTCGAGAAAGAAGTTTCTGATCAGATTTGGCGATTGAGCTCGAATCCGTCTGTTATTGCCTGGGCTGGAAACAACGAAAACGAAGCTGCTTTGGCGACGAACTGGTGGAGTATCCCAGAAGAAAAGATGAACCTCTATTTCGGGCAGTACCGAGATTTGTACACCAATACAATCCAGAACACTGTCATCAAAGAAGGTCTTTCATCTCCCTTTTTTCTTTCAAGCCCAAGCAATGGAAAGGAGTCGGAACTTTCGCCATTTGGAATCGCCAAGAATCCATACGACCCAAACTACGGCGACGTTCACTTCTACGATTACAAATCAGACTGTACTGATTGGCGAAACTTCCCAAAGACTCGATTTGCCTCGGAATTCGGCTATCAGGACTAGGAGTGGCTCATGATTTTTATTTTTGACTTTTTAGCAAGTGATAGTCGAGACAAACGAAAAAAATAATTGAATTTTAGAATGGACTTTTGGGATTGTACTGGAATTTTCTTGATTTTAAGCGGCTTCAAAATCTTATTGGCGCAGAAGTACGACCTGTATCATTCTACTGACTTTGATGTTCACAGAAACTGGCTGGCAATCACTCATTCGAAGCCGATCTCAGGAAGAGTTAATCACCTTCTGCTCAAAGAAGTGCATCTGAAAGCATGAAAAACTCTGAAAAGAATGGTATTTTGAAGCAACATCCGAGTGGACGCTTGACTACCCGCCGTTCTTTGCGTATTTTGAGAAGATTTTGTCGAAATATGCTGCGAAATTCGACCCACTTCTTGTGAAGATCCAAAAAGATCCCATTTCAACAGACTATGTTGTTCTTTTCCAGAAGATGTCAGTCGTTCTCACCGATGTTTTCGTCCTTTTTGGAGCCTATTTCTTTTGCAAGGTAATAACCGTCTTTCGAGCTTGACTCATTAAATTTTTAGAGCTTCAAATCCAGGAATAATAACTTGGAAGTGGCCTTTCTTATAATCTGCAATGCTGCTTTGTTCGTCATCGACCACATTCACTTTCAATACAACGGGATGATTATCGGACTGCTTCTTTGCTTCCTCGCAGCGTTTTTCGATGGCAAACTGAAGACTGCTGCGTTTCTTTTTTCATGTTTGCTTCACTTGAAGGTAAGATGAAGATTATTGAAGCGAGAGCTTATGAAGCTATTATTAACGAATTTTGCTCAAATATTTAGTTAGAAAATTCATGAAACCAAAATTTCAAAATATCAAATTTCTTTTATTGAAAATCGCATTTTAAATGCCATAAATTATGGCTCGTAAATCGTTTCCTAGCATCTGTTTCTCTACGTCGCTCCTTTCGTCGGAATCGCATTTCTTCAGCAACTCAACTCTTCTCGATTACGAAGCGGTCCAAAAGCTGCTCTTAGCCAATTCATCTCGATTGCCCTCATCGTCATTTCCGTCTCATCAGTTTCCCTCTTTCCATTTCTTTCACAACTGGACCAGCTTGTGTCTCGACTTTTTCCATTCAAACGCGGCCTGACACACTCCTACTGGGCAGGCAACTTCTGGGCCCTCTATAACTTCTTCGACCTCATCCTTGCGCGCTTTGGGGGTATGAAATCGGGCCTGACTTCTGGACTTGTCGGCGAATTTTCTCATCAAGTGCTGCCGAATGTTCCTCCTCTCGCTACTTTTATCCTGACTTTTGCTTCGATGATTCCTGCTCTTTTCAAGCTCTGGAATAAGCCAGAGAAGAAGACGTGGATTCTATCCTTTTGCTCAATCGCTCTATCCAGGTTTGAAATCTCTACAAAGCTTCTTCTATTTTTCTTAGCTTTTTATTCGGCTGGCATGTGCACGAAAAGGCAATTCTTCTAGCGCTCGTGCCTGCAAGTGGGCTGATGCTTCTGGAGAAAAATCTCTTCAGAATTTTCGGGATATTGATGGTCGCTGGTGTTTCCGGTGTTTTGCCCTTGATTTACACTGAATTTGAACAGGTAGGGAAAGAAATTTGACAGCTCTAGAACTCTATTTAAGTCGATTGTGATCCCGATTTTCATCCTCTACTTGCTGACGACATTGTTGTTCTTTCAAGCTGACTATCAAAAGTAAGCTCAGAATGAGTTTTTCTTACTCAATTGTCTGATAAGGATGCATCTCCTGGAAAAGCTCTACATCATCAGTTCCGTCCCAACCGTCGCTTTCGTGCAAATCTGGTCCAAACTTCTGCTTCCTTCTCTGCCATTTCTCCCGCTTCTAATTCAATCTCTTTACACCGCTCTTGGGGTTCACTACTCCTTCATTCTCATCAACCTAGAACTATTTTCTGTAGACGTCAAAAAGCTTCAATAGAACTCTTAAAAAACTAAATCATGAGCCAACAATAAGAGCTGGGGATTAATTTCGTCGATTGAAAATGTCACGGCAAGTGGAGACAGGTTCTTTGGGTCGAATTGGGCCACACAAAGAAATCATCATCAGGACGGAAACGAGCAGATTCTCGGCTTCATTACTGTAAGTTTCAAGTTGAAATAGAATGAATTGACGATTTTTTCTAGCAATTTTTCGGCGACCAACCTTGGATAAAAAATCAATCAGAAGATGCCTTCTGGAACTTTGTCTATCTATCACAAACTGTTCAAAGCATCTGTACATCGTCTCAGGCGAACTTCTACCGCTCCAGAGCTGGGCTAAAAGGAACCATGGGCGCGCTGTACTGGCAGCTAAATGATGTCTGGCCGACGGTTTCGTGGAGCTCCCTCGATCATTCGAAAAACTGGAAGCCGCTGCATCACCAAATCAAGAAAAGTTTCAACTCTGATTTATCCCTTATCACAAACGTCAACGAAAACGATCAGCTGGAAATCTATGCTGTTTCTGACAACGAGGCAAAGAGGGGAAGACTGAAAGTGCAGACGAGATCTTGGACGAGTTTCGAAGTTTCGGGCGAAGAAGATCTTGGCGAATTCGAACTGAAAATGCTCGAGAGTAATTTGCTGGTGACCAAGAATGTCGGCTATCTTTTGAATAAGATGAACTGCCCTTATGGAAAATGGAATGAGTGCTTCTACACCGTCACTTTTGTAAGTTGCCTTTTCAAAAAAATCATTAATGTTTCCCTATTCCAAGAAAACTGATGAAGACAAGCTATTTTCAACCTGGCAATCCTCCGTCCCAATCCGCGAAATTCATACATTCAATCATCTGAATGCCAGCATTTCCATCTCCTCTTGCGAAGAAAAAATTGACAAGAGTCTTCAGCTGACACTAGAATCTGCTTTGCCACAGCCTTTCGTCTGGCTTGAAACGAAATTTCGAGGAAAGTGGGATGAGAACTTTTTGCTGATCACCGAAAAACTGACATCTGTGACTTTCAAGCCAGCCGGGGTGGAGTCCATTTCTTGTGACGATTTCCTCAAGAATACGAAGATTTTCTACCCATCAAAGGTAAACCTTGCCCTCTGGTAGAACATCTCCTGAATTCTCAATTTCAGGTTCTTGTCGAGCCACCAAAGCCGTCTGAAACAAATCGTGCAAAACTCATCTTCGTTATATTTTCCATTCTCATCGCTGTTAGTTGTATTGCCTGTTGTTTCGCCTGCATGTGTTCGGGAGCGGGGAAAGAAAAAATCGAGCAATCCCGAAATTTGAAATTTGGAAAACTGCCTCCAAGAGTCGCAAATAGAAGAAAATATCGTCAACTGTAAGAAACATCTGCATTATTTTATAAAAAAGCGAGCCATTTATCAACAAACAAATTGAAAGAAAAGTTACTGAAAAAATCATAATTATTCTCTTTCAACTTTCTTTTTATATTTTATCACACGTTTGCTCTTCAAGAATCATAATTTTTTAACAACTTATAAGCAAAGTCCGAGACTGCGGTGTCTTTACATTCGCAGTCATCGGAACTTGCAACGTACCTAAATTACTTTTTTTAACCTCCTTTTAGAGTTTTTTCCTCGATTGGAGGCCGTTTCCAAAAAAAAATAGAAAGCATCCAACTCTCAAATTGATGTGAATTCTGTTTATAAGCAGTGTAAGCATGCTCAAGGGAAATTTACATGGTAGAACACGAACATTTATTACAGCAGGCGCAGTTGTTACAGCAAGCTCCATCTTTACAATTGCAACAGCAACAACATTGAGAATCGTAGTCCTAATAGAGTTAAATCGTAATTTCTCGAATCATTTTTAAAACGTACATTCGACCAAATAAGCTCGTTATTTCCCATAATCCAATACCTTCCATCTTTTTCTCCTTTTTTGTATCTTATTTCAAAGACAGGAACTGAGTCCAGTTGCTAGAAATACTCTCAAATCAGCAAGAAAACCAAACGTACATGGGCTTGTCGCCAGACTCGTCGATCAGGCCAGTTGGTCCGATGCTCGTGAACAAGTTTCGCCGAGTTTTCATTTACTGAATTTTCCCTAAAATTCTGGATCCAACCAACAGCACTGTTTGATTCTTGAAACAAACATGTTCCCGTGGCTTTCATAATTTCTTTATCCGGCAAGTCCGTTTCTTCATGAACAAAGTTGCTTTTCTCAGTTTCAAACTTTACAACAAGCATGAAGAAGTGCTTTACTCTTCCCTCTCCTTCACACATGCTACATAATTTGCGCCCATCGCCATTGCAACTTCCACACCATCGTCTATCCCTGCCACTACCTTAATATTTGCAGTGATCAATCAAAAAAATTGTAAATTTACCGGATCTCCCACTTCCACGACAACTCGAGCACCTTAGTTTTTCCTCGGCCATCGCATTTCGAGCAAATCTGTAGCAAATTACTGCGATCAGTTTAATCTTTGTAAAACTCACCTTAACATGCTCAGTATGAGGTATTTTCTCCTTTTCCTTCCCATTGCCTTTCCATTCGATTTCATCTTGACATTTCTCATCTTTCGGTTTCTTCATTTCTGGCCTATCTATCTCGATTGCCCAAGGATCTGGTTGTGGACCATTTTCAGGGCCATCGACAAAACCACCAGTGTAGTAGGGCTCATAAGACCATTCCGTGTACCTCAGTTCTGTCCAGCTCGTCAAACGATACTAAAGCTCGTGAAAAAATGTGCACTTGCATCAACTTACCTTGTACGCTGTCGAAGGCTCGACTGAAATAATTTTCATCTTGTTTATCGGCCCCTTTCCCCAGCAGCAGTTCTGATCAACATAGTCTTCAAGGCATTTGATTGCGATATTCTCATCCATCGTCAATTTTTCGGTAGACGCTTGTTATGTCCCCGAAGGTCCCGAATGTCCCCGAATGTCCCGAATGTCCCCGAATGTCCCCGAATGTCCCCAATGTCCCGAATGTCTCCGTCGGATCATGCAAAAATAGTGCAAAATAAGAACTCAATAACAACTTTTTCGTCTCTAGAACGTTATTGTTTTGGCAAAATGTCAAAAAGAAGGAAGCGCTCCGCGCAATTTGTGGTAGAAAAATCATTGAATTTAGCAAAATCATCGTCTCTAGAACAAAATTGTTAAGAAAAAAATTCTTTTTTTCCCTATGAAAAGGTTTTTCTTTTTTTTTTGGCCTTTTTAAAAAAAAAGTCGGGGACATTGGGGACATTCGGGACATTCGGGGACATAACAAGGACGTTCCAATTTTTCACCCCAGGAGCTTGCATCGGGATGCTCTAACTCGCCAGCTGATGGGCCGGAAGGAGGGACCGTATCTTAATGTACTCATAATTTTTCGTTTAAACATCTTAATATAATAATTTTGTATAAAAGGTAAGTTTACTTGTAGCCCATTCATATGATGGCAGTTCAGCATCGTGCGGTAATAACGAGGGGTCTTGATTTTCCTCTGAATTCTCTTGGATAAACGGTTGATTCTGTTCATTATATTCCGGAAGCTGAGTGTCCGGTGAAGATGCAACACCCATTCTTGGCTTGTTTGGTGAAAGCGCGATTCAAGTAGCCTAGCAGAGGCGGGTAAGAATTGTATTTCCAAGATGACCTAATGTTGCTCTCTTATTTTCTTTGAGGTCAAGGCGGAGACAACGCGGTTTATTCAAATGTTGAATTTTTTATGACGAGAGTAGAGCTAGAACGTGCTTCTGAACGTGACTCTGATAGTGAAGGTGCATATCTTTTTGTTATCGGTGCTATAATCTCTTCTTACTCAAACTTTCAATAAAAAATATAACAAGTATTCGTGTTTTTAAAGAATCAAGCTTAAACAATTATTTATACGATCTTAAATATAGATTCTTCATTGAAATTGAAGAAGAAAGAATTTTTACGATTTTCTAATGTATTAGCAGTGTCAGTATATGAATGAATTTACATGATGGCACAGGAACATTTATTGCAGCAGGCGCAGTTGTTACAGCAACCTCCATCTTTGCAATAGCAGCAGCAGCAACATTGAGCATCGTAGTCCTTAGAATCAAATTTTTTTCAATTAACTAATTAGGACTTACATCTGACCAGATTAGTTCGTTATTTCCCATAATCCAGTACCGCCCATCTTTGTCCCCTTTTTTGTATCTTATTTCAAAGACCGGCACCGAGTCGAGTTGCTATTAAAATATTTTTAACTAATTAAGAAAGCTTATTAATAATATACATGAGCTTGTCGCCAGACTCGACGATCCGGCCATTTCGTCCGATGTTCGTGAACGAGTTTTGCGGAATTGTCGTTCACAGAATTGACTCTAAAATTCTGGATCCATCCGACAGCAAAGTTCGACTCTTGAAAAAGACAAGTTCCCGTCGCTTTCATGATTTCCTCATCAGGCAAGTCCGTTTCTTCATGAATAAAGTGGTCTTTTTCTGTTTCAAAATTGACAATAAGCATGAGAAAGTGTTTCAGTCGGCCTGTTCCGTGACAAGTCGTGCATCTCCGGCGGCCACTACCATGACAAGTTGAGCATCTTCGCTTATTATCGCCAACGCCGCTTTCTCCACTTCCATGACACATTGAGCATCTTATTCTTCCTCTTCCGTGGCAATGCCAACAAATCTGAAACAGATAAAAATCGTCCATTCTATTGAATACCGACCTTAACATGCTCAGTGTGTGGTATCTTCCTTTTTTCTTTGCCTTTTCCTTCCCATTCGACTTCATCTTGACTTTTCTCATCTTTCGGTTTCTCCAATTGCGGTCTCGGAATTTCGATTGACCAAGGATCTGGCTGCGGTCCATTTTCAGGACCGTCGACAAAACTGCCCCAGTGATAGGGCTCATGTGCCCATTCCGTGTATCTCTTCTCCGTCCAGCTGGTCAGTCGATACTAGAGTGAATAGAAAATCATTCTAATTCTTCAATATGCTACCTTGAAAGCCATAGAAGGCTCGACAGAAATAATCTTCATCTTCTTCATCGGCCCTTTTCCCCAGCAGCAGTTCTCGTCAATATAATCTTCAAGGCACTGAATCGCGGTATTTTCATCCATCGTAAATTTCTCATCCCAGGAGCTTGCGTCTGGATGTTCTAACTCGCCAGCTAAGGGAGCAGAAGGAGGCACCATATCTAATTTTGATGATTATTTTGTAAATCATATTTTAATACAATATAGTTGAATTAAAGAAAGCTTTACTTGTAGCCCACTCATAAGAAGGCAACTCAGCATCGTGTGGTAAATGCGACGGGTCGTGATTCTCCTCTGGTTTCTCTGGGATAAATTGTTGATTTTGCCCATCGAATTCCGGAAGCGGATAGCCAGGCAGAGGAGGGGCACTCATTCCTGGATTATTTGGTGGAGGATATGGATAAGGCGGTGCCGATTGGTCTGAGGATGATGAAGATTGAGTTGAACCTCCCTAATTTAATGAGTATTGATTTTCTCTTCAAATTTCCTGAGTTAGCAAAAGCAGGGTTCACGTAGCCTGGTTGAGGCGGGAAAGATCAATATTTTTCGTCTGGGCGCCCCATTGTTTTTTCTCTTATTTCGTTTAGGTCAAACCAGAGACGAGGCGGTTAATTCAAATGACAAAAAATGAAAGCAGAATGAAATTACTTCTGAACGCGTCTCTAAGAATCAATATTTATATTTCGCACATTCACTGAAGCTTGAACTTTTGTCTCCTTCGTTCTGCCAAAGATCGTAAAAGGGAGCTTATGATCTAGAAAAAAAAAGTTTTGACACTGTTGATCTTATGTTTTATTGCTGGTTTTTCATCTTCATCTTGAGATTATACAAATGAAAATTGTGCATGAAACAGAAATAAAGCCGGAAAGAATAAAAAATACAGCAATAATAAGCCTTCGATCGAGTTTCAGAAAGACGCCCATTCCAGTATTTTCTTCAAAAGAACGGAGAGTTAGCTCAGGAGGTCTCTTATAAGGCATTATCCTGAATTTTTCAATTTCTGGATATTCTTCGATGACCTAAAACTTCCTTAATCAAAGAGTTAAGTTATCCCTTTGGACCTTCATGCACATTGTGTACGCTTGAGTTAACTTAGTCGTCGATCTTAGTTTGTTATCTTTGCCTCGAACTGTGTACTATCGCAAGGTAAAATAAGCCTTTTTTGAAATTTATAATTTTAGACTTATTTTACTCCTCCTTGTATGGGAAACCATAGCGTCTTTTAGCCTCTGGAATATAATGTTCAAAACTAAGTTGCAGCCATGTTCTTGCGAGATTTTCTTCCGGAAGATCCTCCTTGAACAGTAGTCGCTTAGAACACGAATGTAATCATGAAGCTTGATTATTTCCTACTGGTCCGCCGAGCAGCTCAGCTGCTGTGAAATCTCCCATTGGACTTGACTCTAGCTCCCAAATATTAATATCTTTTTGGTACCCATTGAGCCATAAAATATCAACTGAAATTCTGGGAAGAATATATTCCTTGTAGTAAGCAGTATTCATCGTTGATGGGTGATGAAGCGTTGAATCTTCTGACTTGCATTGCGCCGCTGCGTCTCTGAACAAGATTTTAGTGATAAACAGAGTGTTTTCTTACAGTATTCTTCGAGGAGAGCGGTTCAAAATCCAACGAAACTCATGAGAATTAATATTTATTTCCTTCAAGCTAGACTCAGTCAAGATATGATCATCATAAATAAAATCCCCATAAAGCTCAATAAAAGTCTTGTTCAAAAAAGTCTTGAGGGCAAAATCTCTATTATCATCCTCGCAGAGAAAACTCCCAATCGTTCGGTTGTCGCAAATATTGAAAAGCAAGGCATCAGAGTATTCCGTGTATTCACGCATAAGGCACAGTCCAAAGTCTTCTCTAAAATGAAGATGTTTTTTTGTAATTAAGATTTTTAACCTTGGAAGCGGATGATGCTGGGTGTCCATTGAAAAGCCGTCTGAGGAATCAAATCTTGAAGACCAGCTGATGTTAGGAGCAAGGTTATCATAATGAGTGAGCCAGTCATCTTTTCCACCAGGAATTTCTGTCCGCGTGATTCCTGCAACCAAAAATGATCAGATTTCATTTTTTTCATGAAAAAATATGTACATAGGTAATGTTTTTACAAATAAGGAAAAATTACCTGTATAAACTTCCCACTGAAAATTCTCTCCCTTTTGGTCTTTGAAAATAGCGATTGATTCATTCAAGTCCAACGGGTCTGGGAGTCTCATTCCCTTCTTGAAAGAAAAATTATGTTCGATTGTTTTTGGAAAATGTACCGATTTGCAAAGCTGATTTGCAGCATCTCGATGAAAGAAGTCACTGATGGGCCCCGTCACAGGGAGATACAACTCAATATGTCGATATTGTGTTTTGACGGAGCGGAAGGGTATTTTCTCGAGGACGTGATCTTGCGCGCTATAAGTTTCAACAAGAAAAATAAAGAAGAGGCGCATATTATAGTAAGAACGAATATGAGAGTTGAATATCTCAAATCAAACCGTCACGGCTCTTGAACAACAACATTATTTTCAGTCGTGTATTCAGTACAAAATTCAACATGAATCAGCTTGTCGAAAATTAAGGACCCCCGTCAGCAATTTTCCTCAAAAAATCGAAAATTTCAAAACAGCCGTATTTTGGCTTCGTAGTGTGGGTGGAAGTTAAATACATCGTTAAAACTTGTTTGGAGGAATTAAACCCTAGCCGGCCAAAAATGATTTTCTTCGGGTACCGGTCAAAAGGCGCCAAATATGGCGCCGCACCGTTTTTTTAATAGAAAAAATCAATATTTTTTCTTCAAAACTTTTGATAAATATATCAAAAATCATTTTTATCAATATAAGCATGGATTAATTTTAAAAATTCTAAGAAAATAATGAATCCGAAAAAAAATTCTCGCTAATGATCATTGACGAGAAAAAAGTCAAAAATTGATTTCGGTTGAAATAAACTAAATGATGTTTTTATCTGCTTGTTTTCCATATGAAAATCTTATTAGGGCATAAGAATGGAAAAATACTAGTTTTATAATATTTATTTCGTGAAAAACTAATCGCCCCGCTGCCGGGAAAAAGCTCGGGTACCGGTCAAAGGACGCCATATATGGAGTACCTCCTGTTATTACCCGGCGCCATATATGGCGCCTTGAGTTTTCGAGAGAATATGGCTCTGCCAACATTTTGGTCAATCTGAAATGGGTTAAAACCCTACCATTCGAAAGGCGATCGAAAAAAGGTCCTCAAAGTTGATTTAAAAATAAATTTTTTCTTCAACTTTTGGAGTTAAATGCGATTAAATGACCCTTGATCCAAAATTGGAGTACCTTGACCGGCTAAGGTTAAGCAAATCGGGACTTTTTCGTCATTTTTCGCCAAAAAGTCCAATTTTCAAACGCGATTTTGAAGGTGAAGGAGTCGAGATAGAGTCTATCTGATAGACCCCCAAAAAATGCAGCCTCAAAATCGTTTTTTTTTGACACGTAAAATCCATTTCCGGGGTCATAATTTTGAAATTCCGAAAATAAATTTTTCGAAAAAGTTCACGGGAGGGGGGGTCCTTACATGATCAATTTCTTTACATAACTTTAATTCCACAATGATTCATTGTCAATGAAATCAAGAGATCTAGCGATGAAATAGAAAGTCTGAAAAGTTGTCCTTTTGGTTAATTCTTCCTTGTCATCGTTCCTCGTTTCGCGGTGTTTTTACAACTTCTCCTCACTTGTAAACTCATGGTTGTAAAGAAAATATCCCTCATCGGCACATAAAAAGAGAAAAAAGTGACAATAATGTCGCGACGCGTAAAAAGTATTGTGGAACCTGAACTGCCGGAAAAAGAAGAGCCAGAAGAAGAAAAGCCTGAAGAGAAGAAGAAGAGTGCCAGGGTTGCTCAGAAGATAAGAACTTTGAACTCACAAGCGTTGAATTCTGCCTTGCTCGTTGGAAATTTCATAACATTAAAGTAGGCACTAGAATTTTTTTGTAAAAAAAATATTATTTCAGAAATGAAATTGAGAAGCTTGAGTACTGCGATGCTTACTGTCCGGATCAGTTTCATCAAGAATGCTACGACGCCCTTGAAGGCAAAGGTCTGATTTCGAACAACTTGTCTACTAGACATTTTATAATTTCAGCGCGGCTAAAAACCTATTGTCTTCGATACCCAATCCACTTTAAAATCGCGCTTTCAAGCATCAGCATCCTCCTTCAAGCCATTTACGGGATGATGGACATTTCGTTGATGGTTGAAAAGCGACAGGATGAAAACGCTGGACTTAATGAAGACGAGATGGAGGAGAAAATGCAGAACAGGACTACTTATACTTACTGCATCGGAACAATTGGGTTGTTCATTTCTGTAGTAAACTATCTTTTGACTGCTTTTGAATAAATATTCTGCTGGACGAATGAAATAGTTTTCACCGAAAAATGCAAAATCGACAGAATACATTCTGTCTGGAAAGATCCTCGAATGAACGCGCAGCTCTAAATAGCTAATTTCGCATCTAAAAGCAAACAAAAAGAGAAATCGAAACGTCCCTTAAAATGTACTGATGAAATTTGGAGTTTTGGAAATTTTGTTTCTTTCGTTGTTGCTGAGATGTGAGGGGACGAATATTTCATGTCATCATTTTGCTATTTCATATCCTAACAGGTAGAACTAAATTTGAATTGAATAAATATTACACAGTAAAAATTTCAACCAATATTTTTTGGAAATAAGGTCAAAAAAAAAGAAATTTTTAGTTCTGGAGAAATTACTGAAAACTACGATGACAAAGAGCGCACAAATTGTTACCAATGCTCTCGTAGAATCCGCAATTTTCGTACAGTTTCTGGCGAGGAACACGGAAAAAGTCATCGAAACAAAAACTGTACGTCTGAAAGATGTCACGTTTACATGGTTTTGTACGATTGCGTCGACACAAAGCCTCTTGGTGTGAATACGAGCGAATACGATTATCAGCGAGGAGAGCCGGAAGAATATTGCGACAGTGGAGATTATTGCTCGGAAAGAATGGAAAAGGCGCCGATTTTCAAGCACATGGAGATCTACCAAGAAAAATTAAATCGCAGATATCTTATTCTATGTATCTCGATATTGTTTGTAGGCCTCATCTTCTTGGTTGTGCGGAATAAGAGAATAAACGCAAAGAAGAAAAAACTGCTGGAAAACAAGGAAGAGGAACAAATCGCATTACACGATAAATGCCAACTGGAAAAAGAAGCTGAAGATAAATCGATTGATCTCTCGGGCTCTGGTGCTGAAATAAGCATTGATTTCACCGATGACTCCCTTCCTTTTCTATCAGGTTTTCTTTTCAACATGAAAAATTTTTTTAATGATTTTTAAGGATCTGGAGGGGGAATGCCAGCTTTAGGGAAAGAAACAATAGCCCAGCAAATAAAAGGGCTTGAAGAAATAGGAAATGGTGATCGATTTTAGTATCATAAAAATTGTTAATTTTAACCAAATTATTCATCATAAAACAGGGTCCGGACTTCATGGCTCAGTCTACCGCGCGCTTTGGCATGGAGAATTCATTGCAGTCAAAAAGTTTCAATCTTGGGATGACGAAAGCTGGAGACACGAGTTGGAGATTTTCAGGACTCAGATGATTTCTCATCGGAACATCTTGCGAGTCATCGCTGCCGCTTCCAGAGATAACGGGACAGCGACTGAAAGATGGCTCGTCACTGAATTTCATCCGCATGGATCGCTCTATGATTATTTGAGGACGCATAATCGAAGTTTGAAGCCGCCCCAATGTTTCAAGCTCTTGAATTCCTGTATGTTTTAATTCGATTGCTCGATTAAAATGATTTTAAGTGATGTGCGCCATCGAGCACCTTCACCGAACGATTCACACTCAAAAGCAAATCAATGGAGAAATGAAGACAATCAGCAAAATTGCCATTGTCCATCGAGACATCAAATCTAGAAATATTCTCGTCTCAAACGGCGGAGAATGCATTCTTGCCGACTTCGGTCTGTCTCTTCGACTGGATCAGTGGGAAGTGGACGAAAAAGACAAGCCTGACAACTTCTTCAGTAAAAAGATTGGAACGACAAGGTTTTTTCAAGGCGATTTTCGGGATTATCGGGAAACGTTTTTAGGTACATGGCTCCAGAAGTTCTGGGAGACACACTCGCTAGAGATTCGTTCGAGAATTACAAAAAGGCTGACATGTACTCGATTGCTCTGGTAATTTGGGAAATTCTCAGTCGTACACTTTTAAAGGGAATGGTCACTGATGACTTGTGCCCATACAAGTAAATTGCCTTCCTCAATCAATTTCCAAAAATGATTTAGCCAGCCATACACACGTGAGCTTGGAAATCTGCCCGATCCCTCAATTCCTCAAATGACAGACGTCGTCGTCCACCGCCGACAGCGGCCTATTATTCCTCATGAAATCGTTCGAGACCCGATTTTCAAGAAAGTGGCAAAACTGACAATGGAATGCTGGGATCCAAAACCAACAAATCGTCATTCTGCTTTACGGATGCTCAAATCTCTAAGAGAGATCGAAAAATTGTACAAAGAAGAGAATTTCAATGAAAAATGAATCGATGATTGTTTAAAGAAAGTTTTTTTTTTATAAACGTCATAAAGATCAAAATCTTGCTGTCGATTGTTAAAAATAAATTAAGTCAGTTTCGGTTGCCCTTGCATACAGCAAGCAGAAGTTTCTCTGCGTCTCCTCTGAATTCAGACTTGATTGCGTCTTCTAGAGTTCGTTTTCCACTGCCGAGCTTTTTGAATTCGGTCTTCACATTTTCGAGGCAGATTTCAGCAGTGAAAACCAAGTTCCAAATGACTGTGTCTTCGTCGGTTCCAGCTCCTTTCATGCCTTTATAAATTCGGCTAAAGGGCTTTAGTGAGAAAAAAAAAGAAAAAGTTTTACCTAGCGAAATAGTTTCCAGGATTTTTGGCAAGTTTGACGACAGTTTTATACGCGCTGCAGAGCTCCTAAAGATTACAAACGTCAATTTTCCCGAAGTCAGTAAAATTTCCTATCGTACAGTGTCAACAAGACACTTTGGAAACGTTATCAAAAATATTTATTGTCTCCAGAGAAACAAACCATCTTTCCTGTTCGAAAAGCACCCCGGTCGAATTCTTTTTGCGAGAAAAAAATGGATCAGCATATGATTTTAACGCTAGAAAAAATGATGAAAAAGATGGTGAAGAATGAGCTTCGTCTATTTGAATTACAAACTGGTATTCTTATGTCAACTTCAAATTCAAAAATATTTCTCGAACTATTCAAGATCTCTACGGTAGAATCGCAGAACTTGAAGCAAAAGTGAATAAGCTTGATCCTAACACCCAATTTACAAGTGATCATTCGAATGGAATAGGTACAAATCCCTCTTCTGGTGATTTTTTCGCAAAATATGAGAAGGTCTTTCAAGAAAAACTGGTTCCACTGCCAGTTAGAGATCCCAACCAGCTTACAAAAGACATTAAATTTGTTCCCGAGAGTGTCGGTAATCAGCTGCTTCAAGAAGCTCGAGTTTACGGGACAACAAGCCTAGAGCAGGGCACTAGTCTTGACGAAATGGAACGTCGCATGCAGAGGATGAAAAAAGCCTTGAACATGGAAGGTACTCAGTCTTTCTCAAAAAACTTGAAAATGTTAAGGATCACAACTTGGAATGAACTCAAATGGGGAATATTTTGTTCACGAATGATTTCGCAAAAATAAAATGATGCAAAAAATTAACATTTTTGATAAGTGTACCTTACTAGTTTCGCTCTCGATCATCTTTTCCATCAGAGTTCCCGTCTTCTTTTCAAAGATCAGGATAATTTCCCTCAATTGCACAAAAGATCGTCTAGCGAAGATCATCGAAAAGGTTTCTTCATCAGTTCCCCATTTCTTGGGACCAGCTTTGATAAGCAAATCAGCATCTCGCTCAGCAGCGGCTCGGTCAAGTGGCTGGTTTTCTTCTCGGGTACCCTGAGGAAAACATTTCCTTTTTGTTAATTTTTTTGATTTACCTGGAGCAAGCAGACCATGAATTTTTCGAAATCACCGCTGGTATCGCCCTTGACATCCTTTTCGAGGTCCCGGCCGAACTCCTTTTTGTACTCTTCCTTGATTTCTAAACATTTTTTTCATTTTCAAAGATGCCCAGCCAACTCACCAGTGATTCCTTTGTTGCTTTGCGAGCAAATAATCTCAATCAGCGTCGTTTCATCTGTCCCGGCTCCCTTAATTGCGGCCCTGAAAAAAGACAGTTACCGTCAAAACAAATCATACGTATCCAACTCTAATTTCTTTATTTACCGATGCACCCGATCTCTCGATAGAACAAAGGACGCAATATGTAACGAAATGCGTTGTTGGGCAATTAGTGTTTTGCATGATATTAATAGATTTAATTCGGAATATATCCGCTCTTCGAACAATTATTACCTCAGTTTGTGGGCAGCATGATTTTTTCGCGTTCGGCAGAGGGCTTTCAAGCCTTTTCGCAAATCGTTTCGCTTGATTTTTCGATTCTAAATGATATTGTTAAGGGAGTTTATTTGTTAATTCAGAGTTTAAGGACTAAATTTTTAATTGACATAATAAGGGTGTCACTATCAAAGCCTTTTCTAAGAACGAGAAAATATCGAATTTAACGTTCGATACCCCCTTAATTGAGGGATTATAAACTCACTTGTCCATCAAATCTGTTCCATAGCACCCTTTGTAAACCTTGACAATCTCCTGTATCTGCGCATTCGAATGGGTCGTGAAAACCTCAATGATCGGCTCTTCGTGAATTCCAATCGTTTTGGAGAAGCCTTTCTTCAGTTTCACAGCGGCTTCTTCATAATTCGGATTCCTCTTGGGCACAATTGTTCCACCGAAATTCATTTCCGTTGTGAACGTTGAGCTTAATTCAAGAGTTATTTTCGCTACAGTTTCTATCAAACTAAGGGTTAACCTAGATATCGAGAAGCTTGAAAATTGGTTAGATACCCTCAGTTTTGTGATCGGAAGAAAACGGCGGATTTCGAAGAGAACAAGTATGTTTCCAAAAGCAAGATTATTTAATATCTTCCGCTCGCGGAAAAGTGATAGTGAGCTATCTCCTGTAAGGAGCCGCACATTGAAGAGAATCCTTGACAAGTCTGCCGTCCCGATTGCGTCTTATGCAACTTATGCATGTTTGCGTTTTTTGATAAGGGACGGGAAAGTGGTGGAAAGAAAAAAGGGAAGGAAAAATAGAAAGTGCTTCCTTGATTATTTGAAGCAACTTGTAATTTAGCAAATAGACACTTAGTAATCCGGAAAAAAAAATAAAGGATAAGGATTTCTATTCATTGGAAAATGCTAATTTACAAGTGGAAACCCTTAAGATTCCTTTAGAACGCGGAGAAGGGATGAAAATTTGTCTTGAGGGAAAACCATATCTACGTCTTTTTTAGACTTTGTTTTGTGATTCATGACTCAATAAACGGGATTTAAAAGGGCAACGTTGAATTTTTTCTTAACATTAGCCTATCCAAAAGCCCCCGCAAGACCTCTACTTATCACGCTTTCGCTGGTTATGCCTATCGCCTATCTTGGGCGACGAAGTGCTATTTAATTTTTATCCTCATTTTAACATCAAATCCTCAAATCTCTCCACCCATTTTTCCTTACCTTTGAGAACTTCCCATCTTGTCTTCTTTTCGGTCGTCTTGGTCAGTTTTGAATTTGAATGGACTGTGCATCGACGCGATTTTTATAAAAGAATATTTACCGATCGTAAAACAATATTTTTTCTATGACGGCAAGACATTTGATTTTCCATATAAAGAACGCATTAGATTTTCTTCCTGCCAATTTCCTACACTTTTTCTTCCAAGAAAAACTCACTGGAAATTTTGATTAAGTATTGAGTCATTCAGGTTTTCCTACGTCTTGACGTCTTTATTTTTGGGCTATACTTATTTCTAAAAGAAGTTTCTGGTCATTTTTACGCGGCCAAGTTTGTTGCTAAATTTGGCATCGGTAATAAGTTTATAGATCATGTTGAGTAAAGCAAGTTTCAGAATTTAGATGGGCGAACATATTATGGGTCAACGGTAAGCTCATGCCTTGCTCAACGTTTATCTAATTACATCGATCTCGCAAGGAAAATAAATATCCTTCGTCAACTTTCACCTTGCTCGCCTTTTTTTCCTCAAATCTTAGCATTCTAGAGCTCAATTTTCAATCAATTTTTCATTGTCAAACATTGATTTGATCATCCTGCAAATAAATGAGAAAGAAACGATTTATATTTTTATGATTTTTATTAATTTTTATGGATTTTTTTGGCAAACATAGAAATATTCAACAGTTGTGTCAAAAAGTTTTAACGGAAGAGAAAAGTATGAACAGTAAGCAGTATTTTTTGATCGAGTCTAGCTGTTTTTAGACTCGATCTGTTAGGTAAAGTAACGATCGTTAAGTTTGTGTGTTGGTGATAATAGCTGAATGAAAATGGCTGTTATCAGAATATTTTGAATAAGCGCTTGAAAATTAATATTCTGATAAAGACAAGCCAGATTCAAGGATAAGTTAGACAGATACAGTTAATATATAAAGGTGTCATCCATCCTTTATGGCCAGTCGTGTACAAATAGGTTAATTTTTTAACCAATGAAATCTAAGCTTGGGCCTCAAAAAGACTTCGATATGGAATTATCGTAATTTTCCTTAAGGGTACCCTTGCTTTAGTTTCACAGAAAAAAGACCGTTCATTTTTATGAACGGTGGTTTTTAAAAAGAAATGAATAATACTTAGCAGGAACCAGAAGTTTTTGCGTCAACCATCTGTCCGACGATTCGCTCAGCTCGGGCAAGCATTCTGTTTCGGGTGCAGCCGCCGAGGTTTCGTCCGACGATTCGCTTGGTGACGGATCGGATCTGGGAGGTGGCCTTGGCCTCGTTTTTCTTGGAGAGTCGCTCTTCGATTTCGCCTTCTTCCTCAGCCTGTCGTCGCTTTCGAGTCCAGGAGGTGTATTCCTCGCCGCACTTGTTGAAGGCCTTGTCGAGTCGGTCGACCATGTTGTTGAGCTTATCACTCCATCGGTCGAAGCTTTCGCATTCGCCGTACCACTGGTTGAGGGTGTAGTTGATGTGCTCTCGGAGGTTGTCTCGCTGCTCAGCAAATGGGTTGGGAACGTCGGGCTTGGACTGGACCTCAGCGTTGGCAGCGGCAAAAGAGCAAGAGTGAATTTCATATTTATTTCTGTGTGTTTTGTCTCGAACTGAGTATCTCGGTTTGTGATGGAGAATCGACGCTGGACGCAAGGTTTTATAGAGCTTGAAAAATGCGAGATTGTGGAATAGATGGAGTCCGAGCGCGCGGCGGCAGGAGGCGCTGGCGAGCTGACATGAGCACGCGTGAGAGAGGAAAGGGTACTGTTGAAATAGCTACGGAGGAAATTTCTACTTGGCGACGGAAAATTTTGGGTTGAAATATGATGACCTTGTTTAGCGCTCGAAGAGTTGAAATCAAGAGAATTGTATTCTGTTTTTAGGGAGCAGTTAGTCGAGAATAGTAACGTTCCATCGGACATCTTTGCCATTTCCGTCCGTGACGAAGCCGACTTTCGCCTCACCATCGTCATTCTCGCTTGTTTCCCAATCTTGAGTCTTGATCGATCGCCCCGACGGCTCACCAATGTAGTCACATTTGGCTTTGAACCGGACGGGCTCCCCTGAATGGATTCTGATAAGAAACGAGATTGCAAATTTCCACCTCACCATCTCTCGACAAGAACAACTCCCAGATAATCACCATTTCGCCAATCAAGAGCGTCAGACCTGGAATCTTGGAAACCTGACGAATTTTCCAGCCAAACATCGAAATTTCCACGTCGGATTTCAACGTGCATTTCACATTGAAAGTCCTTAGTCCCTTGGCAACAGATTTCATCAACGCCATGTAGTCTTCCTTATCATGAGGTGGTCGGACTCCCTTGACGGCATCGTTGCCGAAGTAGTGACCTTCCATCTTGCGAACTCGGAGGACGAATTTTTCACGCTCAGTCAATGCTAAAGACAAATTATGATGTGGTAACTTCATCATGATTTCTCTAGAAAAGAGAAACGCGCACCTGGGATCCTTGAAGCAGCTTTTTCGTAAGATGGAGGATCAACAGACCCGCCTTGCTGCTTATCTCTAAGCATGTCTCGCATGTCAGCAATGATCTTAATTATTATTTTTTACTATAACTTCAGCCAATCAACAATTCTAGCTAACCTTGTCTTTCTCATCCATTTCCTTTTTTCGTTGTGCTTCCCTCATTTGGTACATTTTCTTCTTCAAGTCTTCGATTTCTTTATCCTTTTCCCCAAGCTGCTGCTTGAGCATTTCAATCTCTTCCTTGTCATCGTCGACTTTTGAGCCACAGCAAAAGCACATTTATGATTCTATCAAAAAATAAATTTTTTTAATAAAAGAATTCTCAAATTTTCGAACTCACTGTCACTGTATTGAAAGCCCTTATGCTCTACTGACTGGCAGAAATATTCTGTAGGAGTTTCCAAATATCATTATCGCTTTCATATTTATTCAGACTTCATAAAATTCAGAAATTCGCGTCCACATGTTCTAAAATATATTTGATCGTCAAATATTTTCATGTTCAAAGGAAAAAACCAAACCCAAGATTGACGTCGGGTATCTTCAAGTTTCGAAAACAAAGACGAAATTCTCCAGTATAATTTCCTCACTCTGTCTCGGTTCTTTATCAGTCCCTCCTTTGCGCACTTATCGTTCCTTTCCTAGAGGATTATCCCTTTCATGCATATTTATGAAAGCATGAGAGAGACGGAGAAATCAGACATGCTCAACCAAGGATCTTTCTTGGACAGTTTATCTTGTTATTTACTTTTTTTTAATCTTTATTCAAATATAGACGGAGAAATCAGAAGACGAAAATCTGGATTTTCTTCTTCTTCCTGCTCTTTTTCATTATTTCCGTAGCCAAATAAGAAAAAAAAAATGCATATGTAACATATGATATGTTCGAACATGCATCGCAAATCCCTTGCAAAGCCTTATTTCTGCACGTGACACGAGAACACTTCCGTAAATGAGTTTTACAACAAGGTAAACATACTTGTCTTGCGGTAGATTGTCTAAATAATTACTCTAGTTGATCTCAATTTAGAAGTATAGAAAAGGAAATTTGACCTAATTTCTTTAGCGCATAAAATATTAAATACAAGCTTAGCTTAGCTCAGCTTAGCCTCGTAATTTTGAGTCAAACTGGCTAAGCTTGAGCAAAAACTTAGTTTTGAACCCATTTTTTCTTTGATTTTTCTTGAAGAAAAGTCTGTTTGAAAATCGAAGCTCATAATGACAATCTCCTAATAAACGCATCCTAATGCAAAATTGAAAAGTTGAAAGCTTGGTTATTTTGAAATTTGACAGCCGGAGTTGATCATCAACTTTTATCGTCTCTAATTACATCATGGAGTCGGAAATTCTCTCTGAAGGTGACCTAACTTTTGGGACAATTTTCCTTATCGAAATTTTCTTATCGCGCTAATTATTTGACCCCGTGCGGCCAAGTGCGGAACGTAAATATTACTTTCGGGAGTAAAAGGGAGGAAACGAAAAGAGAATCTCTTATCGCATCCAGTCGATTACCGACTTGCTTGAGTCGCGCTCCTTTTGATTATCTTCTTTTTAATTTTAAGAATATTTTCGTTTGCTTTAGTGACCAAGAATTGAGGCTAAACTAACAGTACCATTTCACGTTCCGCGAATTCCTCCTATGTTTGCGAAGATGGATTAGCTCTCATTAAATTCAAGCCACGAAATTCAGCCACGTTTTTGAAAATATGTCAGCAAGCCTAAGTTTGCCCCGTTTATTTTTATGTCATCGAATTTTTATTTGAGTGCTGTGTAGTATTACACAAGGAAGGTATTGATGATGATAATCGAATCAGCTTTTTTTTAGAAAAAAAATTTTATTTAGTAAAAAACCCTCTTGGGCCCGCCAGAGCGAAAAAACGAAAAAAACAAAAACAGGTTTAAATATTCAGAGCGCTTTTTTAGAACTTGCCCTGGCGAGGCTTTGACCTGACCGGATTTTACTGCCGGGTCATTTTTCCTCCTCTTCTATACTGTTTTGGAAGCGCTTTCCGTTTTGCAAGTTTTGCTAGAAATAGAAAATCAACACGGAAATGGACTGCTAATGACTTCAACAAGTTACCAGTGGAATTCTTTGGACTCGAAAGAGAGCAAAATTTGGGTCGAAAACCTGTATCCAAACCTGAGTCAGGGTCGTGGAAGAGCTCTAAAAATGAGCTTCCTTTTCTCAAAAAGATTATTCTTATCAAGGTCCTCTTTTTGAGCAAATTTGACCCAAATCGTGGGATTAATTTTGACGTGTCTAAATTTCCTAATTACTTTTGGGAACCATCTAATGCGCCTCCGCTCGGCTCTGATCAACTTGTCCTGTCTCCCTTCCTCCAGCAGGAAAGTTGTATGAAAACATTAAAACTCAGTTATCATTTTAGGATGACGCAGCAGAAAATTGCAAATTTCGAATTCGAAGGGGATTATTATCAGTAGGGGCGATCGGAAGATCGTTTTGATAATAGCTAATCCGTGGCTGATTCTGATTGAAAAATCATAAGGATAAGGAGGGAGCTTTAGGTATTTTTTTTCTACAGAAAATAGGGGTCACCATTTTCACAGAGGAACATTAAAGGCAATCTACGAGCCGATTGATCATGATTATAGATAGGAGGATGGATACGGACAGAGTTGCGAATTTGTTAAGCTGAGTGATCTGAGCTGGCTGAGTGAATTGAGCAGTCGCTCAGCTCAGCTCAGCTCATTGATTTTCGAAAATGATCTGATCTGCTCAGCTCAGCTCAGCTCAGACGAGTATCACTCAGCTCAGCTCAGCTCAGCTCAATGATTTTAACACAATTTTACTACTAAAAATGCAGTAAAAAACAGCTCAGCTCAGCTCTAAATAGGGTCTGCTCAGCACAGCTCAGCTCAACTACCTAAAAAAAAGGTCTGCTCAGCTCAGCTAAATGACCTCTGAAGAAGGGCAGCTCAGCTCAGCTCAGCTCATTTAGCTGCAAAATAGGCCAGCTCAGCTCAGAAAACTTTTCACGTAGGTTCGCTCAGCTCAGCTTAGCAAAAATAAACCAAAATTTGCAGCTCTGGATACAGGGGACCAATAAATTTCACCTTGTCATCACCTTGCGGTCATTATTGAAGAGTAGGTCCTTTATTTATCGCCATATTTGAGAGCCCTCTACCGAGTTTGTGTCCTAATTAAGAAGGAGATAGCCCCACGTTGGCCGAATAATTTTGCTGCCCGCTGAATGCCGATTGAGGCCATTTTGAAAATGCGAAAATCCGTAAATGCGGAATAGCATGGTTTACTAATTGGCCATTTGCGCAAAGATAGACCCTTCTTTAATCAGGCTTCTTTGTACTAACACTTGATAAAAGCGAGTCATAAGTAAAGAGGCCACTCTAAAGCTGAGATCATAATATTTCTTTTACAAACAGCTGGAATTTTCCTTCGCGTAAACTCACTGACTAATTCTCCAAAATACAGGTTAAAAACCAAAAAATCGTTGTTTGGCAAACAAAAACCGCAAAGAAACCCTGTTGTTTCCCGATTCCCTCTGTTTTCTGACAATTGTTGAGCACGTTTTTATCCTTGTCGTTACAAGCTCTCATGGTTTTTCTCTGATGATTATATAAATTTTTCTTTTTACTGTTGTTTTAAGAAAAAATCGATTTTCTCAGAGAACTTTTTTCAGCACTTTATTTCCGATAAAATGACGAGATAATAAGCTGCTTATTATAGGCAGTTACTTTAATTAGTTTCAGTTTGATTCAATCCACCTGTTGGAATATCAAGATCATCATTTGGGGAATCTGACTTGATGAGATTAATGCAAACCATAAAACCAGCACCAACAATCGCTAAAATACCAAATATTGTTTGTATTTTCCGCTTTTTACTAAGATTCTGCCATGTTTCTCTCATTTTTGAGGTATAAACTGAGTTCAGTTGTGGGAGTTAAAATGACAAAAATAATCTCGACTTTTTCTAGCTGGCATTTTCTCGTAAAGTTGAATACCACCTAACTGCCTTCGACTATAAAATTTATTAACGAGTCAGACCATTTAGAAAGTTTTAAGGCCCCATATTATGAATAGTAAATGTGAATAGTCATTTATCAAACCGTAGGTGGTGCTCAAACAAAGCCCGCAGTAAAGTCATTTTCCCCGTTTTTTACACTCACTTGTTTACAATTCTCCCTTTTTAAAACAAAATCTTCAAAAATATCGTTAAAAATGACGCAACCGACAGAGAAAAGTATGATTACAGATCCAAAGGCTTGGGCTGCATGTGGAGTTATCGCTTGTTTCGTAAGTGAAGTGAATTTAAGTAAAAATAAACCCTTTTTAGTCGATTTACTTCATTTTCAAAACCCGGGAAGCGTTTGAAAAAGTAGAAGATGCAATAAAAGAAGTCAAGCAGGATCGTAAAGCGAAAATTTGCGAGAGAAATTGTATGAAAATTTCATGGAGAAACTCTACCGACTCTCAACATCAGAACGAACAAGTCATCGGCTCTGGTCTTCTCATTCGGCCTAAGCAATTATTTCTTAAAAAATCAGTTTTGGATGTCACTGAATCTCCCGATCTTCAAAGTGATGAGGACAAACTCGACCAAGAATTTCGAAAAAAGGATTTGGCGTTTCTGCTCACCAACTATCACGTGATCGATGAGCTCAAAAAGACGACAGCGAGTGCTCTCAGCAAAGAAAAAACATTTGACGACTGTGTGGAAAATCATTTGGTCGTTGAACCGATGACTCAAGGTCTTTTGAGTCGAGAATCGTTTAAGATGTCCGGTGCGAATCCTGAGTTAATTTACTACGACTGGAAATGCGATTTGGCTCTCATTAGGTGACTTTACAAATCAAAAATTCAAAAGTATAAAAAATCCTCTAGAATCGATTTCAACGACTGTGCTTCCGTCTTCTCCGGGCGAAAATCACTTGCTCTTTCCAAACAACCCTCGAAAATCAATGATACAGTCACAATAACTGGGTTTCCGTTGGGTCACGGGACAAAAGAGCTCCAAGCTAAAATCAAAACCGCTGATTTTTCCGCGAAAATTAATGAACCACGTGGTGAGATCCAAATCGGAAACTTCCAAAATGAGGAAGACTGCTTCAATTGTATCAAGGTAAAAATTTGTCATTTTCGACTGACTGTAACAACTCAGATCAACGCGTCAGTCGAGCAAGGTGCTTCCGGTGGTCCAGTGATGAATTCGAATCAAGAAATCGCCGGTGTCATCGTCTCGAAAGTTGCTGACGGATGCCTCGCTATTTCGGTCTCTCAAATCCACAAGTTTCTCGAAGATGCAGAAAAAGCATACGAGAATCAGAAACAATTCGGAAAACACGGAATCAAAGTCAGGCAAATGAGCTGCGAAGTGGATGGCCCTGCAGATCTGTACTTTGAAATCTATATGGCGAATCCGAAGATCAAGGATCACCAAAAATATTTCGGGAATGAACTGGTCTGGAAAAGGATAACGAAGATCAAGGTGATACAAGACGGCGCGAAGAAAAATTATACCCCGTCCACAGAAGGGGCTGGAATGCTTGTTGAACAGATAAATCGAGGCGCCGGCTCATTTGAGGTAAATTTTCGAAAATCCAAATCGCTCCTAAAATATATTTTTTAGATAAAAGAAATCTGGTACGAAACTGACGGTCTGGACGAATCGATCTATTCTACTCCATATTTCTCCATTGATTTTGAATAGAGCTATTTTTTAACGAAAAAAAAAGTTCATTCAAATCGCGTGTTGCTCAAATAAGTTATTATGCGCTGTGGTTCGAGATTATGAATAAATGTTGATAAACGAAGTTATCTCTCTTGGTTAGAATTTGTTATGACAAATTGTAGTTGTCGACTCTCGTATGCGGATGAGCTGGATTTTTACGCAACAGCTTGCGTGTTTATCACTTAAAACATCATGGAAAAAATGCATTTTTGTCGCGCATTTTGCACTGTAATGACTTTTTTTTTCTAAAAGCCGCAAGTTTCTTATATGCTGCTCTTCAAAAAAATTATCAAAAAAGCCGCGCAACAAATTCTACTTTTTTTGAAAGCGGCTTTTTCGATCTCAAACTTAAAGTTTGGAGACTCTTGAATTTAATTAGTTTCTTGAGCCGCACGCGGCTTCAGAAAAAATCTCTTGGTAGTGATAGAAACAAAAGCCGCGCGCGGCTTTTAAATCGGTAAGTTTAAGTTGAATTTATGAATTTAAATTTAAAAATCAACCTGTTTTTCCAATCGTAACTGATAACTATTGCTGCGTCTATCAGACAGTCTACCAGACAGTCGAGAAAGAACAATCTCTTCATGGCGCGAGCTTCAGAATCCGACATTCCAAAGTGATGATTCATGAGTCGCCGCGTGAGCTCTGGTTGGGCGCGCGAATTTCGTCTTTTTTCGTCTTTTCCTTTCTTTGCCACTTTTTTGTTTGACCATTTTTTGAGCGAAATCCGCGAAAGTTGAAAAGTGGAGAATCTGCTCCGCCGAATTCGGATGCATGCGAAAAGCGAAAATGAAGAGCCGCGAAATGTAGAGAGGCGCAAATACCGAAAATAAACGAAAAAATGGAGAAATTGACGAAGAAGTTCAAGATTTTCACAAAGCAGAAAGACAGTAAACAGGCATAAGGGTTGAAAATAGCTTTCTTAAGGGTGTATCATTGTTTTATAAAGCTAAATCTATTGAAAATTTTATTTTCAAGCTCAAAAACACTCATGTTCTTGGGGCTATTCGAATAGCTGACGAATAACAGTTAGGGTTAGCCATAAACCTAACCCTAACCATTTGTTTTTCAACCCAAATCTGAGGGACATACGAAGGGAACGTACAAGAAGAATGTTCCAGTGAAAAACAACAATGATAATGTAGTGAAAAGAGCAAGTCAATTTGGCGCACGAGATGTCTATCAAAACAGGTTCCGTTCATTAAAAATTAATTTGAAAATTTAATTTGGGCTTTTTGTTCCAAGAAGTCAGAAGGCTTTACCCTGTCCTGCCTGGCTAATCTGTAAGTTCTTGTTCAGGTCATCAGTGAGCTCGGACAGCTGTCAGTACGGCAACGAAGCTAATCAGTTTCAGTCAAATGCGTCTCTCGCCTCAACTTCATCTTACAACTCTGACAGGCGATCCATCGCTTATCAGCACCAGCGCTCAAACTCTCAGAACAGGTAAAGCTCTTCAATCCGCCAAATCTATTTTTGGCGCGTAAAATTTATGCAAAATACCATTTCTCGCGAAATTCTCAGCCAGATCCTTCAATTATGCGCTTGGCGAAAAGCTCTTTCAAAAAAAGGGATGAAAATTCGCACGTTCCGGGGGACGCGTGGATTTTCATTTTTACTTTTTCGGCTCGAAATGTATGTAATAAAAAAATCTTTGAAAACATTTTTATTTGCATTTTTTCGGCGGAAATAAAACCTTGCTAAACATTTACTGTTTACCGCATAAATAATTCTATTTTCGCGTATTTTCGCCTTTCATTTGAAATTCTCCTCGGTATATTAAAATATTTTTTTTTCTTCAAAAAGAATACCGTACCAACTTTTTTTTCAGCAGCCATTTTCTGGAAGATCGGCTCCCGGGCGGCTGGGACGTCGCCTTCACCGACGACGGTCAAAAGTACTTCGTCGATCACAACACGAACACAACCCACTGGAATCTCCCGCTGGAAAGTGAGTGCCTCCCGCCCGGCTGGGAAAAGGTCACCTCGAGCCAGCACGGCAGCTACTATGTCAACCACCAAAATGGAAAGGCCCAGCAACATCCGCCCGTGTACTTCGCGAATTCCGCCTCAGCAGGTCTCGGTGGAATGTCACATCACAGGGACGCCGCTGGAAACGGATCGAGTAATGGAAGGAAGTTTTCAGTAAGCTCGTTGCCCATGACCGAACCTGACGAGAAATTCACCGGTAAGTTAAAATTTTTTTTTCGCGTTCGTTTGTTTTAATAATCATAATACCCAAATGGAGCCAAATTTACTGACAGTACTTGTGTCCAAGTTTATCCACTCGTAAACGACTGTAAGTAAGGGCCCTTATCGCGAACTACTGTCTGTGCCCCAGCACTTAGCCGAAAACTCGGGAAAAATTCCTTTGCATATTTTTAACACGCGTTTAAGAATGGATGGAGCGGAGAATCGAAACGGAAAATCCAACGCTGTACACGCCAATACCTGAATTCTTATCGGTTTATGCAAAAACGACGGACCCGGGCGCGCTCGCCCTCTTGAACTGGAACCACTTCGACGAAGTTGAACTCGAATCGAGAACGGGCCTAATTTTTGAATACGTGCATAAATTTTAAATACAAAAAACCAGTCTTCATTGAACGAAATAACTGACGTGTAGAACCTTAATCTGGATGAGAATTCCTATAAAAATGAGGTCGATTATTAAGTTACAAAGTGACTTGGAATAGGTACATTTTAGTAAGTCACTTCTGATGCCACCACTTTTTATTTGAAACAATTTGTAAGATAAGTCTTTTAAAAAGTGTTTCAACAAGAAAAGCGCTCTCTATTTTTACGTTAGAGTATTACACAAGCGTTTCTTTTCGCTGATAAGGGTCCCCAGCTTTTTCTTCTTGAATCAAGAGTGCTTCAATTATTACTCACATTTTTCTTGTCGTTCATTGTCACAGCCCTCGCAAAGTACAACGCCATGTTCGCCCAGCTGCACAAATCCGAATCGTCACAAATATGCCGTAGCTACGAAATTCTGCGATCAAATCTGCACAATGCCCTGCGCGCCCCTCACTCCCAGTCTGCTCAAGACCAAGGAATGGAATCAAAAAAGCCCACTGAAAGCGCCCTTTATCTCCTTCGCTATTTTAGCTTTAAATTTAATTCGTGTGGAAATTTATATCCACACGAGTTACGAACTTAAATTCTATTCGTTCAACTCAGCTTTTGATTCCCGAATTCTAGCTCCAAAAAGCCAGCAAAGTCCCCGCTAAAAAAACCCTGAAAAAAACCAACAACAAGTTCCTCTTTCCTGAAATCTTTCCTGAAAAAAATATCGCGCAAAAATGGACATCTTCTTTTCTCCCGTCAATGTGATGCAAGCAAAACAAAACAACAAAATAATGAACAGAAAGAAAAAAAAACCGACATGAAGAGATTTTTATTCCTGAAGAGTATGACTCGTTCTCAGTTCTGTAATTTATTTCCCGAAAACCGAAACCAAGAATTTATCGAAAAAAAAAAAATAATGAAACTAGCACTGCTCATCAAATACATTTCTTTACTCCCATCGAATTCGGAGTTTCTCATTCTTTTAAAATACCAATGATGAAAATCAGCAGGAAAGGAATTGTTATAGAATCAGCGCCAGAAAGCTCTGACACAGTAACTGCGGGCCCAGAAGAGGTTGTCTCAGGCGCCCCTGCTTTCGTACAGGGCCAGTCCTCAAGATTACTAAATGTCATCGTCTAACTTATTAAACTTACAATAATGCAGTCTGTATTTATGAGCGCTGCGGAATCTTTGTAGGTACTTTCACTCGATGATAAACAAAAAGCTAAAAGCAAATTCTTCATTGAAAAAATTCAAGCTTCAAACCATCAAGTGCTTGTTCTCCAGCCGAAGTTGCGAAATTGAACGCATTTTCAATAAAATCTTGTAGTCTCTTGCACCGTTCTTCCCAAGTAAGCATTTCTTCAAACGTTTCTTCGAAAAACAAAACCAATAAATAAGCTGTACTTTGAAAGTCTCTTTTGAATGCTTCAACGCTTTCTTATGGCCTTAACAGGAAGCAAGTTTACAAATTGTCGGTCGGAACAAAAGTTGTTTTATGGATAACCTTGAATATAACTAACTTACATACCTTTTTTGTACTAGGGTGTTGAAGCAAGAGTTGGTACTTATCATGTCAGTTATATTTGAGAATCAAAACATGGGGTTTTTCATTTTATTGATATGTAAGAAATAAATGATTGGGGAGAGATGAACTTGGATCATTTTCGCAGAACATGCTCAGTTTTTCATCATCAGAAATGAGAAGAAGAGAATCATCAAGATAGACATTGTCATTGATCCAGCGTTTGAGCATGGCCAGTCCTAAAGAGTCATTATTTTTCCGTGCGAAGAATATTGATGCTTACAATTTCGCAGTCATCGAGAAGCGCTGCGGACGACTCGTAGGTAGCCTTAGTCGAACAAAAAACTGAATGAAAAATAACGTGCTCAACAGAGTTTTCTTCGATTAATACCGTCAAGATATGTTCCTCCCAAGGACTTTGCTACATCGTAGGCGCTCTCAAGCGAAGATTGAATTGCATCGCATGCAAACGACATTCTGAAAATAATTTTTCAAAAAAATATTAGAATATATTCTGTATCTCTGCTCTAGCGTTGAAACTCTCTAATGAATCTTTCAGCAGGCAAAAACAGTTTTTGTGCTTAGATGCAACAAAGGCCGTAAATTGAAGCAATCTTTTATGAAAAGTGAAACTTTATCGTCTTACTTAGTTTCACAAGATTCTTCTTGTGGCATTCAGGGTGACCTTGAATCCTCAATCAACTGTAGTTATATGATTTACCTTCTATCTTTATCATTTTTCGGGACATTTTAGAATTCAATCGCCTTGTCTAGACTCTAGATAGCCTTAGAACCTGAGTATTAACGTTGTAAAAAGTTTTCAGTACCGGGAGAGAAGCGAGAGGTATTTATCTCGATCCCGGATAATCAGCCCGATGATAACATGGTCGCTCCTCGAGAACAACAGACATTCGCGTACATGGTTTTTGAGCATTGAGCCGGAAGCCTTCGCTCCCAGCATCGATTCTGATAAGCGTTTTTATCAGATCTCGGCAGGTGAGCAGCACAAAATCCGGATAAAAAGCGATCAATTTTAAAACGATCAACGATCAAGAGTGCTCAACTATTTACGGACAACATTTCTAAGCGACGCACAAGTAGATGCACAAGTAGATGTACTTTTTAATTTCCCAGAAAAGATGCGTTTGAGTTCGTCGCGTAACATCATGTTTACATTTGATAATTGTCGACTTTAGAAATCGCCTTCTTTCAAGAATGCCGAACCAAAAGATAGAGATGTTCCAAAATGACTGTATTTGCCTTGTGGTCAGTGAAAAACTCAATGTCCAGGAAATTACGATTTCCGCGCGCACTTGTCAATATACCCGATTTTGCTTCTTGAAAAATGCATTTACTCGTCAAAATATACTCGAAGAGCCTAGTGATGTATTGGAAAAGCTTATAGTTAGAGATGATCGGCTTGCGCTTGTTAAAATAAGCAGCAAAAAGAAGGTAAGAGAGACACGATTTTTAATCACAAGCGCGTAAATCGCAATCTGCCAACTCAGTTTAAGCAGTGTTGATTGTTGTTGTGGTCTTGAGAAAGCGAGGGAGAGGAGCTGGCGTATTTAGAGCGGTTGGACAATTTGTTCGGAGGTTAAGGCTCTGCTGTGGCCAGCTTAAAGTCTCAGAGCCGGATCGAATACGTAAAGGATTGAATTTCTTATCAGGCAAATTTTCAATAATGGACAATTTTTTTCAAGTTTATTTGAAAAAAAACTGACCAAAGAAGCCTTTTTTCGATGAAAAATAATAAGAAGCTTACTTGAGTTTAATAATTTATACGATACTCCACGATGGTAGCATTTCATTTTTATTGAAAAGAGAGTCGATTTTTAAGAAAAAAAAGAGAGCGGGAACGAAAATGGACATATATGACGGTAGTTTATAGACGAGCAGATCCCGGGCCAGAGCAATATCTTTTTATATTATACACGTTCGTTTAGGTTGAGCTCATCGATTGTTGAGCCGAGAAAAGCTTACTTCTTCACTATCTCACTAAGCAACGAAATAAGTGACACGCAACTTTCAATTCAGAAGAAAGGCGACAGAAAGGAACAGATACACCCTACTTTTTATCAGAGCCACAGTATACAGAAATACTTATTATTAACCAAAGGAGGATGAACTTCTTTCAGTAGTTATCTGAATAGAAAAAATAAATATTTAAAGGGGGTAATCATCGTAAGATCCGATTTCCAGGCGGATTTTCGGGAGCTCTTTTTTGTCCAGACACAGGTTTTTTTTTACGCAGGTTTTTGAAGCAGCACCAAGAAAAAGGATTGATTTTATGGAAATAGGTTTTGATTGGCGGGTAGGCCAAATACAGCAAGCTTATTGGTCTTACAAAAATTCACTTCTTTTTCTTGGTTTGCGCCGGTTTTTGAGTCCAGATACCGTTTTTATAAGTAAGATTGTATAAGTTTTGATTATTTTCAATCGATAATTTCGCTCATCATTACTACGTCGCACAAATATGGATATCTATCAAAAGTCACTGTTCATGAATATATAGAAGCAGAAACTCAAACCAACGAAAATATGGAAGAAGTTTGTTCATTAGTAAGCAAATTGGAGAGAAAATCATCAAAGCGCAAGTCTCAGCGAGATCGCGAGAAGAAAAAGATGCAGGAGGATAAAGTAAGTTTAGACTGCAATTACCGAAAGCGACAAGTTCAAACGCCGCCTGCTGCCAATAATGCAGGATGTGTATAAAATGAACGGTGACCATTTGCGATTCAGCACACGAAACGTCGAAGCTCGCGGCAATCCCTTTACGCCGGCCTGCCACGTCCGAAATCTCCTAATGTCGGAGTGCTGCTCGATTCGCCACAGTCGAAAATGAACAGTTCCGCGACGCAAGAGACTCATAAGCAAAAGGCTTTGGCGAAACTTGGGGTCAATCCGGACAAGGGAGTTGGTAAGTCCCAGAAGTTCAAGAAGCCAATTTTCGGCCCATGTTTCTTATTTTTTTCGCTTAGCTGCGAAAAATCAAAATTATTAGAAAATATCTGACGCGTTTATATTTGCGGTCGAGTACTGCAAAAATTTCGGTTTAAAATTCTCGAGCGAAACCGCCGATAAGCGTGACGACGTAGTGTTATCAAAAAGGCAATCCACAAGATCTGACCTCCTCGGTTAGTCCGCCGAAATTTTAGAGACTAGCTTACATACATTCTAAAAAAGGGAATCTTCTTTCATCGCTCTTTGTCTACCAGACAGACTGACCATTTAAGGGGGTCCTATTTTTCACAAGCAATTTTAGAATTACGATTTTTTTCGAATTAATTGTAACCCTCTAAATGCCATTTAATCACTATACAGTCCTATAGTAAAGCCAGGTTGGCTTATCTGTGACAAGTTCATATACTTAATTTTTAATTCTTAATGCAAGACTAACTCTTCTTTCAACAAAACCGCACCCTTAGCAAAAAATGACAGAGGGGAGAGAAAAGGGAGAAAAATGACGCAAATTTCAGCAGACTTTGAATTATTCCGAGATCAAACGGTGCTGGAGAGACTGGACGAAAGGCTTCAAAAGTACGATTTGTATGGGTCAAAGGGTTGAATATTTTTACTGCTTATGGCGATCATCTGAGTTGCAGAACACTAAAAATCGATACAGATGATTTGATAATGCCGTGATCCTAGGATGGGGAAGATTTGCCCGTCTTTGATTGGCTGACAGAAGAAATACTAATATCTGATTGGCTTAGAGCAATCTCCATGGTCACTCTCTTTGAGACGTAAACTAATTACTGCTTTACTAAAATCAAGCGAACCCTGCAAAGAAAGAAAGAGGACAAGATTTTCTAGAGCCGATTTTTTTTCTCGGCGCTAGAAAGTGAAAATTTTGAAAGAAATATTGAGTCGTGTTCTTAACAGAAAATATTGTATCGTGTTCTTTTTCAGAAAATATTGTGTCGTGTTCTTTTTAGAAGCGTTATGATGCTGTTCACTGGTATTTCCAGTATAAACCGACAAATCTGGGTCTTCCGAAAGTTGTACAGCAAACTTTGCGAAGCAGTCCCACTTTAGGCTGTTCCCTAACTTCCTCAGTCATCGAAACTGAACGAAATTTAGTAAATTTTAAAATTCTCTTTTTACCTCTCAAAATACGGCGCCGGACTGTAACTAGATCACAGAAAAGCGGTAATCTGACTGACTGTGAGTGGATTTAGCCCTGACAACAACTTCGGCTCTAGAGAAATTTTTCTCTTATAGTGCGCTTCATTGTTGCGCGTCTAGAGAATTTTCGCTCTTCTATTCACTAAAAATTCAACCCAACAACAGTCTACCAAAAACGCAAGTACTCAACCTCGCGGTTAACGTTTCCGAAGTGCTGCGATTGGAATCTTCCTGGCGCGAGTTTCTCCCGGAAAAAGTGGCCAAAGACGTCCCGAAAAACGAGGCTCGATTTCAAGAGGCGATATGGGAGATTTTCTTTACGGAGCATAATTATATGAACGGTGATCTTTTTGCTCTGACTCAGGTTTTCTACACAGGAAAGCCTTTTTCTAACGACAGCATTTTTGATTGATCTTTTCTTGAAAGTTCTTATGTAATTTGACGCAATCACTAGTGGATAAGAAAATTTCTAAAGGCAATTAATCACAAATTGATCATCTTTTGAAAGCTCAAAATTGCACTCTGCGATTCATGTCTATATCGGGTGTTTGATCGATCTACAGGAAGACGATTTGTTCGAACGGATCCAGATCAAGAGGCTCTTTACTAATTTGAAGGTCATTTACAGAACTCATCTCGATCTTTGGACGAATTTCTTCTTGCCGGAGCTCAAATCTTGCCGAAAGGAAAGACGAATGCTGGACGCGAAAAGCCTTATCCAGATATATAGTCAGATTGAGCAGCGCATTCCATCTGTTTATGTCAAGTATCTTGTTGGAGCGAGAGACTCGTTTTTCGGTTCTAAATTTTCACGAAATATAGATTTGTTGGAAATAATAGCGATTTCTGAACCGACAGTAAGATCGAATACATGCGAGAATTATGCGATGAAGACGAGCTCTTCCGAAGATTCATCGACTGGGCTGAAGACAAAGATGCATTACAGGTACTTGACTTTCTTACTGACAGTCGAAATGCCAAAGTTTGAAGGGTAGCAGGTACCTGGAAGATCAGTCTTGAACTCACGTTTTGGGTACATTATTAAACTCGCTAAGCATTAATTTTCAAAACAAATGACCTTCCGGATTTGGTTATGTCCGGAATCCGGAATGATGTTGTCACTGATAAAGTTCTGTGATGAATAAAGCTACTTTAGATGATATTTAATTTCGATTTTCTAAAAAATATATGGCTAAAACCCTAACCCTAACCCTAACCAAGGGGTGCTTTGACCCCTAGACCCCCTCCAGTAGGTATTCTCAGCCCCTAACCCTAATCCCTAACTGAGAAGAGATTTAGTATCACTGTAACCTTCCGCTAAAATCGACCAGCAAATGACCTAATCCTTGTTTGTCCTAATTATTTTCATCCTAAAAGCACTTTTTTCTAAAAAACAGACTTACCACAGGAATGCGCCAAAGAGAGACGACAGGAATTCAATCAAATCTAATCATTAACCGATCCGTAAATAACAATTCTAGCCCGAGAAAAACAAATGCAAGGGGAATGATAAAAATGCGCTCGATAGCATTCTCTCAGGTACGAATCAATTGATCCCAACTTGAACAGCATTGTTATCTCATACCAATGTTAAGGGCCTCACCAGCGAGTTACGAGATATGGCTTGTTATTAGATACCCGGCTCTACAATTACTATCTTTCTTTGAACTTTTTATTTCGCGTTTTTTGGATTTCGATTTTAGAAGCTGGGGAAAGAGACTGTTTGCAAACTGGCGCAAGAACCGATTAGGAGCGAGATCGAAGAAACACGTGCGAAAGGAATTGGCTTCAATTTGAAAGTTATTCAAAAACAGCTGATTTAGAAAAAACAGCTCTCTTTTCATTACGGTAAGTTACCGGTTAACGTATGAAAGCACAGAATAAAAATTTTGCTGAACGCATATTGCGGAGTTTTCTGCGCAGCGCCTTTGACGTGTTCTAGCGTCAAATCGGATAAAGATTTGAGAGAACCGAATATGAGTTATTGAACTTCACAGGGGCTTTGCGCAGAAATCTGCGTAATATGCGTTCAAGCGTTAATACCGTATTTTCGTTAATTTTCTTGTATTTCGTGAAAATCGAAAATTCCTTTTCAATTAATGAGTTCGCCGAAAACACCAACGCCGGGGGAAAACGGCACTTGTAAAATTACTGATAAGCAAAATTGGAAGCCAACGAAGCATCCGCACTCTGCCTGTGGATTGATCGCCGCGTGAGCTTGGAGGATCTTCGCCGGACTGTCACTGGCGTCGAAATCGATGACTTCAAGAATCTTTCTGAAACAGCTGCCGACTTTCTGCACAATCACTTCGCGGCAAGAGGCGCGTTTGATTTCTTTTCTTCGATTTCAAATGTGGAAAACGAAGTTCAACGAAGAGTGTATTTTGAAGACTCTGGAATTCAGCTCAAGGATGGAGAGCATAAAGCAGTCAAGATATTTGCTGTTGTTTTGACTGATGTTTTGATTAGGGTTCGAAATAATTTTAGAATTAAAAATAATGTTATCATTTTTTATTAACCTATTAATTTAGAAAAATTAATAATTAATTAAATTAAAAAAAACTTAAAATATTTAAATAACAAAAATAATTATTAAATTTTATTAGTAATTTAATTAATCTTAAATTAACGTTATATATTATGTCATTTATTATGTAACATAATTTATAATATATAACTTATATTATATTTATTTAAACGAGCAAATTTTCAAGAGGCACCTATTTAACGGATTTAAGGTAGACTCTAACGGACTGTAAAAGCCTTACTTATATTTTTCGAACCCGTTTTTCAGCTGATCCTTAAATCTCGGAAAGATAAAAAGAAGGCCCTCGTGAAGTCGCCAGGTCCGCGCTCGCTAAATACTATCACCAACAAAATCCTGTCTAAACATAAGCTCACGTGTTCACAATCCCTTTCACGCTCAATAATGGTTGTTTACCTTTTCATTTTCCGTCTAAACTGTTCGCTGGGATTCGCGCACTTTCGACCCCAAAATATACCAAATTATACATTTTTCGCCAGCGCGGCGGAAAAGTAAAAACGGAGAGACTGATGATGCTCAACGAAGGCGCCAAGGACTTGACGATTATTTCTCTTGATGAAGGTCAATTTCCAACAAGGTAAAAATCCTTTTCAAAGTTTTTTTTGGCATAACACATGTTTCTGATTCGTTTTCGACGTTTCGTTTTAGAAATAAATTTAAACTCGTGTTTCTTTTCCACTTACACGAAAAGCGGAATAACACATGATGAAATTAGATAAATATTTTATTAAAAATGCGGTGTTGTTACAGGCTTTCTTTCTAGTGTCTTCACGTTGACGTTTGACGAAAAGAGAAAACTTCAGAACTTTCAAGCTGCCATTGAAGATGCGCAGAAGGAGTTGGAAAGTTTGAAAATGGGGAATGGAAACAACTCAGATTTTATTGCAAAGTTGAATTCAAGGGTTGAACTTTTAGGTAGGGCTAAAAAATGAGGTCTTTGTTTGTTCTTTAATTTTTTGTCTTTATATAAAGTAAATAATCTTTCTTTCGAAGGAACCATAAAATATGCCTCAAAAATTGATCATGCTAATTTTAAATTATATATAAAGCGACTTCACAATTAAACGTTTAAGATGCTGCATTCGCTTTGATAATTTACTGAATAGATAACACATTCATAAATTTTAGAAATAAAAGAAGAAAGACCAGCGCAAGAAAAACGACCTTCCAAAAGACCCCTCGATCATCAAATATTCAAGCAGTCGAGCTTTGATAAATTGATATCAAATTTCGGAAACGTAGAAATCGACGATGGAGGCATCTGGGCCGGATAACCTTTAAAGCTGATCATAATACATCATATTTTTTTGCAAAGTTTGCCTTATGATGCTGTTTTTTGCCACGAGTAGCCTTCTATGATCTTGCCGAGAGAATCAATTTTTCAAACATTCACTAGTCACTTGCATTGTAAATATAATTTGCAGTCAAATTGAAAATTTGTCCCGAACTCGCAAATTTTATTTCCCTTTTTTCGAGAAAAGAGAAAATATAAAAAATGCCCTTTGAGTTTTGGTACACTACTTCGAGGGAAGATGACTCCACCGACGCATCTTGGGTTTGCTTCTGCCAGTTTTTATGTTGGTCATGCAAAGTCACTCTGCCAAATAATATCGGAGCAAATACGATCACAATAGAACAGCCAACTGGTCAGAACAGCCAAAAAGAGGAGGATGGAGGCAATGACAAGAAAAAACTTTGAATAAAATGAAAAAATAGAACCCTTTTTCATCATTTTTTTTTGCAAGGTTTGCCTTTTGATTTCGATCATTGAAAATTGATGAGAATTTGAAACGTGGCTTTTTTGATCTTCCCTTGTCGAGGATTTTTCCCTATGCGTCGATTTTCGTGTCCCGAATTCTTGCATGCATAGTTTTTCCATGGCGGCGAGAAATTTGTCCTGACAAGATTCCAGTCGCGCATCTGACGCGTAACGAGGTCCAGAACTTGATCGCCTCTTAGTTTCATGCTTTTAGACGGACTCTTCCCACGTGACCGCCACTTGAATTCTTTTTTTCTGTATTTTTAGCCAATAAATTGCTGTCGAGTTTTTGAAGGTCGGTTTAGAATGAACTGGCTCGGAAGGGAATTCTAGTGGCGCGCGGATTTATCCACCGAATTCTGATTAAGGTGACCCCTTCGCCAGGGGATGTAGAGCGGATTGTTCAGAGTATCCCGGAAGCTAATTAGAATTTCCGCAGTCTTCACGTTGTCCAACCAGATTCTGTATTCTAGAGTTCAGGAAAATGGAGATTCGAAAGAATCAACTAAAAATTAACCAAAAAAAAAAATTAAAAAAAAAAAACATTTTTTTTGTTCGTCAAAATTAACCCTCTTGACCGAAAAAGCTATTGATACTTTCCAATACGCTTAAAAATACGGCACACGCCGCTTGTTGAAAAATCCCATGTGAAGGGCAAAGTGTACGATGTCCGGCTTAGGGAGCTTTTGTATTCCATCCCCTCGTTGAGAGCATGCTAAACCGGACAAGATTGCATCTTGCGATCTTTTCGTGTCTACTTTTTAATCAAAAATAAATGGAGAAAATTGGTCTCAATTCAATATCCAGACAAAAAAGGCGCTTCGGTGGAATTGAAAAACCCAGCGTTTAAACTTGAACCGCGAAAACTTTGGCGCGTGGTCGAGCCACTTTGTGAAAAGTTCCAACGTGAAAAAATACACCGCCCGAGAAATTTTTTGCATATTCGACTATTGTTTTAAGTTCAGAAGCTGCCAAACTCAGCAAGTAGATTGACTACCTGGTTCTTTCTATCATCACGTGAGTTTTCTTTTTGCGCCGACTCGGCGGGCGCGAAGCATAATGGCCCGACCTTCATCCGCAAGAGGGCGCGCGGAAAAAGAGGTGGAAGAACGGAAAAGGGGTTGAAGAGCGCTCTGAGCAGGGCGCCGGAGGAGAGTGCGCAGAGGAGCGCAGAGGGAGAACCTCCATGACTTACTCAGCGGGTGGGCAAGCAAGGGAGGGAGCGCGAAGCCGCCTAATCCCAGCGTGAAGTGTGTCAATCTTTGTTCAAACACCGCCATCATTTCTGACTGCGTAGTACCCCCCGTAGGAGCTTAATTTCGCTAGACTGATTTTTCGCGCTCATTTTTATAAAAGAATTTATAAACTAGGAAAACTTTTCTAGAGTGAAATTTTGCGCTGAATCTAAATAAAGAGTCAAAAAGATTTACTTTCGATGATAAAATTTATTTTCAAGTTTTTTTTTGCACAGATAAAGTAGAGAAGCAGTGGAAAATTAGTGGGAAATAACAAGAACTTGTGGCTGATCGTGTAGTACGGCCTTGGCTTCGGGTTCTTCACTCCTTGCGTCACAAACTTGCAGTTGAGCACATTTAGTGCCCTTGTTTCTTGAATGATTGCACTCGAGAATGCAGCCCTCTGAGTTTGCTTGCCTTATTCGCATCCGGAACCTCTGGTATTTTCCTTTAATCTTCTCTCCGTACTGCAGATAAAAAGCGTAGCTTTCTGGTTTTGCTCCTGGGCCGATGTGAAAAATGATAGGTTTATCTTTGGTTCCCGCATCTTCAGGAATTCGATCAACTTTGTCGTTTAATTCCGTAAAATCCATGTTCTGTGCGCGATCACTCCTACTTGCCCCTAAAATTGATACAAGCATGGGTAGAACAAAAATATCCCGTCCGCCCTGCTGCGCTCACTCCCAGGTGTTACGCTCGCTTAGTGTATTTAGGGTTTATCGCCAACTCATCAGTTCTCCCTGGACTCGCGAAGTTCGGAGGATTCAGAGTCCTCCGCGCACCCTGCGCCCTCATGCGGGAGTAGGTCGGGCCATTCTGCTCGACATCCGACTCGGCGCCGAGGTATTCTACACTAATTTAATACTCATTTTAAAACAAACATTTACCGTTCTTCCGAAAGTCGTTCGATATCAAACCAGAATCTACTAACATCGATTTGCGAGAAGAGAAAAAAATGACCCCAGCCGGCTGCGAAAAACCCTCAGAGTCTGAGACACCCCTCTCCCGTGAGTGTCTAATGACGATGAGTTTGCTCGCGCTCGCCGGCCTCACCATCGCGTTCTCGTTTTTCTGCGTTTTTCGATCTGCCTGTAAAAGAACGAGTTCCCGGGATGAGGAACGATTCCGTCGATCCGGTGACTTTCTACTGTCGAACGAAACTGTCGTCGAGATACACGAACCAGCGGAAAATGAGATCCAACCGACCGCCCCGATGGATTTTTCTGTCGATAAGCCGCCAAGCTATGATGACGCTATGGCCAAGGCCTAGTTATCCATTAACCTAAAGATCTCTCTCTGTAAAATTGTGCTAATTGATCGAATTCTGTCTTTGCCGATCTGACAATCTGAATTAAAACTTGGCTGCGCCAAGTTACTCTTCATTTTTCGGATATTTTAGTTCAATAAATTATTTGTTTTCTATCAAAATGGAAGATAAAATCAAATTTACACAGTGTGATCTCGCCATTAAGCAAAACAAATTTCGCGATGAGTCGCCCCTTAGTCTGTTTTTCAAATTTAAAAATTTTAACAATCCACGACTCACTCAAATAGTAAACATACTGTTGTTGGCAGATCAGAATTTAACAGTCCGAATTGGACGGTCCAACTCAAAATTTTGAATAACAAGTGTTCCCAACTTTCTTTTATCAAAAAGAGATCAAGCGGTCAAAACAAAACAACCCACTGCTGATGATCTTCCAAGCTACGAAGAATGTGTCAAAACAAAGACCAAAAACTGAAGATGAGCTAAAAGTTTGCTAATATCAAATGAAATCTTGACTCTCAACTATTTTTTGCAATAAATTTATTTCGTCCACAAATTATGAAGATTTTGAGAAGCACTAAAAGTAACCAGCAAGAACGCCGTATTCTTTGATTTGATTATAATGATTTCTTACGACATCTGAAAAGAAAATTTTAACAGAAAGAACTAAACAACGACTCACCTTGATTATAATCCTCTGCTTTATTCAAGATTTCCCAAACATCTTGAAGATGTTTCGAAAAGACAGGGGCGAGAAAAACGAAAGAAAGCTTCATTCTATTTTCTTGTAATTTGCTCGACTCAGATGACGAAAATGACAAGTAAAGGTCTATTTCTTGGAGTTTTTAACTGGAGAACTGTCGTTAATATTTTAGTTTTCCGATCTCAAAGATGTGGAGCGACACTTTGGAAGCTCCATTTTGAGTCTTTGCTCTAATGTCCGTAATCAACCGAATTGAAAGTTATGTGAGGCCACTGGAAGTAATGTCTTACCCCGAAGGGTTGTCTTATTGATTTTTTCTCATTTCTGTTGGAATATGTCTTGACTGTTTCCAGCAAAATAGATCAGAATCTTCTTACAGTATATTTTCTCAAAATAAGCAATTTGGGTACAGTTATTTTTATCGGTTTTCCGATAAGCATCATTTTTGCAAGTTCTGAAGGCGAACAGCCAAGTTTCGTCGACTTGAGATAACAGTTTTTAACAAAAAAAAAAACGTAACTGGCTAGGCCACTCGAAATTGCAAGAAAAAAAGCTGCTTATCAAAAAACCGTAAAGTGCTTAAAACTCATTAGTGATAAAAACAACTGCCCCTTTATTCTACGAAGGCCACTCTGCCAGTTGACGTAACTTTCTGTTGATTTAGCTATCTGCTGAGCACTAGAATATGGAGAAAAGCGGCCACTTATCGTGACAAATGAGAAGTGTTAGTGACAGGTTTTGCTCAAGGAACATAAATAGCAAGCTAAAAAAATGATTTGATTTTTGCGGTTATTTTTATCAATTTGGATGGCGAAATGGCTGTTTTTTTACAAAAGCTCGCCACTGGCAAGTCGCCAGTTTTTCGCCAAAAAAAACGTGAAAAAAACGAGGCTGTGAAAAAGCATGTTCGATGCTCCGTCAAGCTGTCAGGGCTTATGCGAGAACAAGCGCTAAGTAAGAGTCATTAAGGGTGTACCAAAGCAGCATCATCGTTTGCCCGCCACGTGCGCTAGAATTCTCTAAAGAGCGTTTTCAGCAAAAATATCAATAAATCCGTTTTTAGTGGAGAATATTTTATCAGATTCTAACAGACGTAAATTGACAGTCTCTCAGATCCGTTGCGTCATCTCCAGGCCATTTTTGCCCGCTGATAAGAGTATGTACCACTTTAAGGAATAACTCTGGCGCTCGGGCTCGGAAATGGGTGCGGAGAATTAGAAGTGGCCGGTCGGAAGATACACGTCTCCGCCCGTCGTCGGCTCATAGAAAACAACTTGATGGGTACTCAGCCGCAACTTCCTCCACGAACGTCATTTACATGATCAAAAATAGACCATGGAGAGACCATGGAAGAAGGATAATAGAGAAAAATGTCATAGAATGCTCTTCGTTCAAGTAACAATTTGATACTTACGAAAACAACATCCTGACAGACCACAGACGTGTCCTAGACAAAATAGCACCCATGTTCTGACCGAAAAGACAAAAGCGCTTGAATCTCAAATTCACCGCGAAATTCAAGTAAGCTCGGTCAAACAACGGCTCAACATCTCCTACCCAGTCATTTAGTAGTTCTACCCGGCATGTCTGATCGAAATGTTTTTTGCAAAGTTTCTCATTTATTCAATCTCATTCTTTTTTTCAGTACGAAAATCGCTGCCAGTCGGAGCGCTTCAAATTTCCAAACTCGTGGTGACCAAGGACGCTGATCCAGAGAAGAATGAAGATCTTAAATTGAGAATGAGGAGTTTCAGGGGTCGAAAGAACTTACAATAGCGATGTAATCCAGCATCGAATAAATATAATCGCCGATTTTCGCCAAACCCGCGGAGATAACTTCAAAAACTCCATGAAAACTCAAAGACAGAAGAAATTGAAAGGAGACTGTAAGAAGCAGCAATGAAAAACCGGTGCCAAAGATGATGAAAATCGCCACTTTGAAAAATTTGAGAACATCGTGATCTTGCCCAAAGACTTTTTCTTTCCTGTCATCGCCTCGTCTCATCGCTTCGGTCATTCCGGGAAGCTTGGAGGGTTGAAATTTCGAGAGGTTCATCGAGTGGCCCGTCATTCTCTTATTTCACGTCTTACTCTCTCTCTCACTTCTCCCTCTTCTTGAAATTATGAAAATTAGCGGGCTTTTTTTACGACGCACTTTTAGCGAAATTTTGTTCGATCAATTTTATTGCCTTTTTACGGTACTCTCCGCACGCTTCTAGGTTTTTTCTTCTTTCAAAATTACAAATTGCCAAAGAAATAATTCAAATTCTCATTTACGCACTCGCAATTATCCCGAGCAAATAATCAGAAATTACATCCAAAACTCGGAAGCTAAACGATAATTTTAGAAAGAACCACAAGAAAGGGCCACAAAATCTTGCTGAGATCATTGTTAAAACAAGGTCTTGTCCCGCGTTGTTTTTGTTTTTGCTCTTGTTATCAAACTTTAAAGTGGCCACAAGGACATGCTTAGGAGCATTAGGCGAGTTAAGATGCAGATTATTCAATATTTTTATTGTCAATTTTGAGAAGCCTTCTTGTCAAAAATTACCGATAATGAGTTTATTGAACATCGAATGGCTATTTTATTATGTTGATTTTATTCCTCCACATCTTTAGAGTTGGCATCAGAGTGAGGATATAATTTGGGAGCGAAATACTGTCGTTTAAACTTCAGTAATGATGACACATTACCACAAAAATGCTTGTGGTTTCGCTTATAAAAACTGTCAAGGAAGGCAAATGGAATCTTTGCTCGTCATTGATGCTTTTGAAATTTGCTTTTTAATAAATTTGTGTTTTCGAGACCCCCTTCCACTCATTTCAGTAGTCCTCGATATCGACGAAAACTAGAGACAAGAGAGAAAATAAGAATTGCATGAAGCTTCTTTTGCTTCAACTCGTGGCGCTATCAACGCAATTAGCGCCACAGGAGTACCTCGATAAATGGGCGAGGAATTTGTTTATTGAGTATACTGTCGTAAATAATCTAGTGCGGACGACGGAATTTGATTATCCAGCGAATGAGGACGAATCTGCTTTTGAATTTAGAATATCAATCACAAATACTGGAACGGAAGAGCTCAATCTTCAGCCGCATTGGTCGATCTACTTTTATCACAGGAACTGGTTCTCTTCCTTGATTTCAGGAACCCTGAGATTCAATAGAAACCATGTGAAAGCGACACGATTCTCAGGGTTAACTCAACAGATCCAATCTACGAGCCTTTCAACATTGGCCAAGGCCTGGAAGTTGCTCATGTTGATGGGCAATTATGGACAATCACCCCTGTCATAGGAGAATGGGCCCCGCTGAAGATTGGTGAAATGATTGAAATTAATCTCAAAGCTCTTGGCTGGGTGGTTTCCGATTCCACCATCATGCCCAATTGGTACATTGCTTGCGTAGATTATGAAGAGTGCTCGGCGAAGAATCTTGAATCTACAAAAGTAACTGCTGACCGTGGCTTTACGTTCAACAGACCAGACTTTGTCACTGAATTCCGCGGCGACAAAATGACAAAACGAGATGTTTTAGACGCATCCACTGTACCTATGGCTCCAGACGTCTGGATGATGAACAACAATCTTAAAGTCGTTGAAGATGGAAAATCAGTGGAAAAATATGGCGTGCCGATTCTCCCGGTCCCTTCGTTTATCGAAACAAAACCAAGCACTCTCGAAGTTCAAAATGGAAAGGAACAACCTAGAAACGGAGTTCCGATCAGTTCGAGAAAATGGATTTATGACTATCAAGAAAATCTCGCTTGCCCAAACCCAATTTGCAAGGAATGTTTACCTCAAAGCGGTCAAGGAACTGGTGGAACTCAGTGCAAATGCCAAGTGCTGGAGGAGCGACAAATTGGTGAAAAATGCATCCCATCGAGTACAACACAATGTTCGACATGGCTTATCAGAGTTGGATATTTGCATGGCGGGGATAAATGGCGACTTGCTACTTCATCTGATATCGTCTTAGACATAGCAACCTGTGAAGATATTCCGGAAACCCTAAGCTTCATAACGAAGCTGATTGATAAGGTTCGTGAGACTGATGATGCTATGATCTTTACTGGAACCATGTCTGATGCAGGGCCTCGATTTGAGCATAGAGGCGTTTTTATTGATGTCGCGCGAAATTTTTACCAAGCTGGAACAATAAGTTCATTAATGAACATCATGCAGAGAGTTAATTTGAATGTTCTGCATCTTAAACTTGCTGATAACGAGGGCTGGCGACTCGAAATTCCAGAACTTCCGAAATTAACTGAGCTTGGAGCAAGCAGATGTCATGATCCTGCTGGACATAGTTGTCTCATGCCTCAATTAGGAACGGTTCAAATAGTTTATCTCGATTGAAATCAAGGATGAGAATATTCACGAGCCGCTTTTAGGTTCTGGTGCCGATGTAGAGTCTCATGGAACAGGACATTTCACAGTTGCGACGTTCAGGGGTCTGCTTGCCGAGGCATCAAGAAAAGGAATAACCATAATTCCAGAGCTTGGGGCTCCTGGACACTCAAAAGCAGCAGTGAGAGGACAGTTTTAAAAATCATAAATTTTCAATAGGATTAAAATAATATATATTTTCGATGTTAAAGAAAATCGATGATGTTGCCGTATTGATAATAAGCGCTACACTTATTTCACTTCCGATAGATACTGAAAGAACGAGTTGATAACTTCGCTAAAGTTAACTAAAACTCAATGAAGCGATGGATGAAAGATCTGGTGATTCTTCAAAAGAAGGCGATTTCCGACTCTCAGATCCTGACCAAGTGGAGCTGTCCGCTGATTCCCATGGTTTCTACAATAACGTCATGAATCCCTGCATCAATGGAACAAGAAACTTTTTGGAAGTCGTAACGAAGAGTCTTTGGGCAACAATGGAGGATAGTTCTCATAAGATGAAGCATATTCATATTGGTGGAAATCAAGTGAACATGGAAGTGATTAAAAGTAGCCCTGCTTGTCAGGCAATAATGGCAGAGCGAAAAATCAATGCTGAGCAGATTCTTCATGAATTCTTCCAGGTAATGGTATTTTTGGGTTTATATTTCAATGATTTAAGTGGTATGTTACCATGACTTCCAATGTCGGATTCCAGATCCATGCTTGGCAAGATATTTTCACTTATGATGATGAAAAAACAGGCTACAAAGAGGTCTACCCGGTCGATGAATGGGAACTGGCAAATGGAACTTCAATCACTGCTTATCATCATCGAAGTCGATGGAATACTTCAGGTGAAATATTCTAGAAGTTTTCCCAACAAACCATTTTAGTTTCTTTCCGTAAATACGTGGTATATTGTAAGTTTTTATTGATCGTAACAATGAGTCAAATCATTATACTATGTCCGAAACAAGGACTCTGTTTTCGTCATGACTTTACTTTAGTCTACAAAAAAAGCTCAATATAAATCGCAAACTAAATTATGAATAAGAAACGGAGGTTGGTCATCTTCTCGCAAACGCTGGCTACAGAACCGTCCTGATGCCAACGACTCATCTCAATTTTGATGCTGCGCAATCTCCTGATCCTCAGATGCGAGGATCCATGAACGATGCTCGGTTTTCCGATCTTGTCAAAGTCTTTAGCTTCCGCCCTCTCAATTTCTACGAAAATGCTTTGTATGACTTTTGGGGAAATCGACAAAACAGTAAAGTAGAAAGTTTCTACCAAAAATACTCCGTGTCGGGGAATCGAACCCCGGTCGCCCGCGTGACAGGCGGGAATACTCACCACCAGGGATGTGCCTTCGCAGTGCGGATTCCGCACTAAACTTCGCAGTGCGAGGTGCGATTGCGGAAATTTCGCACTTCGCACCGCACTCAGACCTGATATTTTTCATCGCACCGCACTTCGCACTTTCCGCAAAATTTTTGAAAAGTGCGATTCTTTTCGCAGTCGTATCCCGCACTTTTTAACCTTCCTCGCACTTCGCACTTTGCGGATTTTGCGGTCGATTCGCCGACAATTTCTGTCAATTTTTGTCAATTGACCAAAATTTTTCTGCTGGAGCGTGCCTTCGGGCCGTCTCAGCCCCGTTCCATGATTTTTAAGTTTAAGGGGCTTGACGGCCCTTCGGGCCGTCTCAGCCCCGTTCCATGATTTTTAAGTTTAAGGGGCTTGACGGCCCTTCGGGCCGTCTCAGCCCCGTTCCATGATTTTTAAGTTTAAGGGCTTCACGGCCCTTCGGGCCGTCTCAGCCCCGTTCCATGATTTTTAAGTTTTAGGGGCTTGACGGCCCTTCGGGCCGTCTCAGCCCCGTTCCATGATTTTTAAGTTTAAGGGGCTTGACGGCCCTTCCGGCCGTCTCAGCCCCGTTCCATGATTTTTAAGTTTTAGGGGCTTGACAAAGGCTTTGAACTCTGAGTTGATCAATCTCAGTTCGTCCCCAACCCCACCTTCACCCATCATTTAAAAAATTCAAATTTTTTTTGTTTTTGCCTCAATTATGGTTTTGATCGAAAGTTTTGGAATTATTTCGGGTACGGAAGAAATTTTCGGCGATTTTTCTTTTTCCCACTCGCAGAGAATCGCAATTATTTCGCACTTTTCATCAATTATCCGCACTTCGCACTTTCGCACTTCCGCACTTTTCGCACTATCGCAAAATTTTCCGCAGTTTTTCTCCATATTTCGCACTTCGCACTCTGCGTCGCACTGCGAAGATAAATTTGAAAAAATCGCACTTCGCACCGCAGAAGAACCCGCAAAAAAAATCGCACTTCGCACCGCACCGCACTCGAAAAAATAGCAAAAGGCACATCCCTGCTCACCACTATACTAACACGGATCTGTGGATGAATCGATAACAGCATGAATTTCAGCACCCAGCTGCGACAATTCAATCGTACGATGCACGAGCCTGAGTGAGCCGGATAATATCGTCGGAATTCACGCTGGAATCTGGAGCCAAGAGATACTTGAAGGCAATCATTTCTACAAGCAGCTGTTTCCGAGGCTTTTTGCTTTTGCTCAACGCGCCTGGGCCGAGGGGTCGTGGGAGCAAGAACGAAGAACGGATCCATGGGCGATTTTTCAGGATCAGAAGTTTCTTGAAGACTTTAATTATTTCCGATACTCTCTCAGGTAACCAATAAATTATGGCCCATAACTTATCGGCCATAACCTCCAACCAGCACAACCGCATACAATGTTCAGATACGAGCTTGACATCATGGAAAGCAATAAACAACAATATTGGCTTCCTAAGCCTGGGGCTTATACGCAGAACAGTATGTTATATACCGTATATATTTCTTTTTTGTATATTTAATATATTTATATTAATATAATATTTTTATATTAATATATTATCATTTAAATCTGTACTTAAGGCTGACGAAGGCCCCTTTGAGGCCGAAACGCGTCCCAAAATAAATTTCAATCATCATTTAATATATTTGTTCTATTTTAAGGCGGATGGGGATTCAATACTCTTCTGAAATACAACGATATTATGTTCCGACAAAAGGGTGACTCTGATACCCGCTGGAGAACTCTAAGTGAAGTTGCTCGTAAGTCTTTCAAACTTTAAATTCACTTTTGACGGATTAACTAGACCTTGCAAATACTGAAACTCTGATGGAAATGGTCACTTGTGGGAAAGCTTTCATCAATGACCAGCCGCTTTATATCTCTCCACCCATGGAATTTATTTTCAGCGAAAGGATTTTCGAAGAACCTCGACCGGACAGTGCCACAAGTCTCCTTCCTTCTTTCTTTCTTTTCTTGAGCATTTTCTATCTGTTCTGATTGCTGTAAAATAAAACTTCTCAAAAAGAGCTAAGGACGCTGTTTTTCTTCTTTTAAAATAAATATTTTTATTACAGGTACATTATTGCAAGAAGAACTATACAACAGTAGTAGTGGTATATCAGTACGATTGGTTTTAGTAGGCATTTGTAAACTGGCGGGAGATGTAATAAACTCATGTCTCTATATCGCCACCATGTGTCGAGCTGTCATCGGCGAGAGATGTTACTCTGGAAAGCGTTGGTGTCTGAAAATTCCAAAGTGAAAAACCGTATGAACAACAGTGGAAAACATACCCTTGGAGTAGTATCGCGAACACCACCCTGAATTTCCGCCAGCTGTTGTCTGAAGTTGTCGCCCATCGGGTCATCCTCGATTCTGAAGCTTCTGTTTCTCATTCCCAGTCGATCAAGAGTCGATTCAAACTAAAGAAGCATCCGTGTTAGTATAGTGGTGAGTATTCCCGCCTGTCACGCGGGCGACCGGGGTTCGATTCCCCGACACGGAGCGTTTTTGGTACACATTTGTTCTCACCTCCATTTCACTCTCTGTTTTTGGCCCGAGCATCATCTCTTGTCTTTCTCTTCTATCGATGTAACTAAGGATGACAGGCACTCCAAAGACGTTGAAGAGCGAATAGAGGATGAAAATCGTCCAAACAGCCCAGCTGATTCCGTCGCCAGCGACGATTTCTTTGGAAGATTTGTCGACTTTGTTGATGATTTGAGTCATTCTTCCATGAAAATGAGCGAGAAGAGCGAGTTGGAGGATGACTTGAAGAAGAATTGCTGTTTTAGGCGTTTTCATTAGCCCAAACAAATTTTTGGCAAGTATACGCAATGGGGTTAAAACCAAAGAAGCGCCCTTTTCCTGATACAAATGCATAACCAACAGATTTGATCAATCTGACACTAGCGCTCTCAACCGTCGTCAACCAAGCAATTGACATCATCAAAACCACCAGCGGAATCGCAGACGTCCAATAGAGCTGCGGAAGAACATCAAATCGCATTTCATCAATTGCTTTTGCATAATCAACAGACTCTGAAAGAAGCGGACAGACTTCCACCAGCTCGATGTTCTTTCTTAGGTAGGCAGCCCATTCTTCTTTGTCGAGTAGGGTTGATCTTATTTTCTTAAAAGGGTTATCTATTGAAAAAGAGGAAGGAATAAACCTGAATTCGTTTATCATCATTGCATCCATCAACATTCTCAGCGAGGTGGATTAATTGAGGGAAAATGGTTTTTCGATATGTTCCATCTTTCAAGCTCAAAAAATGCATAAAGAAAAATACTATTCTTTAGTTTTTCAAGCTTTTCCTAGTCTATCTTCCATAAAATCGACAGCATTTTGCGTCCCTGCGATAGATTTCACTACTGCGACGATATAAAGAGCATTAGCTAAGTAGGTAAACCATCCGATAAAATTCGCGCCTGATCTGAATTTATTCAAAAAATCAGTGAACTTTAAAAATCGGAAATTTGCTACCTGAGTGAGAAAAAGCAGCAGAACGAGGTGACTCTCGGGCACAAAGGCGATGAGCTCATGATTTTTTTCGGATTTGTCTCTTTTAATTAGATATTCTGCATTTCTATTTTATGTTTTTAAAAGGAGAGAGGAAGGTGCGGGAGTTATTTTAAGGTGCTTCGCCAACCACATCGATTTTAGTCCTGGCGTGCCCGTCGGGCGAATTCTAGTTTTTCCCGAAATATTTTTCAGGTGCTATAAATCTACAGATTAACTCTAAGATGCCCTTTTTTCATTTGATAGATTGCCTTGAATTTGGACCTGAAGACGGTTCTAGAGCTAATCGTTTGAATTAGCAGCTGATAACAGTTTAAATCATTTCTTTTTATTAATTATCGTAGGGGAATGCTTTTTTCTTACAGTGTACATAGCATCAACGTTTAAAATAGAGATTGAGAAGTTCAAGGCGTTTTTCCAACTTCTTCTGTCGTCAGTCGTCCGCCAGGAATAAATTACAGTGGTAAGTTAACAGTAAAAATCACCAATAAATTTAAAATATTCTTCATCCTTTTTTTCGTTTCTAAAGCCTGTACATCGGCTGATAGGTCTCCAATTCTTTCGATTTGATAAAGAGCTCGTGGTTTCTTCCAAATTCGAAAATGTCCATACATTTCTTGAGCGTATCGCGCGTCATTCGGGGGTCAATCGTGCCGTCGTCCCAAATTCTAGCGCTGGAAAAGAAGGACTCGTCTTCCCAGTCGTTTCCGGATCTGAGTCCCATCGAGGCTGGCCAGCGGAAGAAGAAATTAGGATCGTATTGGCGAGGACAGAGGTCGGATAGGCGGTTTGCTCCGGCGCAGGCGATGGTTACTTTTGGGCTCTAGAATTTTCATTCGGAAAATGTTTAAAAGTCTGCCTTACCTTGGATGTAGAAACAGCGGAGATATAAGCAGCTCTAGCTCGCATAGCGGCAGCAGAAGTAGCTACAGAGTCGCTTGAAGCATCGAAATCATCGTGGAACAACGAGTTTTGAAGGAAAACAACTTATTTTCGCATTTTACAATCGTTTTTACCAAAAAAATCAGCTAAGACTCCTAAAGAGCGCAAACACGAATCCTGGAACGCGTCGTTCAGAGGCTAAATGAACGAAATGAGCTCCTTTGAGAGCTGCGTCGGAGTCAAAGTTGCCATTGTTCGCGACGAAACCGACCATATGTCCGCTTACTCGGCCATATCCGCAGACCAGCCCAGTACCGTACAGTTCTAAGGGTGAATAAACGCGGGAAAGTGGAATTGAAGAAGGTACCTTTGAATTCGTGGAAAACAGAGCCGTCTGTAAGGCAAGCAATGGTCAGACGAGCATCAGATTTGGTCGAAGCGACATCGAGAATATCATACTCGACATTTGGTTCTACCGCAGCTTTTCTCGTCGTTGCGAATTCTAAACGAGAGGAATTAAAAGAAGACGAGAAGAGAAGGTGTTTACCTGGAATATTGAGCGTTTCGAAAATAGACCTAACATAGGCAGCAGATTCTTCCTCGTCTCTGGCGAAATAATCTGCACATCCGGAAACGGAGCTGTGGAGCATCGCTCCACCAAGCTCTTCTGCAGTGACTTTTTCGCCCGTCGCGGCTTCTACGAGAGGCGGTCCACCGAGGAACATCGTTCCCATCTTGTCAACGAAAACCACTGAAAAGAAGGAGTTAAAAAAAGGAAGAAAATAGGAATCGAGATGGAAATGGACTATTCATAGGACTTTTAAGCCATTGAGCTCACTTTAGGGGCTCCAAAATTTTAACTATGGATCGGCAATGTATAAATACCCGCCCGAAATAGAGTGACTTGTTTGCCGAATTACATAAGCGCATCAAACATCAAAAAATAAACTTTGTACTTACTTTCGTCACACATAGAAGGCGTATACGCTCCGCCAGCGGTACAGCTTCCACAAACCACGGAGACCATCGGAATTCCCATAGAACTGATGTTTGCGATGTTGTAGAAGTTTCGGCCCCCGTCGTTTTTGTCGGGAAAGATTTCAGACTGGAGAGGGAGGAAGGCTCCGCCAGAATCGACCAGGTTGATCGAAGGGAGGTAGTTTTGGCGGGAGATGTCGGACAATCGATTAGACTTTTGGACGGTGATGGGATAGGAGGTTCCACCCTAAATATTTCGATTAAAAATGAGACTTATTTACAAATTATCTAAACTTGGTCCAGAAATCTATGTTCAAAGCCAGAGGAAGGCTCCTGAGAAGCGGATCCGTCAAGGCTTCAAAGTGTTCTCAGGACCCTTACTCAGGCTCGAAACGCAGATTGACGAGCCCAGTATCTCAATTCAAGCCAATTTATGAAGATTATCATCAGAAAAAATGGCCTCAATTTTAGGAATCAGTGACTTTGTTAACTTACTTTTACAGTAGCATCTGATCCACCAATACAAACAGGAATTCCATGAACCCAAGCGATGCAGGTCATCAGAGTCGCCCTCGGAATCGATCCATAATCCAAATCATGCCCAGCCAAAAGCCCAATTTCTAGCACTTCTGTTCCTTCGTCTTTTATCGCGTTTATTCTTTCCTCGACTAGAAAAAGGTATTGGAAGAAGGGATGAGATTTGTCTTACTGAAATATTTATTTCGGCTAGCATGGAGTTTGTGCGCCTTTTCTGAGCCTCCTTTTCGCGCAAATTCTTCGATTTCTTGAAGCTTTTCGATCCAGTTTAGCTGAGCTGCTTTGTTAGCTGATTTCTGTTTTACAGGGTTTCCACTACGTAACTTCTAGTACTCATTTTCACGGAGTTTTGACGAAGTTACCCTCTGTATAAAAAATCCGTTAAAATGTTGACATCTAGCTTATTTGAAAAAGCTGTAAAACGAATTCCTGAAGCATTAGCGGCAACATCACCGGTCAGTTTCTGCGGCAGTTGGCGAAACTTTCTCACCGCCGTTCGAATCATCCTCTCTTTCAAATTTTTCTTCAAGGCCAAATTTCTTCTTTAGTTTCGTTTTTTTCTCTGGAATCTGTTTTGCTTGAGGCGGCCGTAAAGTTTGAGCGAATTCGCTGTGCCCAAATATTTGGCGCTGGACTGAACACAGGGCAATTTCAATCGGGTTAATCATTAGCCGATCGCAAGAAAATGCGGTACTCTTTTTTCAGTGCTCTTAATTTCGCGAAGAAGAAATTTGGACAGAAGAAAAATATAATATTTTAAATATTTCTCTCGTAGATTTGGGAGGACCGCAGAAGTTCCCATGGGCGCTGGAGGACCTTCTGTTTGAAAACATCTCTCTTGAAATCGCTTCTTTGTTTTCTATTTATAATACGTAAAAATACATTATAATGACGTAAAAATAATATAGCCTATATAAAAAAGGTAACTATTTGATGTGATTTTTCTTATTTTCTTGGAAATATAACTTTTTTGACAGTAACTGGTCGTACAGAATAATCATGAAAATTCTATTGTCCAGAGAAAGGCTTTCTCATCTCTATCATTGAACTTCTCAAGATAAAGACGAGGATCACTTGCGCTTTTCGCATACATGTACTTTCCCGCTTTATCTTCAACAGCTAATATTCTCCATGTAAGACAGACATCTCTATCACCTTCATCGCAATGCTTTTCGAATTTCCATTTTTCGTTTGTATTATTCGCACCATCAAGTTCTTTGTGAAAAATTGCATCTCCTGAATTGCCCTTGTGATAAGCTGCGGCACCATTATTGTCATATGCGTGTGTATTTATTACGTAACCATCATCGAAAGTCCCGTTTTCATTAAATCTTGGGGTAAGCCATAGAGGATGAGGATCTTTGCTCAATTCGAGTTTGATAGCGTAGTCACCTTTCTGGCCCTGCTCGATAAGAAAGGTTTCTTCAGGAATTTTTCCACAATTAATATAAGTCTACTTTATTTTTTATTTTTCGCCAAATGATATTAAAATCAAACCTGATATTTGAGATTAACGAGTGTGGCTTGTTTGAAGCAATAGTATCCATCTCCAGCATTAAAACAAAACAATCCCTCCGGGCAGTCACATGTTTCAGAGGGTTGTTGCTCAGTAGTTGTAGTTGTAATTAAGGGGGTGGTGGTCGAGAAAATTTTTTTCGACTTTTTAAAATTTTGATATTATTTTTAGATTCCTTGATAAAAATGGATGATTTTTGGTCACTAGCTTTTTTGATTGGACCAACTTTATCTAAGAAAATTTTCGATTTAATGTTGTGAAATCGTCACTTTCGTGAATTTTAAAACGCGTTTTTTCGAAGTAATACCAACTCAAAATTGATTTTTATTGCGAGATAATGTTTATTCATCATATTCTTATAATAAAATTCTTAAAAATTATTATTATTGTGATTTTTTTGAAAATGTCATCGAAAAATGAGTGAAAATGACGATTTTTAAGAAAATAACATGTTTTCATTCAATATCTATCTTTTTTTCTAACAAAGTGAACTTTGCGAATCGCGAAAAACCACCAGCGGAATCGCAGACGTCCAATAGAGCTGCGGAAGAACATCAAATCGCATTTCATCAATTGCTTTTGCATAATCAACAGACTCTGAAAGAAGCGGACAGACTTCCACCAGCTCGATGTTCTTTCTTAGGTAGGCAGCCCATTCTTCTTTGTCGAGTAGGGTTGATCTTATTTTCTTAAAAGGGTTATCTATTGAAAAAGAGGAAGGAATAAACCTGAATTCGTTTATCATCATTGCATCCATCAACATTCTCAGCGAGGTGGATTAATTGAGGGAAAATGGTTTTTCGATATGTTCCATCTTTCAAGCTCAAAAAATGCATAAAGAAAAATACTATTCTTTAGTTTTTCAAGCTTTTCCTAGTCTATCTTCCATAAAATCGACAGCATTTTGCGTCCCTGCGATAGATTTCACTACTGCGACGATATAAAGAGCATTAGCTAAGTAGGTAAACCATCCGATAAAATTCGCGCCTGATCTGAATTTATTCAAAAAATCAGTGAACTTTAAAAATCGGAAATTTGCTACCTGAGTGAGAAAAAGCAGCAGAACGAGGTGACTCTCGGGCACAAAGGCGATGAGCTCATGATTTTTTTCGGATTTGTCTCTTTTAATTAGATATTCTGCATTTCTATTTTATGTTTTTAAAAGGAGAGAGGAAGGTGCGGGAGTTATTTTAAGGTGCTTCGCCAACCACATCGATTTTAGTCCTGGCGTGCCCGTCGGGCGAATTCTAGTTTTTCCCGAAATATTTTTCAGGTGCTATAAATCTACAGATTAACTCTAAGATGCCCTTTTTTCATTTGATAGATTGCCTTGAATTTGGACCTGAAGACGGTTCTAGAGCTAATCGTTTGAATTAGCAGCTGATAACAGTTTAAATCATTTCTTTTTATTAATTATCGTAGGGGAATGCTTTTTTCTTACAGTGTACATAGCATCAACGTTTAAAATAGAGATTGAGAAGTTCAAGGCGTTTTTCCAACTTCTTCTGTCGTCAGTCGTCCGCCAGGAATAAATTACAGTGGTAAGTTAACAGTAAAAATCACCAATAAATTTAAAATATTCTTCATCCTTTTTTTCGTTTCTAAAGCCTGTACATCGGCTGATAGGTCTCCAATTCTTTCGATTTGATAAAGAGCTCGTGGTTTCTTCCAAATTCGAAAATGTCCATACATTTCTTGAGCGTATCGCGCGTCATTCGGGGGTCAATCGTGCCGTCGTCCCAAATTCTAGCGCTGGAAAAGAAGGACTCGTCTTCCCAGTCGTTTCCGGATCTGAGTCCCATCGAGGCTGGCCAGCGGAAGAAGAAATTAGGATCGTATTGGCGAGGACAGAGGTCGGATAGGCGGTTTGCTCCGGCGCAGGCGATGGTTACTTTTGGGCTCTAGAATTTTCATTCGGAAAATGTTTAAAAGTCTGCCTTACCTTGGATGTAGAAACAGCGGAGATATAAGCAGCTCTAGCTCGCATAGCGGCAGCAGAAGTAGCTACAGAGTCGCTTGAAGCATCGAAATCATCGTGGAACAACGAGTTTTGAAGGAAAACAACTTATTTTCGCATTTTACAATCGTTTTTACCAAAAATCAGCTAAGACTCCTAAAGAGCGCAAACACGAATCCTGGAACGCGTCGTTCAGAGGCTAAATGAACGAAATGAGCTCCTTTGAGAGCTGCGTCGGAGTCAAAGTTGCCATTGTTCGCGACGAAACCGACCATATGTCCGCTTACTCGGCCATATCCGCAGACCAGCCCAGTACCGTACAGTTCTAAGGGTGAATAAACGCGGGAAAGTGGAATTGAAGAAGGTACCTTTGAATTCGTGGAAAACAGAGCCGTCTGTAAGGCAAGCAATGGTCAGACGAGCATCAGATTTGGTCGAAGCGACATCGAGAATATCATACTCGACATTTGGTTCTACCGCAGCTTTTCTCGTCGTTGCGAATTCTAAACGAGAGGAATTAAAAGAAGACGAGAAGAGAAGGTGTTTACCTGGAATATTGAGCGTTTCGAAAATAGACCTAACATAGGCAGCAGATTCTTCCTCGTCTCTGGCGAAATAATCTGCACATCCGGAAACGGAGCTGTGGAGCATCGCTCCACCAAGCTCTTCTGCAGTGACTTTTTCGCCCGTCGCGGCTTCTACGAGAGGCGGTCCACCGAGGAACATCGTTCCCATCTTGTCAACGAAAACCACTGAAAAGAAGGAGTTAAAAAAAGGAAGAAAATAGGAATCGAGATGGAAATGGACTATTCATAGGACTTTTAAGCCATTGAGCTCACTTTAGGGGCTCCAAAATTTTAACTATGGATCGGCAATGTATAAATACCCGCCCGAAATAGAGTGACTTGTTTGCCGAATTACATAAGCGCATCAAACATCAAAAAATAAACTTTGTACTTACTTTCGTCACACATAGAAGGCGTATACGCTCCGCCAGCGGTACAGCTTCCACAAACCACGGAGACCATCGGAATTCCCATAGAACTGATGTTTGCGATGTTGTAGAAGTTTCGGCCCCCGTCGTTTTTGTCGGGAAAGATTTCAGACTGGAGAGGGAGGAAGGCTCCGCCAGAATCGACCAGGTTGATCGAAGGGAGGTAGTTTTGGCGGGAGATGTCGGACAATCGATTAGACTTTTGGACGGTGATGGGATAGGAGGTTCCACCCTAAATATTTCGATTAAAAATGAGACTTATTTACAAATTATCTAAACTTGGTCCAGAAATCTATGTTCAAAGCCAGAGGAAGGCTCCTGAGAAGCGGATCCGTCAAGGCTTCAAAGTGTTCTCAGGACCCTTACTCAGGCTCGAAACGCAGATTGACGAGCCCAGTATCTCAATTCAAGCCAATTTATGAAGATTATCATCAGAAAAAATGGCCTCAATTTTAGGAATCAGTGACTTTGTTAACTTACTTTTACAGTAGCATCTGATCCACCAATACAAACAGGAATTCCATGAACCCAAGCGATGCAGGTCATCAGAGTCGCCCTCGGAATCGATCCATAATCCAAATCATGCCCAGCCAAAAGCCCAATTTCTAGCACTTCTGTTCCTTCGTCTTTTATCGCGTTTATTCTTTCCTCGACTAGAAAAAGGTATTGGAAGAAGGGATGAGATTTGTCTTACTGAAATATTTATTTCGGCTAGCATGGAGTTTGTGCGCCTTTTCTGAGCCTCCTTTTCGCGCAAATTCTTCGATTTCTTGAAGCTTTTCGATCCAGTTTAGCTGAGCTGCTTTGTTAGCTGATTTCTGTTTTACAGGGTTTCCACTACGTAACTTCTAGTACTCATTTTCACGGAGTTTTGACGAAGTTACCCTCTGTATAAAAAATCCGTTAAAATGTTGACATCTAGCTTATTTGAAAAAGCTGTAAAACGAATTCCTGAAGCATTAGCGGCAACATCACCGGTCAGTTTCTGCGGCAGTTGGCGAAACTTTCTCACCGCCGTTCGAATCATCCTCTCTTTCAAATTTTTCTTCAAGGCCAAATTTCTTCTTTAGTTTCGTTTTTTTCTCTGGAATCTGTTTTGCTTGAGGCGGCCGTAAAGTTTGAGCGAATTCGCTGTGCCCAAATATTTGGCGCTGGACTGAACACAGGGCAATTTCAATCGGGTTAATCATTAGCCGATCGCAAGAAAATGCGGTACTCTTTTTTTCAGTGCTCTTAATTTCGCGAAGAAGAAATTTGGACAGAAGAAAAATATAATATTTTAAATATTTCTCTCGTAGATTTGGGAGGACCGCAGAAGTTCCCATGGGCGCTGGAGGACCTTCTGTTTGAAAACATCTCTCTTGAAATCGCTTCTTTGTTTTCTATTTATAATACGTAAAAATACATTATAATGACGTAAAAATAATATAGCCTATATAAAAAAGGTAACTATTTGATGTGATTTTTCTTATTTTCTTGGAAATATAACTTTTTTGACAGTAACTGGTCGTACAGAATAATCATGAAAATTCTATTGTCCAGAGAAAGGCTTTCTCATCTCTATCATTGAACTTCTCAAGATAAAGACGAGGATCACTTGCGCTTTTCGCATACATGTACTTTCCCGCTTTATCTTCAACAGCTAATATTCTCCATGTAAGACAGACATCTCTATCACCTTCATCGCAATGCTTTTCGAATTTCCATTTTTCGTTTGTATTATTCGCACCATCAAGTTCTTTGTGAAAAATTGCATCTCCTGAATTGCCCTTGTGATAAGCTGCGGCACCATTATTGTCATATGCGTGTGTATTTATTACGTAACCATCATCGAAAGTCCCGTTTTCATTAAATCTTGGGGTAAGCCATAGAGGATGAGGATCTTTGCTCAATTCGAGTTTGATAGCGTAGTCACCTTTCTGGCCCTGCTCGATAAGAAAGGTTTCTTCAGGAATTTTTCCACAATTAATATAAGTCTACTTTATTTTTTATTTTTCGCCAAATGATATTAAAATCAAACCTGATATTTGAGATTAACGAGTGTGGCTTGTTTGAAGCAATAGTATCCATCTCCAGCATTAAAACAAAACAATCCCTCCGGGCAGTCACATGTTTCAGAGGGTTGTTGCTCAGTAGTTGTAGTTGTAATTAAGGGGTGGTGGTCGAGAAAATTTTTTCGACTTTTTAAAATTTTGATATTATTTTTAGATTCCTTGATAAAAATGGATGATTTTTGGTCACTAGCTTTTGATTGGACCAACTTTATCTAAGAAAATTTTCGATTTAATGTTGTGAAATCGTCACTTTCGTGAATTTTAAAACGCGTTTTTTCGAAGTAATACCAACTCAAAATTGATTTTTATTGCGAGATAATGTTTATTCATCATATTCTTATAATAAAATTCTTAAAAATTATTATTATTGTGATTTTTTTGAAAATGTCATCGAAAAATGAGTGAAAATGACGATTTTTAAGAAAATAACATGTTTTCATTCAATATCTATCTTTTTTTCTAACAAAGTGAACTTTGTTAAACATAGTCCCCCACACGCTCAAGGGTTTAAACTTTCCTCTAAGTTAGTTTTATTTTGAAAAAAATGATAAGTGGATACAGTTTTTTAGGTCAAGAGATGGGTCGACTTTGAAGGAATTTTTCACCATTTTTCCGAAAAAAAATTTTTTTCAAACATAGTCGCCCACATAAATTGGACCCTTTTTAACGTATTTTTAATTAGAGAAAAAAATTTTTTTTTGAAAAAAATTGAGTTTTTTAGGTTGAAAAAAGTCTTAGTCTCGACTACCACCCCCTTAAAGTTGTAGTTGTGGTTGTAGTTGTAGTTGTAGTTGTAGTTGTAGTTGTAGTTGTAGTTGTAGTTGTAGTTGTAGTTGTAGTTGTAGTTGAAGAAGTTGTTGTTTCTTTTTCACAGATCGGATTCGGACAATAATCACAGCCAGTTGGACAGTGTTCCCCACATGGACAGGATGCGATACAAGCTAATTGATCGTTTGAAATTTAATATGAAAAAGCTCTCGTCACTTACTTTCATATTGATTCTCACAAAATGAAAAACAGTAGTCAGTCTCGCACAAAATATTACAGTAGCCATAATCAAGACGGCAAAGATGCCTGCAATCTTGAAACAGATCCTCATCTCTTAAGATCATTTGTTATTGTGATTTTGAAAATAGATTCCTACAAGCATCGCGGAACAAAAGCTCTGGAAAGATGTATAAAAATACTGAACAACATCTCGCTTGTTCCCCTAAATGAAATTGCATGTGATAGAGAAATTCTGGCATGTTGCACTTTTCTCATGAAATGGTATTATGCAACGTTTTCAGCTGGGATTCTGAAAAGTGTCTTCATAAAAGAAGAACTTTTATGAGCCTTGATTGGAAATCCTTGAATCCGACATTTTCGAGTGCTGTCTTCACCGCGGGTGATTTTCCTCTTACACATTTTTCCGGCTGATAAGCGCATGTAATAACTTCATTTTGATTGGAAAGGCGGAAAATGGTTTTCACAAGCACACAACATCTCGGTTTTCTTACAGTAATAACTCTTACTATCGGCATTTATCGATCAGATATTTTCCAGAGCAGTTTACGAAGACCGACAACCGAAAAACTTGAGCCAAGATTAGATCCGTACGAACAAACCCTCGAAGGCGTAAAAAGTCTCAAAGGAGATCAACTTCAAAAAGAGCAAGAGCGATTAGAGAAAATTTCGAAAGTCACAAATTTCGAAGAATTCGGTGTTAGAGAAGATCAAAACTGCAACGACTCGCCGCGATTTTTCGATTCTCCGCAGCCGAGGACCGCGATCTCGTCCTTTCCGGGGTCGGGAAACACTTGGGCAAGGCATTTGCTTCATATGGCTTCCGGTTACTGGGTATTTTTGATGTTCGTCAGAGCAATTTTCATCGAGTTTTAAGGGGGAGGTCGACGAGAATCGGGATTTCCGTGACCAAAAATGCGGAGAAACCCGATTAGATAGTAGAATTCTAACTTTTCAGATTTAAAGAAAAGGCTTTGAAAAATAAACCGGCGAAAAGCAGAAAAAAAAATTTTTTGAAAAATTTTTCAAAAATTAGGGTTGAAGTGGGGGTGGCTCGCGACCGAAAAATCTCGAAAACGGAGTTTTTTTTTCTTCATCAAATATAATTTTTAAGACCCTTAAAAATTAACCGGCGATCAAAAAATTAAGGGTAACTTTCATAAAAATTTTTTCTTATTGATTAAAAATATTCGATTTTCGCCAAAATCGACATTTTTAGCCATTTTTTCATGGAAATTTCTACAAAAATTATAAAGACTAGGATTTTTTTATAATAATTAGTCAGAAATCATTTTAAAACAATGCCTAGTGCATAATAATCAGTTTCAGATAGTTTTTGGACGAAATCACCAACTAATAATTTCAAGTTCGAGACTTAAAATCAAAAATTTTACATTAAAAAGTTAACAAATTGAGAAAAAGCTAGAGACCAAAAATACTCCTTTTTTATCGAGGAATCCAAAAATATAATCAAAATTTTGAAAAGGCGAAAAAAATTTTCTCGACGACCTCCCCCTTAAAGACGGGGAATAGAAGAGGCTCAAACCACCTGAAACAGTATGGCTGGCAAGGCGAAGATCGAGACTGCAAAGATGGAACAACTATCGCCCAGAAAACCCACAGACTCAGTAAGAACAAAGCCTGCAAATTCGAAAGAGGCCTGGTGATTGTTCGGAACCCATTCGAAGCGATTCTCGCGGCTTATAATCATCACAAAGCTGGGAAAACTGGCGAGCCACCTTATTCAGGAAAGAAGTCGAAATAAGAAATTAAATTTATTCATTGAAAAGGGAGTCAGAATCCTTCTAAATTCAAGTAGCCACCTTCAAGATTCGTTACATTTGTGTAGCCAAGAGCTTCCAATGTCTCCTGAAACAAGTAGTTCATTAACGAAATAGACCAGGAGGTCCGTACCTTAGCAATATTTCCTCGAACACCTCTTTGACAATAGACAATTATCTCATCGTTTGGTGCTGGTTTATGTCGACCATACTTTCGCTCAAAAGCTCTTGCATCGATTTTGAATTCGTTTGAAAGAGCTATCAAATATTTCATTGGTAATTTTGTATTCCTACCAGTATGAGGAATATTCATGAAAGAAGCAGACTTGAGCCTCCCGCCAGAAAGTTCTGACCGTCCTCTGACATCAAGGAAGAGAATCGACGAGTCCTTCATTTTCTCTCAAAACTTCATCAGAAATATTTCTCTCAGTCGATCCTACTGCTCCCATTTTTCTTTTTCTTTATCCCGACTTGACCCGATTGCAATTGATGAAAAAATTGCTGATCAATACGGCTGGATCTAGAGATTTTAATAATTTGATTTCTGCCAAAAGTTTTCAAAACGAAGGAGTGGCAACTGTTCGTGCGGCAGTGGATAAAGCGATGGACTCAATTTCATCAGGAATGGGCTGAGTTTGAGGGTCCAAAGTATATTTCCTGTTTTGAAGATATAAATAATGACACAACAGCGGAAGTAGGAAAATGGCTTGAGTTTTTGGGATTTGATGATCGACGGCTAGGTTCGTTTATTTGAACCCTAACCCTAACCCTTAACCAGACACTAACCAAAGCTCAAGGCCTAACTCAAACCCTAACCAAATCGTTAGCCCCGAGTTAGGGCCCCTTACTGAAACCAAAACCTTAACCCTAACCCTTCCTTATTCATTTTTAGGCTGCGTCAAATACGATCCAGTTGGCCAATTCTACCGACAAAAGACGAAAAACTATGACCACATATTTGACCCTTTTCAAAAACTTGATATTTTTCGCGAAATCGAAGTCGTTTCAAAGCTTTCGCAAAAATATTTCGAAAAAGATTGTACTAAACTCTTCAAGTACGAAAAATGCTGTAACAACGGAACTTTTCCATATGAATAAATTAAAGTACTGTTAATCTATTTTAGTATGTCAGGAGTAAGTTCGAAGTTGTCAGAAAGAGGACATCAATATTTCGATATTTGAGACTACGGAAGGAGAAGTAATGAAGCGGCTTAGTAGGGATGAATTATTGATTCTGAGGAGAGATTCTTTCGCGTAAATATTTGATATAAAGACGGAGCAGAAAATATATATCTTAATAGAACTCGTTTTTTTCGATGTAAAATCAGAATGCCATTCGAAAAGGAGCTCATTGTGGAGAGAGACAAACGCTATGGACAGAGACATGTGATTCAAATCCCGAAGAGTTGTGTTCAGTGCTGCTTTATCCTGAGTTTCGTGGTTTTGCTTTTGTCAGGATTCGTCGTTTATCATATTATGGCCGAAGATGAAGAGGTTGATCTTGACCAGAGTATTTCTATGTTCGATATTGGTAAGGATAAACAGCTAGAAAATGACCACCAGAGGTCAAAAAACGTTAAAAGGGAAATGTTTCTGAGAAAATTTTTCGCTAACCTCTTTAATTTCGACTTCAGAGTACGATATAAATGATCAAAAAATCTACGAATACCGCGAAAGTGAAGATTACAAGGAGCTTGTAACTGACTTTAACCAGGGACCGACAAACTACTTTGATTAATTTTTTACTTTTTTTAGTATTATTTTTTTGTTTTGTTTAAATTTTCTATACCCATGTAAGTAACAATTACTAACAAAAATGAATGTTCTCTATCCCAGTTCAGCGATTTCTGAAAAAATAGAGACCCATGACTAGGTTCGTGAGGACTAGGTTCGTGTGACTAGGTTCGTGGGTGCCATGTTGGAAAAAATGGTTCGTATGACTAGGTTCGTGAAATTTGGATTTTTATATGTATTTTTTGTATCTTCACCATTTTGGGGCAGTAAGGGAAATGGGTTGATGACTAGGTTCGTGTGACTAGGTTCGTGAAATTTTAAAAAGAAAAAATTTTGGGGCAGTAAGGGAAATGGGTTGATGACTAGGTTCGTGGGACTAGGTTCGTGAAGACTAGGTTCGTGTGACTAGGTTCGTGAAGACTAGGTTCGTGAAGACTAGGTTCGTGTGACTAGGTTCGTGTGACTAGGTTCGTGGAATTTGGGTTTTATATGTATTTTTTTGTATCTTGACCATTTTGGGGCAGTAAAGGAAATGGATTGATGACTAGGTTCGTGTGACTAGGTTCGTGAGTTTTTAAATAGTAAAAATTTTCGGGCAGTAAGGGGAATGGGTTGAAGACTAGGTTCGTGAAGACTAGGTTCGTGAGACTAGGTTCGTGGAATTTGGATTTTTATATGTATTATATATATATATATATATATATATGTATTTTTATATATATGTATATTTATATATGTCTTTTTATATATTTTATTGTAATAATTATATTACATATTATATGTACTATATTTTTTAGAATGTAATGCTGCGTTACTTGAAATAAAACAACGTGAGGGCCTAGCGGCTAATACGGGGGGGAGTTGGGGGGTGGGGTGATACTCATTTGGCAATATAATCCCACATTTTGCTTATTCAAAACCCACGAACCCTTTCCTTGTTAAATATATACTATTTAAAATTTCACGAACCTAGTCACGCGAACCTAGTCATCAACCCATTTCCCTTACTGCCCCAAAATTTTTTCTATTTAAAATATCACGAACCTAGTCACACGAACCTAGTCATCAACCCATTTCCCTTACTGCCTCAAAATTTTTTCTATTTAAAATTTCACGAACCTAGTCACACGAACCTAGTCATCAACCCGTTTCCCTTACTGCCCCAAAATATAGGCCGATTTACATACTCTGGCAGAACCCACCACGAACCTAGTCACACGAACCTAGTCCTCACGAACCTAGTCGTCATTCCCAAAAAATAAACTAAGAATAAATGCCCTTTTAATCAAAGCAGGGTTTGTACAGTATTGACTCAATTTTCGTCAAGATGGAACTGCCTCATTTTAAAATTTAAAGAAACTTAGTAAATTCGCCCTTTTGTGTTCCACTAACAAGTGTCACTTCTTAGAACATGCCTTTTAATATTTTATTACAGAAGTGTATAAAACTAATTCTCCAGAATTTAGCCCATCAAATTGTCAACTTTGAAGCCGGCCAAAAAGATAGCGAGAAATGAAAGTCCTTGCCCTATTTTCTTCTTTTGCCTTTGCTCATGGTAGTTTCTTTGAATCGGATTTGTATCAACGACAGATGCAACTTGAGGATTGCGTCAAAAGAAACATGCTTTACGGCGAATCGGCGCTTCAAATGAGAAAGAGATTCATGATGGTCCAGCTTGCTTGCGACAAAGAAATTCCAAAACCTTCATACTTTTAGCTAAATATTTTAATAAAAATCGCTATTGATGTCCGTCGTTATCTTTTTGTTTATTTAAATTGATAAATTGTTATTTATAACTTATAAATATTTATAAACATAAGCTCATTAAACATTGACCCTTGCTATTTATCTACAATCATAAGAAAAATTTTTCGCCAAAACCGGAAACTAAACAACATCAAAGATAAAAATTTACGGTATTACTATTAAATGAAAAGGGCATCGAGTCGATGCTATCGATGCTCCATATTTGGTCATTCAGATTACGAGCTCTTTATAAGGCGTAATGAAATCCATCAATTACTCAACATTTACACTCAGAATTCAATCCACTACTATCCGCGCTGCCTTTGTTCACTCATTGACTCACCTCAATAAACTCAAGCATTTCCCCCGCCAGCAGGCAAATCATCAATTCGGCCGAGAATTCCATCCTGATGGAAAAATCGGTTCCCATCCACCACCAGGTGGACCAAAGAGACAATATGGGCGTATATAATCGCCGGTATCCCCTTAAAAACCTCATAATTCAAAATTTGATAAATTCAAATTAAAATTCAAAAAGATGGAATTCCAATTTAAACTTTTCGAACTCGGAAGACTTCAAAAAGCAGAAAAAATTCTAAAAGGATTTTTGCACAATCATGCGAAAAAGAGAAACTTCCAAAAAGTACTTGAGAACATCTTGTCAATCGTCGAAAATTACCAGAACGCAATCGTCGATTTCGGCATCGACCACGAAGACTTCGAGCTCGAGCGAATCAGCTGCTTCGTCGAAATCATCATTCAATCGACCATCTCCTGCTCGCTCTACTGTCAACGAGAAATTGACGAGCTACAGAAACTCTATGGCCAAGAAGATTTCGGCCTTATTTCGAGAAAATGCCGAGACGCCCTTTTGACTTTTTGGCAGAAAGGAATCATGCTCAAACCTAGAATAAAGAATGCTCTCGATCATGGCTGGAATCGAGAAACTTTTATAATTTTACTCAAAAGAATTTGACTTTATCCTGTTTTCAGACTTTTACTGCTTTATTTTATTCTTTATTATGCCCTTGACCCCGACTTTGTTAACTTTATCTGACTGTTTTTAAAATAAAAACACTTTTACCTCTTCTCTGCTATCTTTCTTTGCTGTAGTGATTCTGATCATTAAAAAATGGTACGAATTAAAGTTATTTTTGAGATAGGAAGTCCAAGGCTTGGACTCCAAGCGACTTGTTTGATTTTTCTTCTGCTCGTTTTTAACGACTCGAATCTTTTTGATCGAAATGAAAAGGGAAAACGCCACAAAACTAGACAGACTTTTCCCTAGACATTTATTTTATAGGCTATAAAAGAATCCTAGTCCCGGAATACTACTCCTTACTTCACTCCTAATGTCTAAGGAAAAGGGCAAAAGGGATAAAGGGATAGCACGATATAAAGCGACGATTAAGCCGCAAATGGTTAAATTTCCAATTGATAAGAATGGATAACGAAGATCGCTTTAAAGTTCGCCAGCTTGAAAGACTAGCAAAATCGAAAGATATTTTAAGAGATTTGCAAGGCTATGTTAGAAAGAGACACTCCCGAATAATACTGGCCAACATTATCAGACAAATTGAAGATTATCAGAGAGCGATTGATCGTTGTGGAAGAAACCATAGACACTTCAGCGTCGAGCGAGTCAACTGTTACGTCGAGATCATCATTCAATCAACGATCTCATGCGCTCTCAACTTTGAACATGCAGTTATTCAATTGCAAAGGATCTGCTCAGATCAAGCTTTCCAATGTCTTTCCGGTAGATGCCGAGAGAAACTTTTGAAATTTTGGCGAAGAGATGACCTTGACTTTCACAAGCGAAGGATTAATTATGCTCTGGATAATGGATGGAATAATCAAACTTTCAAAGTTTTAATGGATTTATGATGACCGACTCTGAACTAGTTTATTACCTGCTTCTTTCATTTTTTTCGACTGCTTTGTATATTTATGACTGATATTGACTGCTATTTATAAAAAAAAAATAAATAAATGCATGTTAAAAAAAAAACTGATGAATTATTCTTGAGTCGTGACTCTCCTTACCCTGCTGCCGATTGTTCGCACCATTCATTCATGAATTCGTGATCATCAGGCACGGACTTCTTTTATTATAAATAAAAACAAATTTTTGAAATCTTTTTCACTTTATTTATTCAAAAATATTAGTAAAATTACATTAGGAGGCAGCTTTGATGGATGAATTATTTTTGAGTCGAAGCAGAAGCACTTTATCGTCGCCACCAAGTGGCAGTTGTCGAGGTAGAGCGAACAGAACCAGTCGGTGAGCCCGGTCGGTCGTTTGAGAATAGCCCGGCCACGGCGTCACCGAGTTTGTGGGAAAGGCCGCCGCGGACGTTTCGTTCTTGGAGTTCCTGGAGCTCCTGGACTCCGAGGGCCAGCTCGTTGACCACCGCCCTAATAGAGATTTAGACTCCGAGGGAACACTGAATAACCTACATTTGCCCCCTGCTTTTTCGTTGAATTTCGTCAAGCTTCGCCTTCACAGCTTTCATCGCTTGACGTCGTGCTTCTTCGTGTTGCATGTTGTTCGCATCATTCATTTGCTGAACCATCATGAATTCGTTATTCTGTCGCTCAAGTTGACGCTCGATCTGAATCAGCCGCTCGCCCTGGCTCGTGTCGTGCTCCAAAAGTGCCTTTTGAATTTCGCCGAAGAAAGCGCGTCGGAGCTCGTCTTCTCGAGCTTCCATTTTCTGAAAAAATGAGTGCTGAAATCAAGGAGGAAAACTTACCATTTCCAGGTCGACTTTCATGCGCTCCATGTAATTCACATTTGCTTCATTTTCGCGTCGCTCCTTGTTTAATTGAAGCGTTTTTTCTTCGAGAGTGGTGACCATTGAGGCGAGATCTTCATTTGTAGCTCGGAGTTGTTTTTCCAAACGTTCGATTTTCGAAGCTTGAGACTAAAAAATGCTCATGAAACTATTCATTTTTACTCATTATTTTAGCAAAAAGGAAAGTTTCTCGAGAAAAAATTTGCGTCATGTAAAGATTTTCACTTTTATTGTCTCACAAGCTTATTCTGTGCAGCTTGGCTACCATCGTGGACTTTGTTAGTGGCCGCTAGATTCTCCGTTTAAATATGCCAATCTCATAAAAAATCACTGATCTTGCTCCGAAAAGATACTCAGTATCCTACAATCGTGAATATTCCTGATTTCTTGTGAATAAATACAATTGTGAATGAATAAAAATGAAGGGAAAGGGAAAAAGAGGAGAAATAAAGCCGAGAAATTACGGGGTATGTTCTTACTTAACTTAATTGATAAGAATGGATCACGAAGATCGATTCAAAATTCTCCAACTCGAAAGACTAGAACGGTAAAACAAATTTTAAGAGATTTGCAAGGTCATGTGAGGAGAGATTACTCTCGAAGAGTCCTGGCTAACATCATCAGACAAATTGAAGATTATCAAAGAGCAATTAATAATTTCGGTAGAGACCATCGTGACTTCAGTCTCGAGCGAATTAATTGCTACGTCGAAATCATCATTCAATCAGCAATGTCATGCACTTGCAACTTTTGTTTTTATTATTAAAAATCAATTAAAATAAATGAAATTTGAAAGAAACCTGATTGAGTCTTTCCATTGCTTCAAATTTGCCTCGGAGCTCGATTGTTTCTGTTTCCGCAGCGTTTATTTTCATCGTAGTTTTATCTTTGGCCACGAGCAAGTCTGAGAGGTCGTTTTCGATTGAGGTAGATCGTTGAGTAGCTTGTTGAGTTTTTGTATTCGCGAGCTGGACTTCGCCCTTCAGCCGGATCAGTTCTGCTTCTATTTTTGCTAGTTTCTCGGCGTTTTCGACTAAAGACGCATCGATAGGAGCTAAAATTCCTATCATACCTTGTTTGACGATATCAGTTTTTCCAGCAACGCCACCAAGCTCATCCTTCAAACTCATTCCGCCCTGATTTTGCTGATTGCTTTGCGACTCTTTTATCTCAAGCATTTTCTGCTCCAGCTCAAACTTGAGATCGTCCAGGCCTCTTTGTGCCTTTGATTTTGACTCTATCAGCATTTCTACGTCTTTCTGCAGCTTTGACTGAGTCGAGTCGATTTCTTGAGAGAGCTTTTTGATCTTAGCTTCGAGTTCGGATTTGGTCGATTCTTCGCGTTGGATGAGATTTTCCGCCATTTTCGAGGCTTTTTCTGCTTCCTATTTTTTGATGTTCAAATTTGTCCTCCTTGATTTTTCACAAGTAATCATTTTTAAAATTTGAACATTCCCTTTAAAATAGCTTCATCACTCTCCGACTTTTCCTCTTCAATTTTATTGAGTCTTCCGATCGCATCGTCCAAAATATCATGAACCTCACTCAACCCATCGCCGACAATTTTCTGCACCTTCGTGTCCGAAACAAAATCATCCATCTTTTCCATCTTCTTTTCCTGAGCCTCGAGTTTTTCTTCGAGAGATTTCAGAGCTCGCTTGGTTTGTTCACGCTCGGAGATGAGCTCGGCTTGAGCTTTTTGAGCGCGCTCAAGTTCGGCTGCGATTCGGTCGCGTTCTTGAGCGACTTGTTGGGCGACGGACTCGCCGTCCAGAGCAGCGGTTTGTTGGGCGTTTAGTTGGGTCTGAAATTTTCTGCTATTTTCGGATAAAAACGAAGCTTACAGTACCTTGAGTGAAGAAATAGAGCTCTCAAGCTGGTTCATTCTAGCGGTATCGCCAGTTATCTTTTCCTCCACCAGCAAAATGCTCTTTTTGATATTGTCCTCCGCATCCTTGACCAGCTCAACTTTCCCCCTTAAATTCGCAATGGATTCTTCGTTTGTTTTCCCCACTTCCGCAGCGATCTTAAAATCTTTGTCCATTTTGAAAATTTGCTTTGCGATTTCTTTCGTCTCCGTGTTTTGCTTTTTCACGAGAAAGTCTTTTGACGCTAGAATTTCTGCTTGAAGCTTTTCCGCATATTCATCAAGAAGGGATTTTTGAGAATCTTCAGAAGATGAAAGATTCGCGCGTATTTCTGCGATTTCTTCGAGAAGTTTGGTCGAGGAGTCTTTTACTTCATCGATGACGTTTGAGTATTTCTCCATTTTGTCATCGATCTCCGTCGAAGTTTGCTTGATCCGATGCTCTGCCACAGCAATTGTCTTGTCCTGGCCAACAATTCGCTCTCCCTGCTTCGCCAATTTGTCCGACAGCTCGAGGACAGCGGCGCTGATGGTATCAAGTTGAGCATCATTGTTGACAGCGTCGGTAAGCGCTTTGACAGAAGCCTGGATGCTTTCAATCGCGATTTGAGTTTTTTCGCGATCTTCGGTGAGAAGTTGAAGGTTCGGAGCAGCGGTTTGCTGGAATTGAAGGAGTTCGCTCAGTTTGATTTCGGTTTTTTGCGATTGTTCTTAAACAAATGAGAATTTTCAGACTTCGGGACCTGGGTCTTCATTTTGTTGGTAATTCAAATGCCAAAGATTAGGAAAATTATTTATACCCAAAAATTAAATAGAGACTTATGGTTTGTAAAAAACTTATTCGATAGCTTATGTTAGTTATTCTAATACCTATATCAGCTGACATCTGCTCACTCATTAATTTCTCCAGCTCTAGAATCGAATTTTTCAGCGCCTCCAAAGAAGCGACATTATGATTTCTATCATCAGCCAGTTTGATAACTTCTTCATCGATGCTCGAAATCTTTTCGCTGAGCTTAGAAATCGATTTCTTCGTATTTTCATCCTTTTCTTGCACTTCGCAAAGTTCAGAATGAAATTTTGACGACTCCGAAGTTAGATTTTTCAATTGCTCATCGACTTTGGCTTCTTTTTCTTCCGTTACCTGGCGTTTCGTGTTTTCATGCTCGCGAAAGCCCTCGAACTCGATGCGCAAGTCGGAGATTTCTTTCTTTTGATAGTCGAAAATCGCGTCACTGTGGTCTTTGTGTTGGGCTACTCTTTCTCGCATTGCATCGACACCTTTTTGGAGCTCGAATCGCGCAGTCTCCGCCACATTTAATCGTTGAATGATCATGTCTTTGTCCACTCGAACTTCTGCAAGCTGCTGGTTGAGAAGTTCAGAAGAGACACCTCCGCCAAGACTCATTGTGTCCGCTTGCGCTGCACTTGGGGACTGAGATGCATTGAAGGAAGCATCCATGACTTTTTCTTCGACAGCCATGATCATTTCGTGAAGATTTTCTTGAACAGTCATCAGTTCTTCCGCTGCTTTTTCAGAAGAAGCTTCGATGAGAGAGCAGGAAATCGATTTGACTTGGTCGATTTTTTCATCCAATTTTTTCATCAACTCTGGATCGGAAGACATAGAAGTGTTCCCACCTGCAGTAGATCCGCCTGCGCCAGAGGCGATTTCTTCACGCGTTTTGCGGATAGTGTCTTCGAGGAGCTGGAGTTTGGAGGATTGTGATTCGCATTGAGCTTCATTTTTCTCGACGATTCCAACGATTCTGTCGAGCACTTCTTGCTTTGATTTTGATGACTCTTCGAGAGTTGAGACCCGCAGTTCGACGGATGATGAATTGTTTTTAATCTGAAATTGTTTTGTTCATTAGCGAAACTGTCGTTAGAGACTGTCGTTAAAGACCTAAAGAATGATCATCGTTTTGTATCATCTTGGTCAGGGAGAAAAATTTCCATTAAAAAATATTTCATATTTTCATTATGGTTCCTACCTTTTCCAAAACATGTTTGACTTCTTCCGTGTCCGACTTGAACTCCTGAAACTCCTGCTTCAACTTCGCTGTCAGCTCAATAATCGCATCCATCGGCGCATCAGTAGCACCAAACTTCGTCACATGCTCCACCTTATCCTCTAGCATGATCAATTTCTCCTGAAGCTCATCCAACTGTGGCAAAACTTCCTCAAGCGCAGAATCTTCGCCCACATTTTCAAGCCCTGATTGATTATTTTTCTTCTCATCAGAAGAAATTGCGCCGCTTTTTACTTGTCGCTTCAGCTCGCTAGAATCATCAGGGTTAGATTCATACTTCTTTTTTGACTCAAAAAGGTTCAAAAGTGGTGCAAGTAAAAAATCATGATTTCGAGTTTATTCAACCCAAAAATGGCTGCCCACATGCGAGGATTTTACGGAGCATGGAGTTGGTTAAAACTGGTTTAATAAGCTGGTAGTTATTTGGATCAGGGAATTAATTCTAGAGATTAGTCTACAATACCTTATGTACACTGAACACCATCTATAACATGAAAATCACATAAAAACATAATCAAAAAAATTCTTCAGTATTTTACCTGATTTCTCCTTCAAGCTCCAGTCGACTCATTTTCTCCTCATCCAATCTTTCTCTTTCTTCTTCCAGCCCTCTTTGACAAGTAAACAGATCTTCTCGCAACATCTTGACTTCGGAAATCAGCTTTTCCTTAATTTCTTCGATTGCATTGAAATTTTCGATTTTGGCCGTTTCTGTTTTGAGCAAGAGTTGATTAAAGTCATCTGAACAAAAATAAGTGAGTCATTTCAATGGCCACTAAGTGGATATTTCGATAACAAAAGATTTTTTACTGCAAAAAGGTCAGTTTGAAGACTTTTTGGCGCCGAAAAAAGCACGATTCTGACTCCAATGAGAGAGATAAACGATTTGATTTTACCATTTTTAATATTTCCTCCTCCGCCGGATTGCTGCTTGAATTCTTCTCTAACTTTTTGAATTTCTTCTTGGACTTGCTTTTTGAGGTCTTCGGTATTGATAGATGCTGCGAGACCGTTTTGAGTTGGCTTCTTTGGGGTTGAATTGGCGGCGGGAGACGAGAAATCCAAGTTGTGATCTTCCAGAACAGCTTCGATTGTGAGAACTTTGGTCTGGATAATTGACCTTGTATCGCGAATTTCTTTGATTTCGGAGTCGATTCTTGCCATCCATTGCTACGAAAAGGTTCACGAAAAGATCAAAAAAGATAAATTTACCTGTGATTTTCGACGATTTATTAGCTCTTTGACATGTTCCCTTGTTTCTCTTGACATTCGCTCTTCTTTGTCGATGACGAGATCATCTTTAGGCGTGACGCCGTTTTCCATGAGAAATTCAATTGCTTGCAGGAGGTCTTCTTTTTCGAGACATTTGGTTTCCATCTCGAAGCAAGTCTCGCCACCAACCAAAATGTCCAGCGCAGAATTACCAGCCGCATCAAGAACCTGAATTTGTTGTGAAGAATTTGACCTTTTTAAAATAAGATTACTTCGTTAAAATTACTGTTTGCGTTTAGCAAATATAATAAGAGAATGGTCTTCCGTGAGAGAAATATCAAAATTTCCCAATTTTCAAGAGGATCGAATATAAAAATATTCGTGAATATGAGTTTTGAAGAAGAGATATTAAAGACTGAAGAGAAGATTAAGCAATCAATGTCAAGTGCTACCACTCAGTTTCGAAGAAAAATTCTTGCCAAGCAAAAAGAAATGGAAAAAGAGCTGCAAACGATTCGAGCGCTAAAAGAAAATTTAAACTCGATGACACGAGAAAAAGAAAAACTCGAGCTCTATGCCGAAAATGTTGGAAAGATTAATGAAATCAACAAAAACATGCTCAATCTTTACAGAGAAAAACGGGATCTTGTAATGAAAACAAACCCTTTTAATTTCTTCAGGAATTGTTTACACTTCAAAAAAATAATTTTGATGGTCTAGCTCGCTCAAGATCAAAACAACTCAAAGTGCTACGAATTTCAGTGCGAATTTGGAAATTTACGAAGATGAAGTCGAGAAAGTAGACGGACATATGGTCGATTTGCATAGGCAAATACAAGAAAAAGAACTTAATCTTTCTCTAAGAATTCAAGCTTTTGAGACAAACTTAAACAAGCTTCGCGATTCAGGTTATCAATGAATCTGTTTAGTTCATCAAAAATTTTAGTTGATACAAAATTTGAATCATTCCTGAATACTACGAATTGCATGATTTGTTTCGAAGAGTATGATCACAATGAACATTGGCACTGCACACTGACTGTATGTGGCCATCAATTCTGCGAGGAATGTTTGAAGAAACTGCGAGAAAATGAAATTTCTCGATGCCCAACTTGCAATAGAAAATTCAAAGAAGAAAATATTTTGCGAATGTTTTAGCTATATAAAATTCTCTTACCTTCATATTCGCTCCATATCTTTCCAGCGCTTCCAGCATCACCCTCGGCTTCGGATTGATACAAGCACAATGAACAGGAGTCTCCGAATAGTCCCCAAAAGCAACTCTATCCGGCCTCGCTCCCTTACTCAGCAGCAGCTCCAGCGAAGTAGCGCTCCCATTCAGGGCAATCATGTGAATCGCACGGCGACCATTTTTGTGATAATTAGCTCTTGCAGTGCCAGTTCTCGATTTTCGATCAAGCAGGATTCTGAGTTGTTTTGTATCATTTTTGGCAGCAGCTTATTTTTGGTTTTGAAGGAATCAAATTCTCAAGAATATGACTTCTGTCCTAGAATAGCCTTTGTTATCAAAACCATTTCCTTGTAAAAGCTTATCTCCCAGCTCCTTGTCTCTCACAAGTTGTTCAATAATCTGTTTTTTCATTTCATCCCCGATTTGAGAATAGTGCTGGATGTAATCCATCGTTGTTCTTCCCCACAAATTCTTGTCGGAAGGAGAGACATCAGCGTTGAGAAGTAAGCCGAGGGTTTCGCCAATCTTTCTGATTTCTTTACAATTTGATTCTGGGCGAAACAGGCAGTGCAGAGGGTTTTCTAGCTTTTCGTTCACTGCTTGGGAAATGTCATGATCTCTGAGGTAAGTCTGTAAAATTGGAAGTGGGTCGGCTTGCTGTACAATTTGAAATATCTGCTCTCGTGGCTGCGTCGGTTTTGGCAACTTTGATTGGAGCCATTTTGCTTCGAAGGAACTCGAGGCTTGTCTCATGAAATCGACGACTTCTTGCTTTACTGAGTCGCTAAGTTTTTTGCTCAAATTTGCTGCTTCGATCGCGCTGGTTCCTGAAGAACATCCTTTTTCCGCTGGATCCATTCCTTTCTTCACAAGAAATTCGATCGCGGGTTTGAGGTTTTCCCATGAAGTTGCTTTGGCATATTTGTTGAAAACGCTGTCGAAACCGACGAGGAGATGAAGTGGATTGGCCCCTTCGCTGTCTTGGACGAGAAAGTTTGCTCCGTGCTTTTCAAGAACTTCGAAGACTTTGAGAGGAAAAGGATGAACAGCAGCGCAGTGCACAATCGATTCGTTGAAGTCTTTTTCTGACTTTGCATTGACATTTGCGCCGGCGGAAATTAGCTGCTCGATGATTCTGAGATCACCCCGCATGGCGGCGTAATGCAAAGCAGTCCGGCCATGTCGAAAAGCTTTGACGTCGACATCGGGGTTTTTGAGGACATTTGCGACCTCGTCAGATTTGTTGTTTTTGACGACTTCGAAAAGTTGCTTCGTAGCGATATCTTTCTAAAAATTGGTCAAAAAAAGATCTGATTTAATTTTTAAAATCAACATTTATTCACCAAAAACGGGAAAATTATGAATAAAATTATCTAAAAGATTGGTTGTTTTGAAAATACCTTGCTCATTTTATTCTTCTTTTTCTAGCTCTCTTTTAGCTGCCGCGCGATTCGGTCTTCATTTTGATTTTCTCTCTTCAAAAAACTTTTCAATCAGAGCCAACCGGTTGGCCAGTGTTTTTTCTTTATATAGATTTTTATATCGACCGGTGGGAATTTGTCATTTCTATTCTGAGGTCATTTAAAGCTGGCCCTGCTCCCGGGCACGGTGCGATCAAACACAATCGTAGCGGGGGGCTACGAGGAGTAAATTTATTATCATGCATCCTGCTGCAAAGAAAGAAAAGCGTCGTTAAATATATTGCCAAGCCAAGTTTTTATTATTATTCTATTTATATTGTTGAGCTTTCTAGTATTTTAAAATCCTTTGAATATATCAGGGCTGACAATTTCGAAGATCATTATGTTATTTTAGAACTAAACAAGTTTTTTTTATCAAAAACGAATATAAATTGAAGTTAAAAATTGAACCCTAGGAGCACTTACAGACGCATTTTACTAAAGACCTACTCTTAACGAAATCTCTTCTTGTTATTCCTCTTTTCAAAGCAAAATTTCTTCCATTATAAATTTTGAACACTGAAAAAAGCCGCCCTGAACTTTTGTTTTTCGAAAGAGCTTTTCAGTGGAGCAACTCGACCGAGAAAAAAAACTCCAACAAAGGGAGATTTGCGCATAATGTCCACTCAATCAGCCAACCTTCTCAGCGTGTCCAAATCTTTTATTTACTAAATAAGAGTCTAATTTGTCTCTTTTTACGGTAAAAATCTGGTCAAAATTTGTCTTCAGTAAAATTTGAGAGGCTTTATTGGTTTAAAAATTCTAAAATTTGTACAGAAAACAACATTTTTCTAAGCATCAACGCTGTCTCTCTGCACCAATGACATTGGTTCTGGTGGATTTCGATGAGGAAACTCGTCGGTGACAAAGTCTAACGAAGCGCTGAAGCTTTGGGTTCCGTCCTGATAAAAACTCGGCAAGAATATGTCCTGGCTTTAGTTGCCAGTAAATTCGAAAAAATCAACGGAACCCCGATCACTGTCAAAATCAGCAGGAGGCGGGGAGGAGGCGCTTTTTGGCGGAGCAGGGGGCGCTCGTTTCGACGCTGCGCCATTCTGAGTTGTCGATGTTGTCGGCGTTGTCGTTGTTGTGGTCGTTTTGAGAGTTACTGGGTCTTTCATCACGTATGCTTCGTGGCGTTGGTAAACTTAGACGATTTTAAAAATGACTGAGTGGTTTTCCGTACCTCCAATGATGTTCGCGAAATTGTAAAGAAACATGATTGTGAACAAAATCCAACTGCAGGCCTCTACAACTCATTTGATGAATGATCTTTGTAATGATTTTACCAAGTGCTCCAAGGGTGCTATAAAAGCTCTCGATCTTCGGGGTGGTTTTCTTACATGAGTCCTCACTAAAAATAGCTTGAAAAAGAACTTCTAAAAACGATTAAGTTATCCTTGATCACAATTTGTAGTTAAAAAACCTGTCGCAGACATCAGGAGGCCCATGATAAAATTTTAACTTTTGATCGCATTTCCCATTCGATAATTCTGTCTTGATTGCTCCACATAGCCTATTGTTCAAACCAAAGCTCGACATCGATGCCTACAATAAGATTTCGATTCCATCTTTATTGCTTTGTAAATTCGTAAAAACGTCATGTTAACAAGCTTTCCTATCGATAGATGAGCAAAAGTCAATACCTGTATCAGTACGAGGATAAAGAAGATAACTCCCCAAAGAGCATTGCATTTGCGACTTTTTATGGTTCAAAAGATTTTTTCTTCAAAAGAATTCGCAATAAAAATAAAAATTTTCCCGTATCACTTTGGAACCGTTTCATAATGCAGCTATTCTTTCGGTTGGGTCTTTTTAGACTCAGAAATTTAAAAAAAATGAAAGTTTTTTGTTAACCTGTAGGGGCTCCCTTAAATTGGTCACTTTTGGTTCTGAATCTTTCCTGTATGAAATTCGATTGCCAGTAAAATAAGCAAAAACGGGGCTGATATCAGAATAATCTCACTGACAACAATGATATAGCCACAATTTGACCTCGGCCCAAATTCAGAAATCAAAAAAGTCGTGCCATCAAATGAATTTTCAACGAGATTGGAGTACAAGACGCAGTTTCCTTCAAAGCGAGAGAGGATAAGATTGACGATTATACACGCAGAAAAGCAGGTAATAATAGCTCCAGCGAGAAGGCCAAGACGAAGGTAGAGAATTTGGCGTTTTGTGATTTTTTCGATTCCTGGTATTTTTGCGACCAAATTGTCAATCAATCTGACGATCATTTTCTTCTATTCTTTTATCTCTCAACTGTTCTCAAATCACTCTTCCTATATCGAAATCGATCAAAGGGAGAAAAGCGAGAAATTCTTAAATTACTCTGGACCGGAGAATAGCTCGCCCGTTAAATTTTATAAATCGCAAATAACTTCAAATGGTTAGTAAATATCTGACGTTGTAATGAATTTGCCGCGCGCATCGGCGAATGCAGGGATTTGAAGATTTGGCTCACATTTCACAAGACGGGAGCTTTTATTCTAAGCGGACATTTTCAGCGGCGATGGCGATGCTACCGCCGGATCGCAGGTTTTTTAGCTCTAATGCATCAAAGATAAACTACTTCAGTGTTCAAAGAATCTTTGGTCAAGACAATAAAGGGATGATACACTCCTCATAATACTGTGTATTTTTTTTATTTCAAAAAGTCTAATTTTCAATCCAAATGAGAAGAAAGCAGAATCTACGGTGTCTGTTTGATAATTCTAGTATTTTCGTCATTTCTCTTCATCGTTGATTGCTTTCTACAGCAGAAAAGGACATCTTCGCAACATTCACTTTTTACAAATCTGTCAAAGATAAAGTTCGCCACTAGAAATTTAACAATCTTTCGATATATGTCGTAGAACTTACACAAAGCGCCAACAAGCGGACAAACAAGCGGAATCCACCAATACCAAGATATCAACTCATTCCCTCTAGCAAAGCTTTCTGGAAAACCAAGAAGAAAAATCAAAACCCTTGGTCCAATATCCCTCGCAGGATTAATTGCATAACCAGTGTTGAGGGAAAAGCATATTCCGTATGTCATCACAGCAATGCCTGTGTAGAGGGGGAGCATTGAAAGGTCAGGTTTGTGATGAGGTTTGGATTGGGAGACAGCGTTGATTGACAGAACCATGAAACAAGTCCCAGCTAAAAAATGACCAGTTACAACGCTAAAAGACCCCATTTTCGTACCTATTGAACTGACCATCGCCTGGCTAATTGAGACTCCTGCTCTCGGGTAAGTCGCAAAAATTGAAGCATTCTCCTCGTTGATATCAATGTCCATATAAATCCAAAATACAATCGCGGCTCCTATGAATGCCCCGAAGCATTGACTGATGATCATAACCATTCCATTCGTGAGAGAAATCTGCTTTGTCAACATCTTCGAGAAACTGACTGCTGGATTGATGTGTCCAGGTCCTTTTTGCCTGGCAAAATAGACGCCAAACATGGCCCCGACTCCCCAAGAAATGTGAATTTGAAGAGGACTGCCGCGGTCAGAATCGATCGTATTCACGGCGATACTGGCGAGTCCGAAGCTGTTCGAGAGTTCTTATTTTGGCTTACGTAAGGATAGATAACTTGATTTATGATTCTAAGCACCTGCAATCAAAGGTTTCTCATTTTACTACTCGAAATTCTTATAAAAATTTTACTATAAGTAATTTAATGAACCGTAAATAAAAGAAATAAGAACACCTTTCCCACATAAGATCGCCGTGCCCAGCATTTCCGCGATGCATGTTTCAAGCAAACTTTGCATGTGACCAAGAATTTTGAACGTTCAAAACTCCCGAAAATAGAAATTTCCAAAAAGGGCGTTTCCAAAAAAGGCGTTTCTCTTTCGACTGCTGAGTCCGGTATTTGCTCTCGATCGAACGAGTTCGGAGAATACAAATAGAATTATTGAAGATTTGTCCTTGGACCTTTTTTGTGGAAAGTTCCCAGGAAAGTTCTACAGTACTTTTCTTAGTTCATAGATTGCTTTATTCTAGTAGATAAATAGTGGCAGAGATAGATTACATTTGAAAATTCTAGAGCTCAGTCGTATTTTTGTTCTCGTCGTTTTTGACATCATCGATTTCGTTTCTTCTCAAACAGCTTTTGCAAGTTCCAAGATCAATCCAATAATCACCTTTGATGAAATTATCAAAGATGAAATTCGCCACTAGAATTCATTAAATCAATTCTCTAATCAAATTCTTACAAATAGCGCCAATAAGCGGACTAATAATCGGAATCCACCAATACCACGAAATCAAGTCGTTTCCTCTCGCAAAACTGTCTGGGAAACCGACGAGAAAGATGAAAAACCTCGGTCCGATATCACGAGCAGGGTTGATTGCATAACCTGTATTCAGAGAGAAGCATATTCCGTAGGTCATGACAGCGACTCCTGTGTAGAGTGGGAGGAGCGTGAGGTCGGGCTTGTGTGCTGGTTTTGACTGGGCGACTCCGTTGATGGAGAGAATCATAAAGGCGGTACCGACTTTTTTGGAGGTCACAAATGAGTTGATTCGAGAATCAGTAAAAACTTTGATCTCCTGCCTATTGAACTGACCATTGCCTGGCCCGTAGTCACACCCATTCTCGGATAAGTTGCAAAGATAGACGCATTATTTAGATTAACGTCGATATCCATATAAACCCAATAAACAAGCGCTGCTGCAAGAAAAGCTCCAATACATTGGCTTATAATCATTAATATTCCATCACTTTTCCAAGAGTTCAAAACTTCAAATTCTCATGATCTTATGACTAATCCCACAAAAGAAAAAAAGATCAAGGAACTCTCACATGACATCAATATTTCTTCTTAAAAGCTTGGCGAAAGTAACGGAGGGATTGATGTGCCCAGGACTCTTATGCCGTGCACAGTAGACCCCGAACATAGCGCCAACTCCCCAAGATATATGCACTTGAAGAAAGCTCCCTCTTTCTGGGGCAATCGTATTCACGGCTATACTAGCAAGTCCGAATCTTCAACGAGGAGATTGATGTTTTCCGAATATAACATTCGAAAAATGTTTATCTCTCGATTTTTATCATTCTTTTATTCTATTAGCCTCTCTTGAAAATGACAGTTGAACTTTTCGCATTTTGAGAAAGACGCAATTTCTAATGGCACAATTGTAGTCATCGGAAGCTAAAGGATTGAGAAGAGAAAAGTTAGACGCGCAGGTCTTTAAGATAGACAGCAGTCACTCAAAATGTCTGTCAGCATGATTTCTTTCCGCTGAAAATACGTGGTGAATTCAAGAATGACTCTTGAAGAGTAGACAAAGAAATGAAGAACACTCCTCAACAGTAATATTGAATAAATGTCGAACTTCAAGTTGGTAGTGTCTTTTTCTATTTTATTAGATTCTCTTCTAAATGAGACTTGAAGTTTTGTAGTCATAGCATCTTTGAAAGCTGAGAGAAAATGAATAGACAAGTGGGTCCTTTTCGAAGACAGCACTGACGTGCTTTTTTTAAGGTTACTGTATTTATTTCTCCCACTTACTACTTTGAATACCCAGAACATCCTATATATTTGGAATCAGTGCAAAAAATCTAGAAACTTGACCGTAACCGATTCTCAAAAATCACTCCCGGTTACGATTCTAGAGCCGGAAATGCAAAAATCATGAACCTACGGTACCTTAAGAACCCCTAGACAATGGCATATTAAATTGAGTCTTGCATCATTTTAGATTTGTCTGTGATATAATAAAGTCTAGATGAGCTCTTTGTCGATTCTAGAGCCAGTTCCTGATGACATTTTGTGATATAGCAACTTCTAATTTTTAAATTTTATCAGTTTTCGCCTCTAGAACCGACTAAAAAAAGCTATCTTACCTTTATTATATCACAGACAACTCGAAAATGACACAATACTCAATTTGATATGCCATTGTCTAGGGGTTCTTTAGGTACCGTAGGTTCATGATTTTTACATTTCCGGCTCTAGAATCGTAACCGGGAGTCATTTTTGAGAATCGGTTACGGTCAAGTTTCTAGATTTTTTGCACTGATTCCAAATATATAGGATGTTCTGGGTATTCAAAGTAGTAAGTGGGAGAAATAAATACAGTAACCTTAAAAAAAGCACGTCACTGCACTTAACATGTCTGTCAAAATGGCTTTTCTCTGCTGAAAATATCTCGATAAATTGCCGTTAGATTCAACAAAGGCTCATCGCTAGTTGAACAAGAAGGATATAATTTGGCCATTTTGTAGAAAACGACAAATAATAAGAATTGTAAAACATAGTTCAGTACATGCTCTTATAAGAAGTGCCGAGGGTTGTTTCAAATAACATAAGTGATAAATGAAACATAGAAATTAGTTATTATCAAGGAAGAGCTTCTTTTTGATTACACAAGTTCTAAAGTAACCGTGAACCGGGTAGATTTGTTCTTCTGACTAAACTCGGTTTCGCAAAATCTGCGATTTCAATTCTCCTTTCCCGCATAAGATCGCAGTGCCAATCATTTCTGCAACGCAAATGTCGAACAATCTTCGCGCATTACCCATCGCCATCGTTGAGTAGATGACCTCACTTCCCCAAAAGGCGTTTCCCGAAAAGGCGTTTCTCTTTATACGGCGAGTGTTGATTATCCAAAAGTATCCAACGTGCAAATTTTATCACGCAATTAAATCAGATTCGGATGAACTTCGAAAAAAGAGCCGGTCTCGTTAAACTTCTCTGACTTTTTTCAACTCCGGAAAAGATTTTATCTTGTTAGTGTCTACCTTCTAATGAATAGAGGAGCCTGCAAGGCTTGTCAAAAAATGAGTCATGTCTTTTGGCGAGAATAATTAAGGGGAGCACGAAGCAAAGTCTTGTTGCTGGATTGCAATAACGATATTTGTGATAAAAATCAGTGAAATCACAATTTGAACTTCATCGTACCAGGATTAAATCTTACTGAACTGAGAAAGAAGCGTCCAAACTCCGGGAGTACAGTACGAACTTCTTAAATTTCCGCCATGGAAAGCCCACGATAAATTGACGCCTTTATCGGCAATTTATATTAAGGAAAAGGCTTTTATCTGATGAAATTCTGACTCAGGTAACAGATAAACGGGCGACGGAACGACGAAGATGAATCCGAGAAATTTTCCGATATCACTCCCCCGCGCCGCTCTGGCGACATCCCCAACTACTATAAAAGCGTCCGTATCTTCTCAGAAGTAGTAAAAAGAAAAAACCCTCAAAAGAAAGATGAAATTTCTTAAGACTCTTCTCGCAATTCTCTACCTATTCTGCCTCGTTTCTGCTGACTTACTGTACCAGAATCGAATACAGAACGGAGTCTGGATGTATAAAAATGGACTGCGACCAGGGTCTCGAAAAATTGGAAGTGCGGTGGGTGTGGAAACGCGCTCTCGAGCGCTCCACTTCTGCGCGCTGGAAGTGCGTGTTTAAAAAAACATCCACCGCACGTCCAAATTTTCGAGACCCTGACTGCGACGAATGCTTGCTCCACGAAATCCGACCTACAGAAAAAGCGTTGACGAAAATCAACGATCAAGAAGAAAAAATCTCTTCAAACATTATCATGGAATATCTGCATAAAAATGAGCCTCAGCTCTTGATTATGATGCCTTTATCACCTGCACTAATTCAATTTCGATAATTTGCTTGCTTCAGTAAGCAATCTATAATTAAAAAAGAATAAGAAAGAATTTTAATTCCTTTTTTCGAATCTCGATAATTGATGTTTTATTAAAAGTATTTTTTTTTTCATAAAAGAAGGAAGCTGGAAGCTAGGTATGTATTTGGCTGGAAATAGAAGTGTCTTTTTATGTTGGAAATTAGATTAGATTACTTTGGTAGTTCGTTCATTTTCATCGTTGAAGCAGGGATAAGTTGAATATACAAATTCGACATGTCGGTTAAAAAGTTATAGAAGTTCAGGTTTTTTATAATGTTTGTGGACTGAAGATATGTTTCAAAGGGAGTAAAGGCCGAATGAATAATAAAATTAAACGCCTAGGTAAACTTTTCATCGACGCGGAAATGAGCGCGAGTGACGTCGTTGGGATTGATGAAGACAGAAATTGAAGATCCTTTATTTTGTTGAACCATTTTCTTGACCCTTTCAGCAAGGGATTCTTGGGACTCCTCAACTTGGGGGTCGTTGACTCGGACATGAGAGTAGAGCGCTTGACCGGTGGAGTCGATTCCCGAAACGACACGCTTTTTGCCGTAAGACTGTTCATTGTGAACCTAGAAGCAACAATGGTAATCATCGAAAATTAATCAGTAAGAAATGCGCGGTAAAAGTACTGTACCTGAGTGAGGCCTCTAGCAGCAGAAACTTGTTCTAGCGCGTTTCGTATCTGTTCAACTGGATCTGATCGTACCATAAGAATAATTTGGGCTGATCAAACATGGTCAATTAGTGTTAAAAAGCTGGCTAATTACCAAGTGAAAGAATAGTAGCATCGTCAGTTTTGTCAAGGAGATTTACATGTGGAAGAAAATATGAAGGACAGGAGCGGGTGAGGAGGCATTTGAGCACATCGTCTATCAGTCCACAGAAAAACGAGGGTATTTCGTCTTCTCGGGAAAGATATTGATTCTAGGAAAGCGTTGATATACGAAGTTGTTGCAAGTCGTACCTGAACTCGGTCACATGCCCAGAAAAATATTGCACGAAGAGCATAAGGTCTGAGAATCGTCTTCTGCCTCGATAATGCTCGAGCCAGAACAGTTCTCCAGCAGTAAAAGACTTTCATAAATGGCTGTGGAACTAATTTCTTTAGTTGAACCTAAATATCACTTTTCACATCTATTTCCAAAACGTCTCTTACCTCAGAACGAGCAAAACAAAAGCGCCAATCCGTTGAATTCCTCCCTCGACCAGGGAGCAAGTGGAAAGCTCCAGCTGCGTCTGAATGTCTCAAACCAGCTCGCTGCCAAAATTTTCCTGTTTCTTGAAGCCACGGAGCTGCTACCTAAAAACTCTTCTAGCCTTTCGTAAAGCCTCTCTCCCAATTACCTGTGGCCAACCTCGAAAAGATATGCAAGGAACAAGATCGTATAAAATTCTAGTTCCTCCGGCCATCAGAATCAGAGTGAAAGCTCGTTTTGGACAACCAGCTGGAACTGCCAACAAGATCTTGGGTTTTCCCTTCTTTTCTTCTATTCTCGCTTCTTGGCAAATTATTTCGAGACATTTTAGAAACCAGTTCCACACTCGTAGGGCTAAAAATCATTATTCGAATCGCAGAAAAGGGGACTTCTTACAAGAAAGTCTTTGTTGGCCAGAAGGTTCGGTGATGAGCGAATCTTGCCATAATCTGTGATTATCCGGATCATTCATCATATCTATCGGAACTATGCTTTCTCCAGGCTCACAGCCCTTCAGATCTAGCTGCTGCCGCTCATTTGCTCGCATAACTGGCACTAGAATTGGCAAATGAAGAACACGACTTTCAAGAAAATAAACGAACCTAGTAAAGTGTAGTCCAAGTCAAAATCTTGCCCCCTCGTAAGAACCAACTTGTCGTAATCGAGGTCGATGTCTAGAGGATTTTCTTGCTGAACTGGTGGATTATTATCAGGGCTTGTCGATTCTGTCGGTAAATCTAGCGGTTGCTCTTGAGGAGGAGGGATTGTTTCGGATTCAGGAGAAACAAGAGCTTCGCTCGTTTGTTCGTTGGCAGGACTCGTATCTGAAAAAGAACAGTTCATGTCAGCGCTGCTTTTTCTGGAATTTCACGGTAAATTTTCCAAAAACACGCCGCAAATAAGCTTAATGCAACGATATAGGCGCGCAAAGGTCATCTTTTTAGGGATAAAGGAACTCATGACGTCTTTGAAATTAAGTAAAGTTGCGCAAGTTGTAATTTCTAATCGCCGAAATATCAACCCCAGCTTCGAAGCATATATAAACAGATCCAACCCTTCTACTCATCATCTCACTGATCTTGAAATACTCGAGACAAGGAAAAAACCTTAAAAGTCACTTTCAACATGAAACTTTTTGCCACCTTTATCGCCATCGCCTCCGCCCAGGAGTACAACTACGAGAACCAAAACTACGAATATGCTGATAGCTACGATTACGGCACTACAACTGGTAAGTCACATTCTTTTTCAGCTTAAAAATAAGCTAATGAAAGATAGCGTAAGAAAATTGTTAGCATCGCGTAATTTTCTTAAGAAAAAGAGCTAACTACTTTTTTTATTCGTATCAAATAAAGACATCTAAGAGAATACATTTTAATTGTTCAACCGAAGTTGTACATCTGATATGACGCTGAGACGATTCGTCTTTGCCATCAATCAACAATCTATAGGCATAACGCACAAAAAATCGACTTTTTATCTGAAAGTCGTAGAAAGCTAATTTTCACCTATCATATAGATTTTTGTGCCCAGACAACGTTTCAACAAAAAAAAATTTCAAAAATTTAAAATTTAGTACTTTTTTAGTACCCCAAAGTTGTCAAAAAATTGATTTTTCGTGCCATCCAAGCTACGGGGTTGTAAGTATGCTCATTCGAAAGAGCACAAAAAACTGAGTCAGATACATCGAAAAAAAGGGGTTCCTAGGGGGGTTCCCCAGATTTTAGGGGTTGAAAATCACAAAAATGATGAGTCATCACTCAAAAATGACCCGATTTGACCCCGAAAATGAACTTTTTATGAACTTTTGACTTCAGATTCGAACTCTGGGGTACTAATTTACTGTATTCCCATTGTTTTAGCAAGAAATATCAAAAGTTGTTTTTTGACCGGAAATGACGTCATCACACGATAAAGCGAATGAAACCCCAAATTTGGCTGATTTTAAGGGGTTTTTCATCCCTAGAATCCAGGGAACCCCACCAGGAACCCCTTTTTATTGATAATTCTGACTCAGTTTTTTCCGCTCTTTCGAATGAGCATACTTAGAATACCGTAGCTTGGATTGCTCGAAAAGTAGTCAGAAAAGGGGTGAAAAAAAGTACTAAACTGTAACAAAAAATTTTTTCCAAAAAATTTTGAAAAGTCATTTTTGGTGTTTTAGTTGCTCCCAAAGTTTCAAACTTGCATCTATTACAGGGAAAAAGTTGATTTTTTTGTGCGTTATGCCTAACAATCTAGTAGATTATCTACAAAACTCTGTGTAACAAAGAAATTCTAGTCGCCAATGAAGCCGTCACTGAGCAGGTTGCCGCCGCTGTTGCTGATCTCGCCGCCAACGCCGTCGCTGCTGGCCGAAACTACGGTAACAACAATAACGCCTACCCAGCAAACAACAACTACCCTTCCTACCCTGCCGCAACTGGGCTCCAGTGCTGGCGATGCGATGCCGACTCGTTTGAGCTCTGCGAGAGCACTGGCTCCGTCCAGACTTGCCAGGCAAACGAGGGCTCCTGCGAGCTCGAGATCCGAGAGCGCAACGGTTACATCATGCAAATCCGAACTGGCTGCAAAGCCAAGGACGCTTGCGAAATGAACATGGCGCAGAACTTCAAGCAGCAGAATCCTCACTACACTGAGTGCCGACCGGAACCTGGATACACTCACTCTGGTAATCAACTTCCCATCGCATTTCCCTTAACCTTTTTAAGTCTGCCGACAGTGCTGCAGTGAAAACCTCTGCGTCAAGGAACCAAGCTGGTGGTACCCAACTACCCGAACCGAGTGGGCTTACAAAGGCGAATCTGGTTACTAAACAACTTGAAAAATCTTCCGTCTCTAAGTGAAACTCAAAACTGGACAATTAACGAAAGAAATCCTCTATTCTTTCTGTCACTTCCCCCGCTCTTGAAAATTGCTTTAATAAACCGCTCCCTTATAACGCTCTTCGCCTCTTTTTACCTGAAATTGTGGCTGTAGAATGTAACTCGTCAGATAGTAAATCGACGTTACTTCTTTCGGACACAGGAGATGTAAGAGAACTAAAAGATTCTGTAATAATCTGGAAAAAGGGATGTTTTGGGCTCGGCAATCTATGCAGAAACCTGAGTCAGGGTTCTTAAACAGCTTTTGTAAAAATCTAATCCGAGCTCTGACTCAGATTTCTACACAGGTGATCAAGCGAAGTGGATCTTTTTTACCTTGGATCCGCGGAGGAAGGAGCAGAATCCGCAGAAATAAGTGGAGGTGGCTCAACAGGAGGTTCTGGCGTAGGCCTTGGAACTTGAACTTCCAAATCTAGTGTTCCATCTCGCGAAGCTCCCGATAGCAGTAAATACTCGTTTGCCCCTGGTAAACGACCGTCGATCGCCTAATAAGCATTAGGAGAAAGAGAAAGATGAAGAAAGAAGACCTGAATTTTGCCTAGTAGAGTAAAAAGATGCTCCTTCATCGAGTGGACTTCGAGAGCCATCTGATCGTCGAATTCATGCCGATCTTGATTATCAAAAAGCTCGATCACTTGATTAAGACTTTCGAAACTCGCTCCAGAGGAGAAATCGACTTTGGGCAGCGAGCGACGCTCTCCATTCTCGCCCCCGCCGTTTCCCATTGATCCAGGCGGGAGGGCTATCATTCTAGAGCAGTTCTTTCTTAGTACAAAATAGTAGGTTGCTTGAAATCTTTTGCTTGTACAGTTTATCGAACGTTTGAGAAATCGTCGCGGCCAGATGTTGAAATAAGGCCAGCTGTAACTATTTCTACGCCTCGATCGCCGAGTTTATATAACACTTCTTTTTTCGATTCTTCGTCAGGTCGGATGACGGTTATTTTTCCAGTCACATCACTAGTGATAAAAGTAAATTGGGAAATCGATAGCGAATTGGGCCTTTTAAGGTGTATCGAAGGGGTCTCAAAAAGAATAAAAAGGTACCTCGCTAGTCCAGTCTTCAAATTCTGCAAAATGACCACTTGGTCAGAATTGTGCGCCCAATATCTCGCGAAATTTTCGTCCTCTTTTTCACTTTTTCTCGGCGTCAAACTAACACACAATCTCCTAAAAAGAGCGAATAGATATTATTTGGTCCGAGGAAACGTTGTCTGTAATACCCTCTAATCTTTCTGAAATCGATCACGTGTTCAATTGATCGTTCAAAAAGAAGAAGAGCTCAACTCAGGCTCCCGAAGGAACCTGTCACGCATTTTTTAATTATTGAGAGTTTTAATAACTCAATTCAGTAGCGACTGCGTGGAGCACCAAAAATATTGAATAATTTCAATAAGTACCAAGCAGGCTAGTTTCATTTCACAAAGAAATGAAACAAAAAGACTTCTTTGTCTTAGAAACTAAGATTAATTTTTACCTTTCACTGTCGATAAGTCGGTCAATAAAAGCCCTTAATTTGAGGTATTTATCATCTGTTTCAGGAAGAAGGCTGCAAACAATATCTTTTACAAGGAATTTTCATCTTGAAAAGAGGGGTCACAAAAATTTACCGGGTCATAAAGATACCAATAAAGCCCCCCCAGACAGCTTATTGGGCCCAAAAATAATAGACAGTAGACCAAGATTTAGCCAGAAAATTCCTTTCCTAATCCATCAAGCACAACAAAGTCTTTCTCCGCAAAGCTGCTCACTAATTTCTCGATTGCTTCCAATAGATCTTGCTCTGAATCGCAAAGCTCCGCCCCATTTACAAATGAGACTTTGCAGGAATTGGAGTTGGAGTTGTTGCCTAAATGAAAAAGCAATTTACAAACGCCAATTTGAACCTTTTCAATTTCAACTCTTTTTTCTTTCGATTTTTCTTTTAGTTACCTGCACTTGACTTTTGATTCTTCTCATTTGATTTTAAAGTTGAATTCGCTGCGGTAATGGTGAATTTGGAGAAGTTGCATCGCTCGGCTGCCTACTGGAGTCGTGGAAATAAATAAGGCATTCAGAAAAAGGGGTGAAAACCGCACCTTGCTCCAGGCTGATTGGAAGTCCACAAATGAGATGATTCTTGCGCTGTTGCCAAGTTCAATCGCTCTTTGTACTCGAGCAAGAAGCGCTTTTAGGGTTTATTTTATCTGGCACTAGTTTATCGAATTAAATCTGTTTCATAATAAATAATTACAGTTACAGTAACTTATTATAAATCCTTTCCGAAACGACTAGTCTGCATTGGCGAAGTACAAATGAACAGCTCATTCTCAACAATATCTCCTAAAGCTGCATCCATTCTAAATATTTGAAAAGTGAATTTTAAGTATTGCGGACTTGCTATTTTCTAGCACTAGAACTTAAGAAGAGGGTTAGAAGAAGAAAGTATTGTCTGAAGAAAAAGCACCCGCCATTCTGAATTCACTTGGCGTTACAGAAGCGTACAGTCGTTGCGGAAGTTTTGCGCTTACTGGAACTGGTCGGTTCACCATCGCGCTAGAATACGATTGAAAAGAGGGAACGAGGTTGTTTTTAATACCGAAGAATGTATTCTCTATTTGATGGGCTGAGATTTATCAAAGAATAAGGAGCCTTAGGTGAATTTTCGTCCACTCTGCGGGGCGCCGAATCATTAATCTTTTCAAGTATTATCTTCGCGATTGGTCCTCGTGCAGCTCCTAAAAACAATTCAAAAGTTCGACCCTTCTACTGCAGACTGTGGCTCACCTTGAATGACTGTTTCCGGGGAGGAGAGGAATGATTTGTTGAAATCTTTGACGATTTCTTTGGCGTCTCCCGATTCGGAAAAGTTCAAATCAAGCCAAGTCAGTCTACCCTGGAATGTCTCTACAGTTGACAATTGATCGGCTACATCTTCGACCGCTAGAATTTAAATTTGAAAGGTTTTACTTGTGATTTTCATTCAGAAACTTACCTTTGATAGATAGAGCATCATGCTGGCACAACTTTACCGTATCGCTTATTGGTATCATTTTGAACAAACACGCATCGTCGGAAGGAACATTATTGACCGCAGTAACGAGAGCTTCATGAATGATATTCGGCGCTAGGAATTTACATATTCTATCGACATGGAGGCTTTCCAGCTCGGTGAAAATGTCGTTGGCGACAGAAGTGTCATCGAATACCCGTTTTTGCCTTGAAACAGGTTCTGCTTTTGTTGTTGACCACAGATCCACCCAGTGGTTTCCTAAGAAAGCTGTTATCGAAGATCGGCTTTGTAGTGTTATACGGTATAACTTATACCTGGTAGGGTCATTCGAGCAGAAAGGCCGTTTTCCGTTGAAAAATCCGTCGGAGAGTGCCACCTCACGAAGTCTTCAAAGACCGCTCCTGGATTAGCAGCTTTGAAGGCGGACATATCTGATGAAAGCATCGTCGATTGCATCAAAATTCGATTTTCTGCCTTTTCATTCATCAATGCTTCTTGTTGTGCTTCCAACATATCTTCTGTCATGGGCGGTGGTTGCTAGTAAAAATGCTAAAATCCAATTGAAAAGGGTTCTTTACCTGAGTGATTGGAATATAAAGAGTTTTGTCCGGGAACTTCAGCAGCTTCAGGTCCGTTTTCTTCTCCCTCCCTTCTGGAAGATCTTCATTTTTGATCATTTCTTTTGAGTCATCATCTGCATCGAAAAATTCATCATCCGACTCTTCGTTTGACTCTTCAGAGTCCGCCAAAGATTGCCTCCTCTGTTCAATCGCTGTTTTCGAGAACAACTTGCCCTCGCGAAGCAACTTACATTTGATGCAATACTGGATCATTTCAACCTTTTGCTGGAGGAGCGAAAACTGCAGCTGTGGGTGTTTACTTTCAACGCAGGGGAGCAACGTCATACTCTCAAAATGCGATCTCAGTAGCTCGACGAACTTTCGCCACAGAAGAGCAAAACGAACCCCGACTTCCTTCTCCCCCATCAAAGCGTGGAAGATCGCCAAAGTGAGCTTTTGAACGAGCGAGTTTCTCGGACAAGACTTCATTTTCTGATCCAACTCTGGGCAGGTAGACCCGAGACCGGTGCTAGAAGGGGTGATCAGATCGTCAGAAAATGTGACAGCCATGATGTTTTCGATCTCTTCGAGGATGCGCTTGGATCTGCCTTCGTGCTGAACATTGGAGTCGATAAAACCGGTGATGTTGCCGGTCATTTTATTGAGATTCACGACTTCAGGTTGGCTGGAAACTTTGTCGAGCGGGTTTTCGGCTTCTGTCGATCCACCTTGACTGTATCCAATTTGAGAGAGGTAAAATCCGATCGGCATCGCATCATCCCAGAGCTTCAGGAATGCTCCAAGCGTCGTTGCCATGGACGTTTTCGGGTTATTGTTGTAAACCGGTCGGACTGACCATTGTGGGGCTTGGAGAGGATCGAGATCGGTATATTCGGGAGTGTCGGACACGAGATCTTCGGAAACGATCGGCCAGGAGCATGATAATTGAAGGAACTCGATGGGAGAAATCATACAACCCCAAGGAAGAGTTGAGTATTTGCCAATTCGGACGGCTTTGGAAGAAAAAGGGAAGGGAAATTGCACGGCGTAGGTAAGACGAACGGATAATTGAACTAAATTTTAAATTAGAGAGAGATTTCAAGATCTTTAGACGCACTAGATGTCCAGAGATATCTCTTGAATTCCAGAGATTTTACTAGATGCCTAGAGATGTCCGGCAACGTCTAGGATTAATTTTCTACCTGGTAAAGGAATCGGAGAGCGAACTTTAGACTTGAAAACGTGCAACAACGAGCTTAGATTTGAAATTTCCCAGTGATCAGTTTCCTGTCGCCGGTTAAAATGAACCACATCGAATTCTGTCGAGCAACCACCGCCAACAATCGCTCCAGTAAACATTCCTCGGTTTTTGTTTTTGATTTCTAGCAAGAAAGGAAGCTCACAGTTTGCGTTGAACAAGGCGAGATTAAGGGCTGATGAGACGGTAGAGATTTCCGATTGATCCATTAGATTCGTTTCGCTCGGCGTCAGCACTAGAAACGCGCGGAAACTGTACCAAAGCGCGAGTGGATGACCTCTTGGCATGAAATCGTTGCACCTGTCACCCAGATCTTCCATTGCTACGGGGATTTGACGCTTGTCTTCTAGGTCTTCTTCCGCCATTTCAAAGCCAGGCTCTTTTTCCTCGATTTGAGCGGCATGGTACTCGAGATCGAACGATTTTCCAAGAAACTCGACGCTTTTCGCCTTCTTTGTCCAATTCGCTTGAGCAAGAGCGTTTCTTTCTAGCGCTGGGCCTCGAGTGATTGTGTCCGAAAATCAAGTTCAAGCAAAGTTTCAAAAGAAAATTTCGGGGCTAATTTTTGAACTCGTATCTAATCCCCATTGACGAATTTGATCTTCAAGGAGGGCGACAAACTTTTCCAGCGGACTGGCAGTCGTGTAATCTTCAATTTCGAATATATCCGACTCCGACATTTTATAACCGGCTATCACAACATCTGGACATTTGTAATTAGACATAGACATATCAGATTCGAAGATTATTTATTGCAAAAAGAAGAATAATTGTCATTGAAAATTGAAAATCTGTGAAAACAGACAAGAAGATGAGCGATTTTTCAGGCGCTGATTTCAGAATCTTTTCGTTTTCTCCCTCGGCCAGGTGTTTTTGCGGGCTTGCAAGCTGGACAGAACCATTTTCCCTTGGGCTTGGAATTGATTCTCACACAACTAAAGAAATCGGCGTGTTACAGATTTTTTGAAAAAGAACAAAAACTGTACCTGAAATGAAACCATCCGTACTGGCATTTTGAGCTGTCGCATCCGATCATGTTCCCATAAGAAACCTAAAAGAAGAGGTTGCTTTTTCGATTTCTTCGGGAAAATAGGTCTTTTACCTGTTGGCAGAAGCAGTAAGTTTCTTCATTCGGGTCGACTGGCTTTGGAATCTTGACTTTCTCTGGCCAAAAGTCTCCCTTCCCTCCCGCTTTTGGCGGTTTTTCGGACTTGGTTTTGTGCGCTTTTGGGGATATCTCTTTTTTTTCTTTGTGCTCCCTTAATTTTTCTGCTTAGAAGAAGAAAGGGGGTGTTCCTTACTTTTTTCGTCGGCCTTTGGTTCCGCTAGAAATATGCTTGTAGCTGTGCTTTGGAGAGCTAGCAGAAACAGGAGATGTTAGGGCTTCGATTTTTGGATTTTCTGGGGACTTTGGTTTTCGTGGAGATGGCTCCAATTTGAGCTCTTCTGTAGCATCATCTGAAAAATTGAAAATAAAAGGAGGTTTGTCTGTCTTCTTACCAAGAATCTCTTGAATATTCGCCAAAAGCTCGATTTTCTTATCTCCCAGAGTCTGTAGCGATAGACCAAGTTGTTTGATGCTGTTCACATTTTGCGGCTCATCTTCTAGCTGCTGTTCTAGCGCGGTTAGGGTCTGGAGAAAGTGGTATTGGACTTGGCGGAAAGTCGAAACACTCGTTTGTATCTTCACTGTGTCCTATGTTCATCAAAACTGGCAGAAATGAGTCAGAAAGAATCAATTTACTTAGCATATCTTTAGTACTAGTTGCGCAAATAGCAAAAAACTCGAGTAGGAAAAATCTGCAAAGGGGTAGGAAAAAATCAAAAATACCGAATCCCGTTCTGAAATTATGCCGCTTTTTGGAAAGAAAAAGAGTATAAAAGACAAAGAACGAGATCAAAAAAGGTTAATTGGAGATTTTTAACGATAAAAATAATTTTAAGTGAATTTCGAAAAGCTAAAAGGGAGATAGAAAGAACGAGGCAAAGCCTGAATAATGGTAGTATAAACGATCGTTTTCCTCAATATAATTTATTTTAGACGAGAAAAAAGCCCTCGCTGAAGCAAAAAAAGCAGCGAAACTTGGCCACAAAGACGTGGCAAAAATCCATGCAAAAGAAGTGGTCCGTATTCGGAAGCAACGAACACGAAGCTACACCGCTGGTGCTCAAATGAGCTCGCTGCAGAATCAAATGAAGGTGATGGAGGCAAACAATCGAATGGCAAAAGCGATGGGTGCTTCGGCGAAATCCATGGGGCAGATGAATAAGGGCATGAAGGGGATGCAGAAAGAAATGGAGGTAGCCTCTTTTGTACCCTTTTCGGCATGTCCTTTATTTTTAGAAATTCAAAGAGCAAGCCCTAATCATGGAAAACACTGATGATCTTCTGAACGATGCGATCGACTCTGCTCTTGGTGATGGCCCCGATTCGGATCAAGAAGTCAACGACGTTCTTGGCAAGATCTTCGGAGAACTGGATCTCGAAGTCGGAGGAAATATGCCCGTCCTACCGGGCCACAACCCTGCATTATCGACTGCGAGTACTCAGCCGCCCAATTTAGATGATTCGGATGAAGAAAATCCTTACGATTCAAGAAGATAAAACCAACAATAAATATTTACCGTTCTGATTTTAAATAAATTATCTTCAATATCTGAAAACCCTTTTTTCCGACAAAGAAGACCATAACACCAGAGATAGTTATTTTCTTCAAATAAAAATTTATAATAAACTCTTATGAATATTTTAAATGCAACGACTTGAATATCACACTTCAGCCACCACTGGAAATAAATTTTTAACAAGCACATAACAAAATTTTTATGTCTGATATCTACTGACTTTGATAAAAATAAGATGAGAATTTCTATGAACATTTCCTGGCACAACTTCCATCGTTTCTATCCATTCTTCAATTTTCTCCAAATCCATTCTCCGAAATTCGTTTTTCAAAAAATCGTTCTTCAAATTTCTGCTCTTTTATCAATTTTCTTTCTTCTGAAAATTCCTTTCGCCAGCTCTCTTATTCTTTTTTTTTCTTTTTCTGGTGGGAAAATGCTTCTGAATGGCTGAAAAAGCTGATAATTGATTATTTCTTGATTTTTCGAAATGAAAATTGCGGCGCGGCGGGTTTGCGCGAGGCCGTGTCAATTTGAAATTGACGAGAAAATAGTGACTCACTGAAACCATGAATCTTTCCCCTTTTTATTCACTCGCTTATTCTCGCGCTGCTCAACTCGATTTTCAACAATTTCAGAAATAGAGAAGACTGACCAGAATTTGAAAAGGAGGAAGAAATAAAGAAAAAAATGCCGCTTTTTGGAAAGAAAAAGACGATTGAGCAGGAGCTCAAAGAAGGAGACAGGTGATTTATTTCTGCTGGATGAAATCCTCGATTTTAAATCTAGAATAAAAGGTTGCCCTGTGTGTAGATCAATTGATTATTAAATTCGACTAAATTCGCCAGAACTTTGGAAAATAATTTTATTTTGACAGAAAGAAGCCCGTGATTCTTGTGTTCATTTTATCATCTAGAACCACATTCTTACTTTCTTCATTTAGGCAAATGAGAAGAACCAACAGAGGCCTGGAACGAGATCGAGCTCAACTAGAAAAAGGTAAACCACCTTCAACCCTTCTTCTTCCAACAAAGCAATTCTAGAGGAGAAGAAACTCGAAGCCGAAATCAAACGCGCCGCCAAGCAAGGAAATAAAGATGCCTGCAAAGTCCTGGCGAAACAGCTCGTCAACTTACGAAAACAGAAAACGCGAAGTTATGCTGCTGGTGCTAAAATGAGTTCCATGCAAGGTAAGATCTTCGTTTCGTCCGTAATCGACCGTTTTTCAGCTCAAACGAAAATAATGCATACAAACACCAAGATGGCTCAGAGCATGGCGACGACTACGAAAACGATGTCGAAGATGAACGCAAAGATGGATCCGCAGAAGGTCGCAAAAACGATGCAGGTCAGGTTTTAGTGATGGTTTGGTTTTCAAGAGGTTTTTAAGCAATTCGAAAAGGAGAGTATGAAATTTGACATGTCGGAAGAAATGATGAATGATGCTATTGAATCAGGAATGGGCTGAAGTAGATTTTTGAAAACTTGATCGTTTCGGCAAACACCATAAATTTTATCCTGGCATTGATTTTAATGTTGAAAAAATCTGTTATTTGTCGTTAAAATGATTCTGGGCCAAAGACAATCAACTTGTAGTTTAGCAGGACTAAATACTTGTCTTTTATGCAGCACAAAATACGCCTATATTCACATTTTAAAGATTTTCTCTATTTCAGCCGAAAAAGCTCTTGGCGAATCAGGCGACGAAGAAGAAACTGATGCCATTCTCGGCCAGGTTCTGAGCGAAATCGGTATCGAAATGGGCGGCCAACTTGCTCAAGCTCCAGCTGCTCCATCTTCCGCCCAAGCTGAAAGCTCCGGCGTAACCGATGCTGAAATCGAAGCCCAACTCAAAGCCCTTGGAATTTAAACACTTCTTTGCATTCCTCCATGCTCACTTACTTCCGCTTCTAAAGTTCTACTAATCAACCAATTTCAAACTCGAACAGATTCTTACTTTCTCCATGTAATCCAAAGACATTTTGGACCCTTTTCTTCTAACTGAAATCAACAGAAAAAAGCCTTTACTGCAATCCTTCTTCTGAAAAAATATTCTTTCAACGAACCTCGTGGCTCAGAAAAAACCTGTGTAAAAACCTTAGTCAGGGTGCCTAAAGGGAATCAATCAAAAGCCGCACCGCTTATTTGGATCCCGGCGTAGCCGCTTCGTGGGACCCTGACTCAGGTTTCTGCACAGGTTGCCGAGGCCTGTCGACCCTCCCTTGCAATTTTTCTTTCAGAAAGAAAGATGCTTGGATTCGCATTCATCCTGAAAACCTTCAAAAAGCTGAACGAATTGGAACTCGACCTGAAATTCCTTGAATGGAGCCCGCTCAACATTATATTGCTTTATCTCTTTATTGGAACTGCTTCACTTGGATTCCTGGCGAAAAGAGCTTTCGGCAAAAAGACGGAAGAAGAAGGAAAAAGAGCGGAGAAGTATTTTCCAAAAGGAATGGAAGAAATGATCGGGAAGATTTTTATCGAAGACGCATTGAAGGAACTGATGCTGGATGTTGAAAGCGTTAGTTGCAATATTTTGAAAGAGAAGAGCAAAAATGAAGATAGACTAAAACTGCAAATTCTCAATTGCAAGCTTCAAAGGTAAATCAATAAAAAGCTGTCTCCAACTATATCTGAATGTCTCTAGTTGCCCCTAGAACTTACGGATAAATAAGGGTCATAAATCTTAGTCTACTATAGGGTCGGCAAAAAAAAATTTTTTCCCTCAAATCGCTCTGAAACTACCAGCATCTGATTCGCGATGGTCAAAAACCTCTCTCAAACAAATATCACTCATATCCGACATCATCGTCGCCAGTGAGGTCGAAATTTTAAAAAGTTGGGACTTTCTCAGGGGGAAGACACTTCAAAAATTCAAATTCACTATAGAACAGTCTTGTATTTTTTATCTGATATCAGAATATGAAAGAACAGGGTCGAATTTATATATCAAAAATAGAAAAATCGATTTGATCAGAATTAACCGTCAATTCCGTAGGTGTATTTTGTCACATGCTCATTATATTGTATTAAAAAGTTGCCTTTGGTTCAAAATATCTCCTTCAAACTTGTTGTGCCTTTCCAAAATCTGATATGTCTAGTTAACACAGACACTTGACAAGATTTTTGCACTTCCAGAATTTTAATTCACCGTGGGAATCTTTTTTAATTGCTGTTTAAATAAATTAAGAAAGAAATAATGAAGAAATTTCAAAATTGATAACTTTCAATATTTGCATCCTATGATGACAATCAATAGTTATTCTTAACGCCTATGAATAAGAGAATTTTCTGAGATGATTTTTTTGAACCAACCGGTTATTCTAGTGCGGTTCGTCGCGGTTCATTCCCAAAAACTCATGAATATGGAGTAATATGTATATCAAATTAATTGTTATTTGATAACAAGGTCTAAAAACACATCTTAACACCCAACCGCCAGAATATGGCCATCTATGGTCGACTTTGGTCAAATTCGGCCGGAGGACCCCCAAAGGACCTCCCTGGTGGAAGACCATCCGCTTGAAGACCAATATTTAAAACTTTCAATATATGGCCGTGCTCCGCCAGTATATGGCCATCTATGGTCGACTTTGGTCAAGTTCGGCCGGAGGACCCCCAAAGGACCTCCCTGGTGGAAGACCATCCGCTTGAAGACCAATATTTAAAACTTCAATATATGGCCGTGCTCGGCCAGTATATGGCCACCTATGGTCAACTTTAGTCAAGTTCGGGCGGAGGACCTCCCTGGTGGAAGGCAAACAGCTGGAAGACCAAGATTAAATAATGAAATAAAATGCTTTGCTGGGCTAAGAATTGACACTTTCGGTAAACGTTGGTCACTTTATGCCGGATGACCAACATTTAAAAAAATAATTTTTATTAATTGAATATAATATAAATTAAAAAAATAATCACAGTCAATTCAGTGATGAAGCGGGTCACGCCTTTTTAATCTACTCAATCAGAGTCAGGACGAAGCCCACCCGAAAGGGAGGCCACGCCCGTTCATTCTTTTCAATCAGAGTCAGGGCGAAGCCGACCCGAAGGGAAGGCCACGCCCGTTCATTCTTTTCAATCAGAGTCAGGGCGAAGCCGACCCGAAGGGGAGGCCACGCCCGTTCATTCTGGTCAACCAGAGAAAGGGCGAATCCGACCCGAAGGGGAGGACAAGCCCGTTCACTATTTTCAATCAGAATCACGGCGAAGCCGACCCGAAGTGGAGGCATCGCCCGTTCATTCTGTTCAACCAGAGTAAGGGCGAAGCCGACCCGAAGGGGAGGACACGCCCGTTCACTCTTTTCAATCAGAGTCAGGGCGAAGCCGACCCGAAGAATAGGCATCGCCCGTTCATTTTGTTCAACCAGAGAAAGAGCGAAGCCGACCCGAATGGGGAAGCCACGTCCGTTCATTTGATTTAGTCTGAGTTGGGGCAAGGGTTCTCTCTTCAAACATTTCAAGAACCCGAAGATTTCGAGATTCTCCAAGAGTCTTTCGAATCATCCGGGAGGTTTTGAACAGATTAAATATACTGGATTCCCAAAAGTTCGAAAATTCAAGAAAACGTTAGCGAACCAGAAAAGACCTATTTAATCCTTTTCGCCCTGACTCTGATTGAATAGAATGATAAGGTTTGGCCTACCTTTCGGAATTGGCTTCGCCCTAATTCTTATTCAAAAGCAGGGCTGGCAAATTATGGTCCCGCCAGCCGCACTAATTTGAGTTAGAACCCTATTGTTAGAACCCTAACTCTTATTTTATAACTTTTTAGTACGAGTAGTACGAGTAGAGAAAAGCCGCACTAAAATCGTCCTAAAAGAGGCGCGCGCTTATTGGTCCGCCAATCATGGCGGGTCATTCGTTTTTCTCATCCATTCAGCTCCATTCTTTTTTCAATCTTCCACCAATTTGTCCTCCGCGCCTGGTGGGAAGCGCGCGCCGATTGGATGATGAAAAAGAGCCTCATAAATAGTACGGTTAGGGCGGCGATTCAGTCCTAATAGACGAAAAAATATCAAGGAAGAAAAATAGGACGGGTAGGACGGGGATGCCGCACTAATTCGCACTAATTTTGAGTTAGAACCCTAACAATTTTTCGGTAGTGCGGCTGGTAGGACCCTAATTTGCCAGCCCTGTTCAAAAGAATGATCGTGCTTGGCCTCTCCTTCCGGTCGGCTTCGCCCTGACTCTAATTTAAAAGAATGAACGGGCGTTGCCTTCCCATCGGGTCGGCTTCACCCTGACTCTTATTGAAAAGAATTAACGGGCGTTGCCTCCCCTTCGGGTCGGCTTCGCCCTGACTCTGATTGAAAAGAATGAACGGGCGTGGCCTCCCCCTTGGGTCGGCGTGGCCGGCTTTATCACTGAATTCACTGTGATGGATTTTTTATTTTTCAATTTATATAATATTAAATAAATAAAATTATTTTTTATTAATTTATTTTTTATTAAATTATTTTTTTAAATGTTGGTCATCCAGTAGATTGTATTCCGGCAGTAGGGATTCTCTGGGGGTCCTACGGCATAAAGTGATCAAAGTTTACCGAAAGCGTCAATTCTTAGCCCAGCAAAGCACTTTATTTCATTATTTAATTTTGGTCTTCCAGCTGATGGTCTTCCACCAGAGAGGTCCTCCGGCCGAACTTGACCATAGGTAGCCATATACTGGCCGAGCACGGCCATATATTGAAAATTTTCAATATTGGTCTTCAAGCGGATGGACTTCCATCAGGGAGGTGCTCCGGCGGTCCTCCGGCCGAACTTGACCAAAGTCGACCATAGATGGCCATATTCTGGCCGAGCACGGCCATATATCATTATTTACGGCCGCGTAGAGCCTGGTGATGTTCTTTAGAAACCACGTTTTCAGGCCCTCAAAGCTGATTTTCAAATGACCATAAAAAAAGTTTCCCACATCGGAGAGAAAAACTAAGCCTACCATGAGAATCAGCTCGTCGAGCTCTTTCCAAAGAGGTATAAATCGTGAAAGGCACAAGAGGTCAAAATTTTTTTTGCCGACCCTAGTCTACTATAATCGATAAAAAATTATCGAATTTCTCAGAGGCTACGCATAATCCTGACCAGCTCCTTTACCTGCATGTTCTTCCGTAACGTGTTCTTGGTAGTTCTTACTAGCTTACACTCCTATGGTCAGAAATTTAATGATACGGGGCCGAGCAAATAGACTGAAATGACTTGGCGGTGATTTTAGTTCTTCAACAACCACCGCGACAATCGTTTTTCTTAGAATTTTCCGAACTTGACAACCCATAAAAATGATACTCTACCTACTTTTGTTTATTTATGGGTTAACTGTATCTGCTACATTTACAGTTAATTAAAAGAGTAAAATAAATTAATTATCAGTACCACTCGTGTTGGACTGGTCATACTTAGGGTTCGCGCCCAAAAATCAAGTGCCCGAAATACTTATTCTATCTTTCTGAATTTTAGATATATGATAGATAAGGGCAAATAAAGTATAAATTATTTTAAAATTTATCAAAATTTAAGAGGGTTGAAGAGAAAATAAGCCCCAAAAATGCCAAAAAATGGGTTGACCATGTTAGTCAGCCCAAAATTAAAATTTCAAAAAATAGTATGATCAGTAGAGGTTTCTGATCATTTTTTGATAAAAAAATTTTGGGAAGCATCTACGGTTTCCCTAGAATTTACAAAAAACTGCCTTTTTTTGGCAATGTTTTTCTGTTACGTGATCATGCGCGCGCACGCGTAACCGCGCGTGATGGGGGTGGCCACGTAAAATTCCAATCAATTTTGCCGGAAAATTTTAATTCTTCTTTTTAACATAATTAATAAATAACTAATAATTTAAATAATAAAACTATAATAAATATGAGCTCATAATACTTTTATTAATCATAAATAATTATAAATTGAAAAATTTTCTCTTTTTATCTTTGAGAAACCTAAAAGATCCTCTAGATTTTTAAAAGATCACCTTACGTAGGTCCACCGCTTAAAAATCGCTCTATTTTTTTTAAAAGCCCTCTTTTTTTTAAAAAAATGAGAATTACTGTTACGAAGGAGACATTTTGGGGACGGCATGGAAAGAAGATCGCCAATATTCTTGGCATGCTAGCTTTTATGTTTGGCTACGCATCAGGTAACATTTTGAGATCAAGGGATCCCCCCTGTTTTTTCAACTCTTTATCATGGGTAATACATTAAAATCACTTCTTCGGACCAAAATCCTGACCCCAATGTTTTTCGTTCTTATCTTGTAGCGCAGTTTCTGGGGAGTCGAATAATATAATTTTTATGGGTCGGTAATACTATATTATATCGGGTTCTAGAGCTATAAGTACGTGAAAATAACAAGTACTGAAGCCTCAGAACTCTGAAACTTTCTTTTTAAAGTATAGTGAATTTGGGCTCTTTCGAAAGCCCAGCTCAAACTGTGGTTGGGCAGACTATGCATGACGTAAAATTTTGTGAAAAAAATTTTGAGGGGAAAGTTTTTGGCTCAAAAAATTTTTCTGTTGAGAATTATCGGCTGCCCACCAACTGCCCAACCACAGTTTGAGCCGGGCTTTCCAATGATACCCATTTGTCCATACTTTCTTTAAAAATTTTCGGAGATACAGGGCTTCACTAGAATTTTTCAATAGGGGCGCCTATGACGTCATTAATGATGACTCAGACCCTGAAAGGTATATGAATCGACTCCTCAGGAGCTGCCCTTTCGAATGAGAATAAGAAAGATGGAGGATAGAATTTTTTCCGAAGAAGTGATTTTCATGTATCGGGTCTCTTTATGGCATATTTAGATTCTTGCCCTCAAAAGTCGTAAAAATGCATATTAATTGAACTTTGCGTAAAAATCGCATTTTTTCCACTTTTCAATATCAACGACAAAAGACAAAAAAGGGGGTCTATCGATAGCTTAGAATGCAACGAGAAAGAATATGACGACCGCACTAGAATTTCTGGCCATATATTGGCGGTAGAGAGCAAATTAAAGCCAGAAAAGGGCCAAAAAAGCATCAAAAATTTTTCTCAGGCAAAATAATTTATCCCAAATGGGCTGAATTTCCAGTCAAAATTGGAAAAAACGGAAAGGGGGTGATCCCTCAAAGAATCGCCTGTTATAAGACATAAAACAACTATGATCATATCGACCGGGGGATCCTTAACTCGTAATTATGGTGAAGATTTAAATTATATTTGTAGGATTTCTCCATGCATTCTTCATGAAGAAGAAAGAAGAAATCGAATTTCAGAAGATAATAGATAATCTGGTAAGTTCGAGATTAACGAAGTGATACCCCTAAAAATTTTATCTTTATTAACAGTAGCTTATGCCAGCAAAACACAAAAGCTCGTCTCTCGGACATTCTTGAATAAGTAAACATGGGAATTTTTTGTCCAACAAAATCTGTCTCTCATACTTTGCAACGAAATCAAAAATTTGAGAAAGAGTCTTTGAGACGGAAAAAAACAAATGAATTATTACGATCATTATGTAATATTATCTTGTTTAATGATAGAAGCTCAATACAAGAGCTTCATTCCATGAGTTATTTTTCAAGAAAATGATACACAATTTAATTTTATTTTTTTCTACGCTTGTCACAGGAAAATGGACAAGAGAATCTTTTGATTAGGTCACGAGATAATACTGCTTTACAGAGGTTTAATTATTATTATCTTTCAAAAGATTTGACTGCGCGGTCACCAAATTATGAGAACGAAAGTCTTGAAAGTTCGCTTCGACATATACAGCGTTTTAATCGTAAATTAACGACGAGTAAAACATATTGTCACAGTGCTGTTTTTATGACTATTCGGCTCCCAAACCCTTATGTTCGAGATGAATGGACTTACCTGCGGAATGTTATTGGAAGTAAAGTTGTTCTCAGTCGCTTAGCCTATAATTATTGACACTCCCACTGATTACAAAAAAGAGCTAAAATTGAAATTCTTGCGCCGCAATGCCATGATAAAATTTCAAATGTCGGAAATTATGACTTGGACAATGATGCCGGAGTTGTTTTTAATTATATTTTAAGGGAAACAGGGGTTAACTTAAAATTTGAAGTTTTCTTAAGCTAACCCTCAAAGGGATCAAGAGATACCAGATTTTATTGAAGCTTGGTCGCCAAAACTCGCTGAAATTCTTCTTGGTGATACTGACACAGTTTTTACTGTCAGTACAATATTGTAATAGGAAGTAAACGCGATCTAACAAATGAATATTATTCAGTATTCGTTTTGAAAAGCAGAAGAAACGTAAGCCTTTTATATTTGACTTGCTTTACAAAATGTCGGAGGCTTCTCATGATGAGAGTAAAACAGGTAAAGCTCTATTAAAAATCAATTCTAAAAATGAATTTCAAAGTGCTCCAGGGAATTATGACACAATCTAACTATGTCGTCGAATATATTGAATCAGCTTTCGAAAAAGGATTCAAAAAATTATGGAGAATAATATATTGTATTATCTTGCATCCCTTTTAGTTATTTTTGATGGCGACCAAACAGAAAGGGAAAATAATATAAGAGAAATTCTCCAAACAATCGAATCTATTACTCAAAACTATTTAACTCATCTTGATGAAACCGAGAGTGGAGGCGATCATGGATGGTTTCTCGTTTTGGCTAGAAAAAGATAATTTACCATTTTATTTGCTCAAGAAGCTAACAGTGATGTTTGCAAGTGCCTTCCTTTTACCTGAGCTCGGGTCAAGCGTATTTGACAAGACGAACTGATTTTTGTTTTGGCTTTTCATCGCGCTTGTAATAGAAAGTTGTTAACTTGCCATAAGAGAAATTCGATCGAAGGCACTGCAATTTGCGCTGTTAAAATTTTGAATTCAGAAAATATTATTTTCTCTATTTCTAGCCATATAAGATGGATTGCAGCATATAGTAGAATTAGAAATGAGCGACCGGCTTGGAGAAGACGTAACGCAGACTTTTATTGAGATTTTCAAAGAATATGCACTTGAACAAATTTTTCACAGCGAATAAAACTCATGATGAATTTTCCAAAATTGCAAGAGCTTTCATTCGTTCAGCTTCAATGTCTTCCTCTCGTTCATTTTCACGTTGTCTCATTCCCTTATAAATATTAATTGAATGCACAGTTAGAATCGAAGTTGGTCACCTCCCAAATCAACGCTTCTGCCTTTTCTTCATCATCAAGGAGTTTCAGATGCTCAAATGCTTTGTTTTGTTTTGCGATCGTAAGTCGCCACAGACGTATATCAAGCGTTCGAGTATCCGAAGTTTCAAGGCCCTTCAGAATTCAGAAAGGAAGGTTTCAGAAGCACTTTTTAATAACATTCAGGGACAGGGCGAAGCCGACCCGAAGGGGAGGCCACGCTCGTTTTTAATTACAGTCAGGAAGAGAGCGTGGCCTCCCCTTCGGGTCGGCTTCGCTCTTTTTTCATTACAGTAAGGGACAGGGCGAAGCCGACCCGAAGGGGAGGCCACGCCCGTTTTTTAATTACAGTCAGGAAGAGAGCGTGGCCTCCCCTTCGGGTCGGCTTCGCTCTTTTTTCATTACTGTAAGGGACAGGGCGAAGCCGACCCGAAGGGGAGGCCACGCCCGTTTTTAATTACAGTCAGGAGAGAGCGTGGCCTCCCCTTCGGGTCGGCTTCGCTCTTTTTTCATTACTGTAAGGGACAGGGCGAAGCCGACCCGAAGGGGAGGCCACGCCCGTTTTTTAATTACAGTCAGGAAGAGAGCGTGGCCTCCCCTTCGGGTCGGCTTCGCTCTTTTTTCATTACAGTAAGGGACAGGGCGAAGCCGACCCGAAGGGGAGGCCACGCCCGTTTTTAATTACAGTCAGGGAGAGAACTAAGCCTCTCTTTACAATTTTTTGAAACCTTGACCAAACGTTCGCTCTAAAATTCAAATGAGAAAAATTCAGAAGAAATTCCGCTTACCAACAGGGCGATTGTCAGAAACGGCGACAATATTGTGCGGAATTCTATTTTTGTAAGCAGAAATCTCTGTATATTCTTTCGTCCACTTTTTATTAATACTCTCCCAAGCGACTGAAACTAGCTCGTTCAGTTTTCGGATCCAAGTCAATTTTCGTCGATGTTGATGGAGAATTACGTTCATTTTGTCAATCAAAAGAAGAATATCAGCCCCGGTTTGTTGATTCTGTCGCTCGGAATGAAGGAATTTTCCTCTTTCCTCAAACATCACCATAAGATTATGAAACGCCGTATCGAAATTTTTCCCAAAACAATTGGGTGTAAATTAGTTAAAGTTCAAATAAAATTTAAACCCAGCCCATAATATGAAGTGAATAGACCCCTGCTTAACACGCTCCATTCTTTTCTCCATATCTGTGTACGCTTTCATAAGTGAGCCGTAAGTTCTAAAATTTTTATTTTGTTATCAGAACAGGCCTTTCCTACCGTGAATGTCCTCCAGATGATTTAAGAAAAGGCTCGCTTACCGCCCACCAAAACATTGGTATTATAGAAGATTTCAGTTTTGTCAAGTCGTAATCAGATTTTTCCGAAATGGTAAGAATCTATAAATTTTTGACGCTTAAAGCAAGAGTATATTTTTAATACCATGTTAGCGAATTTTCTGTCCCGATAATCCCGACAAGTTTTTAAAACAAGTTCTTCGTGTTTAAAAAAATTAAGCACGTTCGCTTGATGGACTGCGTAACTAATCTTTGTTTGGAATAATTGTTTAAAATACGCATATTACCGGGATCCAATGTCCGAGAGAAAGGGGCGTGTCGAAAACGTTTCAGCTTCGAGAAACGAAGCTTCGAGCCCAAAACGAATATCAGATCTACTATGACTGCATGTTGTTCGACTTCCGAAACTCATTTTTAGACTGTGTAGAAGATTCCAAGTGTCTTTGTTATTGGCTGAATTAAATATCTTATTGATTTGATGTATGTAGGAAAAAGCCGCTTCGCGGCTAGGTTTTTGTTAATAATTCTGATCTGTTATTTTAACCATTTCCTGCGGGTCGGCCTTTCGGATTTTCAGCAAGTGCATCTCTTGATTTATCTTCGAACATAAAGTGTTCATAACTTCGAAGATCAAAGTTTGCCGCTTTGCAGTGATCGACATTGCAATAATAAAAATTTAAAAGATGCTTAGATCAAAAACTGACCCCTTTCCCACATGCATAACACAATGTAAAGGAATCGCTCCGGAGAAGCCATTTTCTTTAAGCTTATCAGAAAATAAAATGTTCGCCTTGAGCTGGGCATGAGCTATGAGATTGGATAAATACTTTAAACCCTTTTTATCATACCTGTATCGCTCACTACGAACTTAAGCTTTTGAAATAACATCCGATAGAATGGCAATTTTATCAATTCTGCGAAGGCGGATTCTGCAATGTTTTCTGCAGAATGCTTTAACCGGCTTCAGATGTTTTTTTAAGGCAATATAAAAAAGCAAGATTTAAGAATCTCAATTGTTTCAAAAAGAATTTTTGAAAAATGTCAATTTGACAATCCAAGTGTGAAATTTTAAACTTATTTACCACTTTTTAGTTTTCCCTCTACCGTTCCTTAATTTGCTGAAACAGGGACAAAAGCATAAACCCACCACGTTCATTTGAAACTCCTAGTGCAGCGACCGCGCGATTTCGCCTACTAGTGCTCCCGTCCATGTGAATGGTCAGGTAACGTGATGAGCGAACAAAACTCTCCATTTGATCATGAAGGATTGGGGTAAAGGCCCCAGTTAAGGAGGTGATAAAATTTTGGGAGGGCATAGCAACTGATTTGTCTGGATCGTCAAGAGCATTCTTCAAATCAGGAAAAAGATCAGTGAATTCTTCCAACGTCGATTGTATAGTCAATGTTGGAATACCCTTCATCTTAGATATAAGCAGAAATTTGATCAAAGGAGTGTCGTAAGTTGGCTCAAATTCAATCTTACTAAAAGAAAATAAATTTCAGAGTTACCGTCATTTGACCGCGAATATCGCGGTTTCGATTAACGGAGGTTGCAGGCGGATTCTTTTTTTGGAAGATAGATACAACTGGGCAGGTTTTCACTTCCAAAAATTCCGGAACAGGAATCGGAGACGGTGTTGGCTCTTGCCTAGGCCTTTTTGACGTTCTGGTAGCAGGAATTGTGCAAAAGTGATACTCAAAAGTCCCCATGTTTTCAAGCATTTCTTTTATTTTCTTTGAAATACGCGCAGAGTTCTGCCAAACAGCTTGTTCCATATCAACTTCATCCCAAATTTGAGCTCGAATATCAGTGTCAAGTATCCAGGACAAAAGGACTCTGTGCGCACCCTTCGTTGGGCGTATAAAATTCAACCAAGCATTATTTCCGTCTCGAGTACCTTCTCTCTTAAGTGTCTCTTTTTCTTCCCAATCTCTGAGAGTAATCACGTCACTGTATGTCGTAACCAAGTATTTTGCAGTTTCGTAACTCATAGGACATGCCGGAATTAGACTGGAAACAAACCCACAAAATATAAGATGAATTTTCATATTTTAGGATTTTGGAAGAGAAATCCTCGTAGATCCATTTTTAAATACAGTATTATCAAAAATTATGTCATTCTCAGTTGTAGCCCAAACGACTTCTTTTCAATCTTTTTCATGACGCTGCAAAGTCTGAGAGACCAGCGCGGCTGTTCAAGTCGAGTTTCTTCATGTTTCAGAAAATCTTAGCTTAGCTAACGCTGAATTCCGCCTGTGGTAGATAGATATGACCAATATCTAGTGCCGTTTTTCGGAGTTTCAATTGCAGTAGAGAGCCAAGAGTCAAACCTGTTTTTGAAAAGTAGCGATTTCCGCCTCTCGCAGGATTAAAATTTTCTTAAGAAAAATAAGTCTGATCATGGAATTCTCAGTTGATTAAGGTAGATCATCCCCTTATCTTATGCCGTTTTGAGAAAATTTTGTGTGCCCAAAACATACTTAACAAATTTTTTTTTTTTGAAGTGGCTCAAAAATGAAGATTTTCATGAAATCAATGGTTAGTAAAAATCGCCTCTAAAATCCCGAAAATTAGCCCGTTTTATAATAGATCGACCAATTTTTAGTAAATAAATATGTAATTACTTAGTTTTCGTCCAAAAAACATTAACAAAAACTCCTTGGAACATTTATAGAATGATTTTAATACTGCTGAATACAAATTCAAAATTTAATTTTTTCATTGAATATCGTGAAAAACAGGTAATCGATTTTTTTCTTACAAAATTTTTGAAATTTTAAATTCTGGTCTCCATAGGATCTAGACAAGGGTCTTATCTAACTTCTCAGAAGAAAATAAATTCCGCCCTATATAAGGGTTTCGAGAAAAGTCTGCCAGGAAAATGGTCATTTTTAGCGATTTCCGAGTTTTCAACGCCATTTTTTACGATTATTTTCTGGAGATATAGAAATCGGCCTTCCATAGGCACGAGATAAGGGCCTCAACTCTCTATTAAAACAAAAAATCATTGGTCACTATGTTAGGATTGGGAGAAAAGTCTACCAGAAACTCCCGATTCTTGATATCTACCTCCTTAAGAGAAAATGACTTTATTTTCAGGATCCTGAAATCAAGGAAGAGAATGGATTCGTGGCGACTCGGCTTGGCCTTCGTGAGTGGAAGATCGGAATGGCTTTTTAATTAAATTTAGTATATATTTATTATTGTTAATTGGAAAATATTTAAAAAGCCTTAAATAGAAGAATAGAAAATTGTTTTTTTGAAAAATAAAAAAATGACAATTATTTATGTTGTATCTTCTATTTTCATTAATATCATTTTAAATCATTTTATAAATCTTTTTAAAAGAAAGAATTTCTTTAAAAGAAAGAAATACCCATTACGCGCCGACCACCCTAGCCGCGCAAGGAAATGCCTGAGGGCGAACGCGGCGCCGTGCGCTCCGCGCCGCGCAAAGATCGACAAAAAAAGACCTTCAATGGTCAATTACAGTTTGTTAGTCATCTGCTTCCCATTATTTTTCAATCGAATATTGTTCTCCTCAATCAAAATTATATATATATCCAAAAAATTTCTGGGAAGCTTTTGACTAACATGGTTTTTGAACATAAATTTCCCTATATCTCTTCAACCCTTTAATTTTTTTTTCGGTGAAATAGATTTTTTTAACCTTTAAACAGATAAAAAACACCTATAAAAATTTGAAAACAATTGGATTTGTCTATCAAAAGATAGTTTTTTTGGGCGCGAACCCTAGTCATACTTCGTCGTATTTCTCCCATAATACGCACATGATTGGCCACCAAAAAAAAAATTAATGATGGAGCTTGAAGCTAGAGGGTTGAAATGTCTTGGCAGTGATTTCACCCCTTCTACAGGCTACCACGACAATCGAACAATTACCAAGTTAGTGGTCAGGGTGAAACTAATTAGTGAATCAGGATGAGCTAATTTAGTTTAAATATATTACTAATAGTAATCAGATATTTTTAGTAACATCGATATCATCATGATAACCGCTGATATTTCCTGCTCGATTCTCTTTAATACTACCGAAAATAAAATTCATCTAAAGGCGACTTCGATGAATACTTTCAGCTTTGATTGTCAAGATCCAAAGGAACCGGTTAATTAGATCCGTATTTCGACGAAATCAACAACGATTTAAATAAGAAATATTTATAGAAACATTTTCTAACCGGTAAAAAGTCCAGCATCATTTCTGATATTCAAACCAGTCTGTCGAAAATCAACTCCGAAATAACCCTATCCTCCGAGTTTCCTTCAAATCACCGGACAAAAAAGCGAGTCAAAGCCTTCTATCTCGTTTTAACCCGCGTCCAATTCCCCGATTCCCCCAAAACGGGTCTAGAAATCACCGTCGGGAAGACAAAACTCGGCCCGTATTTTGAGAATCAGCTGCAAAACAGCCAGGTTTTCAAATTCGAGAAACTGGAGAATAACTTTTGCGAACTCAATTTTCCCGGTTGGAAGTCTTTTAAAATGTCGATTGAGAGTGGAAAGGAAGAGTTTTTAGATGAAGCCAAGGCATTTCATTTCCAAGTTGATAAATTTTTAATAATTGGCGAGGAAGAAATTCGAAAGTTTGAGGAATCACTGTAGCTTATTTAAAATAAGTTATTTTCGGTCCCTTTTAGTTCCATTTTTTCGTTCGTCAATCAAAATCGTTTCATGCTCATTCTGACCTTTTCCAGCCTCTTTATTCTATCCTCAGCGGGCAATAAAAAATAAAAGCACTATTTATCCACGCTAACTACGTCTACTTTTACACCGGAGCGTTAAATCCGGATTTTGACAAACTGTTGACCTCGATTTTTTCTTCAAACCGAGAAATTTCATGTCATGAGATTTTTGGTGTTTGAATATTTTGGCCGCTCTTACTAGTGATTTCAAATGCCGAAGGTTATCAAATATTGACTGAACGGAGATAGAAAAAATGAAGAGTAAAAATTCGCCAGCTGCGCAACTAGCAAATGCCTCTTAGAGAATTTTATAAAGAAAAGAACGCTAAAATAAGCTTAAAATGAACTCAAAATACAAAAAAACTTATACGCGTAATTATACGAACTACTGATTATAGGCTGTTTCAAATTAAATTCTATAATTATCGGTTTCTGATAAGGTTAAAAGCAAACTTGTGTCCCTCTTCTATCTCATCGATCGCTCCTTTTTCTGCCAAGCTACCTGCTTTTCTGCGTTTCCCGTCTTACCTTCCCTATTTTATTTTCTTCAAATTTGATCGTTTTTTCCTGCGTAGAGAAAAAAGGCAAAATGCGATATGTTTATTACCCGGTATTGATAAATACTTATTGTTACTCGTTACTCGATGTTCTTCAATTTATTTTACTGAATGTCTGTTATTATTTCTTCAACTAGTAAATTTGAAATTATTCGATTTTCTTCAGGAAATGCCGGTTTTCCATACAAAGACAATCGAATCAATCCTCGAACCAGTTTCAAAACAGGTAATTCCAAGCATTTGTTACTTTGTCCGATTCACTGTAATATAGGTCGCTCAACTAGTAATACTTCATGAAGAAGGTGCAGATGGAAATGCCCTGCCACCGCTTGATGCTCCGATTGGAGTCGTCCAGAAGGCTGTTGCGAATTTGCAAAAAGTCGGAGAAGAGACTGTTCAGGAGAGCTCGGATTTACTGTTGAAGAGAGATATGCCTCCAGCGTTGGACATGGTTCAGGTATTGACTGAAGGACATTTTAGGACACCAAGGGATATCTCTTGAAATCAAGTTTATCTATGAGCATTTAGTGGCATCGAAATTATTAAAGCTTTTCTAGGTTGCAAGTGAGAGTCTCGGAAAAGCGGCCATGCTCATCGCCGCAGACCCTTATTCCGTCGAGGGCCGCGAAATCCTGATCAAAGGCGCTCGTGGCATTTTGCAAGGCACCTCTGATCTGCTCTTGGCATTCGACCAGGGAGAAGTCAGAAAATTAATCAAACAAGTCCGCGCCGTGCTTGACTACATTGGCCTCGCCGATCAAGTCATTCGAATGGAAGATGTCGTCACGTTTCTTAACTCATTGACGCCAAGCTTAACTCGAGTTGGGCAGGCCGTCCGTGCTCGTGGGGACGAGTTAACAAGCTTGGTCCATCGAGATCTTCTAATTGGCGCGTTGGAAAGGGCAATCAATCTCGCGCCGCAGGTCATTTCCTCGCTCAAGCTCTTTGTCAACACACCTCCCGAGGATGCCAACCGTGCCCAAGCCGCCGAGCAACGTGACCTTGCTCAGGTCAACATGCAGGATGAACTGCGGGAAGTCATCCGAGTCCTTCAACTCGTCCATTACGATGTCCACGGTTGGGAGCCAATCTCCCTCGCCGAGTTGAAACGCCTAAATCAGAATCTCGACGAGCAAATGGTCGATGCAAAGCGCTGGATCGCTGACACCAACGCCCCACCAGGCGGCGAGGGCGAGCGAAGAGCAAGAGAAGCCGCTCAAACTGCCGCTCAACTTGGTCAAGCTGCTGGAGCTGCAGGAGCGCCACTTACCGCCGCGGCCCAACAATTCGGCGTCGAAACTGAGCGACTTGCTGCTCTTCGCGCGCAGGGAGCGGATGCTGCGGGACAGAAAGCTCAGCAACTCGCGGCGCTCAAGGCAGCGAACGATGTGGAAGAAAAGGCCAAGCAAGCGATGGAACAAGGCTCTGCAGCGGCAAGGGCGTATCATAAAGTGCGCGACAACTGGCAAGCGGCTCAGCAGTGGCTTGCCGATAGCTCAGCTCCTTCTGGCCCTGGTTCCAAAGCGGTCGGAGAAGTGCTCGACGCTGGCGCATCTGCTGGTGCTCTTATGAATCCAAAGGACAAGACAGAAATGGACAGACTTGCTGCTCAAGGAAAGGAGAAACTCTCCAAGCTAGAGAAGCTTCGTGACGCTCAAAAGGGGCACACTGATGAAGCTCAGAAACTAGCGATGGAGCTCAAGGATGACTTGGATACAGTCTCCGGAAAGGTAGCACAGATTGCGGCGAAGCCTTCGGCTGATATTCCAATGGCATCGGCGATGGACAAACTTGGCAAACTCTTCAGAGATCCCTTGAAAGACGATGGATCTGGTCAGTCGATCGTTTGATTTTCTAGCTCTTACATTTTTCAGGAATCCGACTTGTCAGAAAAATCATCAGTGATGCTCGACAATTGGCGCGTTTTACAGAAGGTCCATTGAAAGAAGCACTTATTCATGACGCGAACCACGCCGAAGAAATGACCGACGTTCTCGATGCTGCCATTAAGAATCAGGATTCGGCCAAGGCGAAGAATGCTGCTGCACAACTGGAACCACGCGTCGATGCTCTCAAGAATACGATGGAAGAAGCAGCTGTTGCGGCCCTAGCTACCGAGTTTTCTGACACTTCATCTGCTCTCAAGGTAAATTAAAGAGTTCTTACCAAATTTCAGTATTTTAGGCGCTTTCAAATGCCGCTTATCAACCAATGTCCAACCCCAACAGAAATCAACTCTTCGCCGCCAAGGCTGCGATCTTTGCCGAAACGAGCTCTAGACTCGCTGGTCTTGGTCGACTTGCTGCACCACAAGTTGGAACTGAAAAAGAAATCAAAGAAGCGAACAAACTCGCTGCTAGACTTGACGAAATCGCCCCAGCAATCATCAAAGCTGGTCGAATCGTCCTCCAGGTAGTGCTTTTTTCTTACAATCCATCCTCATTATCTGTCTTAGGATCCAGATAACAAGCCGGCAAAGGAGCATTTCGAACTTCTCAAGGAAGAATGGACACAAGCAGCCGACAAGCTTTCAGGAAATCTCGACAGCTGCGCCGATGCTGCGAAACTCGTCCGAGCCCTTGAGCTTCAAATGATTGAAGATCAGAAAGAAGTGAAGAACCATGTTGCAACTAACGATGTAGCAAAGGTTCTTCCTTCAGCAGGAAATATGGCTCGAAGAGCTCATCGAGTCCTGATGGTGGCGAAACGCGAGGCTGAAAACTCTGAAGGTAAGTCTAAAAACCATATCCTTTGATCCCCAATTCATTTTTTCAGACCCTGTTTATGTCAACAACTTGAAGCAAGCGTTCAACGTTCTCAACACAAAAGTACAGCCCATGATCATGTCGGCCAAAGGCTACGCGACGAATCAAACTCCCGACTCTTCGTCAACACTTGTCAACTCCGGAGAAGACCTTATCGCAGCTGTTTCAGCGGTGAGAGAAGCAATGGAGCCACCGAAAGAACCTGATTTCCCTGCTCCACCATCTCCACCACCTGCTTATGGTCCAGGAGGAGCTCATGGATCAGGAGCACCGGAAGTTCCAGATGATCCAAATGAAGGATCAGCGCCACCAGTTCCCCCAGAATATGAGGTAAAGCGACTCAAATTTGACTTTTTCATTATTTAAAATGAAGGAGGAATTCCCATCTGATGATTCCGACGCCGATCAAGACATTTACTTGCCAGCCAAAGAACTGTTCGACGAAGTCAACAAATGGATGGCAAAAGGCAACTCCCTCATTGACGCGGCGAAAAAGATGGCCTTGCTCATGGCAGAAATGTCAAGATTAGTCCAAGAAGGTGGGGATAAACGTGAGCTGATCAGATGCGCCCATGAAATTGTCAAATATGGACAGCTTGTGGCCAAATTATCAAGAGAAATTTCTGCCAAGGTAGGAGGAACAAGATCAGAAAGGGTCTACGGTTGTTATAGTGCACGGATAAGAGGATCAAGAACAACATGACTGGATCATCTCAAAACATCGAAACGATCGCAACGCAATTCAGAATTCTCTCCACCGTCAAAGCCACCATGCTCAGTAAGTCCTCTTTCGATTGAAAAATGCATCTTTCAGTAACTAACATTCCATTACTTACTAACCATTTCTAGCAACTGAGCCAGAAGTGCCAGTTTTAGCAGTGGCGCCTATTGGCGAGCCAGATGACGGTAGATATTCCCATGATTCTAATATTTTTACAAAGTCACTCTTTTATGATTTCACCGCTCTTTTTGACCATCAATCGGTCTTTCAAAGCTCTAAAATGACCCTCTGAGGGTTGTTCTTTGAAAATAAATAAAATTTTAGACGCCAAAGACGTTTCCGACGATGAAGCCGCCCAAGCTCACGAAATGCTTGTCCACAACGCTCAGAACTTGATGAAATACGTCAAGGAAGTCGTCCGAGAAGCCAACGCTGCCAACATCAAAATTCGAGCAGACACCGGTCTCACGATCAAGTGGATTCCCAAAGACCAACAAGTCAAGCAGAGAAAGCGCAAGACGCGAAAATCTCAGCCAAACTAAAAGAAAATCTTTTGAAACCGACGAGAAATGCATCATTCGAGCCAAGCATGGCCAGAGAAGCCGTAAAACGGCAGTATTTTATTGAAAATTCAACAACTTCACAACTTTGCCTTACTACCAAAAATACGTCTATGAAATTTTTTATTCTCAACCCGACAACTTCAATTCAAAAAACTCCCCCAAAAAACCAACTTATTTCGATTATATTCCGAGCCTATACCTTATCAATTTTTGTTATTTTTTTCCTGCACCGCTTCCTGAAAAATAATTTACTTCACAGCATGACCTCAACACAAAACTTATCATTTACAGTATGATTCTTATCTTTTGTTTAACTCCCTTTTTAAGTTACTGCTTCTGTCTCCTTTTCAAATTCTAAGTTAAAAAACGAGTTCAAATTATTCTGAAAAAAAAACATCGCCAAATTCTACAAAATAAAAATAAACTTCTAATAAAAGCTTCAATTTGAGAAAATAAAAATCTTAAAATGAGATTTTTCATTTGGAGTCGATATGCAATGAAAAAACAGTTTTTGAGTTTTTAAAATCAAAAAAGTCGCATTTGCCTTGTGAGGGTAACTGAAAAAGTAGTCTTTTCTAGAGCAAATTTAGCAAAAATAAGCAAATTCTCCGCAGATCTGTTTTCAAACAAGCGCAAAAAGGCACTTTTTCTCTAGAGCTTGAATTGTTATCACGGCAAAATCCTCGTTTTTCAGTCAGTTCATTGCCTTTGCATGAGCAAGTCACAGTCCGGCGCCGTTTTACATCAGATAATTTCAAATTTCAATACTGTCGACCTAATTTTGTTTTGTTTTGTTTGAAATTTCAGACGATGATGAAATCGAGAGCTCAAAAAGAGTTGCCATCGTTCAACTTCATCCTCCAAGGAAGAAAAGATCGCGAACAAGGAAATCATTCCTGAGCTAATCGACTTTCTGTAAAAAGAACACGACACAATATTTCAATCCCACATTTCGATTTTTATGAAACTAAAAAAACAAAACTTGGTTTCATAAACTCCTGTGTTTCCTTGTTGTTTGACAAAGCTTATTAAGATAATTACGAGTTTCAATTTTAACGATCCAGTGACGCAGGGATAGTTTCAGAGCTAAAAAAATAAAGTCGCAAAGTAAAGAAATCAGGCAGCATGAATTTAAGTTTTTGAAGAGATAAAGTAAAAGAAAATATGACGAGTGTTGTAACATCATTTTTCCAAGCAATGGGGTTTTCATCAAGAACGAGTATATGCGAACTTGATAATCCTGCCGTTGCTCAATATTATGGAACAAACCGAAAACTTATGCACGACAGGTAAACCCGTCAACATTCCTAAAACGTTCATAGACTCCAAGGTGCTATTTTTGCTCCTGCTGGCCATGCATGAGCGATGTTCTGTTTCTCCTCGATCAATCAGCTCTCGTTGATCCAGTTGCTTGTGGATCTCCCTTGACTGAATTCGGCTTTCCAACAGACAGTAAGAACGACGAATTTTTCAACGAATAAATTGAAATAGACAATAAAAAATGGTACGAAGGATCAAAAGCGCAGATCGACTTTGCTCTGGCAACGATTCGTCAGATGGATCCAGCTCGAATCAAGTCTCAATCTGTTAAAATTGCCTTTGCGTTTTACGGCGATGATTCTTCGTACAAAACTGTTGTCGATTTCGACGACTGGGGAATGTAAACTTTATCGTTATTCATCCCATTTTATGTTCTCTAGAAACATCGACGATCTGCAGTGCAAGCTGTACGGACATGAAGCCTACCCATGTGGCGATAACATGGATGAAATCGAATTTCTACGAAAGCCTCTGTGTGGAACTGGAGGGTTAAAAGAAGCAATCATTCAGTCTGCTAGCTATGAGCACCAAAGTGTAAGATCTTTGACCTAAGTCAGGATCAAAAATCTCAGAATTAATTCCTATCATATTCTAGTGGAGAAAATGGGATCCTTATCATCCAGATGTCAAAATCCGAACCCCGATTGCGAAAATCCTCGCTCTCACCGCCGGAGACGTCTTTGTAGGAAAATCGTTTGAGAATGAAGCGGAACTGCTCAATTTCATGCGCCCGATTCATGACCCGATTAATGACGGCTTCGACTTTGTGTTTCCAGTTGGAATGGCGACGGGCGAACGGTTCGGGGAGATTGAGTTTGAGCGGACGAAGGAGGAGGATAATCAGTTTTGGCGGGGGATGAATATTATTGGATGTCTGAATCCAGAAGCTTGTGATTATACTCTGATGGCTTCTCCGTCTGGTGAAAATGGTAAGAAAGGGTTAGATCCGAAGGTTTTTTAAAAGAGCCATTCTTCAGAAAACGGCGTGGATCCATTTCAATTCTTGACAAAACTAATGGACGATGCATTTTGGGACAAATACTTCTGCTATTACCGCCACTGGAATTTCTTCTGCGATATTCAACCCTTCGAACGAACCCAATTTGACATCGCGCGATCTGTTAGAAATAAGCGATCAACTAAAAGGATCGGATTTGAAATCATTTTTGTCTAAAAGGGGGCTTTTAAAACTTTTTTTCAGACCATTACTTGCTCTTTTTGACGTCAATTTTGACGTTTTTTTTTGACATTAATTTTCAATTGCTAATTTCTCGCAATATACAGTTTACTCAGCGAGTCGTGCGAATTCTAAGATGGCACCAGCGATCTAGTAGAGTAATTGTCAATTACTCTAAATATTACTCTAAATTACTAATTGACATTGTTTTGAATCGAAGAAAAGGAATGGATACAAGCCAAATAGCTGTTGCGGTCACATACCGTACAATGATCAACATGAAAGCTGCTGTTCTCCGGGTCATGTTCAGGAACGGTTCATTTTCTTACAATTGCTGTAGATTTAATGCGTGCTTTTGAATTTGCTATTTAGAGAAAATTTAGCTATCTTTTTGGACGATTTTGAACCAGGAAAGCTTTTGGGAGAATGCTCGAATACAGTTAGATCTGGCGACGATGCTTTGTAAATTTCACTGCTTTTGTCTGAATAAATGCATAAACTCAACTATCGTTCTAAAGTTTCAATTGTCCGATTTATCCAAACTCAAGTGGCGGGTTGTTGGCAATATTTCGGGAGATATCTTTGATTGGAGATTAATGAATTCAAATGAAGGTCTATCGAGGCGCTCATATAAAGAAAACGAGAACGGGCAACATAATATATTTTCAGAAAAAAACGCTTGAGAATTTAAGAAAATCAAACTTTTTACTTGTTCAAAATAGTCAACATGAAAATCTTTCAATTTTTTCTCCTTGGTTTTTCCAGCGCCGGGCGATTGACGATCGAAGAGGAGCTGAATTTGGCTAAAGCGGTTGTTGGTAAGCTGTTGCTGGTCTCGGTGAGTCTTTACAGGATTCTAGAGGCGGAACGATTCTTGACAAATATGGGTCGAACATTTTACGGGACGACGATGCCCGACTACGGAAAATACGAAAAATACGCCGAAGAATTGAGTGAAAAGATGAAAAGTAACAAACAGCTCAATGAAATGATCGAATTGTACCTAAAGTAGTTCAAAAATCATTTGAATAAAACTCATCCCAAAGCATAAACTGTGCATGTTCCAATATCAAATGATATTGCCGAGCTCGTCAATTTATCATAAACATTCGTTTTTCATCTCACGAATATAATATTGCTCTTGGTGCAATATTTAAGGGACCCCGCCGACCGAGCTCCGCGCGCGCCTTCCGCTCTTTTTCACTCTCACTCTTTAGCTGGTTTAAATTTTTCGGTTATCGTAATTTTTTGTACACTAACTAATCTTTTCATGTTCTTTCATCTACATTTCTTAAAATTTTCATAGCTTATCGCTACGCTGCGTTAGAGCGAAAACATTGGCGCTCGATTTCAAGTGTACATAAGTCCTCGAAATATTCGGATTGACACTTCGAGACTGCCCTCATTGAAAAGCCCGTGCCTTCTTGCATAAGGCCTACTTATTGAGATTTCCTGGAAGCGTTTACTTATCTGATTATCGTGGGATTAATGCGGGTTACCTGGAGCGCTCGGCGTGAAACACGGCCATTTTACACTGTTGGCGCGGGATTCCCGCTGCGCTGGTCAGAAGAACCTGTATAAACCGCTCGATTACGAGAGCTGCATAAATTTTAATTAAATCTCAATAAGTAAGCTTTATGAAAGAAGGCTCGAGCTTTTCAGTGAGGGCAGTCTCGAAGTGTCAGTCCGAATATTTCGAGTACTTATGTACACTTGAAAGAGAGCGCCGACGTTTTCGCCCTTACTCAGCGTAACGATAAGCTATGAAAATTTTAAGAAATGTATATGAAAGAGCATAAAAAGTTTAGTTAGTATACAAAAAAATACGATAATCGAAAAAATTAAACCAGCTGAAGAGTGAGAGTGAAAAAGGGCGAGAAGCGCGCGCGGAGCTCGGTCGGCGGGGTCCCTTAAATCAATCATATCATGAGAAAAGCAAGTGCAAGAATAATTGATTTTGTCAATTATTTTGATGCAACAGACTGAATACCGTCTTCAATACGGCGAATGGAATCGAATAAGTTCATTTCTATTACAAAGATATTAATTATTATCAATTTATTGACCAGGAGAGACACATTCAAAGGAGACCTTTTATTCTGTGACGTCCATTTTCTCTTTTTTCACTCATAAAAAGACTCTTATAGAAGTTTGATCAGTAAGATCGCCCAGAATATTCGAAAAACTATCGATCAAGGTACCAATTTTCGATTCTACAGGGAATAGAAAATGATCAAATTGGGGAAATATACATTTCAGAGAATCATCTTCACGAAGATGACAAACACGGAGAAATGCGAGTTTCATATGACCGGGATAACGGTCGAATGAAATTTTATATTGCCTGAGTAAACGACCAAATAAAGCATTTATTATTTCTGTCTCTTTCTAGAGCTTAGTGTTTATCCTTTCTTTTCCACTTGACTTAAGACAAAATACGATTACAGTATGTTGAGAACAGTATCGAAAATGATCGGCAAAGGACAACAGTACATTCCACAGAGATTTCTCCCAATTCCTCGTAAGTACTGTCAAAGCTTTATCACAGTCATCGTCAGGCATTTAGTGCATGAACTCTTGAGCTTAGCAGCTTCTGCTTTTAGAAATATAAGTTCTTGGTTATCAAACAATCGAATTTCCTTCCCAACCGCATCCGAGAGAGAACAGAGCATAAAAAATAAATTTCAAAACAGAGATGCGCATCATTGAACAGCTGTTTATCCAACAAAACCTCGAAAAAAGTTTGCCAACCGCAAGAGGCAGCAATTTTTCACCTTATAAAAACTCCCCTTCATCCCTTTTCTTCAAATAACAACTTGCAAATCCCACAAAAAAGTACCTTTTTCAAAAGCCCTCGAGGAAAGCTCGCAAAGCTTGAGTAAATACAGGTATTTGAAAAGAGCAAACGAACTTTGTTGTTTGAAAAGCAGCGATTGTAAATTTTGGAGGACAAGGGTCGAGCAAATACAGTAAAACCCGCGCTTTTTCGGACAGTACAGAGAGAGGATGTTGACCCCCTTAACATAGTTTCAGCTTTCGACTAGATTTTCTGTAGAATCCAAAAGAAAACGTCGAATAAATCGTTTTGAGAAAAAAAAAACCAAAAACCAGTTTTGACTAGTTTCATCAATCCTTTCCCACCTCCACCACCAAACCACCAAATCCATCACCTCTAAAATCCTCAAATTTTGCCCCGAAGAGATTCCGCCCCTCGAAAGGTGGCTCGTTCTTCGTGCACGAGGAGCGTGTAGGCGGCTGAGCGTGAGCATTGATTGGCCAGAATACATTTAGAGGATTTTCGCAGAAGCAGAATTGAGGAATTGCGAGAACTGGAGTCCATCTTTTCCACTTATTTTATTTGCCTGAACAAAGTCCCCCTCAAAATAGAGAATCCATGACCCCATTCTTCTAACCTTTAACCCTTCCAGTAAAAATTTAACCAGCTGCTGGTTTAAAACCATTCGAACGCGGCAAATCTTGTTGGCCAAAGCCCCCTAAAAATGGCTTTTTCAGATTCGACAATGAGTGAGAACAGCTTCCTCTTCACTTCAGAATCCGTCGGTGAAGTAAGTACAGAAATACCCAGTAAAATACATGTAGAGATAAAAAGAGAAGAAATAGCGGAAATGGAGTTTTATTACCCTCTCATTGCGTAATAAAAATGAGCACGTGAGTCTGAAAACGACTCTATTCTCTGTTCAAGTCCAGTTTTTACGGTCCACATCCGTTATATTCGGCTTTCTCGCTGCCCTTTAAATTTCGGAATAGTCTTAGAATAAAATTCTCACTCTTGTACTTGAAATCGTTCTAATTCTTACATGCGTTTTTCAGGGACACCCAGACAAGATCTGCGACCAGATCTCAGACGCCATCCTCGATGCCCACCTCGAACAGGATCCCCGTGCCAAGGTCGCTTGCGAGACTTTCGCCAAGACTGGTTACATCATGGTCGGTGGTGAGATCAACTCCAACGCCAATGTCAACTACCAAAAAGTCATCCGCGAGACCATCAAGGTATTAAAAATCTCCCTCTTGTCCTTCTTAAAATTTTCTTCAGCGAATTGGCTACGATTCCGATGAAAAGGGATTGAACTACTTCACCTGCGCTGTCCAGAACGGCCTGGAGCAACAGTCGCCCGATATTGCCCAGGGAGTCCACGAGAACCGATCCGATGAAGACGTCGGAGCCGGTGATCAAGGACTGATGTTCGGATACGCCACCGACGAAACTGAAGAGAAGATGCCTCTCACTCTCATGCTCGCCCACAAGCTCAACATCCGAGTAAGTCTTGTTTCTCTTTCCTTAGTCCCTGTTGTTCTCAACCAGTTTCTTACCCCCTTCTTCAGATGGCCGAACTCCGAAGATCTGGTGAAGAGAAATGGATTCGACCAGACTCAAAGACCCAGGTCACCATTGAGCACAAGATCATCGGAGGAGCTGTCGTCCCCATCCGAGTCCACACAATCGTCATCTCCGTCCAGCACGCCGACTACATCACCAATGAAGAGATGCGAGCCATCCTCAAAGAAAAGGTAACCACTTCCTCCCTCTCTTCTTTCCTAACCATCTCTAGGTTGTAAACCAAGTCGTCCCCGCCAAGATGCTCGACGAGAACACAATCTACCACATCCAGCCCTCCGGCCGCTTCGTCATCGGTGGCCCACAGTCCGACGCTGGTCTCACCGGCCGTAAGATCATTGTTGACACTTACGGCGGCTGGGGAGCCCACGGTGGTGGCGCCTTCTCCGGCAAGGACTACACCAAGGTCGACAGATCTGCTGCCTACGCCGCCAGATGGGTTGCCAAATCCCTCGTCAGCGCTGGTCTCTGCCGACGAGTCCTCGTTCAGGTCTCCTACGCCATCGGTGTTTCACATCCTCTTTCTCTTCATGTTGAAACCTACGGCTCCGGACGAATCCCAGGTAATTTATCACAGCAATTTCAGCTTCTAACTCGCCTTTTTCAGATTCCCTGATCAAGTCGGTCATCGAAGATAACTTCGACCTCCGACCCGGCCGCATCGTCAAAGACCTCCAGCTGGACAAGCCTATCTACTCCAAGACCGCCAGCTTCGGTCACTTCGGCCGCAAGGGATTCACCTGGGAAGAGCCCAAGACCCTCGACTTCAACGATAACGTCAAGGCTGCCTTGGCCGCCGCCCCCGGCAACTAAATCAAAGCAAGTACCAACTGTCAGCATCCTGATTGCAGCCGTTTTTCAAAAACTGTCCAAAAATGAAATCAGTGCAGCCGTGCTCCGCCCAATTTTTTCCCAGGAGGCGTTTTAGAGCTCTGCCTGTTTTTCGAACTCATCTTTTCCAACTTTCTATTCACTATTTTTAATTCAAATTTTGAATTTTTTCAAATCGATTGCAGTTCTTTCGGCCACAGCCCGGGTTCGTCGAGCGTCTTTATTTTAGACCAGCCACAGCTCATTTATTCTGGCTCAGCCCGGGCTACGGTGCGGTTCTCTTCACACATGTCTATATCCTATTTACACCTGTGTTGGTGACCCTCAAGGTCGCTCCCTTTCTGGGGTCATCAACATTAGCTGTAAAGCTCGGTGTTAGAGTGTCTGAAGGGAGCCCCCGTGTTTCAAATTTCACACAAACCCGCGTTTTTCCCATTTACACTACGTTTACTTCTGTTTTCAAAAACATCTGTTTATCTGCTCCTCTCATTTATCTCCTCTTTCATTTCGGCCTGACCTTATAGTCGTGCGTTCTATACCAGTGAGTGGCACTTCGCACATATTCCCGAAGGGAGGGTGCCATTCTCTCAATAAGGTCCCAAATTATTCTGTTTACTGCAAAATCGAAATACAAAATCAATTATCGACCACTCTAATTTCAAATTTGAAGCCTCTCTGTCTTCAACTTACGTCTTTTCAATGTTTTCATACATCTTTTACCGCAGGCTAGAATTTTAACGCAAACAATGGCAAGTTTGATCATGACAGTCATTTCCAATCGTAAAATTTTTACGGTAAAAACGTCTTGTACGGCAGTTACACTCTATGACTCGTAGACTATGACAGAGGCAGGGATTGTGATGTCACTTAGAGAGGCAATAAAATCAGGTGACGATTTGAAAAATTGAAACATCGGTGAGCATGTTTCTCATTAATCTTATCATGAAAAAGATGAGACAGATTGTCCATCTCTTAAACTCATGCGTAGCTACGTTGACAGCTGCGAATCGTAACTTACGATTCGTAAGAAATGACGTTCAAGATCACCTCAACGAGTAAATCACTTCCGAAAAGACATAAAATTGGCAACTAAAAAACGTGCAAACGATGACGACGATGATTGACTCAAGCGCCGACGTGGCAGGATACTTGATCCTCGAATCCAGGACTCATGAATGCGCGGAGGGCTTGAAAAACCATGACGTATAAAATGGTAAGTAGGGACCCTAACTTTAAGTTCACTGAACCAAAAGTTCAGGTTTGACTGCCTAGTTCAGTCACAAGTTCCTAGTTCAGACAAAGGCGCGAAACGGAACAATATTGGTTCTATATTTGATGTTATCGACATAAAGCATAAATACAGTAGTCAAAGGGTCTTTGAATAACAAAAAGCTTCCGTTTCATTCAAAAATATTATGTAATAGACGATGTCAAAAAAGTATTCTTTACGACTTCAACTCGTCTTGGGTTATTGTTGTCTCCGCCCTAGCGGAAAATTTCCGTGGCCTGCTGGGTAGCTATGTCATTCCTTCGCACATAATGAAAAGGGAAAATCGAGTTGTTATAAACTCCCTCCCGTTCTTTAAATTACACAGATTTACTGAATACTTAAAACGCTAATAAGCCGATTTCTCCAAGAAAATGCAAGAGTACGACATCTACTGCTACAGAGAAATGAGCGAGGATGAGATGGACTTCGAACTCATGAGTTGTGAACTCGATGATTTGGAATTAAAATAACTATGGGCCATAGTCTATCGTCGGTCTGACATGATAGACGAAAAGTTTATCGCTTCTTTTACCATTCTGCTTGCACACTTCCCACCTTTTCCAACTGTAAATATCTGACTGAAAGAATAAATATCTTGAAAATCAATTTAATTGTGGCTTTAGATATTGAGAGGCCTAATAAAAATTCAAACATTCACGCGCTCATGAAATTGATCATTTCTAGATGAGAATCTTAGTTAAATTTAACGATTTATCAAAATGCTAATTAAAGCATCATATTCAATTGATCACCATTCAGAATGGTCCATTCTAGTTTAAAAATTTGATGCGGTCTTTCATGGCTAGTGGCGGTCAATGAAGAGGAAGTAAAAATGGTTGGGCTTCAAATCTCACCATAAAGATTCATTCAAAATCTTCATGAGAGGAAACATAAGAATTATTTTCGGGCCAACTGACCACATCAAGTACTAATTTTTCAGAAATAATAGCCAAGTTTATCTTGAGCCGATAAAAACGAAACAACAATAAATGCTTTTGAACTTTATTTGGAAACAGACATTCGTTCGAATCGCTTGATTTTCTCCGCTAGAGCTGCCATGTCGGGCTCTACTCTTGATTTTCGACGGATTTCTTGATGTTCAGTTTTTGGAGTTTCAAAAGTTTCGAAAGTTGCATATGTTGAGTTCTTCGAAACTCGGGAGTAGAGAGGTCGAATGTGAACACTTGATCTTCTTGGACGGTATTCTCCGGCGATTGAGAGGTCTAAAATGCGATGTTTTCGGAATAAAATGCTCTTTGACGCTCTTATTTATAATGAAAAGAAATCTCTAAAGGACTAAAACCTGCAAAACTCTTCTGAATTGGATCCCATCGACTCATCTTCACGATATCTGAAGCCATTTTTCCGCTCTCGCCTTTCTCCGGGTACCCTCCCAATCCCTGGGCAAAATCGAAAATCCAGGGATTCGGAGGGTCAAATCCAAAATGTTCTAGAAATAGCTTTTAGCTGTTTTAAATCAGATTCATTGATTAGTTTTCTCTAAAAATTTGTTAGGGTTGAAAGCAAAACAACTTTAGCGTACTTGTTAAATGCTCTAATGTAATATTTGTGACTCACAAATTGTGAGCGTATACTATTGATTAACTTGAAATGATTTTTAAGCCTTAAAATCTTCATTTATATCGTCTGATAATTATTTTGAAAAAATGTGGGTTGGAAAATTACTTTTTGCCTTCATTCAATTTTCCTCTTTTTAGGGTTAGTGTTTAATCAAATATGACATACAAGCTATCTTATAATATGCGTAAATTTTTGATATATTTTGAAAAATGATAAATGAAAGGTGTTTTTTGATCATTTGTAGGGGTTTTCTAGAACATCACCCTCCGAATCCCTGGATTTTTGCCAAAAACCCAGGGATTCGGAGGGTGCCCAGGGATTCGGAGGGTCACCCCCTTTCTCCCCGGCCGCAATTTCAAATAATCGAAGGCCACTTACAAAAATTACAAAGAAAAATCGCGCACAGAAGCGTTTCTATTATTTTTGACCTCGTGCTCGATAATCATTTTGGAGCTTCTTTATTTGAGCAACACTCGATAGTCGTCCGGAATAATGACAATCAGCGGAAATCATTGTAAATAGCAACACCATTCAAGCCAGTCAAAATTAACCAAAGATAAGCCATTAATCTGTCAATGGATTTACAATGCTTTCCAGCGAATGTACACTGTAGAAGTAGATCGAACGACTCCTCTGCTTTCGTCTAGCTTTGACTTTATTTACAAATAAGTTTCAGAGAGAGAATTGACTTTTAAACTCTTCATCAATCGGGTAATCTTCTCCGTACTCATCCGGGCCGTACTCATAGTCGAGCATTTTGAAGAAAGCGGGATCCTCCTCTTCGAGATATTCAAAAAACTTCTCCATGTCGCCCAGCTGGCCAAATGTACTGGGCTGAGCCGAGATCGCGAAAATAGCGAAGCCGAAAAATGTGAAAATATTCATTTTTCCTTTTTCTTGTTTTCAACTCTTGAAGATGTGGATTACAGAAGAGTACGCGAGCTGATATAGGATGCCAACGACGGGCGTTAATTATTCAAGGGAATATTTATCTAATTCATGGCTGCGAAAATAATCCGAAATTACTGTCTGTTATCATAGGCTTCTAAAGAAGCGCGGGAACGCAATCAAACGACTACAGTATTTTCATTCAAAACAGGGCTAATTTGAGGAGACAGAAGAGCAAATGTTTTCATGCCTCGACGTTTCCTCATCCTTTTTTGCAACCTTAACTGTTTATTTATGGTTCAAGACGGATTCTAAAGGGTTGACAAAAAAATGATTCGCGTTTGACATACGACTCTTTACCCAGGTATCCTTGATAGGTATCATATCTGAAAGATATGTCAATGTATTGTCGATATTCAAGGCCTCGAAAGTACCACAAGCTTTGAAATAATATGGAGAAATCTTCACTGTAGAATCTACAGTTCATTTTATAAGTACTAAGTTAGTACTACGAACATACATAAAGTATGCACTAAGTTGACACTACGAAATTAACGAAATCAACGAAATAACAGGTTGATCAATACCTGCCTAGATCATGCCAGGTGACTTCAATAACTGCTAAGTAAGTCAGTTCATTTTGCCCTGCTTGAATATACAGTTAAATATAAACTGTAAGATGCGCTTATTAGGAGGCTTACTAAGTAAGCCTTACTTACTGGTGGTAAGAGGGCCCACTTTGATAATTTCAAAAAAATTCTTTCAGGCTTGAAAATCCTGAAAAAACTGCGAGTGTAGGTTTATAGAGCTCGCTGAGACGAGTCGATTGCTACCTCTTGCTCCTAAAAACTCAAAGATTTTCGGCCTCTGCGAGCGATAAGAAGGTCTCTTATCAAAAATTTTGATTCCACCGCCGTTTTTGTTTTAGAATAGCAGGAATCACGTGTGACCCCGGAAAATGATCCTAATGATCGGTTCTATTGACAGGCGAAATTTCAGACCTTCATCATTTGTCCCGCCGAGTTTATCAGCAAAAAACCGTTTGCGGAAAAATGGGACTGAAAATGGGCCGAAAATTAGGAACAAATCGACAGTAATCCTATAATAATTAAAAATTGAAGGAAACATAGGGTCTCTTCAATTTCCAGCTGTTATTTTTTTCGTTAGATTTGTTTATTAATATCGTGCTCGATAGATTGACTGATCGCTCCGATAGAAAGTTGAAGAATATATAGTAGATTGGCAGATAAAGGGATGAAGAAAAAGGGAGAACGGCGGATAATAAATTAATCAAAAGACAAGAAGGAACTGAAAGCTTGGAAATAAATAAATATATCACGGAGGGGAAAGTATTGTTCTTTTTTCAGGAGGTAGCGTTTAGGGAAGCGTTTGAGACGTAATTATATTGCAAGGAATTTTCGCTGGTCGACAGGAATCGCGTATTTTTCGTAGACTTCCAGAAGATTGGAGTTGAGGATTTCAAAGACAGAAGATTCAGCCTAATAATAAATTTGATCCCAGGTCAAAATTAATGCTGTTTTCAAATAACAACAACAAACCTTGATCGTCGGCTGCAGGCAGTGAAGCACCAAGCATCGAAAAATCTGATTATGCGCAGCAAAAAGTTGAAACAGCTCATCAAATTTAGAAGACTCAATCATCAATGCTACAGCTATCGAACTGCGGCCGTTCTAAAAACCAAAATTAACAATGGGTTCCACTCAAAACGAAAAGTCCAAGCCCCAAGTTCAAACCAACCTTCAACGCTTCAGATATCCACTTTGCTTCAACTTTTGCGGCTGTTTCTTTCAGCTCCTCCTCGTCGTTGTTGTTTTCGATGGTTGACAAAATCTGTCGCGCCAAGATGAAGTGCCCAGCGTCCAGCAGTTGCCCAATTGCTTCTTTGACACACCTCGAAATCATCAAAAGCTCAACACCATCTAAGATCTTCCCGGCGCCAATTAGACTAGCTGACATCATTTTTATGTGGCTTTTCACAAGTTCGGCGTTTCCTTCCTCTGAACATAAAAGCGTGACGAGCCCGCGAAGGCCGTTTTCTTCAAAATTCGGCTTGTCGACGGAAGTTGAGAGGAGCTTTTCTATCGCCTGGTCGCGCTTATTGAAGATGGAGAGGAGCTGCGTAAGGCGACGAAGGTGTTGTGGCTCGCCAGGAGTTTGGCATGAAAGCCGGGCAAGTCTTACGAATAGGGTTTATTTTGGTCGACATAATTACAAAAACAACTAACCTGGATTCAATATTGAGTTTGATCCTTTCTCTTCCATTGACTGTTCCTCCAGCGAGCCAGCTATCCGAATCAAGATTGCCCTCCATCACCGCTCTCAAATGAAGAACGAATTCAAAGTCTCGCTGGCTTCCCGTCTTGCCAATGCTCCTTACAAGTTCATCAAGATCAAAATCACCCTCCTTACTCGCTGCCAAGCAGCCTTGAATCACTTTAAGATCGAAGAGCTCATCGGCGTTTTCTTTGGCGATTTGAGAGCGAGGGTGATACATCATCTTGTCGAAGCGGAGGTTTTCGTTGACGATTCGGATTGATCCATCGAGACATTCTAGTGCGATTTGATCGCCTGAAACCCACTGGGCAGATTTGGCCTCGAGAGTTTTGAACTTAGCGCGAGAGACTTCAGAAAGCTCCTAAGAATAAGGGTATCAAGATGTTAACTTAAGGGTAATCCTATACATCGGCGCGGCGCTGCTCGCTCGATCCGCACTCCGCCAGAACCTATTTTTCACTAGCCCATAAAATCCCAACGGAGTGAGAGTTTTTCAAAATTCAAAAAGATTTAAGATGCTTAAACTCTCTACTATTCCTCTAGCAAAAATGAAAAAAATCGGCAACGAGGAACCATCTGAAAACCGCCGGTTTCCTTCAAAAGACATTTCCCGCCCAATTTCTCATTCAAATTTCACAAAAATCAGATGGTCTTGTAGAGAATCGTCTGTTCTACAATTCTTGTTTCTTAGATTTTCTTTTTACGCTCACAAAAATTCTCTATGATAGTTTGAAGAGAGTGCTATTATTTTCTGCGCGAGCGCGCCGTGAGAAATAGGAAGCAAAGAGGCGCGAGGAAGAATAGCGCTCTTTTCAAATGACCATATAAAATTATTGAGAGCACAAAAACAAAATCTAAGAAACAGGAATTGTAGAGCAGACGATTCTCTACAAGACCATCTGATTTTTGTGAAATTTGAATGAGAAATTGGGCGGGAAATGTCTTTTGAAGGAAACCGGCGGTTTTCAGATGGTTCCTCGTTGCCGATTTTTTTCATTTTTGCTAGAGGAATAGTAGAGAGTTTAAGCATCTTAAATCTTTTTGAATTTTGAAAAACTCTCACTCCGTTGGGATTTTATGGGCTAGTGAAAAATAGGTTCTGGGGGAGAGCGAATCGAGCGAGCAGCGCCGCGCCGATGTATAGGATTACCCTTAAGAGGAAATGATAACCTGAATGTCCCAGACAGAGATTTCCTTCTCGCCTTGAATAATCGCTAGTGTATTTCCTCTTCCAGGAGCGAAGCTTATCCCTTTTGGTTTTCGCAATTCGAGGGGTTTCGTCGCTCTCGTTTTGCTCTTTGTATCGATGCAACAAACAAAGCCATCATTGTACGCTAAGAGCATCAAATTACTCTTCCAGGCAGCAGCAGAAACAGTGCCGATCTCTGCTTTTAGTCGATTTTCTTTGTCCTCGCGGAGCTTTGTATCGAGAACATTGAGAATTCTGATGCGGTTTTCAAGGTCGAAAAACATAATTCTCTCTTCTGGCCCTTCTTTTGACAACCAGCAGGGCGCTTGGTACATGTACGGCGAGTTGAAGCTCGGAAAACGTCGGAGAAGCTTCCCTGTTCGACAGTAGAACTCTGGTGGCTGGTAGACTTTTGCCTCGCCGAGGAAATCAGAGTTGAAGAAGATGAGTAAGTGGCGGGAGGAAGGCGAGGGAAGGATTTTTTCAATCGCAGACTCGTTATTCTTTCGCCGAAGAACCCGTGTGCGACCTGAAGATACAGTAAGAAAACAGTCTTATCAATAGAAATGTTTTTCATAAGTGAACCGCTATTTCGATATTTACTTCAAGCGACTTGGCATCAAAAGAAGTACCTATTATTTCGATTTGCATAGAAAGTTTGTATTCGAAGAAACCGGACTGAAGAAATGGGGCAGTTTTGTATAAAATTTCAAACGACGATTTTCGAGGATTGATACAAAATTTGACCACGCCCGTGATAGTCAGTGCTTGATCCCTTCTTGTATCATTTTTCAGGCGGCCTTGCATCAGATAATGCGATCAATGTCAATATCCGGCGACGGAAAAGTGCGCGGAGAAGACAAGTTCTAAGGAGTTGCGGTCATCTTATTAAGATTCATCTCAAGTTAAGGAGCTAAGGCTTAAGGACTACCGCTGGACATCTGTTCGACCGTACTTGGTCATCTTTCAACTTGAAAACCGAAACTAAAGAGCTTTCTTACCGGAGAAAATATTCAGCAGAGTAACGACATTGTTAACTGTAGTTTCCGCAGCTCCACTCGTCGAAGCCCAGGAGATCACGTGTTCTGCGTCTATCCAACACATTCCTTTAATCTGCGTCGAGTGGACCGAGAGCTCTCGCTCGCATTTGCCAGAATAGAGGTCGATTATTTGAACGTTTCCGTTTTTCATCCCCCTAGCAGCACGTGGTCGCCAGTTCAAAAAGTTCTTCGTCGAAACGGGCGGACCAAGAGAGATTATTGTATCTCTTGGAGCGATGGAATGACCGTTTTGCCCAGCAAGACGGAGAGTCAAGTTTCTCTGCTCGACTTTGCCGAGCTCCATATCAGTAGCGGTTATCTCTGTAGGACCCAGAAGACGGCCGAGGAAATCTCCATTCGATTGGTTGCTCTCCTTCAAGACAAAGAACTTGCCATCGTTTTCGCGCTCTTGGCAGACTTCTAGCTTGAATTTGAGGACCCGCGAATCAGTCAGAAGCAAGCTTATATTCGTCTCCGATCTCGGATCGACGATCAATCCTCTGCATTTGCACCAGCCGGTCATGCGCAAACCATCAGACTGGCAAGCGTTCTGGAGCTTAAGCCCTTTGTCGATGTTCTTTTCCGAGATCTGAAAAGCCCTGACGGAGATGGAAGCATTTTCATGAGCAGCGTACAGAGCTGGTCGGTACTTAGCCGCGTAAATAGAAATTATCGGCGACGTCGACTTGTCCATCTCGACGAGAGAGAAAATATCGAGCGTTGCCATGTCAAAAATGACGATCGCTCGACGAAACGCAAGATATGCCATGGTTGGCATTGACGGCATAAGTCCGAAGCCGACACTTTGCGAGAAGTCGGCCAGATCGGATGATTGGGGAAGATGGTCACGGGAAAAGACAAACTTTCGCTGGGGATAATCGAGGTACAGTCGACGAGGACTTTTCGCCGGTTCTTTCTCGATAGAAAAGTCGATGATCTTCAAAATCGCCTTGTCGGTTTGGACAAAGAGCTTGCTTTGCTCTTGGAGATCAACGACGAGGCGAAGGATGTTCTCGTCTCTTCCAAGATCGAGCTTCGAGTTCCAGACAAAAGCGCCAGTTGTTGAGTTGATCAAGAAGATCTGAGAGCTCGTCGCGGCAACGAAGAACTGCGACGTGTTTTGCGTTGATGCAAAGTCTGTGAGCCATTGAAGGGATGCAACGGTCGCTGGGAGAGAGGCTTTGGAGACGATCTTGTTCGCTAGAACGTCCCAGACGAGGATGTCACCATTGTTGTACGAGGCTAAAAGTCGCGAGCGTTGGCAACCTTTATTCAGGGCTCCACTTAGGAGTTAACGCTGGAACGCATATCGACCCATTTTTGGGTAAGGCGCTGAAATATGCCTTCAGAAATCATCATTTTCTAGTTTTTAAACAACAGATGAGAGATTTTATATGTATCTATCCTTGTAGTTTATTGTCTAAAGATCTTGTTTATGATAAAATTTGGGTTGATGTAAGCAAGAAAACGGGTCTACGGCCTCTCACCCAAAAATGGGTCGATATGCGTTCCGGGAAAAAAACCATTTCATGCGTTCCGGCGTTAAGATTTCTACAATATTTTTCTAAATAAAAATGAGGATTTGAATGGAAATAAAGATCGTCCCTGGCCCTGGTTCAAATTTTAAGATATCGATTTTCCGTCCTGAATTCGAATTGAGAGAGATGACTGATTGTCCTGTCACTTGTTCTCGAATATCAATGAGGTCGTTAGCAGAAATCGCTACAAGGCCGGACCAAGAAGCATCCACTCCAAGTGTGTCGATGCCGAAGCTGGCGCCCGCCTGCTGCCGGGGACGGATTCTGTCTTCTAGGGCAGTCATTTTCGATGATTTTACATTCTAAAGTTGAGGATTTTCAAGAAAGGGGAGTTCGAAGGCAATTTTATTTGAAGTAAGAAGAGTTAGAGAAGCTGGAAGCGTGAGCAGTTAGTTTGTCAGTTGTTTGAAATAAGGAAATGTACAGTTCGGGGAGTATTTTGTTGGAATTGAGGATAAGGATGCAGAATAACGACATGTTTTTTCGTTGGATACTTTCTGGCGATGGATTCGTTTGAATATGAAGCGTTTGTTTTGATTTTACAAGGGCCCCATATCCGGGTATTTCAGCTTGACGTTGTCTTAAAAGAAACGGTTAGATAACCACTTAAATTTTCGCTATTTTCCAATTAAAGCTAGGAAAAAAATTTAAAATGAGATCAATTGACTCGTAAAATCGATAACGCTATCGTTTGACGTGTATTTTAACGAATTAGACGGATTAAACGAGCCCAGAATAGGTATCTAGGAAGATTCCTCGTTAAAGGAAGCGCTGGAAAATTTTTACACGATCCTTTCATAATCATGAATTTCAATCAGTCTAAGGCTGGATAAAACCAGTCTCGAAACAACCAAAATACAATATAAAAGAAAGACTGTCAGAGACACTGCCATTTGGAAAAATATGATTCTAGTCAAAGGAAAAGTCGTTGAATGCGTCGGCGACGAAATGATGGCAATTATTTGGGAGAAGATAAAGTACAAACTCATCCTGCCATATGTCGACTTTGGCAAGAACCTGGAGGTCTTTGACTTGACCTTAGAGAACAGAGTGATTTATGGGGATGAGATTGTTCTCGATGCTGCAAAGGTGACCGCATCAATACTGTAACTATCAAGAAAATAAATGTTCAAGGCGATCAAAGAAGCAGGAGTTGGCATCAAATGTGCGACGATAACTCCCGATGAGAAAAAATGCGAAGAAATCGGCAAAGTGCTCCGCTCTCCGAATCATATTATTAGAGAATATCTCGGTGGCATCATTTTACGCGAGCCAGTGATCTGCGAAAATATTCCTAAAATCATCAAGAGTTGGGTCAACCCGATTTATATTGCAAGACATGCATATGCTGGAAATAAGGTACAAAGCCAAATGAGGAGTATTTCGATAGAATCAAAATATAATATATGATATATTATATATCCTTTAAAATTCGAGTTATCTTCATATTCAGGATGTTCATGAAATGTGCATCGAGGGAAAAGGTCAACTGAAGCTGAGTTTCGTGGATGAAATCAGCGGAGTTCAAACCGAAAAGGTAATCAAAGCCAGTTAATCTCGGCATTATATAAACACTCGTCATTTCCGCTAAAAAGGACGAAATATACGTTCATCTCTAAGTCGCCCTAATCGCCTTAAGATCATCGCCGAAGAAACGAAAGATGGCGTTATTGGCGCGACTTTCATCGAAGAGTATGCGATCCGAGCATTTGCTCGGGGATCGATGGAGTTTGCTGTTGAAAAATGTCTTCCTCTCTTTCTATCGACGAAATCGACGATTTTGAAAAATTACGATGGGCTCTATCAGGTCTCATACGCGAAAAACAACGTCTTATAATACTCATTTTAGAGAGTATTCCAAGAAGTCTATGAAAACGAGTTCAAAAGTCGATTCGAAGAACGCGGTATTTTCTACAACTTCATTTTGATCGATGCGATGGTTGCCAAAGCCATGAAGTCAAAAGGAGGATTTGTCTGGGCGATGAAAAATTACGATGGGGATGTACAATCAGACTTCGTATCCCAAGGTTTGTAAAGATCTGGCAATCTAAACTTGAAACTCTTCAAGGATTTGGTTCGCTCGGACTAACATCATCATACTTGATGACAGACGACAAGAAGGTCATCCAGACTGAAGCTTGCCACGGAACTGTGAAAAATCATTTCAAAAAGTATCTCCGCGGAGAGCCAACGTCAACTAACCCTATCGGTAAAACTCTCTTTTTTTCACCATCAATTCCAACCTTCAATTCAAGCTTCAATCTTCGCCTGGACGAAAGCGCTGGCTCATCGAGGTCAACTCGACAAAAACGAAGAACTCGTTAAATTTACTGAAATTGTCGAAAAAGGTTGATGATCAAAATTGACCACTGAAAGACTAAAACTTAAGTTTGTATTGCTACAATCGAATCTGGCTGCATGACGAAAGATCTCGCCGCCGCGCTGAAAAACAACGAATTCGAGTCCATGACCGAGAACGACTACTTGACTACTTTCGAATTTCTCGACAAGATCGCGCAAAATTTGCGTTCCTGTATGATCCTTCCCAAAATGAACATTTAGATCCATCTCTCTTTACAATAAATATAATTTCCCCTACCTTTGTTGTGTTTAACCGGATCATCCTTGTAGAGCACCGGGTCGGCCCGAAATTCAACAGCTTTCAGCGGCATCTTGCCAAACTCTTTCACAAAGAAGTTGATGCACTCTGATCGCTCGACCATATGTCCCGGGTCGACGGAAATGGAGACTTGCTGAGAGCACTCGGTGCACTTGAATTTCTTCCTCGGTGAGACTTTTAGAGGAGCTTTCGCGGTTTGATTAGCGATCACGAAATTCATCAGAATATCTTCGCAGTTCATGTGCTCATCTACCCAGTTGACGATTTTAGCTAAAGCAGGATTTAGACGAGGTTAAATAGCGAGATCAAGCAAGAAGCCCTTTGATCAATTTTATTGCTATAGTCTATAGCCTATAGAAAAAGCTCACCTGGTGTTTGATGATAGTACGCATGCGAAAAGTACTTGTGATAGAACGCAGCTCCAGTCAAAATCATACTGTTAGCATTTGTCCATTCACTTTCGTATTTCCAATTTTGCTTGTCTTCTTCCCACAGATGCAGTCTATTCGGATACCCGACCAGTCTGTCTGGATATTCTCGCCAGACCTGGTAGCTGAGAGGAAAATAAAGATGAGCTCTAGCGCGTTCTTTTCTTACCCAAATTGAATCTCATCCGCCGTCAACATTACAATATCGTCATCGATTGAGAGAACGCAGCTGGTTTCGATCTCGTCGTAAGGATAAAATCGATTCGAGAGGACGTTCTTCTTCGTCTGAATCACTCGAATCGGAATAGAAATTTGAGGAAAGGTAGAGGCAAGAGGCGGTGCCTTCGATTGATTGTTCCAGATCACGAGTACTTTTTTCAGCCCCGGTGCCTTGGCGACGGACTCGATGACCCGGTACAGTGATTCGACTCGATCGTAGGCCAAGATCACTGCCGTAAAGCCTTCGTCTGGCGCTAGAATAGATATCGTTAGGTATTATCATCACTTTGGGACGATTTCTTAAGGGGCGGGTCGACGAGAATCGGAATTTTTAAACCAATTTTCCCGAAAAACCCGATTCTGTAAACATATTTTGACTTATCAGGTGAGAACAGAAGGGTATTTAGAAGACAGCGGCAACGAGTTTCACGAGTTTTTGCAGGAATTTCGTGCACTTCATTACCAAATGTGGCATAAAAAAAATAGCGAAAAAATCGCTAAATTGCCAAAATTGCGATTTGGGGTCCACTTTGAGACACGATTACGCCCATTTTTTCTGGACAAAATTTTTTCTAGTTTTCGCCGCTGTATTTTTCAAACCCTTTTCTACTCACCTGACCAATCAGAATTTTTCATTCAAAGCTAGTTTTCCCGGAATTTTGGTTTAAAAAATCCCGATTCTCGTCGACCTCCCCCTTAAGTCGTAGAATGTGCTCCTAGTATGACTTCCTAGTAGGAAGTTCCTACCTATTCTGTTAAGAAACAGCGGCGACTGAACTCCTCTTATCGGTCCATTCCAAAAGTCAACACCGTGGACCTTATGCGGAAAGAGTCGATCATGGAGATGCCCCAGAAACCCTTCGAAAACAGCGCCCATGGAAGAAAAGAACTTGTCAAAAGTCCAGATGCCGCGTTCTCGAGCTCGAATGAGGTCTTCCTTTGGAAACTTTTGAATGAAATCGGCGATTTTATGCATGTCAGAAGGTCGGAAAGTGGTCGAGAATTCATTCCAGTCAATTTTTTCTACGAAAAGCTCTTGTTGAATCGTCGAAAAAAAATCGAAAAGTACCTTGAAATGGAAGCTGTAACGAGTATTTTCCAACGATAATCGGGTAGCAGCCGGTTCCAAGAGCAGCGGCAAGCATTTTGTTCTGGAAACCAAATTTTGCCGAGTAAGAAACAAGACAGAATTTCGCCTTCTTCATCGAAAGAGGAATTTCAAAAGATTCACCGGTTATTGAGCAGTATGAGTCGGCAGATCCGCATTTGTTCAGTTTCAGCTGGCTGAGACCAGAAATTGATCTGAGGCCGGTTTCAATCGAGGCTAGATTAATCGTCATCAGAAGTTGCTAAAAGAAGAACTCACATTCGAAGGGACCGAGAGAAATCAGATCATATGTTCGCTCTTCTTCGAAAAAATCTTCAGACAAATCCACGATCGGACGAAGGAAATGTGAATAGAAAGAGATCGGAATGTCGAATCCATGTCGAACCGTAAAATCGGTCAATGTCGAGGTCGCCACGAGCGCCTCTCCGGTCTCCAGCTCGAAGTCTTTGACACTGTGACTCGAGAAGATCACCCAGTTTTTCCCGCCATTCCAGTAGGGCAAGTTCTTCAGAACAGCAGATGCTTTTTGAATGTTTTCGACGCGAGAAAGGGAGAGAAAATCGATTGGCGGAAGTCGTACACAAGCAGTTTCAGCGTTGTTAGTGTAATACTCGGATTCGGCCACCCATTTGTAAAGCGAGTAGAATTCGCGCGAAATATCCGGCGTTACCTTCTTCTTTCCGCCATCGTGAAAGTGTTGAAGAGGAGGAGCATAAACAGTCAGCTTTGTACAGTTGAAGATATCCCAGCAGTTCGACCAACGACAGTCGGAATCGAACGGATCCGTGTCGACCAGATTTTCAACCTTTAGAAGAGGGAGAGAACTCAGCCGATCAAGTCGAAGGTTTTGGTAGTTGGTCTTCGGAGGAGCAGTTGCCCAGAGATAGATGGAGACCAATACGAAGGAGTAGAAAAAGGTCGACTTCCATCGCTGGAAGAACTCGGCCAGGGAGCTGGACTCCTTCTTTTCTTTGTGCATTTTTCACCGTTTCTGTCGACTTACGATTTCATGTCTAGAGTAAGATACAGATAAGCTTCAATTTTGAAGAACTTGGATAAACTCTCACAGAACAGCACAGTACAGCGAGGAAGCCGCTCGCGTATTTTTAGTCTCTTATACAGATTTATCAAGAGCTGATAATTCTCGCTTATTATAATCACGTTGTCTTGATATAAAATCTACCGATAGCTAACCTGCCAAATAAAACCTGCAAGAAATGAGTACAAAAGACAAAATCTATGAAAAAACTCTTGTTCAGCTTTTTTCATAATTGTTTTACGATTTTTTTGATGGATGGTCGAGCATTGACAAGTTTTATTCACGTTTTAGGGTCTCTCGCTTGCCCAAAAAAGGAGCTCGCTCGAGATAATAAATAGGGGGATCCGGATCGCAAAGGGTTAACTTCGAAGTTGCCCCGTTACGGGCAGTACAGGAGAGAAGGAGAGATGACAAGTAGTTGTAGTTTAAACACAAGTAATAAAAATTAACGTACAATTTGAGACAGAATTATGCCTAAATTATAGTAGTTTTAATTAGTTACTGGAATGCATCCTTTTTGATACAGTTCCTCGTTCTCTTCCTGGAGAATTTAAGAAGTTCGCATGTCAATGTAGGCCTTCTTGACGACATCGAAACCAGAAAGAACACCAGCTCCAGCAATACCTGGGGAAGAGAGGGATTAGCGGGTTAAAAGAAGGGATAGAGCTTACCTCGGAGGATGTTAGCGCCAGCACCCTTCATGAGGGACATGAAGCCTTCGTTCTTGATGACCTGCATACCGCAGTCAAGGGAGGATTTGTAGTGGACACCAGTTCCAGAGGTCATCATCATTCGACGTCGGACGGTATCGATGGGGTAGGAGGCGAGGCCAGAGACGACGGTGACGGCTAAGGGTTAAATGTTAACCTAGGAAGGGATGACTGTTGGCTTACCCCATCCGAGGAGGAAGGAGACGATGAAGGAGGCATCAGGTCCGAGGAAGATGGGCTTGATGGTATCGTAAAGACCGAAGTAGAGACCTAGATTAGAAGGGATGAGGAAAAGTGGAGGAATGGATGAGCGTTACCTCGGTAGATGAAGATACCGACGCAGGAGATGGCGAAACCTCGGTAGAGACCGGCAATACCGTCGGAGGCGATGGTCTTCTTGTAGACATCGATGAGACCGTTGTACTGTCGCTTACCGTCCTTGCCTGAAGATGAAAGATTAACAAAGCGCCTTCGGAGTGAAGAGAGGGGGCGAACAAAAGGCTATAGCATATGCTTACCCTTGGCGTCGTTGGCGAGTCGGGTTCGGGCGTAGTCGAGGGAGTAGACGACGGTGAGGGACATGGAACCAGCGAAACCACCGGAGGCGATGTTGGTGGCGAACTTGACGGCGTTGCTGGCGTCCTTGGAGGTGGCGAAGAGAGCCTTGATCTGTCCCTTGAAGGCGAAGTTGAGGGCCTGGGTGGGGAAGTATCTGAGAAGACCGTTAGTCTGAGTCTGAAGGAATCCGAGCTTACCGGAGGACGTTGGCAAGGTTTCCTCGCCAGAAGGATCCGACACCTTCAGAAGCCATGGTTCGTCGGGTGCAGTCGACAATACCGGTGTATCGTCGGTCAAGGACGCCCTGCTTGATCATCTCATCCTGGTTCTGGACGAGGAGCTTGACTCGCTCGATGGGGGCGGCGGCGGTCTTGGAGACACCAGCGGCAACGCCAGAGAGCATGAACTCTTCGAAGAAGTTAAGCTTCTTGGCCATGGCTAAAGCGGTTTCAATCTGAAAAAAGAACGAACGGTTAGAAAAAGCTTGAAAAAAATAATTTCGGAAAGAAAAAAGGAAAAAAAAGAGAAAAAGAAAGCCGCTTGCGGCTTCCAACTCAAATGATAAGGTCATATTCTGTTTGGTCCTCTTTTAGCTCAATTTGAGCTGTTCAAAGAAGAATAGAAATAATTTTGACTCGAAAGCCGCAAGCGGCTTTTTCGCCTTGGTAAGAACCTTTCAAATCATTTGAGCCGTAAAAGTGCCATTTCTCGAGTCGTTAAAAGGTCGATTTCTATTGATAAAGTTCGTTTCTCTAAGTTTTGAAAAATATTAAGTTAGCTTACCCCTGATCAACGCTCGACAAGAACTGAAGCTCAAAGGGGTAGGCCATGTTTTTATTTCTCAAAATAGGTGCAAAGAAGGAGGCACAGATTACTATCTCTCGCTCAGTAATACAGTAAGAAAAACACTTCTGTCTAAAAGTAGGACGCTTTGCAAAACGCGTAGGCGTTAATTTCTGCCTTATTTGGGCACGCATTATTATGTAACTTGGTCAACACGCCGGGGCGACCCAAACCGGCTACAGCTCAAGGAATTTGAATTCTGATTGGTTACATAACTAGAAAATATAAAAAGGTTAAAATTCGACCTCTCTAAATGTTCTCTCAAGGCGAATGAGGGGAAAGTGGTTTGGAACGAATTTTTTGGTGAGGAAAGAGCGCCAAATCTGAAGATGAAATGATAAAAATGAAATTTCTAACTGAAAATGCTCTTTTTTGGATTTTTATTAAATTTTCAAATCTGTCAAGTTTAATCATCCGTTGACTCAAAAATAACACTTTTACGTCTCTGGTCATAATCTCTTGTAAAAATCTGAAGATTCTCTGACGGTTACTTGGGCGCTGCACTATTTGTGAAGAAATTGGAGCTTTAGCCAATCAGCGCTTCAAGCCGCCGCATTCTGACGAACCGGGACGTGGCAACGGACGCTCAGACTGCTCCACTCGCAAAATTCGCGCGTTATGTAACTTCCATCCTTTTCGCTGGAACGGGGTCTTTCAGGGACGAGTTACAGTTTTCTTATATAAATACCAATCAGGGCTTTGAGATAAATGTGACTTTTGAAGAAACTTGAAAATCTCCAAAATGAAACTAGCGAATTTCTCAAGAATGTCCCTAGTTTGGCGTATTTTTCGCTCAAGGGGATCTCTGTTTTAACCCTACGCCGCCAAATGTGCCATATATGGCACAAGGGCTTTCCAAAACCCATTTTTCTCTCCGTCATCATTTCGGGTTCTTCCATTTTTACTCATTTTCGGGCAATAGTCTGGGCTTGGGTTTGGGTTCATTTTTGAGCTCGGGTTCTGGTTCGTGTTCGGATCTTGGTTAAGGTTCGGGTTCGGCGATTATATGGGGCCTAGGACGACGGAAAAGATGATGTGCCATATATGGCACATTTGGCGGCGGGGGGTGAAATTTTAGTTTGGCGGCGTAAGGTTAACGGATTTTGAGGTCCCGGACTTTGTTAGTCTAAAATCCGTTAAAAAAGAGATTCCCTTGGGGGACTATCAAAATTTGTCGATTTTAATGGGTACCCTATTTTACGCATTATTCTGATTATTCATCATATTCTCAGTCTCTTTCTATCTTCATTCATTTTCATGACCCTAAGAGTAATTCTAGGAAATGTTTCTAGAAAAAAAAACTCAAATTTCCTTGCGTTCTCTCAAGCAGAAAAAAGCTGCCACACCCAAAAACACTCAGACTCTTTTTGGCTCTTCAATTTCAACAATAAAAATGTCGAAAAAAGAGATTCGCAAGTTGGTCAAGCAGTTGTTGTCAAAAAGCTCGGATTTGCCTCTTCAAGGTGAATTTCTTGTTTCGTCGGTTCAAAATAGGGAAGAATGGAAAGTCGCGAATGTGGTGGCCATGTATTTGCCGCTCAAAGATGAGCCAAATATTGATGAGCTCATTCTCCAAGGACAAAGATTTTGGGCTCAACTTTCCTTTTCAAGTTTTGGTTTGAAAACTTTTTGCGCATAATACAATTTGCCCTAGTCTAGGGCCCCTAGAATTCATTGAGCTTCGCATTAAATATGAGATTTCTCAAAACAGGACTCCAAGTAATCGTAATTATTTCCTGAATCTTGACTTAGAACTGGAAAAACAATATGTGTGCCAAAATACTATCCGACCGGTGAAATGCATTTCGTTAAGCTCCAAACTCCCCTACAAAGCTTGCCAAAAGACAAGTATGGCATCAGAACTGAGCCAAACGATGAAACTATCGACGAATTCGAGTTGATGATCGTCCCCGGCAGAGCTTTCACTTCCTGTGGAAAGCGCTGTGGAAGAGGAGGAGGTTTGGAGTTCAATGAATTTCATAGAAAAAGTTGCGTTTAGGTTATTACGATCGATTTATGGAGAAGAATGCATGTCCGAAAATCGCTCTGGCTTTCGCGGAGCAGATCTTTGATGATATTCCAACAGAAGAGCATGATCAGAAGGTCGATTTAGTTGTGTTCAAGCCCAAATAAATTTCTAATAAAAGCTTCAATCAAGTATTTATGAAGATTTGGGTATCTTCCAAGCAATCTAGTGCATAGAGGTGATGCATTTATTGACTCTGTTAGATGTTAGAAATGTGGAACCAGCATATAGCAGGGAGTTCTTTAGTTAGTTGTAGATTTTCTTGACATCATCGTTTGGTCTTTCGCCGAGAATGATGTACCTAAAATAAGGGAGTCTTAACCTAATTTGGCTAATTCGCAGCTTACATTTCTTCGCGGATATCTTCAGTTTCAGTCCAAGTTCCTTTCATATCACAGGGTTTTTGACCCTCGTCATTCGTGCACTAGAATTACAGTTATTGAATTTCAGTGCTTTCTGTTCAGCTGTGAGTGTAGATTCTACACTGTAGAATTTTACCTTTGGATGAATTCCAGCAGCGATTAAAAGTCTGGCAGTGGGTCTTGGATCCCAGCAGGGGATATCCTCCTGTTATCAGTATTGCTCAAATTGCTCCCATTTTAATTGATAGCACTGCTAATTGAGCATCACGTGCCTGGAGAAGCATATGAAGGAGACTATTGCCTGGTCCTGATAGCACTTTTGTATCAGCGCCAGCGGAAATCCAACTTTTGTGTTGAAAATCTCACGTTTTTTTCTTGAGAATTTTTATTGTATTATTTAGTTTTGAGAAAGTTCTTTCGGTTTTATTCGGAGATTTCAATACCTTTGAAAGCGGATACGCAGGCAGCAGGATCCTTTCGAGTTAAAATCGCCTCCTGAATGGGAGTGAAACCTTATCCGCGATTCGGAACCCCTTTTTTCAAAAGTTTTGGCACGTTAAGGATTTCCTGAGGGAAATCCCCTGACACTGACCGATCCAATTTTAACTGGACAGAAAACGTGTGAAATGGAATACAGACAAGATTCAACAGAGGAACTCGTCTGCCCGGCATTTTTCGAAAAGTTCGTTCGCGATTCCTGAATGGCATTTTGTATTGATCTCGCCGCCGAATTTCTTAAGGGTATCCAACGTAGCTCGGACGAGAGGAGCTGGTGATTCCCGAGCAACTCGGCCAAAGACCGTGTATCCGGCGGGGTCGAATTCATTGGCGGTAACCATGGGTTTTCCACGCCGCGTTTTCTTGAGAATTTCTTCGACCAAATTGGCTTTGCCTTGGCCGGCGCATTCCATCAGCTGTTGGAGAGGGGTTCCTTAAATTTCGCTCGGAAATTAAAGGAGAAAGATGGTAAATTCTTCTTGTTGGGAGGATTCTGTACCTGTGAGAACCATTTTCTGCGAAGGTGTTTTCTCTTTTTTACACTTGAGGACTGGGCGAGAACCTCAATCAGGGGCCAGCTTATCGCCCATGCAATGATTTTGGGAGGTACTCATGTATTCAGTCTTCTGGCGTCTTTCAAGGCCATTCATCCCTTTCACGTGACCTCGCTTTTCGCACCTTTTCAAGCCGATTTTGAACCGAATAGGCAGTACCTTTTTAGTCTTTCATAAGAAGCTTAAATTTCTCAAAGTCGTTGAAAGCGCCGATTATACTTTTGAACTGTGTCATTAGAAATTCGAGACAAAGTTCAGAAAATCCGGCTAAAAGACCTTTTAGGAATTATAATGACGTGTCGTTGAAAGAAAGGGTCACTGAACCTAGGCTTAATTTGAGGACTTGAGCCCTCGCTCGCTTTAAAATTAGAACATTCAGCTAAAACAGATGGCAGGGTGAGATCAATTCTAGAGCTTGTTGAAAGCGTGGCGGATAAACCGAAGTATTCGGTGGGTAAACTTTTAGGCCTCTATTACTCGGCTATATGATCACGGACAAGCCCAGCTTCAAGATCAATTTGATAATCTTAGAATGCTTTTCAGTTTAAGCCTTCTCTCTCTGTAGGTTTTCTTTTCACCTGTGAACTTCACGGTTGAAAGAATCGCTATTAACAAAACTACTGCACTGAAAAACTGCGACAACGGAACAATGAAACAAATTGCAACATGAAAATAATCCAACTAGCGTCAACTTCAAAGCCCTTTTTGTTATTCGAAGCATTAGTAACCCTTCCCCTTCCGTTTCGTCAAGATAAACACTTACTTGTTCTGATCGTCTTTTGCGCTTATCAAAGATTTGTGTTTTAGAAAGCGGAGTCGACATTCTAAGTCTAATCCTCTCGGAAGTTCCCCTCTTCTCGCACACGTTCGCTCGACTTGACCTCAATAATCCGCCGAGAAAACTCAACAACGAGTTCAAACCTGAAAATGCGCGAAATGCTTTCCTAAAACGTGTCTAGGTCCTTTGAGATGCACTTTTGTCTACGAACTTTGAAAACGGGATGCCACTTGTTTTCTTAGAGTCGGATTAAATCTAAGCTAGCCACGAGATAGATTGCGCCCTGCACTCATTATCTAAGTCTTGTCCTTTCTATACTATTTGTCCGGATTTTCCGGGGATAGGATGATTTGTCCGTTTTAGTTTATAATCTTCCCTTTCTACCCAATTTGGCAATTAGATCTTTTCCGCCTTACTTAATTATCACGCTGCGGGATATGTTGCCACGCTTCCTGTGGGAGTTTAACGAAGCAAAATCAGGTCAAAATGTTCAATATTTGTCAGGGTTTCTCGTATATAAGCAGAACAGTTCCATCGTTAACCATTTCAGAATTTCTTTTTATAAATATGGGCAATGAAAACAGTACTGCTGACAAATGCTGGCACAGCCTTACATTGAATCAGAGATATAAGTGGTACAACACGAAAGAATGGCCGATAGAGATTCAAGACCCTATCCTTACACCTGAACTTAGGGAAAATCTTGATGCTATTATTGATAAATTAAAAGCCAGAAACGATTTCAGCATCATATTTTTCAACAGCTTAAATTGGATTCAGTTGTGCGGGGATACTTACGGGTCCAAAGTCGATGGAGTGAAGAAGAAGACATCCAAAGACGAATCAAAGAAGTCATACAACTACGGCGATGCTGATATCTGTCATCAAAGAGGAGTCGTTCTTAATTTTGATATGTTGCCTCATGAGTGCCCCTATGCGATTACTTATTTCATATTGACGAATGAAATGATCTCTAGTTTACTTCTCAAAGAAGAAAGTAACGCACGTAAACTAGGGCCAGTTGAGGATTGGACTAAGCTCCTTTTTCATCATTCTAATTCTGTTGTTAATCGTTCAAGTATTATGCCAGAGGAGAAATTCGATGAAAAATTTGACTTCTCTAGCGGACGAAATAAGTATTATCGCAAAAATTTGCTTCATTCTTATTTCAAGTTTTTGCGAAACACGAAAACGCATTTCTTCGAGCATACAAGAATAAACAAATTTCAAGAACTATTATTTCGTGGTATAACTACGACAAAAGACATTCAAGCGAGAATTTGCGCACTTCCAAAGCTTGAAATGTTCTTGCTTATAGCTCAAAGCTATATTTTTAAACGAGATGACATTCATCTCTTCGTCAATTTCAAGCCAGAGGCTTACAAAAGAGTCAATGTTGTTAATTTTGTAAGCGTCATCTTAATTTTGCTTGATTATTTCTATGAGATAAAACCATCCAAACAACTTAAAGAAGCCTTGAAAAAAATATTCATCGTCGTATATGGTACTTTGGATATTGAAAACCCGTGCATGGTTCCAACCAGGGCGAAAGATGCCAACATCGCGTCGTCTGAAATTAATTCAATTTAATTTCAGATATGAAAATTTAAATTGTTGATTATAATTGTACATTTCGTAAAAATATATTTCAATTCGCGTTAAAATTTTATATATATTTTTTTTGTTTTTCTTTCTTAGATTCAATTATTTTGTTAAACGTGTATAAATTAGAGCTTTGATAATTTTTTGTCCGTTTTTTTTTATCAGACGACTCCTCTGATTCGAACTCAACTTCACAAATGGTGGCGCTGTTAACTCTTCGGATCAACCTCGGTGAGTCGCAAGCGCACTCTAGAGATTATCGGACTTTGTATAAAATCAGCTTCAAGTCATCAGTTGCTCATTCAATTCAACACAGTTTTTAGTTTTTGTCCCTTCCAAAAACTCAGATCGCAGAAAAATGAAGCTCTTCAGCGTTTTCGTCATCGCCGCAGTTTCCGCCCAAGGATTCGACGCCAAAGTTGCCAAGTAAGTTCCATGAGAGATATATTTTCAAAGAAAAGTGTTGAAAAAATGAGTCCTGAAAACTAATTTCACAATTTTAGCCTCGCCAGAAATGTGGATTTGAGCGAGTCCGATGAAGACCGACAAGCCCGATTCAAGCAGGAATGCAAATCGACCATTGGCAACAAGCAAGACACTCCCAAGTTCAAGGAGAAGCTCAATGCTTGCATGGACAAGAAGAACGCCAAGCACGCCAAGCGAGTTGCGAAGGCCGAAGCTGCTGCCGATAGAGCTGAGATGAAACAGAAAGTCAAGGCTAAGAAGGCCGAGAAGGTTCCAATCAAGGTAACATAGATTTTTTTCAACCCCCTTTTTTATCTCCATTTTTTTTAGGAAGAGCGAGCTTTCTGCAAGAACGCCTGCAAACAAATCGCCAACCAGATCACAAAGGCCAACTGTCTTTCTTGGTGGAAATACTCTACCAGGTAACAAGAATTATCTTCTTCGCTGATTTTAACCGCACATTTCAGAGTCCAGATCCAGGAGATTTTGGACGAAATTATGGAGATCCGAGACCCTGCCCAGCGAAACTCTGTCGAACACTGCTACACCAAGTCTGGCTTGAGCGGATCTGAGAGCACTTGCAAGGTAAGACCTTTCTTTCAAACACCAGACGACCCCTTCTTCAATCGTTTGCTTCATTCTGACAACCATTTTCAGGACTTCGCCATCGGCTACTGCGACGGTTTGAACCTTGCCAAGCCCTCCCCGATCCTTCGAGACTGCAAATCCTTCTGCATCAACGAGTGCATGGAAGCAGGCGAGACTTGCTCCTGGACCGAGGATGATTTCGACGGCGAGCAAAAGTAAATTTGATAAAAGTTTCTTTGCACCAATAGTTAATTTTACTCTGTAATCTGCTTTTAACATTCTTACTAATTCTGCTTCTCTATCTTTCCCTATTTCTAAATCTCTCAGAATCGTGACTGAAATAACCGACTGTACTCAATGATTCTTTTCTACGAAACTCTTTTCGGAAGAAAAGAACAGTCAAGGTCACAAGAAACCCTCCTTCCCCCTCTCTTCTTTGAATTCACGCAAATTGCAACCACACTGTATATTTCTCTCTGAACGAGAGCAGAAAATTGAATATGAAAAATGTACTTTCTATTTTCTCCTGTCCGAGAATCTGCCTGTGATGATAGTGACATGACAATTTTCTGATCTCAAGTAAATAAACAAAAATCGCAAAAAAAAGTCAAGTTTATAAATTTTTATTGAGACGGATCAGTACAAAGTATGAAAACAGTTGTATAAATAAAGGCTTTCAACTAACTTGATCTGGGAGAATCCCAAGAGTAAGGCAGCATTTCGACCATCCCAACGAGTAGTACTCCAATTGATCGCTGAATTTTGGCGACGATGGCGGATTGGAACCTGGTTTTCGATCAATGCAACTAGAATTTTTGATACTTTCATAATGTAAAAGCAAAGCTTACAGATCAGCACATCCCTGCTGCTCGTTTGGGCTGCAATTTGTCGAGCACCAGTTAGGATGAATTATTGTTGATAGATTGTTGCAGCTCTTGTTTTCCTTTCTTCTGTCGTCTAGCAAGTATCTTTCCCAAAAGTCTGTGTTCTTTCCAGCGATGCTGACAGCAAATGCTCCTTGTTTATTTTCCCCGCAATCGTCGTTTTCCCAGCCGTAGTCTTCCACTGGGTAATTTCCATCGCCACCGCAGTAGGAGAACCAAATTCCGGGGCCATCAACGGACTCGCCGTTGAGTTCGGAGAATCGGGCCGTCGCAGCGCTGTAGTAAGCCCAGTATGCATCAGGGATGCAATTAAGATCTGCATTGATTGGTGGACTAAAAAGAGTATGGACTCTGGAAAATGTGATGAGACTTACGCATGGAAGGTATTTTCAGTATCACTAAATCGGCTGTCAGAAGGATGAGTTACCGCCCACATGAATTCTACCCAGTCCGGTGCTGGTCGACCTCTTTAATTTCGATGATTTGAATTTTCTATGGAGAAAGCTCCTACCTTACCTGTCCGTATGTTTCACGACAAAAACCGATGCAGTTTTCCCCTTGTCATCCGCATATTCTCCGCGAAAACACGAGTTTTCTCCTTGATTGCATCGAAAATACGATTTTCCTTGACTATTGCTGTAGGAAATAATCAAGAAATTTGAATTGTCTGTCCAACCAGCATTTTGAAGTGATTCCTGAAAATTTCAAACCGGTTTCTCTTAGGGAAAACTCACTTTGATGCCCCATGTGATTTCCCATTTCGTCGCCCCATATTTTATCATAAACTCTGCCACATTCGCCACATCAGTTTTCCAATCTGTCGCTGAAACCTGTAAAAATTTAAAAGCCCAAAAAATTAAACTATTCATACTGCACGTCACTGTACTTTCATGAGAAATGCATTGAGAGGAATTTAAATAAAGCAGCTGCTGGGGTCTCAGACAATTATGAGTTGTTATAGATTGAAGAATCTCCTTTTTTCTTGAGCATTTATCTTTATTCAGATGCAAATGAGTCTGGATTTAAGTAAAGTTTAAGTTATTCACGAAAGTCAAAAACTTTGAATACAGAAATTTTGATGATCTTTGACACGGGTCCATATAACTCTCTGACGACTTCTTCTCCCATCCGTGTTAGTATAGTGGTGAGTATTCCCGCCTGTCACGCGGGCGACCGGGGTTCGATTCCCCGACACGGAGAGTTTTTGATCATTTAATAATTATTATTTCTTGAATAACTTTTCGTCAATTGCCCGAATTCGATTTCGTTCATGCTCTTGATCGTGCAGTACCAAAACCCACTCCGGATTCGTGACATTCAAAAAGAAAAAAAAACCGGCGACTCACCTGTCGAGCTGTCAGAAAAGAAGAACTGTTCGTGAAGAACGAAAGCGGTACTCACACAAACGTTATTTTTCTTTCCAAAATATCGCTTGCAATGGTTATCGAAGAAAATAATAAGAAGATAAGAAATTTATTTTTTCAAGAAAAGATACGGGTATAATTATTGTAAACCAACAATAAATAAAACTTGATTAAAATTAGTGCCTTGACTGTGACTGCATTGGTGTCTTGAGACGAAAAAGAAAAAAAATATTTTTGTTGCCCGATTATGTTTTGACGACTCGAAGCATTCGCACCCAAGAATATGATTTACAAAAATCAGGCAACAAAAAGACATGGAAGAAAAAGGTGACTGCAAAGATGAGCTTGGCGAAGCATGGAAACGCTACAGATCGCCAGCTTTACAGTTATCTGTCGCTTGGTTCTATTTTCTGGATTACTGTTATGCTCATAGGTACTGTTCATGAGCTTATATGAAAATTTATAATAGCAAATTTTTATTCCTTGGAAAAATCCCGCGGTAAAACAACTTTTTTGACCACGACATGCCATCGAGAATACAAGAAATGCGTTCAAATGGCGACAATGGACCACTGCGGGCATCTGATGAGAGAATGCTTTGAAACTCGAAAATTTGTCTTTCCTGAACATGCTGCTCAAGTTGTGCCGAGAGAAAATGAACCCCGTATTTTCTCCGAAGAAGAAAACGATGTTAACCTTCTGCGTTGTCAGAAGAAACAGTTTTACGATCAGAAAATCTGCCGCCATCTTTGTTCGAATTCGCTCGTTTTGAAATCAACAAGGAGGAACCCGATTTCGCTGTGTGAGTCAATCTGCTTCGAGCTCACAAGATCCTCAGATGCCGCTGGAGAAGTTTGCCCATCCCAAAAGTACTGTTTGAATGGGTGTCCTTGCCCATTTTACGACTGTGAAAAATTTGAATCGCGACAGAGGCTGATTCCCGTTTTCGATCTGCAGAAGAGCTCGACAGACGAGCAGATGTCGAATGAAATGATGATGACGTTGAATGACAACAAATATCAGAACAATTTCAGAATAACCATTCAATCAGATCAAGATCTCCAAATTCTGAAGAAGCGTTGGGCGAATAGGAATATCGCACCACAGAAACTTCCAATTATATTTTCGGATGTTGACGGCAATTGTAAACAACCAGATATTCCTGAATCTTTTTATGCTTATGAACGTTTTATGAAAAAACATTTCTCTCGAATTTTTTAGGGTATCAAGTTGATACAATCAACATAAAATCGCTCTATGAAACCTTCATATGACGATTTTAGGTCAATTACTTAAGGGTATCCCCGATATTATCATATCAGTAAAACATAAAAGTCAGCTGGTGCAACTTTTTTAAAAGGCGTGCATTATTTGGTCGATGCTCTTGGAAACTTGCTTACATTGACGGAAACTGGAACTAGGCCGGTCTTCATAAGGAATGGACTCAAGCAAATGTAGGCAAACTCAATTTAATGATATCTTTACTCGACTTGAAGCGGTTTCTTCGTATTCCACTTTGGATCGTCTATCGGAACACACGAAATATTCCGGGTACCCTCCCAATCCCTGGGCAAAATCGAAAACCCAGGGATTCGGAGGGTCAAATCCGAAATGTTCTAGAAATGTCTTTTAGCTGTTTTACAGCAGATTCATTAATTAGTTTTCTCTAATAATTGGTTAGTGTTAAAAGAAAAACAACTTTAGCAAACGCATTATATTTTTATATTAGTATATATTTATAAGCATCCACTATTGGTTAAATTAAAATAATTTTTAAGCCTTAAATCTTCATTTATATCGTCTGATAGTAATTTCGAAAAAAATGTCTGTTGGAAAATTACTTTCTGCTTTCATTCAATTTTCTTCTTTTAAGGGTTGGCGTTTAATCAAATATGACATACAAGTTATCTTCTAAAGTGCTTAAGTTTTTAGTATATTTTGAAAAATGATAAATAAAAGATTTTTTTGATCTTTTGTAGGGGTTTTCTAGAACATCACCCTCCGAATCCCTGGACTTTTCCCAAAAACCCAGGGATTCGGAGGGTGCCCAGGGATTCGGAGGGTCACCCAAATATTCATTCGCGGGGAAAATAAAGATATCCAAGTTTTTCCAGTTGTCGTCATCTGGAAACGGTCAAAAGACAGGATTTTAGAAGGATATGATTATTTTATTAAAGATTGTTAAATTGACCATTTAAAGCCGTCCAACTGGCAGAGAAGAAAAATGCTTCTATTACGCGCCAGATTATAACTTAAACCGCTTCGAAGAAGCTCAGGGCTACATCGCAAGCAACCACTTCAACGCGAAACTCTCCTCAATCAGCAATAATGGGATATTTCAATTGATGAGTATAAGAATGGGCGATCATTACATCAAACTGTCAACGACTTACAAATTGAACAGAATCAGAAAAGAGGAAGAGTTTGAGAAAGGATGGAAGAAAAATGAAATCAGATTGCCAGCTGAATTAAGGGATTTGAATCCTGTACATGTTGTTCCATTGAAAAAGGTTGAAAACATCATTTTTCTTGCTGCTAAAATAGCACAGGATTCTTGTCAGATATTTTTTTTCTCAACCGAGAATAGATCGATTTGGAGCGACTTCTATTGATTGTTGTGACGAGAAGTGTCTATTTGTCAAACACACTTTATTCTGTGCTATTGGAGAACGACGGTAAATTTCTGACATTGGGGCGCGAATGGATCGATTCTCTTATTAAATATGAACGTAAGCGACGCTGCTTTTCGAGGTTGTTTTCTCAAGACGATCCCAATTACACAGATCAAAGAGGATACAACAACGACGAATGCGAGTATTTCGGACACGGATTTATAAATGACGAAAAACTTTTTTTCCAAAATAATGTTTTTGATGTCATTTTTGAAATCCGATTCAACTTCGGAGAGGGTTAAAATAGCTTGATTATTAAATAAGGGGCCCCTTAAAAACCCTTGAGCAGCGACAATCGAGCTTGAATTTGTCCAACGAAGATCGAACGAGAAAATGCACGTGACCAGCAATCCTTTATTCGCGTTTCACGATGACGTGTTCCCTTCCTTTGCTAAAAATGTTATATCCCAGCCGCTATTTCCTCACCCGGGAACCCTTTTCGAAAATCACAAAGTAATAATTCCCGATGTTATTTTCTTCGCGCTAAAAGAGCTGCAACATATTTCGACGTTCGAAATGAAGTTGAATGGACATGACAGTTTTCAATTCAAAATAAAATTCCGGGACGATGATCAGAAATTTAAAGAAACCAAGTTTCTTGGAGGCAATTTCTTCGACGGGAAAAGTTTCTTTTTGTTTGGAGTTTATGGAAATGGCTCAGTCTGGATGAATTCGGATTTTTTCGAGGAGAAAGTTGTTTTGAAGACAAATGCTAAAAACTTACGAAAAGTACTATTCAATTTAACGCCAGCACAATCAATGGAGTCTTTTCTTGAAATTCATGAGGAAAAGTTAATTAACCCTTCATTACAGAAATTTAAGGTGAGGTGTCTGGAACCGACAAAAATATTTCGACAAATTTTGCGTGGAAATTTTCAACCAATCAGAAGCCCGGCTCACTGACCAATAAGCAGCCGAGCAGCCGCCCACGCAAAATTTGTCGAATTTTTTTGTCGGTTCCTGACGCCTCCCCAAATTTAAAGGGGCAAAAAAATTATTAATTTATGAAAGTATTCCGAAATTAAACACGAAAGTAAATCAGTTATCAAAATAACGGGCCTTGAAACTGTCGAAAACAGAAAAATCCGTGTCTTTAAATTAGACGATCGCACAGTAGTGCATTCTTTTTATTACACTTCTGAAGACAAAAAGAAAGACAGCCCGGCATTATTAGTGATGGGCGAAAGCTTGATGGAGGCGTTTTCGATGACCTTAGATGGGACTCGTCAGGGATCGTTGAATAGATCTGTTTCAATCGGAGCACCTACAGACGACTATGTCTTATTCGCTCCTCATGCTCTTCTCAAAAATGAACTGTATATTTTCGGCGGAGATTCGGATAACCATAAAGTGAGAAAACTCGTAATTCCTTGAAATAACTGAATTCAGATTGCTAAATTGATACACTGCGAATGGAGAGAAATATCAAAACGATTAATTAACGGGATGGGGTTTTTGTCTGCTGCGCTTCCAATAGAAGATGGCGGAAAAGCGTTAATTTGCTTTGACATCCACTATCCTCACTGGAAATGCGAGGTTTATGATTCTGAATCGACAGAGTTAACATCAACCTTCGAAACAAAATATTCACATCGAGGTGGAAAACTCGGTCTCTACAGGGGAAAACCAATGACTGTAGGAAGTTCCCAGGGGGATGGAAGGAACAGAAGTGAGATTCTCGATTCTTCTGGCTGGTCCAAGTCAACCGATTTTCCACACAAGTATTTAAGGCTAGGCTGGTCGATTTGGCCCAAAGCAGAGCTCATAAACTCTGGACTTATGAATGCTAGAATAGCCAGTAATGGCTTAAAATAAAGATCTATCCTAGATCTTCTGAATTACAGAAGGTTTTTTTGTTCTGCCAAGATTTCTGCCGAATTCCGGAGTTTTTGAGCCTTGAATATTGGCTATTTTCGCGATTTTGGCCGAGATGCCAACTTTTAAGCCTCCGGAAGTGAGTTTTTTCTTGGCAGAACAAAAAAAAAACCTTCTGTAATCCAGAAGATCTAGGATAGATCTTTATTTTTAGCCATTACTGGTTTTTTAGCGTTCATAAGTCCAGAGTTTATGAGCTCTGCTTTGGGCCAAATCGACCACCCTAGTCTTAAATAAATCAATAATGTGTTATAAATTTCATCCCTTTTTAGCGTTGCTTATCATATTTTGATGGAGCTTCCAACAGGCAATCTTTTGCTGGCAGGAGGATACGGGGTTGATGAATTCGATAAACATACTCATCATTCGAAAATTTGGATTTTTGAAGAGTATGCTTGGCGAGAAATCGGCAGTCTTAAAAACGTAATATGACTAGGGGGTGAACGGTGAAAAAATTGAATTTTTTATCATCCTCTAATAGAGATGAATAACACATCGATGGAAAGCCCTTGATCCACTGATCATTTTGACACATGACTTGAGGTCATCAAAGGTCACGTGGGGTCAGCTGAGGTCAAAATCTGATTTTTCCTTAACTCGACGTAACTAGGGTTTCTATGCATGATTTTGATTGCTGATTATCACTGATCATGTAAATTTTTCCTGAATTTTAATCACGTGACATCTTGGAGGACCTCGGAGGACCTAGATGATGGAAGAATTTAAGCAAATTAAATGAAGAATAATCTTTTCCAGGGACTCCTTCGGCATGGTTATTAACCGAAACGTAAGCATTGATAAATCTAATAATTTGATCACGTGGACCCTCGGAGGACCCCGGAGGACCTCATCTGATGGAAGAATTTATTGAAGAAAGAAGAGAAATCTATATAAAAAATTGATATTTCAAAAACCATAATTAAAAATCGGGAACGACAAACTGAAGTTTATTGAAAAATGGGTGTGGGCGGGGTTTGGGAAGAAATGAGACTGATCATCTCTATCTTTTCTTCAAATCCCAGCCGTAATCAAGCCCATTTCAATTTAAAAGCCAGGGACGGGGCTGAGACGGCCCGAAGGGCCGTCAAGCCCATTTCAATTTAAAAGCCAGGGACGGGGCTGAGACGGCCCGAAGGGCCGTCAAGCCCATTTCAATTTAAAAGCCAGGGACGGGGCTGAGACGGCCCGAAGGGCCGTCAAGCCCATTTCAATTTAAAAGCCAGGGACGGGGCTGAGACGGCCCGAAGGGCCGTCAAGCCCATTTCAATTTAAAAGCCAGGGACGGGGCTGAGACGGCCCGAAGGGCCGTCAAGCCCATTTCAATTTAAAAGCCAGGACGGGGCTGAGACGGCCCGAAGGGCCGTCAAGCCCATTTCAATTTAAAAGCCAGGACGGGGCTGAGACGGCCCGAAGGGCCGTCAAGCCCATTTCAATTTAAAAGCCAGGGACGGGGCTGAGACGGCCCGAAGGGCCGTCAAGCCCATTTCAATTTAAAAGCCAGGGACGGGGCTGAGACGGCCCGAAGGGCCGTCAAGCCCATTTCAATTTAAAAGCCAGGGACGGGGCTGAGACGGCCCGAAGGGCCGTCAAGCCCATTTCAATTTAAAAGCCAGGGACGGGGCTGAGACGGCCCGAAGGGCCGTCAAGCCCATTTCAATTTAAAAGCCAGGGACGGGGCTGAGACGGCCCGAAGGGCCGTCAAGCCCATTTCAATTTAAAAGCCAGGGACGGGGCTGAGACGGCCCGAAGGGCCGTCAAGCCCATTTCAATTTAAAAGCCAGGGACGGGGCTGAGACGGCCCGAAGGGCCGTCAAGCCCATTTCAATTTAAAAGCCAGGGACGGGGCTGAGAGGGCCCGAAGGGCCGTCAAGCCCATTTCACGGGGCTGACTGAATTTAATAAGCGGAAGTTCTCAGTCGTCCAGGAATTGATTCCAAGCAAAAAAGTCCTCCGGAGGACTAATTATGACTCAAACTCAGTCACATGATCAAGTTAACGCAATGTTTCGAGGAAAATCGGAATGAAAAAAAAGTGTCATTGCCGGGATTCGAACACCCCTAGAGGGCCAACTCATAGAGTTTGGACAAATAATTAGCTCTAGAATTTTTTGCACACAAGTGCACAAAGTGATTTTATAAGTTTCTGAAAGCATTTTTTCTGTAGATTAAGATTATCTTTGATTAAGGCTTGAGGAAGGTTGAGATCAAAAGTTATCGTGAAAAAACTGTTATCTTCATGAGAAAATTGGCGTTTATGATGGAAAACAGCGTTTTTTTAATTAACAATTATTGAATTAAATGTTTTTTATGATGTGTTTTATCTATATACATCGATTCAAATTAGTTTTCTAAACTTTTAATTTTGCCCATTCACTGCCATTTCACTGTTCACCCCCTAAATATGACAAATATTTTTTTTGAGAATATTTTTTTGATTTAGGCTGACACGGACGGATCGGCAATAATGATCGAGTATTCAATTTTCATCGTGTCTGGAGACAGAAGTCCTCATGAAATTGAGCGACTCGATTTCGAAGGAGATTTATTAATTCATACAGAAGTCGTCGGAGAGTATCCAGATAAAAATTGGATTCCAGTTCTTTATGAAGTTCCTGTTGATTACTGTATACGTCCATAGGGAACACCACTCTTTTAGATTTATTGACAATAAAATCAGCAAGACTCCAAATTGTCTCTTCTTCTTTTTTTTCAAGAGCAACAATACTCCTCATTCTTCCGGCGGCGCGGCGCGGATGAGCCTACAAATCTTTATTTATCTAAAGCCGCTTCATTTCGCTTCATTTTTTTATGATCCTCAAGTTATGCCAAGAGGATTTTTAATTGAGTTGTACATTCACGAGCTCTCAAGCGCGCACTCCGCATCAACTTTTAGTCATCTACTCATAACGATCATAAAAAAGAGAGATTCTCAACCGTTTTCGCCTTTTTGAAAGATACGAAAAGCAGGCCCTAATAAAAAAGGAACCCTAAAAGAGAAAGCGCCGCAAAACCAGAAACAAAGAGAAAAAACGATGTCACGATACGGGGTCATTTGGGACTCCTACAGACTGTTTCTGAAAGTTGTCTTTTGTACAGTCTTTTTCAGTCTTGGAGCAACTTTGAGTTCGCTTTTTTGGGTCTTTCAAGAGGCCGAAATAGTGGGGACGAAAATAAAAGAAACAGAAGACCATGTCAGGTATTTTTCTTTTCCTCTCTTTTTTTTAATTTCATCAATTTTTTCAGGCCTACAGTGGAATTTGAAATCGGCCTTGTTGTTTTGGCTGGATTCGCTTTTGTAATTTCTATTTTCGGAGTTATTTTCGGGTGCAAGCAGTCGACAAAAATGACAACGCTCTATGCCTGGTTTTCGATAGTTGCATCTCTCTTCTGTTTTGTTGGACTCGCATATTGCAGTAAGTGACTCTCTCGCGATTTATTCTGACGAGTTCTAGTTTATATCGGTGCTCAAAGTGTGATCTTTTACGAAACGAAGCAATTTCTACTGCATAGAGATCTGATTCCTTGGATCCCGGCGACTTTTTGCTTCTTCTTGTCGGCTTTTCTTTTCATCATTCTCGCGTAAGTTTCGAAAAAATGATGTAAGAGCCGTAAGAGATAATTTCTAGTGTCATTTCGTTCAAACAATACAAGCTGGAAAAAGATCTTCTCAAGTACTACGGACCGACGACCTTCGATGGCACCATCAATGACAACTTTACTGATAATCAACCAATTTCAACGGACAAAATTTACGAATCATTAGGTAAAAACACAAAAACAATTAGCAAAGAATTTTCGTTTTTAGATAAAAGAGGCTTCGATTTACGCTCAGTTGAAAGTTTCGAGCCTCGCGAAGTCGTCGACGATTTTGAGTACCGAACGAAACCTCGCGCCATGTAAAAAATTAACCTGCGTGCAATATAATTTTAAAAAATAAAGTCGCGAATAATTTTTAAATTATTTTTATTTTTCAGTTTGAGTTTTTTTTAAAAGAGGAAAAGAAAAAGACTGAACTTGGATTTTTGCAAAAGTTATTCATCAATTTTGTTGATTTTCATTCTTCTGCTTGGAATTGGGCTGTCGGGGTAAACTTCTTCCCAGAAAACGACGGAATCGTCGGAGATTTTTCTGTTGAGAGTTCGAAATACTGGAACGGGCTTTGGCTTTCGACCTGGGTGAAGCAATTTGGAGATTTTTGACTTGATCGATTTGAAACCCTTGAAGGTTTTCACCATCGTAGTCTTTTGCTTTCTTTCCGGGCAAGAACCAGGACAGGGTGGAGTCGTGAAATCGGTTTTGTTTCTGATCGGTGTGTTCATCACGGAATGACGTCTGACGCGATTTTCGGACACTTCCACGGCGAAGACTTCGTCGAGATTCTTTTCAGAAATGGACTTGCGGATTTTTGTCGCAGACCATCGAAGACGAGAAGATTGCGACTTGGATCGTCGCTTGATTCCGCGGCTTTGGACGTCGATGGAAGAGATTTTCGTCATATTTCAAGTTATTCGGCTTGTTGATTGTGAGTTTGAGAAAGTTTGAATGTTGAGTTGTCGATTTTCTGACTGGTTTTTATGCATGAAGTAAAGTGCGCCACCACCTGAATAAGGTGCACCTCAAGCCAGAATTACGGGTAATTAAGGTGCACATATTGCCATCTGCTGATAATCAAATTTGATAAGGAGGTGCAACTTGCACCTAGCGCCAGCTGATCAGGTTCGTGCAGGTCCTTAATTAGCTGATTGAGCAGGTGAATCAATTATCCGGAGTCAAAAAGTTATTTTTTCACTTTTATCAAGAAAACGAACTGTTTAAAAAAACACCATAAGAACCTCGTTTTTCTTGAGAATTTTTGTTTTTGCGGAAATAATAATTTGAGATAGTATAGCTGATATTACCTGTATGTGCATCCCAATGCTCATAAAGATCAATGATCTTATTTATTTATCATTATCATTATTTTGAAAATAAAAACTTGAATAAACAATTCCTAGCACTAGTTTACGTATTTTAATGATGATGTTAATCCCAATTAAATTATCACCCGGCAAATAAATTTCGATAATCTTATCACGCTCTCAATTGGCGTGAATCAAATCTTTCCTCCCATCACTCTTAAAATTGAAAAAGTAAAATTGCGTTAATTGATTTATTTCGCGCAAAAACTCATCCCCCGCGAAACTTACATAATCCCCAAACAACTCAACTTGTCACGATCTTGCACATTTTTTCTTATCTCAGAGAAAGAATCGCTGAAGCCCGTTCCGGCCCGTTTCAGAACATTCCTGGGCGTAGTGTTGCCCCCGGCGCATTTTGCATTCAGATTCCTTTTTTCAGCACTTTTTTATTTTTCAAGAGATAGACAAAAGAACGTCTGTTTGAAGAAGAGTTCGAAATTACAAGCTGTTTTACTGAAATTTGAAGAAAGAAAAGGGCAACAGAGAAAATGGATGAGGAAAATATCGCTACGCTAGAGCGGAAAAGGTACTTTTGATCAACCTAAATCACCTTAACAAAGATACTTTTTCTAACAAAATGTTCAAGGCGCAATGTCGTCCCGTTGAAGGATTTTATCGACGAGGCCCGTGGCGTGCTCGATATTCAGCATTACCTCAACGAAGCATCGATCCAGACCTCTCTTTCTGCTTCATCCCTCGAAGACGCCGCTCTCGCTCTCGTTCCAGAAAATGTTGATGATCTTTCGCCAGAAGATTTATTGAAAGATGTTCTTTTCTCGCCAAATGGCCAGGTTGCTTCTTGCCAAGTTGTCTCCCAGACAGTTTCCAGACCGACGATTGTTATTGGAAGGCTCGCGAGTCCGATAGATGCAGAGCTAAGGCTTGTTATTTTGATCATAAATCCTCTGAAGGAAAAGTTCTGAACATATTTGAAAATCAAATTTTCTTAAAACCATATTTCTTTTTTTGTTCAGAAAATATGCTGATTTCAAACAGGAAAAAATTGACTTGAAATCTCAAAGCTTTAGCGTACCCATTATCTTTCCACTTCAGAACTTATAATAGCTAAAAATGACAAAATCCAACTACGAAATCGGCCGATCCCTCGTCTCATTCGCCTACCAAACCGATCTTGCCAACAACCTTCCTTCGGAGAAAAACTCAATGTCGAAAATGGTCGACGATTTCGTTGCAAAAGTCAAAGCAGAAGAACCCACAGAGTTTGAGCTGCCAGATATTCCTGGAGTAGAACCAGTGCCGCTTTATCATTTGGGAAGGGGACTTTGGGGAGATATTAAAAGGAGAGCAAGGTGGTATCTGAGCGATTATGTCGACGGAGTGAATAATGTGAAGAGTGTTTCCAAGTCGATTTCAGCCACTGGTAGGCTTTTCTTTCAAATCTTCTAGTTTCTTTCAAATCTTTGATTTAGTTTTTCTGTTTTTTGCCTGCCTCCTGCCTTCCATAGCGTTTGGAAGTTTGAACGCAGGAGCAACTCGCGGCGCAATTACTGTTCAAAAAACTATCATGGCTCAGGCATTTGGAGGCCTCTTTTTTGCCTTGTTTTCTGGTCAACCCATTGTGATTCTTCTGACGACCGCTCCGTTGGCACTGTATATTTCAATCATTCAGGATTTGGCCGATAGGTAACTTTCCAATTACGAATATTGGATGCTGTTTATAGCTCTTTTTTCCAGGTACGATTACGATTTCTTGTCGTTTTACGGCGCAGTTGGGATTATGAACGTGGTCTTCATTTTGATTTATGTGATGATAAATCTCTCCAAATTGATGAAGTACTCAACCAGGAGTATCGAAGAAGTCTTTGGGCTGTTCATCACGTGCGCCTTTTGCAAAGACGCTTTGAAGCATATTTCCGAGTTCTTCGATGAATATTATTACTCACCAATGTAAGTATGTTTAGCACCGCAAGTAATAATTTTGACCCTCTCGCTGAAAAAAATGATCAAATATGATTAGGATCAACATAACAGGCCAGTCTGGACCACAAAACGATCCGAATACAGTACCAACTTCTTGCGTACTCAGTACAAATGGAAGTATTCCAGATTCATGCCCTCAGATAATCGAGTCATATGACTTGGTCGCTTCTAGAGATAAGGCTCTTCTGGCCCTTATTTTAGCCATCGCAACTGCTTGGTTTGGTCTTCAGGAAAGGGTTGAACTTCATAAAAGATCCTCTCTGATTTCCCAGCAAATTTCGACCCCTCTCAAGATAACAAGCTTCCGCAAGAGCCCTTATCTGCTCGGCTGGATGCGGGAACTTATCGCCGACTACGCCCTAGCCCTCTCCGTCATTGTTTTCTCCCTCATTGGATCAATCGGGTTCAAGGAAATTAAATTGGAGAGCTTTGGATATGGAGATTTAAAGCTTGAGTTTACCAGTGGAATCGCTGATTTGCCTGGAAGCGCGTGGGGCTGGGCCACACTCCTCGGTTTTTGCTTGTCGTTGCTTTTCTTCATGGACCAGGTTGGTGATTTTTTCTTGAGTCGTTTTTTAGCTTCTATTCAGAATATTTCCGCCGCTTTGGTAAATACTCCAGCAAACAAGCTAAAAAAAGGCGCCGCTTACCACTTGGACCTCCTCGTTGTTGCCCTTATCAACATTCCCTTATCGCTTTTTGGGCTTCCCTGGATTCACGGTGCCCTTCCACACTCACCTCTTCACGCAAGAGCCCTTGCAGATATCACGGAAAAAGTTGAAGAAGGTCATGTGACAGAAACTGTCGATTTTGTCAGAGAATCAAGGTAAAAACTAACGAGTTCTTCACTGAAAGCCTTATCAACGATTCTAGAATTTCTGGAATTCTGGCTCACATTCTCATTGGTTTCTCCCTCTTTGCCATTCCGACTCCTTTAACCTCCATTCCCAAACCAGTGTTAGACGGTCTGTTTCTCTTCCTTGGTCTTTCCGGTCTCGCCGGAAGTCAACTTTGGGAAAGAATGCTTCTGATCGTTACAGAACAATCAGCCTATCCGCCAAATCATTATATCCGAAGAGTTCCACAAAAGAGCATTCATTTGTTCACGCTTTGTCAGTTCATTTTGCTGGTCATTTTGGGTAAGAACTTCTGTGGTTTCAAAAATAATCATCAATTCAGGCGTGATTGGATTCTACCCCTACCCTTATTTGAAAATGATCTTTCCAATTATCATCTTGCTGCTTATGCCCGCTCGACATTTCGTCATCCCCAAAATCGTCCCAGAAAAATATCTCCAAGCAATGGATGGTGCTCATTGAAATCATCATCCCAGCATGCTAAAAAAACTAACTCCCGTTCTACCTGTTCCCTTTTCCGTGACTAACTTTACCTGTAACACTTACTAGGCTTTTTCAATTCTAGCTTTTATTTCATTCTGATTTGAAGATTTAACAGTCAGCTGAGAATCAGCTGAAGGTGCATTTTACAATAAATAAAAAAAAGAAAAATCAATTTTTTAAGGCCATTTTTAATAAGTTACGAAATTTCGATTAAAAACTCTGGTGAAAGAATTACGAAGAATATTATTCTTTTGAAAGAAAATTTTGAAAAAAATAAAAATATGATGCAGGAACCGCAGAGAAATCGTAGAAATCCGATCAACGAATGATTATGAAAACACCTTACTTAGAAGTTCATTTCGACGTCTCGGATGACGCTTATTTCACAGCTTGGCTGGTAATGAAGATGGCTTTTGTTGGATTAAATACTTAAATTAGAATGGAGTGCTTGAGTTATCATGATAAGAATAGTTTTAGATTCGATCTTTTCGCGAGTTTTTCGAGGTAGCGCGCATTTGCGAATGTCCATTTTGATCTTTTCTGACGCCCAAGAATATGAAAGAATTTCTTGTTTTTGTATTCCGAAAAAAAGCGAAGAGGAATGCCCACCAATAGTTATGGTTGAAATTCGTTACGTAGAGAAAATTTATATGCGTTCTCCCGTAAACTTCAACGATGTTGCGTTGTTTTCACAAGAAAACGAATCATACCACCAATTCAATATCAAAATGGCGGTTAGTTCTAAGGAGCGCCACCTCCCGGTTAGTATTCGAAAAGACATTATAAAAACGTTCCACAGCATGGATCCTCATCAATTATCAGAATATCTGAGAACATAGGAAACATCAAGTTATGAAGGTGAGTGTAGGTAATGATTCGATTTTTTAAAGAGAAAAATTTAGCTTTTCACTACAATTGCCGCCTCTGCCCTTGCCAACCACTACGACTCCGGCATTTGTCACGACTGCCCCGACACCTACGACGGTGAATGTGGTGGACTGATAACAGACTTTAATACAATCGTCTCTCCCGGATACGAGCGAGGGGAATACTACGATCTCCTCTCCTGCGAATGGGAAATTGATCTTGGTGATATCGAGGGTTTCAACATCGTTCCACTCTTTTTTGATGTTGAGCAGGATACTTATTGCTCATATGACGAGTTAATTGTCATCGATGGTAATGGAGATGAGAAAATCTTTTGCGGAACCAACTCTTGGCGAAGACGAAAATCCGCTGGAAAGGACAAAAAGGCACCTCCTAGAGTGACCTCGTCGTATACTATCAAAAATGACGGATTCGAGACGCTCTTTGTCGAAGGGGGCAAGGCAGTGATTAGATTCACGACTGATAAAGATATTCGAGAAGCTGGATTCCACTTCGAACTGCGAAAATTCGAACCAACTCGGCTCCAGATCATCGAAGCTCATGCTCAGGTAAATTTATTAAGATAACCAACTTTTCATCAGCATCATTATTAGCGAATTTTTGACGCCCTCGCCGACACCGGATACGGCCCCCGGTACCAAGGTCGAATGGAAAAGATTTTCGCCAAATTGACCACCGCTTCTGCCTCAGGAGAAGATTGCCACGAAGAAAACGGCTTCGGTTCTGAAGCTGATGGTGTTCTTGTCTTTGACGATAGCGACATGTGCAAGCTCAACGGACAAGTCAATGCTGCTATCAACAGCTTCGCCCGGAGAAATGCTTGCGATGGGCGAGGTAAGGTCTACAGACAAATCATTCGAGCTGCCAGAAAAGTCAGAAACTTTATGAATGAAAAACATAACTGCGAGTAAATTATGAGTCTGGGCCATTTCTTTATGACTAAATAAAAAGGTTTCAATAATAGTTTGATTCCAAATGGAAAGAAACTGAATTTCTAAAACCAAGCACTGGGAAATCTGCAGATGTCTATTTGAAATAGACTATTTCTTCAATCCAGAATTTTACATAATGTTACGAAAGCTGGACGAAATGGGTGCTATATAACATCAACCGCTCAATTTAAATCATAAATTAAAAGTAAAAATGAGAACTCTTGCTTTTCTTCTTGCATTTACAAATGCTCAGCTGATCACGTGGGGTGGAAAATGCCCCGAAATTCCACTGATAAAAGATCTCGATGCTAACGCGTATTCTGGCGCCTGGTTCGAGCAAGCTAGAGTTCCGGACAAAAACCAAGGCGATGACAAGTGCGTGAGCCCGATCTACGCCGTCAAGGACGATCGAAACATCTTGGTCAACAACACCCACGTAATTGCTTACACCGATGGCGATCACCACGGCCAAGAGCTCCAGTGCCTCTCTGGCAATGCTTTCGTCCTTGATCCTGATTTTCCCAACAAGCTTTTGGTCACATTCGATTTCGGTCGACAAAGTTTCAACTACAGAAACGAACGAGCAAATTACTGGATCATGGAGACGAATTACGACGAATACGCGATCGTAATGAGCTGCCAGAACTTGGGCGAGTTCATCGTCGAGTACGGCTGGGTCATGGCGAGGTTTGATTTTTCAAATTTTTGTAATGTTTCTGATCGCCGATTTCTAGAGACCAAAATTTACGAACAAACAATCCAGCTCGATACGCTGAAATTTACGAAAACTCTCGAAGCTACTCGAAAGTCTGGGATCGAGATGAAATCTTTTTGACCCCTCAAACTGGCTGCGAATATGACCGTGTTACTGTCTATCCTGAATAAATTAAAAATCCGCGGAACGATTCGCAGCTTCGAGAAAATGTCTCTAGAAACGGCTCAATATTGTTTTCCGCGCAGCACTTTTCTTCAGACACAAAAAAAGAGAAAAAAAAAAGAGGATGACGGAGGGATTCTTGAATCTCCCAGAGCATACCGGGCGAAAATCGGGAATGCAGGATTTCACGAACAAGCTGAAAGTCATCAAAAAGTCACTGATAAAGACAAAGACGACTGATTTCACCAAAGAAAATGAAACCACAGAAGAGTAAGTGAAAATTCTGTCTATTTCTGTCTCATCAGAATATTAAAAGACTTGATATGGAAAACTGGTCAATGAAATCACTGGACGAAACGCAGAAACTCTGCTGCTCGGATAGATACGACGAAAAACTTGCGAAATATGTGAAAAATTTGACAGAGTCGAATGGTAAATAAACATGTTTTTGCTTCATCTAGAATCTTTTAAAGCTTTTGCCGCGATTATCAACATAGTAATCGCTGTCAATATTTTATTCATGTTCTTGCAAGTGACATGGAAGAAGGACGTGATAAACATGACGTTCAAAGTTAAGGAAGGAGCTTTTAAAGAGACTCGATTCAATGATAATATTTATTCAGTGATAATACAGTAGTCTATTTGAGAGAAAAGCAGTTTGAATAAAGCCCCCAAAAGCCAGAAAAAGCGACTCTCGGCACAACTGAGTCGATCCTAATTGATTGGTTCGACTCCGACATCTTCGACTTTATTAAATGGCTGGAAGAAATCGACACGATAGTTTTCCTGACAGCTTATCTCGTCGAATTCCTGCTGAAATTCTACGCCGAGCTTTTCAGATATTTCATTTCTCCTTCAAACTTCGTCGATTTCTTCATTTTGCTCGTTTCCTTCATTCAAATTGCCTACTCGCCAGAAGATGAATCCACGATGGGAAGCGATTTGGGACAGTTTAGATGTATGTCCTCAATCTAAAATTGCTTCTTCTACCATCTTTTTAGTTCTGAAGATTCTCCGTGCTCTGCGAGCTTTAAGGACCCTGAAGACGCTGTGGATGTTTGGCGGTGCTCAAGTCATCATTGTTTCGATTTTCAAGTCGATGGGACGAACCTTTAAAAACATCGGCGTCATTCTGTTACTTGCAATTTGGATCTTCGGAAAGTGATTGAGACTCTGCCCCTTATTTTAGACTAAGAACACTCTCAATTACCAAAAAAGCCATTTTGATGTACAGTACGATTTTCATCAGTACATCTCACAAAGAACCCCTCTATGATGAGTGGGGATGCTTTACTGCCTGCTTCGCCAATCTGTTCATCATGACTACTGCTGATGGTTGGTACGGCCTTGCTGATCGGGCTGAAAAATCGTCCTCCTCAGTTGCCAAAAGCCCTGGCACTCAAACAGTCATCGTCCGGTAAGTATCTGCTTCCTCTTTGTTTTTTTTTTCTTTTCTTTAGTTTCGTTGTTGGCATGGCTTTGATGTTGTCGCATTTCATCATTTTCAACTTGTTCATTGCCATCAACATCGCCCAGGTATGAGAAAGAAGGGTGCAGGAAGAGGTAAAAATATTTTAAGGTCGATGAAGCGAATAAGGAATACATGGAATCAGTGAATTTGGAGAGGGAAGAACAGCTGGAGACCAAGAAGACTAAAATCATGCAACGGTAAGAGATCTTCATTGACGATTTCTACTTTTCAAAAAAAAAAAATTTCCGCATTATCATTATTTGAAATTTTAGGCAATATGATGACGTCAAAAAACTCCGCGATCAGCAAGACGCAAAAGGGTGCTCCTTCGACGAGTTGATCGAAAACTTCAAGCAAGGTCTGAAACACGACGACTACACAGTGACGGACGGAATCGTCACCGACATCGAATGGATTGAAAATCACCGCCAGATTCTCGATCAACTCGATACTTCAACTTACAAGCTTCAGCAGCTGATTTTCGAGTATTCGAATATTCTCATCGTCGCGCAAAACGAATCACTCAAAGAAAAGGCCCTCAATGTTTTTAAAAAGAGGATGAAAGCGGCATAAACTTGTTTCACTGTTACTTTATTTTTCACTGTATTACTGCTCCACAAATATATTTTTCATATTTTCTTGCAAAAGCTTCGACTCTTCTTTTGTATCAGAAGTGAAAGGCAGCAAAGTGAGTGTAGCAAGTTGAAATCCGATCATTCCAAGAACTGTAATGGCGATAACAGAGAGGCCAGGGTTGATCCAAGTTTCAAATTGGTCGATTGGGCCTTTGCTCAGCATTCTTCCAATAAGAATCGGCGCTAGAATAAATCCTATGAAGAATCCTTTTGAATAAACTTACCGATGATTCCAGCAATTTGCGAAATCGAGTTCGAAAAGGCATAAATCTGCGCCGCATATTTGCCACCCATTTCATTCGCGATCGGCTTGCAAGCGCATGTCAAAATTGCCGAGCATAGAAAACAGCAAATCATGATCGAAATAAAGATAAAGTTTTCCCAGCAAGGATAGAAGGTGATTCCGACCATGAACAAGACGGTCAAAATGCTTGAAACTGAGAAGAAGATCTTTCGGACGGTCGGCGTTGGAAGGTATCTTCGCATTGTGTCGGTAAGTAGACTCATGAGCATCATAAGAACCATTGTTATTGTAGCTTTTCAGAGTTATTAGATGCAATAAAGAGTGAAAAATTAGGTCATCGCTTCAAAGGACCTGATTTATAAAGTGGGTTTTAAAACGCTCGTAAGATTTTTATCTATTCAGTGACCAGAAAGGTCAACCCTGATTGTCGCATAAAAGAAGAAAAAATCCGACTGGAAGTCAGTTTTACTTTTTAAAATGTTTTCCTAGTCAGCACTGGGTAAAGGAAATACAAGATCAATTGACATCAATGCGACGTTGTAAAGTCGATCCTGTTCATAGTATTTTCTGAAATCATGAAAAATAAAACTCTTTCTTGAATTCCAAAGACCTTCGTTATTTTGCCAATCGAAACCCCAAGAAACAACTGATAATATCTCTGAGGAAAAATAGTGTAGAAAGCAAGATTGAAGCACGCACAGAACCAAGCTTAATAAATTAGTATTTTTTTCATTTCTTTTTTGTACCTAAGCAAAAGAGCCAAATATCTTTGTTTAGGATAATCTTCATCCATGGAGCAAAAGGCTTGTCTTTTTGAACCTCTCGATCGTTGACGAGATTGAATAGCTCTTCCTTGTCGATTTGATTCGAGAATCTCCAAGGGCGGATGGAATTGAGCATGTGCGGCGTGTCTTCTGGCTTGTCCGATGCTTTGAAGAAAAAGATGAAGAAGATCGGGATGTAGGACAAGGCTCCGTAATGAAATCTTAAAATATTGAGCTTTTTGATAAAATATTTTGTTACATTTTCTCCCAGCCAGCGCCAGATTCTAGAAGCGCCCCGCCGAAAATTCCGCTTATTATTAGGCCAATTCCTCCGCCAAGCTGGATAAAGCCATTAAAAACTGTTATTTGGTCAAGTATTGGTCATGGTTATTATTATCATCTTTCTAAAGCGACCTGTCCTGTGAGCTCTTTTCGCAAGCTCCAGTAAAACAAGCTGCCAGACAGAATCGAAGTACAAGCACTTTGTATGACTCCACATAAAATCCTCATAACTTCCATCGGCATACAAACTTGCTTTGCTGTTACAGTATTTCATAACTCAAGAATTTTTGAGTTTCAGCCGTTCCTACTGCTCCAGTAGCATCAAATCTTATCGTTACGGCTGGAAAAAAAACAGTTGTGAGAATATTTCCGACCATGGCGAAATTAATGAAATTATAGAAGCCAATTTTTTGGCCGACGATTGCCATTGGCACGATTGATGGAACGTAGCCGATGTAAAAAGCTGAATTTATCAGCCCAACAGTTTTTTCGGACCAATTGAATTTTCGGTACCCAGTATTTTCTTCCAGCACTATATCATTTTTTCTTGAAGAAACTTTTGATAGGTTCAATTTGACACATTTTATAACTCTTTTTTCTCTCATATTTTTCGACCCTTTCCCTTCAACCTCGATTTTCTGCCATTCTAGATTTTTCTCCACCTTGCATGTTCTATTTTCCGACCAGCCTCCCCCGTCTGCTTTGTCATGTCTCTCCACCATCCCCAAAATCGCCATATTCGTAATGCTCCTCGACGAATACAAGCAAATCTGCACTAGAATCATCATAAACGCATGCTTCAGAGATGTTCTCATCTCTTTTTTTGAATTCTTTCTTTTCAGAATTTCGCAAAAAAGAATTTCGGAGAGTCCTTTTTTAGTTTGATTTGGGAACTATAATGAGGTCTTTTCATTTTTAGGGTATCAAATAAACTCCAACAGGGAGCCTGATATTTGTAAAGCATACAAAAGCTCGAGATTTATTGGTTTTTCTAATTTTTCAGTTTGAAAATGCACGAAAAGGGAGGAGAATCTGGTCACCAGATTAAAGCTTCAAGGCCAACTAATTCAAAGAAATTATAACAGGTTTTCTCAACGAACTTTATTCAATAGAATTATGATGATTCTTCAGATATCATCTTCTAGTTGTGAATCTAAAATCAACAGAATATTTTTTTCAGTTTCTGATTCTTCTTCGACGATTTCATCAAATCTCGACGCCTGGTTTAGGTTTGAAATCTGGACTTTCAGGGTTTTCCTTATCGAGCCGCCAATCTTAACTTTATTCGAGAGAATCCTTTTCATTGAATTTTACCTTGCTTTTTGATAACTTCCAAGTTTTAAAAGTCCTTTTTAGATCCTCCTCAGTGATTCGGAAAGCCGCACATTTTTGAATAGAAATTTGAGCTAAATAGAGAATCATAGCGAAAAATTGCCATGGCTCGTTGATGCAAGAAAATTCTTCTTTGTTTTCTTCCACTTCTTTATTGCATCGATCCCAAAAGCTGTTGATGATTCTCACTTGTTTTTCGTCCAAAGAATCTGTTTTTTGGTAAATCACTTCGCTGAGAATCTCCAGAATTCTCTGTAAAAAGTGATTTTCTTCGAGCGTCATGATTTCTTCTATTTCATGTTCTTCGAAGTGCTCTAGAAACGTCCAAAGCGCTTTTTGCCCATTTTCATCGAGAAATACATCGTTGGACTCGAAGAGATTGAGGGCGTTTGAAAGAGCTTCTTCGTTTTTGCATTTGCAGATGATTTCATTGGCAGTGGTTTTGAACGTCGAAATCAAGGCAGAGGACTCAACGGAGGTCGGAAAGCGCTTAAAAATTATTGAGAGTGCTCGCATTGTCTGGGCTTTTTTTTGGTTCTAGAAGTCTATTTTTATCTAAGGTTAAGATTTAATGGAATTAAGGACGTCTTCTTCTCGTTTTTATTGAACTTGAAAGTCAAAAATGTAAAAGAACCCTTCCTAGAATAAAAACATCAGTTTCTCCTTCACAAAAACTAGCCAAATTCTGCAACACTATATCCAGTTCATCAATTGCGTCCAAGTGCTGCAGCATATTCGCCATAATTCCAATCAGCAGTTCCAGAAGACGATTTCTCTCCGAATCATCGAAGTCATCTCTTTTGTCGAAAATGTGCTGGACAATCTCAAAAAGACCATTTTCGTGGTAGACAGTGGCAACAGAAGGAGTTTGAATAGAGTCCCAAATTTCGCAGAGAGTCGTTTCAGATCGACCCTCGTTGAGATCCACAAAATCTTTCAGGGAGACGATGTAGCGCAGAATTTCGACTTTTGTGAACGCTTTTTTGTGATCTTCATTTTATCAAATTCATTAAATATTCTTAAATGACGGACCATCTCCTGAACCCTCAAGATATTCAATTTGTTCCTCCTCTTGTTCTTCATTTTCGTGGTTATCCCACTCTGGCGAGTTTCGCGCTGGAAGACCGTTCATTTCCGCGCTATCTTCTTTCGGGCACATCTCTCAAAATTGACGTTCAAAAAGGACGAAAATCGGGAAAATCAGAAAAGGAAAGATCGTAGGTGGTTTCCAACCAATCGGCCATCCGTAAAACTCGAAGTCGGCAAAAGACGATTTACTGACAATTTTCAACGAAAAAACTCATTATTTCTTCAAAAAATCATCATTACGGCGTCAAATCGTGGGCAAATTTCATATGGCCATGAATTCTATTTAACCCTACCCATAACTCCGGCACCAACTTAGCCAAAAACTGACTTCATCCTTTGACCTGTCTGTTTTTCGTACCAAAAACAATAGGAAAAACCGACCATGATAGTGGATAGAGACCCTAGTCTAGGATTCCTAGACCAAGGCAATTATTCATTCGATTCATTTCTTGAATGCTTATTTTGATCTTCACCAGACTGAAACTAATGAAATAAATCGATATCTCTCCTCAATTGAGCCACGCTCCGGATCAATAGAACCTCAAGAGAAAAAAACTCAAACAAGATGGAAAATAAGGACGATCTCATTTTCAAAACTTACAAACCAAAGTTGACAAATTTTGCTTGGTGGATAGAATTTGCCAAAATTTGTGCTTTCTGCGTCACCATCATTTCAAGTGAGAATATTTTTTTTGATATTAAAAGTAGATTTTTTTTAGTTTTTCTTTACTGGCACTTCAAAAAAGAAAGTGCTCCGAAAGGACAACTGGAGAAGGAGGACAAAACCAATTATGAAAATGATAAACGTAAGTTTAAAATACCAAAATTTTTTGAAAAAATTCTTCTTTTCAGGATCAAGCTTTCTCTCGCCGTACAAAAATCGATCCCTTTCTGATGACACAACAAGTTTTTTATTTGAAAGCCTGTCTCTTAATAAATCCAAATGAAAAAAGTGATCTAGCTCTGAAATGATTACAGCAAATATTGAAAGAATAAAAGGAAAGGAAATGGATAGATAGCAGCTTTTAGACGCAGAAATCGGCTGTTGTTTCGAAAATAACTGGATAAAAGCTTCGAAAGTCGTGTCCGCCTATGACTTCCGTATCGACTATAATGTCGTTAACAATGTTAATTCGTTCGATCGGGTAGACGCCATTCGCTGAATTGTAACCAATAACGAGGTAGATAAAGTCTCCAATTTTCAATGCTGAGCCAAAGGAAACAAACTAAAACAAAGATAAAACAAGAGCTTGCGAATGAATCTTTAAGCGACCTTTTTCAGAGATCCGATGAGTCGCCAATATCGGTCGTTCTGGGTCTTGGTGTCCAGAAGCCAAATTTCCAAGCTATATGTAAAAATCGTTTCATCAAGTCCACCAAGCATGAGCATTGCTCCGCTCTCTAATCCAATAAGAGTGTGGCGGTAAGTATTTCTAAAATATTTCCATAAATTCAGAGCAATGTAATGTTAAACCTTGGATGATCTGGTAAGTTTTGCCATCCAGAAAAAGAGTAAGTCTCGACTTTTTGGAACCCGCTAGGTTCATAGCTTCCGACGGTGGTTGGCTGCCCACGGTAGTAGCCAAGACTGCCAGACCAATGCGTGAATCGAGTGGAGTGCGTTGTTACTGAGCTGGATGTATCAAAAATCTCACAGTTTCTCCAATTCGTTGCCGAGAAGCAGACCATTGCTAAGAAAAACAAAAAAAAATGGACAATTAAAAATTGATACCTTTCTGCCCATTTTCGATTTGAATAGCAGAGCCGTCATCACTAGTAAATCCGTTTATCAATCGAATTGATAGTTCATTGAACGAACAGTCTTGCAGTTTCATGATCTGTAGAATTTGTAAGTCTCTCTTTTTATTTGGAATAATTTACCCTATGTTTATCCCTCACGCCTCCAAAAAGGTACAGTTCTCCCTGAACGAAAGCGTAAGGGCAGTACCCTGCATAGTTGTTGAAATTAGGGGTAATCGTCGCCGAGTTTTTCGTCATTCCATTTCCGGAGAAGATGTACGAATCCGCCAAGTACTCAAATCCAAGAACAAAAATATTCATATTCCTCTAAAAATGATTATCAATTATAGTTTATCAACAGATATAATATTTGATATTTACCGGATCATTCGGATCGATTGTTGTCGTTATTGCTGTTGTTGTTATAATTGTTGCTTCTGCAGTTGTTTGCGGTTCATCACCGCATAGTTCATGCTTGCAACCAGAGCATCCGTCTGAACAGTAAACTCCGCAGGGGCATGATGATGAACTTTCTAGATTAGTTCAGAAGAGTTTTAAAAGCCCATTCCGACCTGTGAACTCAATGAGACATTCATTTTCGCACAGAGAATTGTCACAATTCGCTCTGCATTGAAGATAATCAAATCGGCATAAAGAGTAGCACTCATCGTACAGGTCTTGGTCTCTTTATACAAGATTTCAGTGATGATAAAAGTAAGGATCACATATTTTAATTCGAAAATGCACTTACGGGCAAGTTTCATTTCCAGCAAAAGAGAGATAACTGTCAGAAGAAGAACCAATTTTCTCATTAGGACTTTCTTGATCATCTGTATTTGATTGGCGTTTTTGAGGTCGAGGTCGAGCTTCGCCGCTTACATTAGCTCCAAAATATGCATGAAAAAGCAAAATAAATAGAAGAATTATCATTTTTCTCGATAAGTAAGGATAAACGGTCGCATTCAATCCGTTAGTTCTGTGCAAATTGAAGCGCTTGATATTTAAACATGAATAAAATTACATTTTCCAGCGACAACGGACACTGTCGATTCTATCATGAACTCAAAGGACATTAACAGTTTCAATCAGAAAGAACTTCTCTCTATCGTTTATTTCGTATTGATAATTGAATAGCTATCAAAAAAGGTTTCAGTGAGCACAAGAAGCATTGCCTTCATTATGAAGCCTCATAAATTTTAAGTTGTAAACTCCTTCTCCAGCTCAGTATTCCTCCAAAAGGGGCTGAGTTCAAATTTAATAAACTCACTCGCTCTTGAACAGATTTCATGCTCGATTAGATGTCTCAGAACATCATCGTGCTCAACAAACTCTGTACAGTTATAGTTTTTCTCCATAATTCTCTCGACAAGATTTTCCTTCAGCAGATTTTCCCCAAAGATTTTCTCAAGCTCAGTCTCCTCAATTTTATCTGGATTTTTGACAAAGAAAGGCCTTTTCTTGAGAATTTCTTCATAAGAGCTATCAAAAATATTCTTTAAGAGTAAATTTTATACTGAAATAATAAGCTCGAGCCTGAGAATTTCTGAAGGTCAGTCGTTTCGAACTTTTTTCTCCACTCTATACAGGTGAATTCTTGCCTTTGATGCTCAATTAGACTCTTTGAAACTTCCTTCTTCAGGTAGTTAGGCAATTGAGTAGAGTTAATTGTCTTGTTCAACAACTGATAATCATCCCATAGATCTTTTCTGAAATAAAATTACTTAAATTGTAGGTAGTTGAAATTAAGATGCCTCAATTGTATAATTAGAATTATGCCGGCATTTCTTGACCAATTTTGAGTTTTTGCTACTGTTTGTTTTCCCTTTAAACTACCTTTCACTTCGAATCATTCTCAGAAACTCCACATTTTCAAAAGGATAAGCCAGAAGAACACATTTCGCCTCAGTCTTGAAGTCGACCTTCACCCTCTCTCCGTTGCTCGCCAAATAATTTTTCCTCTTTTCAATGGGCAATGCGTTCTCTATCCAGCACTCTCCGTCTTTCCTTATCTTCGGAAACGGATTCGCCTCCAGATCAAAGTCAATAAGTCGCAAAAACTTGTCCCATAAATCCTGCCTCGTTGAGCGGCAGTTGAAATTTTGGTGCATGATGAAGAATGAATCAAATTTTCCGCCACAGGTTTTTTTCAAAAGTCGCCAGTCGAGAAACTTGAGGCCACTTTGATTCTTGAGGAGGTAAGGGTCCAAGAGGATGTCTAAAGGCATGGACAGACGCTTGGATGATTGGCCGAGGACGATTTTCTTGAGAATAGGTGGAAGAGAAAGAGTTCTACGTTGATTTCAAAACTCGGACAAAAAATCGACTTATAATTTGGCCAAAATTGACTGAAATTTTCACTAAAATTTTGAGTAAAATTTGACAGAAATCGCCTTTGAAATCATTCCTATTCAATTGTTTCGCGAAGAAAATCGCCTCTCTCATCCCTAGAATTTGATTCTCATTATCAATATCAAACAGTGGCACTAGAATCTTTTCATCTTCTCCAGCTTCTCTTTGCGGAAATTGTTCAGGGTTGGAAAAGCAGCAATTTGGACAAGGATTTCTCAGCTGGTTCTCTTCCTTGATTTCAAACGAAAATCTCTTATAAACTGCGACTGAATTTGAATATAATAAAAGTGAAACAATGATAAGAAGAATTTTCGTCGATGTTTTCTCAAGCATGATATCCGCTTTTTTTGTCTTTGCGACTCATACTAGTGCAGCTCGTTAAAAATTACGGCATAATCAAGATTGATTTCAGAAAACGTCACCTTGCACTTTTCTTTATTAACAGAGGAAGCGTTAAAATATTTATGAATCTCTAGTTTTCAGAAAAGATGTAAGGTCAACTTTTTGAATAAAAACATGGTATAAGAACGCTTTTAAGGTTTCTTATGTATTCTTTGATAACTTACACATGTAGTTTAATTATTTATTCTATATGAAACAAGGTGATTTGACAAGTAATATGGTCAAAAGCTGCATATAAGCTTCGAAAATTGATATAAAGCGAGTAAAAACGAGCAAAAGAACACGGAAAAAATGTTAATTTTTCAGATTTTCCTGGTTTTTAACTTCGTTTCCGCGGGTTATTTTTCCTCCAGGAATAGGCATCAGAATGCAAAGTCAAAGGCGAACATGCGACGACTTCTTTTGACGAGAAAAATATCTGGTAAAAACAAAATAATAGGATAAATAACTAAATACTTTTTTAGATCGAAAACTGCGCATTACTGTATCACGTGGTGCCGGAGAAAGGATAGTGCCTGTCCAAAAATTGAGAGGGATGATATTGAACTTTCCTTGAAAAGAATAATATAGAACAGAAAAATCCCCATTCTCACTGATTTTCTCGTTAAAAAGTCGACCCACTATAATATAAGAGAAAGTGACCGCTATGATTGTTAACCGTATTCGTTCTGTTGCATAATTCGTTGCAGCAAGAAGCAAAGTCACATTCGGTGTACGTAAGCAAATGAGTTTTCGAGAGACAGCTCGTCAGAATTCTTGCATTTTTAGGTCATCGAATTCAGAGTACAAAAATGCACGCATGACATCACACTCAACGAATGGTTTATTTAATCAAAAGGCAAAGGCGTCAAAAAACAAGAATAATCGGCGTGAAAAAGAAATCCATATCTCGTGTCGTTTTCTGTGTTCTCAGAGCGAAAATGTGGAATTCTGAGGAGACGTGTTCAAGCTGCCCCGATCCGTATTCATTCCGCTTTTTTTCAACCGCCGCCGTGAAATTCAATTCAATCGTTCACAAAACCATTCTTTTATTACGACTTTTTTCCGAACGAGAATAAAGTTGAGCAAGCAATTTCTCCAACTTGTCTGGTTTTCCCTTATTGACCCCTTTTATACTGTTATTTCTGGCGATTTCTGGCCTCTAGAAATACGCCTGTAGGCATATATTTCATTACGCTTTATTCATGTAAGGTTCTCGACCCTTTTGGGTTCGTTTTTGTACCAGACACATGTTGAACAGGAAATAGTCTCACTCCTCAAATTAACAAGCCATCATCAAATTTGAAACATCATAAAAGAGATAATGATCGATAGAGAAACTGTCGACTTGAGTATACCTTTACCGAAGTTATCGACTGAAGACTATCTTGTTTTTACGGGTCTCCTAGCGATCTCGGTAAGATGGTATTCGGAAGTATTTTGCTAATGATAATTTAAGGCATTTATAGGACTCTTTTACGCGTTCATAGACTCGAGGAAAAATGAAAATGAGTCGACTAACAAGTTCGATTCTGATGAAGATGCCTATCTCGTCGGCAATCGCTCTGTAAGTCCCTAACGCGACTTTACTTCTTGGTAGACAGGAAGTGAATGGCAAGACTAAGTTCATTATTCTATCTAGATGTCATCGTTTCCTGTGGCTTTATCCTTGACAGCTTCGTTTATGTCTTCAATCACCGTTATATCCACACCTGCCGAGATCTATTTCTATGGAACCATGTTTCTCTGGTTCTGTGTTTCGTATCTTCTCGTCGCTTTTCTTACCTCTCGAATCTACATGCCGTTCTTTTACCGCCAAGGATTCACAAGCACCTACCAGTATATCGAGAAACGATTCGACAGGCAATTCAAGCTGATTCTTTGCGCTGTCTACACTTTTAACTCTGTCGTTTATGCTGGAATCGGTGAGTTACTCGATTTCATTTCCTCTTATTGTTTTTTCCTTTAGTTGTTTATGCTCCTGCCTTCGCCATCGAAAAGGTCTGCAATGTTCCAAAGAATCAAGCGATCGCTATTATGGGAGTCGTTTGCTGCATCTATACTTCTCTGGGCGGCATCAAGGCTGTCATATGGACGGATGTTGTCCAGTATATTTCCATGTACGCCGGTTTCCTCGCGCTTATTTGGAAAGGCTGCAAAGACATGGGTGTTGATTTCATCTACAATACAGCTCTTGACAATGATCGACTTGTATTCGATGATTTTTCGATGGATCCGCGAGTGCGACATTCTGTTTTCTCGACCGTCTTTGGCGGCACTTTTGGCCTCTGGCTCGGTAATCATCAAGTTTTCTGCTAGAAACGTCAGATTTTTAGGCTTGTATGGGACGAATCAATCGAATGTCCAAAGATACATCTGCTGCAAATCCGAGAAAACAGCAAGAAAGGCAATTTGGATGAACTCTTTTGCACTTATTGCTATAAATATTACTGCTGCTTTGACAGGATTGATAATGTTTGCTTATTATGTTGGCTGTGATCCACTATCAGGTAAATTTTTAGACATGAATAAGGAAAAAGAGTCGTTTAGCCGGTGTAATCGATAAAAAAGACCAGCTGGTGCCCTACATGGTGATGCAAAAGCTGTCAGAGTACAAGGGGCTTCCTGGCCTCTTCTTAGCTTCAGCCACTTCCGGTACACTCTCGACTGTCTCCAGCGGAATAAATGGCTTGTGCGCTGTTCTCATCGATGAACTGAAATCGAGCTTTGGTGTTGTTCGCAAAAATAGCTATCTTTGGTCAAGAGTCATCGTCTTCATCGCTGGCGTCTTTGTCATTCTCGCCGCCTATGGCGCCGATGCTCTTGGCAACACTGTTCTTCAGGCGTCAATGAGTGTTAATGGAATCGTTGCAGGACCAACCTTGGGGTTGTTTTCTTTGGGAATGTTCTGCCCGTGGGTTTCCAAGACTCCCGCGAAAATTGGCTATTTTACGGGACTCGGGCTTGCGATTGCTTTTTATGTGATGAGCAATCCTACTGATGAGTTTACGAAGCCATTAGAAGGTAGCAAAATTTTTTTGTTCGAATAGAATGATCGTTATTTTTAGTGAATACGATGCAGTGTTTCAATCAATCCTCACTACCTGAATCTTCTCCTGCGTCTTACTTATCCGAAGACCAAAGTTCTTTCCAAATTTCTTACGTTTTTCTGTCGACAACAGGTCTTTTCGCCACTATTATTGCTGCTTTGATGAGTTCCTTCCTTTTCCCAATTCCTCCACAAGATCAAAGAGCGCGATCGCTCTACTCCACATTACTCTGGGACGTTCCTTACTTTGAGGCGTTCTTCTCTGACGAATCTGACTCGCAAAAAGAGAAGCTCTTTGACAGCTCATCTTCTAGTATTTGACTGCCTTATAATATGTATTACAGATCTGATAAATAAATCAAGTCGAATTCAGTTATCAGAGTCTGATTTTGTGCCAAATTGAGTCAAACTGATTTAGCTTGATTTAAAATTTTAGAACCCAACTACCGGTTAGCGAGCAGCCGCAGCTGTCACTTCGTGTCTAGAATTGTTCTCGCCGGTGAATAATTAGGGGGCTTTCTTAAGATAATTATGAGGGGTTCTTAGAGGTCATTTTTCATCCCAAATACCAAAAAAAAAACGATAAATGTAAAAAAATAAATGTTTGGATTCAAGATTTTTAAAAAATCTTTTTTGTTATTATGTAATAAAATATCATGAAACGTGATTTCTACTAATTAATTACCAATTATCAATTTACCATCAAATAGATATTCTTATCCGGAAGCGCGTAAACGTAATCGACTTGTCCGAATACGATAAATCATCGAGATTTTTCTACAAAATAACTTCTCCTCATTTCGTCCACTCAGCGGATCGATCGTCCGCCGAGCGCTCAGGTGGCGCTCGCGAGCTTGGCCAAGGCTCTAGCGCGGAGGGGAAAATGCTCTAGCGCTGCTATCTTCGCGCTTTGCGCAACGTAAGCTTCTCTTGGGGAAAAATAGCACCAATGCCAATTCGAAATTAATCGACGATCATAAGTAGTAGAAACGCGATCCGTATTTTTTTATAACAAGAGATAAAGAAAACCAGAGATCCAGAAAAAAATCAAAAACGAAGACCCAGAAATCCGAAGAAAATCAAAAGAATGGGCTTCGCAAAGTCGATCAAGTCGCTTTTCAAGGGAAAAGGAAAGGGATCAAAAAAGGAAGATGATCTCTTCAACCCTTATGAGAAGTCGCAAAAGGCTACGGTCGGGAGAAATAAGGTACAGTTAGCATCAGATCAATGATCTGGCAGGATGCAGGGCAGTGGCTCTTAAGAAATAATTGTCAGAGGAGTCTTCCGGAGTTGAGGAAATCGTGTGACGGGCTAAAATAATTTTTAGAAAAAAATGCTTAAAAAGCATTTTTTTATTTTTCAGACTCGAAAATTTTTTTTTGGGAGTCGAAATTGCGGAGTCGGCTCGAATAAACAAAAATTGTAATTCGACTTTTGTGATAATTTTTTTGAACTCTTATTGGCAAACCTGCCGAATGGGTTATCCTGATTGGTCTCAAATTTGACCGAAATTTTGGTCAATCAGAATTAAGACCAATCAAATTACCGCATTTGGCCGGTTTGCCAATCAGAGTTCAAAAAAATCATCTCAAAAATCGAATTTTTTCAATAATTTTTTTTATCAACTCGAGTCTCTACCCTTAAATTGACCGAACAAAGCGTAAAACAATTTTTTCTTCCTGTTTTCTTGGGAAAATGAGTTCATAATTAAATTTACTAATCCTCGTTGGAATTATTTTTGTTATCGTCAGGCAAAATTGGAATTTGTTTTTAATATTGGCTGAATTTGTTTTTCGATAATTTCTGGATTATTGAGTGATCAACAAAAGTCAAGAGTGCACACGTTAGAAACGATAAGCGGCATTTATTTGTATTTCGGCGACGAGAAATTGCGGCGAGTAATAGAAGTGTACAAAAAAGGGATAAGCTGGGGCGAGAATGGGGCTTAGGCGGCGCTTTTAACCTCAAATGTTTGTTCAGCGAATGATGCAACTTGGCGAGTTCTAACGACCATAAAAGGACAATCACTCGCTTTTTGACAGGAATCAATTCAAATGCTTGATTAATTAATAAGATGATGGTCAATTAAGTAACTGTACTTTCTCCGAAAAAACAGACAAAAAATTGCTGACAAATTTTTCTTCTCCAGAGTTCCGATAAATAAAAAGGTGCAAATTTAGATCATATGATTTTGTATCGAACGTTTTCGTTTATTGGATAAACTTCATCAGGATACTAAACTTAAGATGAACGAAAAAGAAACAGAGGAAAAAGAATACTTTTATGTTGAGAGAGCAGTGTGAACTTGCTAACTGAGGAAAACAGAAAAACAAGATCAAAAAATGGCTGTTTTTAGTCGAGCGCCAAGGTGGCCCAAAACAGTGCTCGACTAAATTAAAAAGTTTTGAACTGTTTGAAATCAGATTGTTCATTTAGGGAGGGTCGATGCAGTAAAATAAGAAATTGTTCAGCGCTTCTCCTTTGACTCTCATTAGTTAGATTAGTTTGCAGAACATCAAAGTATTTTAAAGCATAGTCATTTTTTGAAAATTTGTATCGAATTTTCGGAGGATTTTTAGAGTGTTTTGGGCCACCTTGGCGCTCGACTAAAAACAGCCATTTTTTGATCTTGTTTTTCTGTTTTCCTCAGTTAGCAAGTTCACACTGCTCTCTCAACATAAAAGTATTCTTTTTCCTCTGTTTCTTTTTCGTTCATCTTAAGTTTAGTATCCTGATGAAGTTTATCCAATAAACGAAAACGTTCGATACAAAATCATATGATCTATTAACGAAGTCAACCCGAAAAGATATAGGTGCAAATTTATTAAAATTTTACAATAAGGGTGTCAATATCTTATTTTTTTGCTTGAATTCAAAGTTCAAAAAGAGAAGGAGCAAAAATAGTTCAATAAATTAATCCAAAATTTTGCGGAAATTGAGGACCAATCAGATTTCCAAATTTGACAGGTAGGCCAACCAGATCTATGAAAAATTTTTGGTCGAAATCAATCTTAGCATTTTCTTGTCCAATCGAGTTGTCACCTTTTTCAAATGTCTAAAAAGCGTGAAATAAGGGTGTCAATAAGTTAATTCTCTACTTGAATTTGTACGTGAAAAAGTGGGACAATATAATTGTTTTGTATCCTTTGAACAATTATGGATTCGGTTACAACAAATTTATAATTTGATCTAGCACAAAATAATCAGATATATCAGAATAATCAGAATATTATACTTGACGTAGAAACGGGTTAACAACACACAAGATACCAAGTTTACAAGCGAGCCACGTATTTTGTTATTCCTTCTCCTACAAGCTGGATACACAAAGAAAGAGATAAGCGACAAAAGCTGCCAAGTTTGTGGCCATTTCAAGAGCTTAGAGTGAACTTCTACCGAACAATTTTAACCCTAGAAGCTTAACCCATTCGTATGTAACTGTCAATCGCCTCAAACACGCGGCCAATTATTCTCAACCGCTCATTTTCTAATTCTTCAAAAAACCCCCTTCTTCAGCAAAAAACGAGAAATGCCAGAATCCACCAAAAAGAAAATTCTCAAATTCTCTCCTCATAACAGACCGTGTTTTTTGGACCTTCTTTAATGAGTTAATTAGTAATCTGTAAAAGGGAGGAGAAAAATTTCTTCAGAAGAGTTTTTTAGAAAAATTTTGAAAATCGTCTGAAGTGCAATTTTCAAAGTGAAGTTTTAGATGCAAATGAAATAGAGGATTATAAATAAGGGGGTGACGTCAGGAACCGACAAAAATTTTCGACAAATTTTGCGTTGGCGGCTTCTCGGCTTCTGATTGGCCAGTAAGCCGAATCTAGGCTTCTGATTGGTTGAAAATTTTAACAAAAAATTTATCGAAATTTTTTGTCGGTTCTACACTTAACCTTAGCCCGCCAAAAGTGGATTTTCTGGGGTACCCGCCAAGAACACCATATATGGTGCATCCTCTATTATAGCTCTGCACCATATTTGGTTAATCATGATTTAATTAAAAATCTTTGCTAGAAAATAATTTTATTGTTCAATAATGGTGTTCCAATGATAACACTAGAGTTCATTCAATCGAAAATTCACTCAGAGAAGTTCATAAATTGTGGATCAGAGAAGCTGACCAGGGTTAATTTTCGGCAAAATCGCTGGGAAAAAGCTGGGGTACCCGCCAAAAACACCATATATGGTGCATCAACAATTGAAGCTCGACACCATATATGGTGCATGGACATTTCGCGAAAATAAGGGTCTACCGACGCTAAGGTCTATCAGAAACAGGCCAAAAATCCCTCAAACGATAGATAATCGATCAAGCCGTCTCAGCGTATCCTTAATTTTCAAAAAAATTTTCAATGTCCAGCGCAGTGAACAAATACTTAACCGATTCCCGAGTTGTGGTGTACCTTGGCGGGCTAAGGTTAAATAAAGCTGCTGTTGAAAAAAACATTTTTTTGGCCATTTTTGTTGATGGGTTAAATTAATTTAAATCATTCATCAAAGCGAAGAAACAAATACAGTCGGATGAGCCGAGCTTCATTTGCGAATAAAATCCGCATCGGTTTTATTGATCCCTCAGAACTTCCGCCTTTCGCGTTGCATTCGTTTATTTTCCCACGTGACTGGCCCCCTGACATCTCGCCACGATAATCTTCAATTTGCGGTTAATTTTGCTCCATTTCTTGTTATCTACTTTTCCCGTTTTGAGAAAGTGGTACACACACTTTGACATGATTTTAAATTGCCAATTTTTTTCGGAAAGCTAGAATCGTCAACGCCCAAATTTCGCGTTGGTTTTCGCACGTAAAATCCATTTTACTGGATTTTGGAATCAAGTCACGTGAGCCTTCGAGGCTCAATTCCGTAACAATCGACTTCGGTTTCGAAAATTGCCGGGAAGGTGGGAGAAATACGTGGTGGAAGGATTCTAGCGCTAATGCGAATTCTGACTGGTCATTGTGTTTTTCAAGCGCATGATTATTTTTGCAATTGATATATTTTCGACGTGCCAAAAGTCTCCTTGTTTTCAATTAAGAATTAGGGAGAGGCAGCTGGCTTTCAAACTGGATTTTAAGTTTTCAGGAATTAATGATTTGACACCTTTATTTTATTCTCAATAATAAACTTCCATTGCTGAAGTTTTTTTTATAAATTTACTGCTTTCAATCGAGAAGCCGCTTGCGGCTTCGAAAACGAGGGAGATTGAGCGCGGCTTTTTCGTCATTTTTTTTTTGCTCAAAGCCGCAAGCGGCTTCTCGTTTTTCATTAGTCTATCTATTTAATGGGCATTCGGAATTCGCGCGAAAAACAGTCAGATGAAAATCGTGGTAGAATAAGGGTATCACAAAGTTAATTCTGGCAAAGAAACAGGATTCTTGAAGCTCAGATCCAAATACCCTGATTTCTTTGGGCGGAAAGGTAAATCTGTCCACGTTGCAAGTTTTGTCCAAGAAAGTTAACCTCAAGTTAATGTGGCAATCTAAATTTGCTTAGTTCCGGGTTTTGAATTATTCGCAAATCGGTTGCGTTGTCGTCTGTTTTGGGAGGTCGGCGGCGAAATATCATCTGCCAACATTAAAAAGGTTACCATTCTCTGTTTAGAGAGCGGCTTCTTGTTGTGACAGAGCAGCAGCACAGTTGTGGAAATTCACAACACTCTCTAATGCCAACCAGCGCCAAAACGTCCTAATAAGGGATAATAGGAGTTGACTAAACAGGTGATTTTGTGAACACCGTTAGCACATTCTTGGGATTTGATTAACATAGCAAAATAAAACACAGAATAAGCGAAAAAGTAGCTTTTTTGACTCAAAAAACTTACTCGAACCAATCAAAATCGTGCTCAAAAATTTAGTAAATCAAGAAAAATATTGATTGGCCGAGTAAATTTTGTGTTATTTTTGGTCAAAAAATCATTAATTTAATAAATTTTTGAGCATAATTTTGATTGGTTAAAAAACAATTTTTTAAACTGATAATTACAGTCTGACCTGCACCACGCTATGTTTGATCGAAACGAAGTTATCCAATGTATCGCATCCTGTTGCCTCGATAAGTCGTGAATTACATCGTTGATAGCACCTGTAATCAACGCCTCACTATGTATAGCCTTTTTAGGGGGGAGATAAAGGGCGGGTACTTTTAGAACTTCTTTGCTACGAGTAAGGGCGCACAACAAAGGGTTCTTCCGGCTTGGAACGTGAGTCG